ATATGTGCTTGAAAACTCCGGACACAGATCTGCTCGCATTACTTAGTGGCAAGTCCTCGCTGGAAGTGACATATTTGCATACCCGATCTGGACGTAGAGCACGCCGGACATGAAAAAGACCCAAATCTGCGGAGAGAACTTCAGAAACAACGAAACACAATGGGAAAATTTACCGACGCATATACTAGTCACGATGGGATCAGTGAGAACAAACACTAACCACCATCAGCACCACCTTGCATAGCAATCATCAAATAACGTACTGATTGGCCAAGTACACGGCATCTTAATCATGGCACTCAATTTCGGCCGTGTCTCCTCTCCGGGCTCTCCCCAGACGCGGTACCGGTCGTCCCCAGTTTCTATACAGAGTTTCTTGGCCATGCATCAAAGGATGATTTGCGATCGGGTCTCCTCCATTATAAGTAGGCTGAGAAGGAAGTAGGTCCCCCGAACACTGCGTTTATTGTTATTGGAACGTATTATAATTCAGAAAAGATATACGCACATCGCTTGAATCCCGTGGATCCATCTCCATTGGAGATGAGGGTTTAGTTCCAGCCAAGCCGAGATGATCGACCCCAGACCAGTGGTAACCACGCTCACCATGGAGAAAACAGCCATAGGCGGGCTGCGCCTGGAATAGGGTGACGGGGTAATGCTTGCAGGGGCGTGCTCGACGCACCAAATACATAGTGGCGATTAATAAATAATGAAGAGGCCTACAAGATGTCTGCAAGACTTTCTTCGTAGACGGGCATTCAGATAGCGGTGTGAGGGAGCGCGTTGTCTATGGCTGGGTTGGGAGGCTGTGGGACTGCAGAGTAGTAACGACTGTTAATGAGCAATGGGACCGATTTTAAATGTGATATTTTGTAAGATCCGAAGAGTGAAGAACTGGAAATAGTGAGTCGGTGCAAAGGAATAGCTACCAGGGAGACACAAAAGAGAACTTAAGGCGTGAGAGGACAAAGAGCGAAATGAGCGTAGTTGCCATCTAGGCGAAATTCTTTAAGTGTGCTCGTGCCATTGAATATTTGAATCCTGGAGAATGGGCAGTGTCATGGCAAGGGCGTTTTGCCCCGACCAATATATACATAACCCACTTGGGTTGTTACATAAGCACGGTACAGTTGAAATGCTCATAATGCATAAGATCTCGTAATGCATGACAAATGGTGGGAACCAACTTCGTTCCTATGTATTTATGCACGAAATCTACTATTGAATAATGCATAGAGCTTTATAGACTTATGCATCATTATATATACTACATAGAGTAATGCGGAGCCTTTGCTCACTAGGGACCCTGCCACAAACTGACGCTAAACCTTTACTGCTTGTGTGTAACAAATAAAATCAAGCAGGGCATTATTTTTCCTGCTTTTCAATGGCACCTGCAGACCCCCCAAAGCGTAAACCTCGTCACAACCATAAACCCTATGTTCATGTTATGAAACCCAAGGTCAAAGACTTACCCAAGACATCTGCATTACCCCAGCCTCCAGCCCATGCACGACACAATCTAACACTCAGTGACTGGCTAACTGTAGTCAGATATTATGATGATAACCAGCCTATATCACAGGAAGATGTTGTTAAGCATTTCAAGAATCTTCCTCAGGGTGCTTTGATATTTACTCAATCATCACTCTCTCATCACATCACAGCAAAAGGACGTAGCAATGATCAGGCCTGTTTGTCATCAAATCCAACAGCTCTTTCAGGGAAAAGGGCCCAGATCATTACCCGGCCAGATGTTGAAAAGGCACTCGTTTTGTGGGTTGGTCATATGGAGCAGAAACGTGAAACTGTTACAGGCCCAATGCTTATGGCAAAATGTGCAAAATTTGAGGAAGCCATGGACATACCAGAGGATGAGAGGTTAAAAAGTGGTGGTTGGGTACAAAATTTCCTGCAAACGTGAGCCAAGAGTTAATATTTTACAGCATATTGACTTTCTATTTCTTAGGTACAATATGAAAGAATATCGTCGACATGGAGAGGCAGCATCTATTAATTTAGCAGCAGTTGCAGCGGAGCGCCAAAGAATCTCGAAATGTCTCGAAAAATACATGCCAAAAGACCAGTGGAATATGGATGAAAGTGGACTGTTTGGATTGTAGGCAATCGTGAAACTTCGTATTATAGCTCTGACATATTGTTTCATAGTGCTCCACCAGACCGTGGATTGGCATCAAAGCAAATGTCCGGAAAGAAATCAAATAGATTTCGTATCACAGTTGCCTTCACATCCAATGCTGATGGAAGCGAGAAACGACCAATTTTTTATATAGGCAAGGCAAAGCAACCTCGCTGCTTCGGCAAAAAGACACCTGCATCCTATGGTTTCTATTATCGTAACAACAAAACTGCCTGGATGACATCTGCATATTTCAAAGAGTCAGTATTTCTGTTATTATGTTCAACAAGCTGCAAGACTTGCATTTCAAAAGTCAAAATCGGCACATAGCATTGACAATTGACAATTTTTCTGGTCACGAAATTTCATACAAGCCAACAAATATCGAGCTCATCTATTTTGAACCAAATCCCACATCATACGTGCAACCCTTGGATGCTGGTATCATTCATTGTGTAAAAGCTCATTACCAGAAAGCTTTCTGTTTGCGTGCAGTGGAGTTAGACGATGCAGGAGAGGATGACATCTATAAGATAAATCTCCTCGAAGTCATGTTGATGGTAAGGGATGCTTGGGACGCTGTCACTCCAGAGACAATTAGGAATTGCTGGAAGCATACAAAAATTACAGAGTGCGTATCTACTATCTAGTATGAAGTCTGATATTGAAACAACGACTCGTTGGTCTTCATAGGGCTATCCCGGACACTCCTGCTTCATCGAATCTGATTTGCTCCACTCCCAACACTCAGTCCCCTCTTGCGGATGCTGAGGCATGGCAAATCATAAAGAATTTTGCAACTGGTATTATTGAAACCCTTCCAAATGCGCAGGAGCAGCTGGCAGCACGTCTAGGTTTAAAATATCACTATAACGATTGGAAACCTGCCTTTGATGCAATATTCGCGGCCAAGGATGATGAAATGGCTGCTGCAACTGCCATTGATCACCTTGCCTCCAAATCACTCTACCCCGCAGCAGCTGCCCCACATCTTCAAGAAGGTCTCCCCAAACCTCCAACTCGTCCCTTACAACCATCTTTGCCACAGTTGTCTCAGCTTGAGACTGAACTTATGAACACTATCGAAGATCTGCAGCATCGTAAACAAATCTGTGGTACTGCACCTACTTTGGAGGATTTGTTGAACCCGATCGAAGAAGATGTGATTGGCCATACTGGCCTCGAGTTCCCTGGTGGAGATGACGAGATTATTGTAGAAGCAACTTGGCAAATGATGGAGAATACTGAAGAGGATCTTGAGGATGAAGTTGATGACTTATGGGAGCCAATACCACCAAAGGAGGCCCTAGATTTGTGCGAACACATGGAAAAGGTCTGTGTTGATTATTCTGATGCTGATGGTGTATCACTGCTCGAGATGCAGAAACAACTGCGAAAACTGCGGGCACATCTCCATCATCTTGATGTTAGATCTCATGTTCAGACCACTCTTGATCAATGGGTTGCTTCGTCGAGTAAATAGATGGTTTAATGTCATAGTAGAACATTTCGAAAATGATTTGACAAAATCACCGCTCGGTGGGAAAATATGTCACAAAGTGTGACCCATATGTCACTGCATAAGGTCTCATAATGCATAAGCTAGGTGGGGGACCAACATGATGCATTATGAGAATGTCAACTGTACTAGGATTCCAGTGGCGCTCTTTGGAACCCGAAACCGAACGCTGCCCCTGATCTCCGTGTCGCATGTCCGCCTATTACTCGGATGACTAATAACTATTTCACGTTCCATTATTGTTAAACTGTTTGGTTAGGTGGGTCCCTGCCATTTTTCTACAATGTCTTCTGCGCAGTCGCCATGCGTTGCCGATCAGTGATCGCATTTCAACACCTGGGGTTTGGCCGGCAGCATACTTGGCAGTCTCGCAATAAATAATCTAATCACCATCACATATTCACATAATTGACATATCTCAGATGGGGAGCCTGGAGTTCGACTCTGGTACTGCCCACACCGGCAACAAAGTTGAAGCCAATCATTTTGGCACCTCTCGAAATAAAGCTCACAAGTCCTGCAGAGTTTTATCTTAGTGAGGACAGGAACTGGAGCAACTTAAGACTTATCTTCCGATCAAGACCAACTAAAGACTGAGCTCACGGAGGATTATTGTTGCATAGATTAAATTATTGAAGTGATTGCAAATGTATTTCAGGCTCCGAAACAAGATATTCTGGATTATTTAGCCTATGGAAAGTTATCCATTGCCTGGTTTACTTTCGGTTTCACAGCAACATCCATGACAGTCCCCATGGTAAGTCATCCTTCGATATTGTTGCACAGCAATCAATTAAATTTGCCGCTGAAGCAGCCTTCTGAGCTTCTACCCATAGAGGGTACTATGAACAAACACATTACCCAACCTCAGACACTTCAGGATGTTTACCTCGAACTTCGAAGGGAAAAAGAAGAAAATGCAGCCCTCAAACAACTGATGGGGTGGCTTGTGGCAGAGCACAACAAGTTAGCAGTGGCCCTCGCTGGACTGGCTGAGTTTTGCCACCCTGTATGTTTGATTTTTTTTTCCACTTCAAGTTACATATTGTTCATTAAATGTCCACATCAGTGGATCTAGTAGCACTCGTTATCTCCCTCGTAGTCCTCTTCTCCTAATGAGCCCAATGGCAGAATATCTTTTGTTATCCATCACACATTCGGTGAATTACTTCGACTGCATGACATGAAGATCAGAATAACACCAGGGATGTTTGTGATGTCAGCAATGGCTGGTGGCATTTCTCCAAGCGCCGATAATTCGCTGCAAAGGTCTCAGCATTATCAGGGATGATGAGGGCACTAGCAGAATGAAGAAATGTATATATTTGGTGCATAGGATCAGCACCAGCAAGTTCTATGCATAGGGCTCCCGCAAAACGAGTCATGAGTCTCGAAGGTGATGCTCGAAGGATCAAGGCTGTCATAGGTCACGAAGACACGCCCATCAGCAAATTTCTCCATGGCAGGTGGTTTGTTAATGATAGCTTTGGCAGGGGAGCTCTTCCCCATGCCTCCAAGACCGATCAACGTGATGTGTTCATCGTCGACGGCAAGGTTTGTCAACTCTGCTACAAGATCCTCACGTCCATAAAACATGGAGGGACGTGGTGGGGGCACAGGTGGGTGATACCTAATTTCCTTCAGAAGATACACAACACGCGCCGAGATGGCAACTTACCATTGCTCTTGAGTCCCAAGGTTTGAGTGTTCATTCCAATCGCGAGGCCAACAAGCATCTCAGCCCTAAAACATCATTCAGTAGCCATAGCTCTCAAGGAGTTCCAGAAACATACACTGAACAGTGGGATGATGCGATCCAAGTTCCCTGATAGTCTCGCACTTGTCGACTCTCACCTGGAAATCGGACTGATTCTTGATCACTGACTGTACACCTCTCAGGATCCTTCACGAACACTTTCAAAGGCTATGCAAATGCACCTGCGCAATGATCAGGATGTTTGCGACCATTCCGAGCATGCCTTTTGTCAGGTCGATGGGTACGGAGGTCTCTCGTAATATTGACTGCCACTATAGTGACGCCCCAGCAGTCGCACCGCATTGTTGCCCTGCGACTCCTTAGTTTCAGAAGAAGGTTCCTTAATGTTTGGGTCATTCCATGTCAGATCAAATATACGGCGCTAACACTGAGCTTTGTGGCTTCTCACCTTTGGTTTTTTTTCGGCCCGCTTGTCAGTGGATCCGCGTGATGAATTCCGAGTTTCAGATATGGGTTCGGTAAAGTGCCGCTGCCGCCTGCTGGAGGGTGAGAAACTGCACAGCATAAATGATAACATACCGGTGGCTATCATAGGTGACATCAAGTCTAGATCTCAACTTTCGACCCGGTCTTGAACCTGTAATGGATTGTTGTGGTCTGCGACACAGTCGGATTGCTGGGATGAAGCAAGGAGACATATCATTGATAGCTTGAACCTCGAATATTAAGGGAAATGAAGTGGACAGACATTTGATCGGAGAGGAAAGGAGCTAACACCAGGAGAGTATGCCAGTGGAGCTTATAACAGTGCGACATCTCTACATAGTCGAACATGACATTGTGAACAACCGAGTTTTGGCACGGACGCTGGAACCTCAAGGCCTCGCATGCACTGACATGGTTTAAGAAAAGATTCACGCCTATCCGTTTTCAAAACAGTTGGCACAGCCACCAAAACGCACTTCGGATGGTCTGTCTGAGTGATGGAAGAACAAAATACATATAAGTATGGGGTAAAGATCATCAGATGAGTGCGGCTGATACTAGTATTATGTACGTATCCCTCCTCACTTTCATTACATAATATTGTATTTGTTGACTGAAGGTTAATGTTTTAGAGCTACACTAGTAGTAGGAGCACAACGCAGTACCGTTTTTGGTATATGTGTGGAGACCCGCCGTTGTGGCAGCAGGAAACACTAAACAGTTCGGACAGGAGATAATAGGACAAAACCGTGGAATTTGAGATATGATATGAGTATGTGATGTCGTGGTAAGTGTAAGACCCGAGTCTGTCCGTAAATGAAGATCTAAGCGGTGTTTTAAGCGGTCCGAACAATCACGTGTTTGATGTGATAAGCAGATGTAGTAAGCAGCAAGCTTACACCCTCCCACCCTCCGAGACATTTTGACCGTCGTTGAATTCATCCAATGCTTCCGTCCCTTCGACCTCTTGACCCGGTAACCACATGTCCGTTTCGTGTCCGTATCCTTTCCAATGCACAAGATATTGGAATCCTCGGCCTTGCTTTCTTCTGTCCAAGATGTGTTCTATCTCCCAACTTTCTGCTCCGTTGTCCGTGATGATCGTCCCCGGCTTCTGTACCGTTCGCGAGGGAAAGAGTTCGTTGTTGTTCGCTATGTGTTTCTTTAGTTGCGAGGCGTGAAAGGTAGGGTGGATGTTTGTGTGCGCCGGTAGGTCAAGCGTATATGTTGATGTCTTTTGGTTTGCCAATATGATTTTGTAAGGACCGTCGAACCTAGGCATGAACTTTGCCACTCGTCGTTTGTCGCTGTGGAGGTACTCTTGTCTCCGGTGTGCCGTGGAGAGGTATACGAGGTCGCCCGTCTTGAGTTCTGGTTCGTCGCTTCGTCTTGTGTTTGCTGATGAGGCTTGCAATATCTTTGCAGCCATGAGAGCGTCATGTGTGTTGGTGACGTCCGTCTTCAGATTCATGATGGCTTCAAGCACGTTTGTGACGTCCGTCTGGAAGTCTTCGTGAGCTTCTTGCACTGCGTTCGGCATTAGAGGAGGTAGTAAGTGTGGAGACCTTCCAAGGTGCATGTGAAATGGAGTGTAGCCAGTTGATGCATTCACGCTCGACATTAGGTTGAACCTGACACGTGGTAGCGCATCTACCCAACCGCATTGTCGCTGGTCCACGAAGTACCTTAGTGCTTGATTGATTGTTTTGTTAGTGTGTTTGCTTGAGCCGTCTGTCTGTGGATGGTAAGCAGTAGACATTTTGAGTCATATACCTGTTAAACAATGTAATGCCTTCCAGAATTTGCTTGTGAACAACTTGTCGCGGTCCGAGACGATGTTGAGAGGCATCCCGTTCTCGCAGTACCAATGATTGAAGAAGAGGTTTGCGATTTCTTTTGCGTTCATGTTCATCCTGCAGGGGACTAGACGGATGTCAGCACCTAGTCGGTCAGTGATCGTTAGGATTCCGTCGAATCCTTGTTCGAGGGGGAGAGGTCCTATGGAGTCCATTGCTATGGCATCCCCTTGCTTGTCTGGCGTTGGGAGGGGGTGTAACAGCCCTGCAGGTTTTGTTGTCCTGCTTTTGTTTCTTGCACATTCCGGGCATGCGGGGATATAACTATCTTTGAGGTCCCGCCTCATATTTGGCCAATAGAACGATTGTTGCAGCGCCACATATGACTTGTCGGCGCCAAAGTGTCCGAGGTCGGCGTGGGCCAGTCTGAATAGTGTCTCGCGTACGTGAGTCACGCGCGGTATGACAAGACGGTCGTTGATATATAACAACTCGTCGCGTTTTTGTAGTCCTGGCAAGGAATCCGTTAGTTGCATGAGTCTAACACACCATGGGTCCTTAGTGTAGCCATCTCTGATGTCGTTGAGTAGCAATTCATCTGGCGTGATAGACAGAATTAGTGCGACAGTGCTGATGCTTTTACCTGTCTTTGGGGGCATGTTCATTGTTTGTTTGACGTATGTTGGCTTGTCTTCCGTTTTGCGTGGTAGGCGTGAAAGTGCATCGGCCACCACGTTTTCTTCTCCGGGTATGTACTGTATTGTAAAGTCGTATTGGGCGAAGAATTCTTGCCAGCGTGCTTGTCGACGTGATAGCTCTCATTGGGTCATGAAATTTTCTAGCATCCTGTGATCAGTGTATACCGTGAAAGGGGTACCTAGCAATTCTACACGCCATTTCTTGAGTGCGCGTACGATGGATAGAAGTTCTTTTTCATGGACCGGGTAGTTTAACTGTGCGTCACGAAGTTGCATCGAGTCGAAGGCGACGGGGCGAGCTGATTCTGCAGTTCGGCCAAAACTTAGCATCCCCCCTGTCCTCCAATCACTTGTGTTGCAGGTAACAAAAATCTTGTTTTCTCCGATATTGTCATGATCGATTGTCATTAGGCAGTCCTGGCTAATGACAAGTCGCTTGATGGCATCGAAAGCATGTTGGTGATCCGCGTTCCAGCCGGGCCAGTTTGTGTCTGCACTCTTTGTGGTTAAAGGTGTCAGTATTCTCGTGTGTTCTGCCAGTTTTGGCAAGAACTGTTCTAAGTATTGCACCAGTCCCAAGTATGAGCGCACCTCCATTGACGACTTTGGTGCAGGCCAGTCTAATATGTGTTTTACTTTAGACGCGTCCGCCTTGATGCCTGAGGCGGATATGTGATGGCCCAAAAAGTCGACCTCATTGCAGAATAGCGAGGTCTTCTTTGGTGAGCAGAACAGTGAGGCTTTACACAGGGCGTCAAGTACCAGTTGCATGTTCTTTACGTGCTCCGCCACATTTTCCGACCAAATTATAATGTCATCTAGATAAGCGTGGCATATTTTACCGATCAGTGGTCATAGTGCCATGAACATCCAACGTTGATGTGTCGCCGGCGCGTTCCTCCCACCTTGAGGCATTACCGTCCACTCGTGTAAGCCTTTCGGTGTGTCTATTGCCATGTACTTAATGTCGTCCGGATGTACTCGTGTCTGAAAGAACGAATTAGTCATATCAATTTTTCCAAATATTTTTCCCTTTGTGCAGTCGCGCAGTATTTCGTCTACATGTGGTAGGGGGTGATTATCTGGGATGGTGTTAGCATTTAGAGCTCGGTAATCATTTACCCATCTAGGTAATGCGCTGGGGTCCTTTTTTGGTATGAGGAAGGCCAGCGATACGTAGGGGCTTGACAATGGTCTCAAATGACCTGCCACGACGTGTTCATCGAGGAGCTGTTCCCACGCTTCCCTATACTTTCTAGGAGTATTGTACCGTCAGCATTGTATGATCTTCTCAGGATCTTTTAGTCAGATGCAGTGGACCACATCTGTGGGTAGATGATCAATATGTGGTATATCGTTAGGGAACCAATCTTTGTATTTTTCTCTCATTTCCACGTCCAGACGGTCCAGTTGGGCTTTGTTCTTCTCGACGAACACTAGAGTTTCAATTCGGCGACGTATAGTCGCGACGACGTGAGTTGTCATTGAAGTCGTGTGATTCACCGAGTCGTTGAGACAGTCAGTTAGTACACCCTTCAGTTCACGAATAACAGTTTTGCGTAGTCGCAAAACATCTCGAGTTGAAGGCAAGGGTACAGCTGTATGTTGTGTAACAATTGGGGGATTAAGAAATCATAACCAGAAGGTTTGTTGATGCAAGTGCGAAGTTCATGATCTATGAGGAGGCAATTATGTGATAAGAAAGGTCCCCCCAAGAGGAGGGGCATGACGAGATTAGGCGCAACAATCGCGCATATAGTACGAGAGTTCCAGTCATGATTCAGAGAACAAGGAGACAGAAGAACGTATTCAGAAAAATTTAAAGGAGAAGTAGATGGTGCGAGAAAGGCTGAGTTTGCCTGGATTACGGAGTGCAGTTTGCGCCTCCATAGGCCCAACTTGTTCACGATGTCCTCATTAATAAGAACTAGATGTGAACCATGGTCAATTAATGCATCTATGCGCTCGAACGAAGGAGATAACGGCCCCATCAGGAGACAGGGTCATATGATATGGGCAGTTTCAAAAGGAGCCATGCATGTATCATCATTCGAGTCAGATAAGTCTTCCAAGACAGACGAAGGCATCATGGCAGTGACCGGAGCGACCGCAGCGATAGGCACAGACCTGTTTGACCGTTCGTTCTTGGTTTTGGCTGCCATTGCATCCGCTTCGGTAATTGTCTTGTAGGATGATGCTTCTGGTGCGCCGTCAGGACATTCTCTCAATCTGTGTGACACGTAAAACTTTCTGCACTTGAAGCAGCCCTTGTTATCTGCGAGTAGCGTTCGTTCTGCTACTGTGAGAGGGCCGAGACGAGGTGCAGAGTTGTTTGTCAACAAGCTGTAGGTAGTCTTTGATGCTGTGTAAGATTGGTTGGTTCGTCTGGAGGTCTTGTAGGCTTCATCTGCGAGTCTTTTATGCATGGCGAGGTCTTCGAGGCGTTTATCGTCGAGATGACGTACTTCCTAGATCCAGTTCCTCAGTGTGAGCGCTGGGTCGAGGTTGGCTCTGAGTACTGCCGTGGTCAGGTCATCGCATATATTCGCTTCTAATTGGTTGCGGAGCTGGGCGTCTGTTAGGTGAGCAGCGTTACCGTATAAAAGGGTGTTCTGGTTTTGGAGTTCCAGTGCCCATTCATAGAATGCGCGACCTCCTTGTTGAGAGCCCAGTACCTTCTTTTGAAGCTTGGTGTCCCAATGTGTTTCGAGCCAGGCGCCTTTGAGTGCCGTCATATACTCTAGGAACGTACCCACATCAAGCGTGACTCGCTGTGCAAGGTACCAGGTGTGTAATCTGGGGTCGAGCATTCCAAAGGCTACCATTTTGACCTGATTCTGTGGTTCAATTTCTTTATGCATGAAATAAGTTGCGCATGCATTCTCCCAGTCCTGCGCGGCCTCAGGAGTGAGTTCGCTGGTGAGTAACTTGGGGGGTTTGCTTGGCGCGGATTGTTCTACGGCGGCGGGTTTCATAGCGTCGCGAACAAGAGGGTTACGTGTTGGTGGTTTTCTGGTTCAGATTCTGAAGAGGAGTCACAGGTGATCCTTGTGGCGACATTATTTGTCTGTGGTGCACCATTGGAAGACAGCGGGGTTAAAGAGGATAGTGACGGGATAGGTGGAGACGGTTGGGTTCTTCTCGTGCGTGAACGCGTGACGAGAGGTTGACTAACGGTTGGTCTATTCCGTTTGGAAGACAGTTTGACGGGTTGTGTGATGGGCGGGTAGCCCAACAGTTCGAGAGTGATTGGGATCTAAGTCCGCCGGTCGATGTCGATATTAAAAAAAAAAGTGGAGACCCGCCGTTGTGGCGGCGGGAAACACTAAACAGTTCGGACAGGAGATAATAGGACAAAACCCAGACTCCAAACCATTGGCAGGTGTGAGAGTCTTCATACTGTTACCTTAGCCGAAAATCAAATATGTACAACATAATTTCAAACACCGCAACTTTGAGACTCTACACACCAAGCCGACTGGCAAAACTTGTAGTGGCGCGAGGTTTGGATGTATTTGTCCCACCGAAAAAGCCTTCCGAGAACACTGACATATCCCAAAAGAAATGGGAGCAATCGAATATTAGAGGTACTCAGAGTAAAAATTTAAACGTCGCTAAATGTCGCTAACTCTCGGTTAGAGATGGACAAAACTCGAGCAGTAAGACTCGGCATATGCATCGGCACGATGTCGGACATTCAAACGACACTTAGTGAAACGAAAGTAGCATAGGCAAAGTAGATAAGATTTCAAGAAAAAAAATACTAAGTCGATATCTACATGTAACAGTGAGGGTACGTGCTGTAAAGTAAAAAATCTACTGCTGCGTGCATCAATAAAATTGGAACGATCCTCGTCAACTGGAGGAGGATGGCACAAGGTGGTATGAGACGCCCGAAGACGCAGAAGGTGTTTGAGGAGTTTCGGAGGGAGTGCCTGGCGTGATAGAAGCACTTGGCGGTTCTGTGAGGAGGTGTGCTGCGCGCGAGTTGAGTGCTGCGTGAGGGAGTGCTTGGCGTGTTGGAAGCGCTTAGGGGTTCGGTGAGGGAGTAGGGCAGCGTGAAACGCCTGGAGACGCGGAGGGCGTTTGAGAAGGAGTTTCGGAGGGCGGCGGTTGAGAAGGAGTTTCGGAGGGTGTTTGAGAAGGAGTTTCGGAGGGCGGCGGTTGAGAAGGAGTTTGGGAGGGCAGTTGAGAAGGAGTTTCGGAGGGAGTACCTGGCGCGATAGAAGCACTTGGAGGCTCGGTTAGGGAGGTAGGCAGCGTGAAACACCTGGAGATGCTGAGGGCATTTGAGAAGGAGTTTCGGAGGACGGTTGAGAAGGAGTTTGTACGTACCTAGCATGTTAGAAGCCCTTGGCGGTTCGCTGAGGGAGGTGGGCTGCGCGCGAGCGTCGTTGAGTGCTGAGTGAGGGGGTGTGATGATCATGAGGTACATGAGCACAGCAAGCTGAAACACCGGAATTTGCCGAAATTTTCAAACTCCGCCGCAAAGTGCGTCACATATGCCAGGGATAGACAGGAGTTTTGATCCCCTGATTCCCAACATGCCTCGTCAGTCAAAGTGTGCACAAATGCTGCATGACATCGATGTATCTGCACTTGCAGTAGCCACAGCCCGATACCAACATCTTCTGGAGGACGACGAGTCTACTACAGACTCTGCCTCGAGTCTCGACTCTTTCGATCTTACCCGTGACTCAGACCTTGACCTTTTCATGAGCATCATGTTAACCCCTCCATCTCCTCTTTCTCCAGTTTTATCTGGCTTCTCCAGTTCTTCCTCCGACTCTTTCTCTGATGACTCATCTGATGATGACATCAACCATACCACTGCTCACTACGACCGTCTTCAAGATTCCATTGCAAGTCTTCGGGATGAGGTAGAGAGGGCACGTGTGCTCCATAGACCCAGTGAGCCTATCCCACGAGCCTCACAGCTGCACCTCCTTGTCCATTTTGGGGAACATCGCCCTCATCTATTTTGTCGTAAACTACGTGTTGACCCCGAAATTTTCGATGACATCCTCAATCTCATTTCTGGCCACCCCATTTTTCATAACAATTCCAACAACCTCCAGCTTCCTATCTCTATTCAACTTGCTATTTTTCTCAACCGTGTCGGCCACTATGGTAATTCTGCCACTCTCCAGGATGTATCTGAATGGGCTGGTATTAGTGTTGGGTCTGTGGTTAACTGCACCAATCATATAATGGTTGCACTGCTTGACCAGCATGATGCCTTCATGGGTTTTCCCCCACCTGATTCACAGGACTTTGAGCTTGCTCGGCAATATACTGCACGGGTGACCACTTGCCCTGAGTGGCAGAATGGAGTCCTAGCTGTTGATGGGACATCAATTGACCTGTATGAGACACCTGGATTTTATCACCAGTCTTTTTATGACAGGAAATCCAAATATTCCCTGGGCTGTCAGGTATGTTTTTTTTTTTAATTTCATGGTTAAAAATTAAAATAAATTCAAGGCAGTCATTATGCCCCACAATCTTCTCATAGTTGATTATTCTCTTGGTCACCCTGGAAGCATCCATGATGCATACGCATTCAGATCTACTCGTATCTATCAAGAACATGACACACTTCTTCCAGCTGGCCACTGGGTCTGGGCAGACAGTGCTTATCCACTGGACACCTGGTGCATTGCCCCTTTCAAGAAGCCCCGCAATGGACGACTGACAGCAAATCAGAGGACATTCAATTATCACCTTTCTACAGTTTGTCCCTTTATTTTTCCATTTTTTTCTGATTTAAATTTGATTTATCTAGGTCCGTGTACGAGTGGAGCATGCATTTGCTGCATTGAAAGGGCGGTTTCAATCTCTTCGAGATCTCCGACAGAATATCAATTCAGCAGATGACTTACGGACAGCAGTCCATTGGATTCAGTGTTGTCTGATCCTACACAACATGATCATACGGTTTGAAGAAGAACATGCTCTGACAGAGGACCAGGGATCAGTCAAGTGGTCTTGTCAAGAGGCTAGAAACTTTATGTCTCAAGAGGCAGCTGAAGGACCAGATGGTAATGACCAAGTAGGTGATAGGTTATATGAAGGGACTCCAGGTCATGCTCGTTGTGAGAGGTTGATGGATCTCTTGTTTGACAGCCCTCACTCAAAGGCACAACGTAGACAGGGATAGCAGTTGTAGTTACAAATTTCCACTTGAATATGTTTTCTTGGCTCTGAAGGTGTGATGCTTGACATATGTTTTCTTGGATAAGTAATGTTTGATAACCTGAGGAGATGTTAGATGGTACATATAACTAGTACACTTGCTAGGATAAGCACCACAATATTAAGCAAGTGAAGAGACTGACCATCACAGCTGCTTAGGTTTGAAATCAGCTTTCTTTGCGTTGCAAAGAAAGCTAATAAACCTAGAGCACTGTGATGGTCAGTCTCTTCACTTGCTTAATATTGTGGTGCTTATCCTAGCAAGTGTACTAGTTATATGTACCATCTAACATCTCCTCAGGTTATCAAACATTACTTATCCAAGAAAACATATGTCAAGCATCACACCTTCAGAGCCAAGAGGAAACACCATCATGGTCCATTGAAAACTAGTAGTACATGAACTATCAACATAACATGAACAGGACTAATGGTTAACATAACAACATATGTAGTATGAAGGACAGCATGAGATATGTGATGCAAAAGGACAACAGTAAGACTACAACAACACCCTTAAGAGTTAGAACCGCTCATCAAACGTTGGTACTCAATCTTCAGCTGAAGCGCTCTTGCCTCCTCAGCATGCGCATGTGCCAGCGCAGCATGCATCTTCGCCTCCACTTCACGGAGGCGAATCTCCGTATCCTTCGCTTCCTGGGAGTGCTGATGAGTGGCGACAGCTTCCTTGTCGCAGTGTACACGCTCCTCGCGCAAAAACTTGTGCTCATTTACCTGACGGGTGAGGTTGTACTTCGCCATGTAATGCTCGTTCTTGAGCTCGCCCCGAGTGATCCGGTCCGACTGGATGCTTCCGATCTCGTCGTTGAGCCGGTTCAGGTCGCCTTGAAGATCCGACCGCACCCATTTCACCTGCCTCCCTTTCCCCTTGGAGGATGGGAGTTGTGACGTCTGGGAGGTGGAGGCAGGTGCCGACATCGTCGTTTTCGACAGCGAGGAGCCGCTGGACGAGGGTTTTGGCGAGTTGGCGCTGGTCCGGCTTGTCCTCGACACGCGCTTTCCGAAGGCAGCGCGACTATCGTGGAGGGAGGTCTGCGATTTCGGGGGAAGGACGAATGATGATGACTTGGGCGAGGGGGAACGAGATGATGAGGGGGATGCAGACTGACGTGCCCGACGTTTGGAGGCTCTGGGCTTGGGGGGGCTGTTCAAGATGGTGACGTCACCCTCCTCTTCCCAGTAATTTGACGTTACGGGAGGCTGCGGCTGTGGCATGTTGTCGAAGCGAAGGTCCATGTCCATGTCCTCGTCGTATCCGTCGCCGACGTAATTGTTGTCACAATACGTATCGGACTCGGAGGGGGCAGGCGCGGGAGGGTGAGAGCGAGCGATGATGCCGGGATGGGAGGGATGGTACCCGGATGGCGAGGAGGAGGAAGCGAAGGGGGGGACAGTAAAGGGCGCCTGAACAGAGGGCGCAGAGGGCGCAGAGCCAAAGGGCGCCTGGCCAGAGGGCGCAGAGCCAAAGGGCGCCTGGCCAGAGGGCGCAGAGCCAAAGGGCGCCTGGCCAGATGGCGCAGAGCCAAAGGGCGCCTGGCCAGATGGCATAGAGCCGAAGGGCGCCTGGCCAGAGGGCGCAGAGTTGAAGGGCGCCTGGCCAGAGGGCGCAGAGTTGAAGGACGCCTGGCCAGAGGGCGCAGGGACGAAGGGCGCCTGACCAGAGGTCTGGGCACCTTGGGTGAGAGCGAAGAAGTTAGCAGCGTGATCAGTTTCAGGGCGTGATGAGACGGTCTTGACAGATAGAGCAGGGTTTGTCCCCATGATGGAGAGGAGCTCGTCATACCACGGGAACGTATGTAGTACTTGCACTGTAATTTTTATTAGTTTAATCTGATTAAATATAAATATAAAAAACATACCGTGCAGATTTTGAGCGACGTCGTTTGGCATGACGCCGGCACCCGTTGAGTTTAATTTGTCGTGACATTCACGAAACCTTTTTTTGAGACTGGAGGGAATGTTAGTACACATGTGAATCAATACGAAAAATCGTACCTCATGATATGATTGTTGGTCGAGTCGCGAAACTTATCCGGCACCTCAGCGTATTGCGCCGCATAGTTAGGATCAGCCTGGAAAACATGGCGGGCAACGACAGAGCCAACCGAGAGTTTATCCTTGCCCGATGGGCGATCACCCTCGGTATGCGATTGTTTCCCGTCCGAAAAGAACAGAACTCGGCAGTCTGCTGGATGGTTGCGGAGGTACTCGATAACCCTCTGGGTGCGAGAGGGGTCCGCCTGCCACTGCACGATGAGCTTGGGTGCCTGGGCAGCATGATCGTTACCTCGAGTACTCCGAGATTTTCCTTGGCCACGGGTGACGGGTCCTTGGTTGTAGTCCATAGATTTGGGCTGCAAACACTTGAGGCGTGCAGAACGACAAGGACATGGTGGTCGAATGACAGGCATAGTTTTCGAAGTCCGAAACTATGCCGATGTGCCGCATGTCCTATGCGTGTTGTTCCTGCCCGAATTGTCAGTTTCTAACCGAAGTTACCGAGCTTTACCGAGCTTTACCGAAAATTCCCATTTTACTCTGAGTACCATTATTAACTGATGTCACATTGTTTATACAAAGACAAATGGTATTGTTTAATTATGTGACGGAAATAATAATAATTAAATATTAACAGTGCAGAGAACAATGGCAGAAAATGCATAAAACAAAAGACAGAGTCCTAGCTTTCGTGCTGTTGCGCTCGTGATGGATACAAGTCTCACAGACCAACTGGACAACGTGCTTGCATGTATGGAAGAAAATTTTCTCACTCCAGCAGACTTCATCAACCACATTCTCAGAAGCACAGAACACGAGAGTGCAAGAAACTCGCTAACAACGAAGGCAGTTAGAATATGTGGTGCCCTGTACAGAGAAGAACATGCGTACTTACATGTAACACAGTGGGCAATAACAATCGTGCGGGACATGCTGCGCACTGAGGTGACAGATTTGTCACTCGAAAAGCACGGACTTCGTTTCAAAGCCACGTCTGCAACTGTCGAACAACTGGAGAGCGCATTCATGCATCAGCTCGCAGGAAAAATGCAGGAGGTGGCACCTAACCTGTGGCATCTATTCTTCGCGCTGCTCGACAGCACACTTCAGCAGCGGCGAGCTATTGGTGGGAATGTGAAGGTGGGCAATGAGGACATGGATATTTATGTTGAAGAGAGGGACCTTGGAGAATTTGGAGGTGACGACATTGGAGGAATGATGCGCGAAGAAGACGACGTGAATGAAGAAGCTGATGACGAGCAATCAGGAAAATGTCGTGCAGCTGAAAGAAACGCTGCGCTGTTAGTCATTGTGAGTTGATATTTGCAAATCAAACGCTGCGTCGCTGACGAAAACTGCAGAGAACTGTTGTAATGATTAGCATATGCCTTCAGACGTCAAATTCACAGTGCAACCTACTACAAGGATGGCTGGGGTTCTTCATGAGGTCAGCGTGTGTCCCCGAGAAAGTTGTCAAAGTGTTCGCCCATGCGGGTTTGTCAATTAGCTTGACGTCGATACACAATGCTGTCTCGTCAATATCTAGAGAGATTAGCAGCAAAATAAAGCGCGAGGTTAGGACATTACAAGCTGGATTCGCATACGACAATTTCGACATACAATTCAAAGCTGCCCAGCCTACGCTGGAACATCGAGGGTCCTTCGTGAGCGCGACGTCAGCAACCGTCATTCCTCTATATGGCATCAACAACGATAATGTCGATGCTCTATGATCCTCAGCGCAGCTCTGGGATTGGGATTCACACAATCCATCGCCATCAGTACTACATGTGATGACGGAGTGGAGAAGCTTCCTTCAATTGCACAAAAACGATGCTTACAGTCGTCAAATGCATCCCGTTAGACTGAGCCCTCGCCAGGAAGCATTTTCTTGGCACATTCGTGCCATTCTGGTCAACCAGGTCAAAGAATTCAAGCATTTCAAAAAAGAGCTAGATGAGCCTGATACAGTCAAAAGAATCCCTGTGCACAAAACAAATCAAATACCTTGTCGGGCAATGGATATCAAGCAGTCCACGACAGACGGGAATGTTGAAGTTCTCGACAACCTGTTTAGACAAGGAGGTATTGGTGATCCTCGCGATAGCGGGTTTGATGCAGAGCATGACGTGGACATGTCGGAGCACATCATGCTGATCCATGGTGACCTTTTGACGAAGGAGCGACTGGATACTGTCCATAACAGCCGGTGCATTGAGCATACACCAAAGAACCACTTCCAATACGTGATTTTCTTACCTGGGTTGTTCCACTATAAGATGGCTTGCGCAGATGCCATCTGGAGAACGTATATTCAGCCAAAGGAGGGCCGTGATGATGAGAACAGCCTGTACCAACACACTGCAGTCCTTCGGCCAGAGGAAACTGGTAAAATGGTCAGTAAACCTGGCTTTCGGCAAGTGCACGATGTCATTCACCATGACATCTGGGCATCGATGATGGACTGTTGGCAGATCGAAGCAGAGAACGAGAATTGGGAATGGAACACGCTGGAGACTTTCGCGGCCTCTGAGCCAATATGGGATGACGTGGTGGCAATGTCACATACCATTGTGCGGAAGTATGTTGCAACAACGCCAGGCCTTGACAAAGCACGAGCACGACCATCGACCATCCGCGACAAGCGATTCGAAAATCAAATGCTGCGAAACAGGGACGAGCTGATGTACATTGATGTCTGTCAAGCTATGAATACTGGTGACATAGGGAGAGTGGAAGTGTCGTTCTTACCGTGGATCTACATATTCAAAGCCACGGGAAAGCACAAGTATGCTTCCCAGATGACGAGGTTTCTCATAAACCTTCAGTTTAACTGGCCTGAAAAACTGAGGTGAGTAGGAGTTGCTCGTATTGACTGCGCATCATCTGAAAATATGTCAGTGATATCATTTGAATGAACTTACTTTGCAACCCCTCCGGGCATGCGCTAGCGTTTTGCGCTGTAGATTGGGTTGTCGAGAGGAACAATCTGTACACCAAGGTTAGTTCCTAGCTGCTTAGGGTTGGAATGTTAATATGGCATCAGGTCATATACAGAGGCGGAGGTCCGAATGGTACATTAGAACATATTATTAAAGAATCCCCTCTGATCAAGGTCTACCATAACTGTCACGTCGTCATCGAAAACAGATTCCACCTTCAGCATCAAACAATTCGTCATGCACAACCTGAAATGATGAATACAATCCGTAAGTTGTCAACGAAAATAAAGGAGAACTACGCACATATAAAGAAGGAGGGTCGGAAGGCCCTGTGGTCGATTCCTGATCAGATCAATGAAGGGATGGTGCTGATGCAAGAGCAGAAGATAGTTAGCGAGGAAGAGACGGGCGTTTTCGACGTCGACGGAGATGACTTTATTGACTAACCTTAACCGACTCGATTGTTCTGCAGACCAACAAACTGTTGTTGTCCTTGCACTGGATGGAAACCTTGCTCAGAAGCGCCTGGAGCAGGTGCCACCATGGCCGGTGCATTTTCTATATTAGATCTTGACTTGCGGGGCTTGGAAATATATCTTGGACAAAGTTTGTTGGACGCTGTGAAGAACAATGAGTACGATAAGACAGTGGACATAGTGAGCAGTGCGTACCTATATGATCAGTGCTACCACAAGCACGACACTTTCGTGAACGTTTCGATGGCAACATGACGCCTTTTGTGGCGGAGGTGCTGGCGGTCGGTTGTTGGTTTGTTGACGACGATAAGCCAAGTGGAGGTGGAATGATCACAGCAGGTGGTGCGGGAGGTTGGACAATGGGCAAAGGGATGCAAGTAAGAATGATATCGAGGACACTTTGCCCATATTCAGAGGAGTAGCACCATGATGTCTGCTCGAAGAGAGAAGTTGTTGATAAGATTTTGTGATAGTGCGCGAGGTCGACAATACAGTTCAGGATCTTGTTTGACATGATCATCTGGGGACCAAAAAAGTCATCAGCATCGAGATCCTCCTCGATTATCTTCGAGTCCCTCCATTTGATGAGCTCCTGCTGAAGCCGGCATTCAGTGTCGGTCATTTTGTATGGCTTGATCTTGTACTTTGGTTTGGCGCGTGTTGACGTGATTTGTTGCAGAGGGAAGAGCCGTGAATGTAATTCCATCTTGTTACACACGTCACAGCAAATGTGTGACACCCTTGCAGCGCATCTCTCACAGCATGTATTCCCTTGTTCTCGATAACCTCAATGTCAGCTAAATCAACTCTATCCAGCCTTAAAATTCTTACCTATTAGGTTTGGATTATTGAAATATTCATTTGTAACTCGGCGACGGCAGAATCCTCGAAGGTGAGCATTGATAAATGCATACATAGCAGCTCGTTCGATAACATCACTATCAGCGTTTACCGGAAGGATCCTCATAGGAGTAGAAGTGCCAGCAACCTCTGGAATGGTGTGTCTGTTGCGCTGATCTACCACCATGCTGACGCCGTCCGTTCGCCCGTCATTGTCCCCCCCATTGAGGGTACCACCATCAGTCCTACATTGACTGTTCTCCTCGTCGTGCACCACTGTGCTCTCAGCGTCCACATTCGTGACCTTCTTCTTCTTTGTGTGATGCTGTCCCTCATCAAGTTCAGGCCATTTGCGCTTGCCACTGTATGTATCAAAGTACAGCGGCTCCACGAAGTACACTGCAAGTGCCGTTAAGGCGTGGTCTCGCGCAGCGCGTCCTAGGTGTTGCATCAAAATGCAAAGTGAGTCTATATATCCCCATTGATTGACCAATCTGACGTCTCGAAGATCAAGGCCCTGCAATAACAGCAATAACAACATCAATATATACGTGAGGGACTCTTGATATGACTGTGAGTTACTCACCATTCCCGCTGCATCAGTACAGCAGATCCCCCAAATCTCACCCTTTGACAGCTTTTCCATTGCGTCCAGCCGGAACTGCATTGACATGCCCGAATGGAACCATACAATGTTATGGCGAAGATGCGCAGGCAAGTCTTTGCATAAGCTATTGCAAACTGCTTCTGCTTGATCTTGAGCATTTATGAACAGCATGAACTTCTCGGGCGGTGTGCCCTCCTTGAGTGGCAAGATTCGGCCAAGGTCGTAGTACGTGTTTTGTGGGTACTTCATCTCCTGGACCATGAAATGAATATTTGCACAGTCGTTTGACCGGACAACTTTAGCAAAGTTGTATGACCGAATGCGAAGTTTCGATTGGACGTCTAGGAGGATGTGCGGCGGCATGGTCGCAGACACAGCGTGAAATCGAACGTGAGCTGGAAGGTACCATCGAAGATTCCCCAGCTCACTATACAGCGGTCGAAAGTCTTTGCCCCATTCGCTAATACAATGACCCTCATCAAACGCGATACTGAAGAGATTATCTGTAAATGTTTGACACTTCCAAAGTTTTTTGAATCGAGCGTCTTGAAGTACACGTTCCGGGCTAACAACAAGAACTCGATACTTCAATTTCTCTATGTCCTGATGAATATATGCTCAGACTCGTGTAGTATTAATGTCACTGAATAACGACTCACTTTAAACGCCTTGTCTGTTGCTGTCTCTGCGCATATATCAAGGGTGGGAAACCCATAAGCATTTGCTTCATCTTGGTTCTTCTCGCTGAGGATATTAAGCGGGGTAATAATAATGGTTATTCCACCATTGTTGAATAACAGGGGAATCCAGAAGGTAAGAGTCTTTCCTGAGCCGGTGGGTGAGATGGTGAAGACATCTTTGTTCTCAAGCTGGTTGTGAGCGGACTGGAGTTGCCAAGTACAAGGAGTAAGACCCAGTTTCATTTCTGCAAAGCTCGGTACTTCGAACCGGCCAGCTGGCGATGACATCAAGATACGTGACTTAGAAGATGTTAAGTCTCAGAAAGGGATTATCCATCATGTCACTAAAGGCACGTCACGCTAAAAATTTTTGACAATAATATTCGATTGCTCCCATTTCTTTTGGGATATGTCAGCGCGCTCAGAAGGCTTTTTCGGTGGGACAAATACATCCAAACCTCGCGCCACTACAAGTTTTGCCAGTCGGCTTGGTGTGTAGAGTCTCAAAGTTGTGGTGTTTGAAATTATGTTGTACATATTTGGTTTTTGGCTAAGGTAACAGTATGAAGACTCTCTCACACCTGCCAATGGTTTGGAGTCTGGACAAAACCGTGGAATTTGAGATATGATATGAGTATGTGATGTCGTGGTAAGTGTAAGACCCGAGTCTGTCCGTAAATGAAGATCTAAGCAGTGTTTTAAGCGGTCCGAACAATCACGTGTTTGATGTGATAAGCAGATGTAGTAAGCAGCAAGCTTACAATGTGGAGTTTTAAAGTGTAGACAAGGCGGCTGGTTCACGAGACTAGTAGTTCTCCGGTATTCGGCCACTAGATATCTGGTTCTCTTGCCGAAGTCTGTCATGCATGATTTAGACTGGTTCCGTCTACTTCAAGCCTCACAAACAACATGTCCACACCTGGTACTCGATATTTTCTGAAATATTTGCGAAATTCTGATCTTGAGCGCTCGTCGCATTCCAGATCTTTCTGTTCAGTCGCTGTTCAATGTGAAGGGCAAGATCGGTACGTATCATGGCAGTGCCACGTTCCATGGCGGGTTATTAACCGTTGTTCCATCAGCCCTCGTCACAGGCGGCGGTACCGGTATTGGAAATATCATTGCCTCGGCACTCGTACAGAATGGTGCAAAGGTCTATATTGCTGCTAGGAAGGAATCCCAATTGAAGGCGGTGCGTGCATCGGTTTCCCAAGCGCAGTCAAAGTTCCAACAATCTATAGGCAGTGGCTGAGCTTAATGCCAAAGGCCCTGGTTCCGCAGACTACATCGTAGCAAACCTCAGCATATGTAGACGTCCCGGGAAACTACCAACTTGCTGTACTCACTCATGAGACCAAGTCGAAAGCTGGTACAGATGCTCTGATATCCGCTCTCGAGGCCCGAGAGCCTGTGAAGAGATTACACATCCTTGTGAATAATTCAGGCGTCTCGTGGGGGGTGTCCTTCGAAAACTTTCCAGAAGACAAGGGGTGGGATCATGTTATGGCTGTGAACATCAAGAGCTTGTTTTACTGTGAGTGAAACCTTGTCTTTCGGTAGTCATTATTGAGTTTCGGTATGCCAAGTGACATCCGGGTAAGCATTATTTACGTACCTTATATTTTAAAAACTTATGAGCTAGTAGGTTGTCAACATGGCCTGCAAAGGATGCGAGCACACTTGATCCTGGACGCGTGATTTTCGTCAACTGCGAGTGGGACACCTCATTCAGAAGGCCTGGTTAGCGCAGATGGAAATGGGACATGGAGTTGTGCGTCATTGTGTCATGCCCCATGATGAGCCTGATGCTATCTTGTTCTCTTCAAGACAATGTCAGTAAGGCCGCAGGTAAGAAAATATCTGTCGAAGAGGTTGTGTAGGGCTACACTGAAAGTCTTCGTAGTGAATCATCTGACATCAATACTGGCCGTCAAGTTGGGACCACAGAAGATCACGTATGTAGTAACTTCAGTTTATACTATCTACTCCTGATTTCTTTGTTTGTAGTGTTAACGCGATCTGCCCTGGGTATGTACCTAACACACTGTCACTTGAATCCCAGCTTATTCCCTCGACAGGATATTTCCCACAAAGATGACGGCCTTTGGATTCAAGAACGCAGGCGAGAAAAAAATCTTATCTCAACAACCAATGGGTCGTGTTGGCTGCCCTTCGGACCTCGCTGGTCTCGCGCTTTTCCTTACGTCCCCCGCCAGTGCGCATGTCACAGGTGCACATATCCTTTTGGACGGTGGTGCAACATTATCACGTCAAGGGATTGCACCGCAGGTTCAACTATGATTTATCACTGCACATGTTCATACACCTCTCCATCACGCATTTTGCCGTGGAATCTTGTATTTAACATGATTGTTACAGCTGCAGTACAAAACCAGTTGTCCATAAAGTTCTTATCGTCCATGATCAAACCAAGCGGAACAGCCAGAACGGGGTATGATTCCAAAGTTGCAAAGAGTCCTCGATGCAAAACCAAGCAAGCTCAAGGTCCAGGTATTCCATCGCCTTCAATTGTTGTGTCACTGGACGATATCGTGGTGGGTACCGACCAGCCTATTCCGCGCCATTTCCCTAGAGCTGCTTGTTCCAAGACCGCACGATACATCGCAGAGCTGAATCCTGCACACTGCAGTCCGATACACGCAACACGAAGGGCACCAACAGCATACAACTGTCCAGTCTCGTAGAGGTTCTGGGGCGAGAGGTTCTTTCAACCAGCTAAAGAAGAGTTTGCGTCATCTAGGTCCAAGTCATGATGATAGAAATAGTGCAAAATTATCTTGCTTCACCTCGATTGAAAGAGCTTCCCACTCTTCCGTGGTTAGATCGTCCATGCGAAAAGCCTTGTATATGCCGACGTAGTACCACTTCCCGTCCTTGTTGTAGAAGCACTCTAACCAGAATGAGAGCGACATCAACAAAACCAGATTAAATGAGACACAACAAACCAGTAGGCCTGTCCATGGTGCCAATCACATCTGCCACAGTCCATCGATGTGCTGTTGTTACTCGGGGATTGGCGCTACACTTGAAAATGGGGGTAAGCAAATATCCATGTTCTTCGCGCTCTGGGCACCAGTAGGTTGTCGGTTGGCCAAGGACACGATAGTTTGACAGGCTAGGAAAAGACATTCATCGACCGTGAACTTCGTGTAAACTCTATACTTTCTTACGAGCTTTTGAGAGTCTGTATGAGACGTGAATAGACTTCCACGTAGATATATACAGGGCACTGACACCAGAAGTATTGCCCAAGAATTCATGCAGGATGTATGGCTGAGGGATGACAATTGGGTTTAGAGCATCGTCTGGGATGTCAGCAGGGAGAGGAAGCATTGCAAGAAATGCTTGTCTTGCGAGAATCAATCTCTCAGGTCCATCACCAAGCGGAAGTGGTTCGGCAATATTCTGAACATCAAATTCCCTCGACTCGGCAGGAGAAAGTGCATATATTGGCTTACCGGATGGTCGAAGTCGATAGTTTCAGGGCGGTGCGAATCAAAAGAATTTTTAAGATGTGCGCAACGTATTATTATGACAGTATCGACTGGCTCTCCTCCAACTCTCCTCTCTATATTGAATCAACTTGAATGACACGACATTTTGAACGCTGTACCTTCTGTCAACTTGACAAGTTGAAGCTCAGCCGATTATGTAAGCTTTGTTGGGGATGATTCGCCGGTCACTTCTGTGTTCCAGTGCCCTGGGGGAGAATGAACTCACACTTTCCCGTATCGAAACTCGTCAACCAGCACTTCATCCTCACCATGCGAATTCGAAACACCAGAATGCGAGAAGGTACGCATTGCACGAACCTTCACCGCCCTCCGCTGACTCGTATCGTTCTTGCAGGTTTCTATCACATGATGACATTCAATCCATTGCTGTACCTCACACTTCCTCTGCCCTCAATGCAATGATGATGCTATCCTCGCTTTTCGGCACATACAATACGCAGCGCAGTACCTGATAAAACACCCTCGTCCCCTCACCGATTACGAGCCGGATCAAGATCACAAGTCCCTCCCGACTACCCTCCTTTACCTCCCAGCACATTGCTAAGTTCGTCAGGCTGAACCAGCCACCTTCCTCTCTCTCCACGATCACACGATCATGCATCAAGCATGTCGCCCTCTGACTCTCCCAGTCAAGCATCGTGCAAGGCTGCTAAGATGATGGAGAGGGAATTAAGGGAAAAGGAGAAGATGCGCTCGGTTGTGAGTGGCGGCCCAATATCTCCTTCACATTACAACGACCCATTCTCATGTGTCGCATTATTCCCATTGCACTTATCAATCCCATATCTCGCATCATCCACATCACACCCTTCAATCCCAGTCACGTGCGCGCTCGCCGGCACGCATGGAAGAAGATGGCAGGGCGACACCCACACCCTCTCGTCTGCATTCTCCATCGTGCTCCTTCAATCAGGCCGACAAGGAGATGGTAGCAAAGCCATTGGCTGAACGAGGCGCTGGTCATCGCACCTCGCACGCTCCTAGTGCTCTCGACCCAGCGATTGAAATTGTCGATCCCCGCTTCCAGCTGAACAATTGTTTGGACCATCTGTACGTACCCTCTTTTTCTCCCTCATCAGACTCAATTGACACTTGTGCACCAGGGTGCAGAAATTGTGCAGCTAATACTAGACCACGGCAAACTTTAGTCACCAGACATAATTTCACGATTGTCAATTCAAAACCCAAAAAGTCGGGAGATTTCTTTTAATCTATAACCATTGCTAATGGTGCACCCAGGTTCAAGCCTATACTCGCAAACATTAAAACATTATACAAGCTCATATTCAGCGCATATATTAAGCCATCCACATTACTCTCACATCACTCACCCAGGGGCAAACATATCAAATACGAAGCAGAAGAGAAAACCAAAATAGCGGGTTCCCCTACAGCGAAGGAGTTGCGAGAGGTTCAAGAGACTGCGGAGGCGCGGCTGAAACGGGAGGAGGAAGAAGCAGAGAGCGTGGGCTTGGTGAGTTGCCGCGCACCCACCAGTCCCAATATCTGTGAGCAAACACAGAATCATAGAAGCGGAAGCCGGAAGATCTGATTAGCCATCGGTCATCCAAGGTAAGCAAACTCCAGCGATTATTATTTTTGGTGGGTACTACACGTTCAATTCAAATTTCTAGGATGACGTCTACTTTCGGGTGAATTTTGACAAATTCAATACCCATATCCGCAACAAAGTTAGTATCTGCTTCCCGTTCTTGGCTTCATACTGATGTTATTTGCCAGCTCATCGAGATGGCTGTAGGAGAGCGTTTTAATCAAAATGCTGCTCTTGTCATGTGAGCCACACTAAAGGCGAGTGGAGACAGACAAAAGAGTGCGTCTGATGCAAGATACACTAAATCATGTGTTCTTCATATGCTTATGGTGAAATAGATCCTACATCAACTGCTGCAATTACCATACTTATTTCCGCTGACGATGACCTTTTGACAGGTCTTGTCTTGTCAACCAAAAAAGCCTCAAGGGCTTCACTTGTCAAGGATAATCTTGGTCTAATGTACGCCGTAGACAATCCAATGCCAGCTGGTAAAGTGGTGTCGTTCATAAGTCTAGCAGACAACATAGATGTTGAATTTGAAATAGTTAGCAAATGCCTGCGAAGGCGTGTGCCGAAGGCAGTGGCTAGGGAACAACACGGAGACGTCGGCGTTAGAATAGTGCGTCTACTCCTCGATATTGGAAAGATGGATGACAAGCAGGTGCTTCCCTTGATGGTTTCGTCTTAAAATGTCTCTGATACCAAACAGATAGCAAAGGTGGCCAAGATGCCAAATTACGTTGTCCAGCCACTTCTTGCGACTGTTGTTTGACTTTTTGATTTCGACTCAAGAGGTACTCAGAAGCACCGATCGTAATCCCACGCGGACATTTTATCTATGGTACTTGGTGTTTCTATTTTGTCAGGATCATTGGCACAACCAGATTGTGACGTCTACTGTTTAGCTAATCGCTCGAAGTAGCCGGCACAAGTGAAGAAACGTTCACAATGGAAGACGGTGTTAAAGTCTGGTATTCTGGGTTGTAAGAACGCTGTCCTAGGTATATGACAATAGGCTGTATTTAACTATTTTCTAACGAGGGTCTCAGGTAAAACAGGGAGTAAGTAGTCAGCCGAGGAAGAGAGTGTTCGTCAGATAACGGACAGTTAGACTAGGCGACTGTCAGTGATATGAGTAGAAATACGAAGCTTAATAGAATTGAAACTGGGCGTCTGTGACCGAATGTCAAGCTGTTACATCTTCCCCTCCAGAGAGAGTTTACTCTCTCGTTCCTTGGGTTCATCTTCATCAACCGGAGGTGTTCATCGGCTCGAGGTTGGAGGAGGAGGAGCCAGTGGGCAAGCTCCCAGAGGTTGCAGTGGAGAGATTCTTGTTGAGCCCCCCAAGTCCTTTCATCACCTTGCCGTTGTGCTTCTTCATGAAGTTCTTTCCCTTCCTGTTCATCGTACGGCGCTCCTCTATCTTCTCGCGCTGGCGTGTAGCCGCCACTGCGGTATGCCAGACCATACGATCCACCTGGTCCATGCATGAGGCGGATAAGGTAATGTCTTCGTCCTCATCGCACAACAGGTCGCTCATTTCGATAGACGACCCCTCACATTTAACGACGCCTTGATCGTCGATGAAGGTGGCCGTGGAGGCGAGGCCCTCGTGGTTATAAGCCCGTGCGAAGTATTCGTACCCCAGAGGAGGGTCAGGGCGATTGGAGGGAGCTTTGTTGCGGAGGGCATGAGAGTAGAGGATGAACGCCTTAAGCTGTTCTCGAGCGACGAAGTGAACTTCGTTCACATTGTCAGGATTGGTGACGAGGAAGTGACGGCCATGCTCGGCGAAGTTGACGAGGGGTTCATTGGGCATGATGGAGTATAGGGCGAGATAAGTGGGTGATGCTGGGTTGGTGGCGAAGGGTAGTTGAGGAACGGGGCGAGGTTTTAAATGTTGGCCGTCCCATGATGTGACCGCGCTTAGTGATATTGGGGGGTCATCATCAGGGCGCGTTCCTAAGCCATCTGTCAGTTTGAAAATTGAGGATATCCCGAGCAGCTCGAAATATTCGGTTAGTGCGTCAAGATGAGCTATATGTTCATATGGCAACAAGGTGATGTCCCCAGCACACCATTTTACCTCAAATGTTGAATCCCCACGTGTACCTTTGTGCGACAGGATTCGGTCTACCGCCCACTCCGGGTCCACTTCTCCGAAATCCCCGATTTGCGTTTCCAGCCGTCCAGGGAATAGTCAGTCGTCATTCAGGATATGTATCCAAAGGAGGGAGGAGTGAAAAATGGGATGAACTCCCCTCTGTTTCAACCGGTTAGGTAGATCCAGGAGGGAGTTGTTACCGTAGTCCTTAATCAGTTTGTAGGGACCTACATACTTTGGTAGCAGTTTCCGTGCCAGTCCTTTGGGGAAAGACATGTTCTTCGTTGAGACGTACGCTAAGTCTCCCTCTCGGAAAGGACACGGCTGTCGTTTGTTGTTGGCGTTGCGCGTCTGCTTGACGCGAGCCTCCAGCATCGAGTCGTGTGCTCGAATCTGGGCCTCCTTCATCTTCTGAGCATATGCTCGAACTCCCGGGTACTCATTCTGCTGAGGGTCGTTCCAGACCATAGCTCGGGGCATCTGTCCATTGTTGATGAAGAAGGGAGAGAGAGAGGTCGATTCTGACTGGGCCAAGTTGATGGCGAATTCGATGGCCGGGAGCCGGGACACCCAATCCCGTTGGTTGGCCGGGATGCACGCACACAGCATCTGCGTAACCGTGCGGTTGGCTCGTTCTGTGGCCCCATCTGACTCCGGGTGGTAAGCGCTGGACATGCGTTGCTCGATGCCCAGTAGTCTGTTGAGGTGAGTCCAAAAAGTACTGGTAAACAGCACGTCACGGTCACTTACTATGGACCTGGGTAACCCGTGTAACTTGTACACCTCCACGAAGACCAATTCAGCGATGTCCTTCGTGTTGTAGTTCACCCGGCTGGGTACTAAATGCACCATCAAGGTGAACCTATCGATTATCACAGTAATCGAGTCGTACTCACCGTCACGGTCCTTGGATAGAGGTAGGGGGCCTACAAAGTCCATGCCGATGGATTCCCAAGGTTGGGAGGGAATGGTGAGTGGGGTCAACATTCCATACGGCTTCTGATTCGAAGGTTTGCTTCTTTTGCACGTGTTACATGTGTTACAGTAAGCAGTGACGTCACTCACCATGCTTTTCCACCAAACGTGTTCTCTAAGGTACGTTAACGTTTTAGAAGCTCCCAAATGGGCTAGCAAGGAGTGCGCTTGTGAGATTATAACTTCTCTCACTGTTCTACCACTAACCTTCATGTCGGGTATGCACAGCAACTTTCTGTCGTGGAGTTGGAGGCGGATTAGCCCGCGCTCTAGGTGGAAATTCCGAAAGTCCGTTGGTGAGTCCAAAATCCATTTGAAAAACGGGTCTTGGTTGTACTGATTCTTTATCGTTTGGATGAGCTCATCCTCATCTGGGTAGCCCAAGGTCAATACCGGTGGGGTGCGGCCCCAGGTCTCCGATGATAGACCCATTGTTGGGTTACTGGTTGGTACTTCCATTGTCTCAGCCTGTTGTTGAGCTGACGTATGGGGTTCTGTAGGTTCGTGTCCTACTTCCTTCCCCTCCTTTTGTCCCTTCGGGCCACGAAGGACGAAATGCGGAGCCACTCGCCTCGCGAACTCCCCCGCCGTCTCTGGACGACCGGTCTCTGCAGGCCCCACATCACGGCGCGATGGTTTGGAGCGTGGCTTGTTGGGGTGAGTTTCCATCGTATGGGGGGGGCGTGTGCTTACTGAAGCCCCCAGTAATCTGCTTATTGCGTGCCTTCCCGGTCACTGTGCCCGCTGGCCGGGGCTTATGACGATCCACCTTCGAGGACGATGCAGGAATGTCCGTTGATCTTGTCGGTTCCAGCTCCCGTTTAGAGGCCAGCCGTGCACTGCGCCTGGACGCAGCCATTGCCTCTGGTCCAACCAAAATGGGCATGGATATCAGCCCCGACAAACGTTGTCTGGGGCCATCGTCGTCGTCATGCTCAGTGAACTCGCTTGGTGCACGCACTGTCCCTGGTGCATCGTAGGAGTACAGGTGAGACAGGGCGTCCGGCAGGATATTTTCCTGGCCTGGCAGGTATTGGACCTCAAAATCAAACTCTCCAAGTTTCTCCAGCCACCTGGCCTGGCGACCCGTGAGGTCTTTTTGGTTCAGTAAGTGAATTAATCCCTTGTGATCTGTCAGCCAGGTGAACTTTGCGCCCTGCAGGATGTCCCTGTGGCGTAACATACCCTCAACCCCTGCCAACATCTCCTGCTCGTGCACAGCGTAATTCTGCTGTGCCAGGTTCAGTTTAGCACTATACAAGGCCGCTACTTTTGATGACCTCCAATCGGGGCCTTGGGCCACAATGGCGGCTATGCCACATCCACTGGCATCAGTCATCAGCCATATAGGGTGAGCCTTTTCGCCATAGTCCAGTGGCACACGATGATGACTGCTACAATTAGCCACATAGCATTTGACCTCCTCAAACGCTCGTTGTTGGGAGAAGTCCCATCTGAAAGGTACAGTATCCCCGGTTACCTCTGCTAGTACGCCCATTGGCACTCTGACATTGTATATATCATCTGCCAGGAACCCCACAGCTCCCAGGAAGCTGCGAAGAGCGTCGCGGTTTACGGGCGTCTTCCAATTGACGATGCTGTCAACTTTGTCAGGATCCATCCGGATACCTTCCTCGTCCACTACCCTGCCTAATATCTTGAGGCGGGTGCACAAAAACTGGAGTTTCCCTTCACTAAGGTAAAGCTTCTCGTGTTCTAATATGTTGAGTACTGTTCTAACGTGTGTCATGTGTTCTTCTAGTGTGTTAGAGTATATTATGATATCATCAAGGTAAACATCCATCCAGTTCCTGATGAACTCACCAAACAGATGGTTCATCAGGGCCTGATACGTGGCCGGCGCATTACAATCGCCTTGCTGCAGTACCGTACTAACCATATTCCCATCCGGGGTCATTACTGCTGTACGAGCGACATGTTCAGGTATGATGCGGATTTGTTCATAAGCGTCCTGGCCATCAATTATAGACCGAAACTTTCGTCTATCAACTCGACGTAAAATCCCATCAATGTCTGGTAAAGGTGAGGACAATTTCCTGGTATTTTTGTTTCGCTCACGCAAATCAATGACTGTCCGCAGTTTATCGGTACCTGGCTTTCAAATGAATAGCATGGGTACTGTGTTCCCCGCGCTGGTAACCTTCCAACGTCCTGAGGTAAGGTACACCTTCCTCTTTGCATCCCATTGAGGCCTTAACAGCTCCGGACATTTGGAAGGTCGCCATCTATAGACCTTCTCCATCTCTATCAGAGGGATGGTGTGATTTATCGCTCGTAATGGTGGTAAGCCCGTTTCGCTCGCCTTCGCACATAGAGGTTTCACTAATTTCCTTAGGACTTCCCTAGCTCGTTCGAGCTCATCTTCACTGGCTTCAGCCATGCGCGATTCCAGCACTGACACGTGCTCTCCTTTAACCGGCAATGCCGTGTTACTACCAATCACCACTCTGGACAGGTTCAAACCTACCAGCACTTGGTGCTGAAAAATGAAGGGCGTCCCAAGAATTAAATCGTAATTCTGTAAGTTGATTATATCAAAGAAACGTTCTTCTCTGATGTTCTGATAGACAAACTCAGCCTTGGCGCCAAAATTCACTTTGGAGTGCGACCCCTGCACGGCCAACTGAATGGTAAGTGGTTTCTCCAACGCTATGTGTTTTACTCGCAGCTGTTCCGCTAACGTAGATGACATAAAGTCAGCCAAGGATCCTGTATCGATTAATGCCCTCGCCGGTCTCCCATTTATATGCACCACCACCACCATGGGTTTCGGTATCAATCGTTTGAAGTCCCTGGTGGTCGCAGCGTTACGCTGAATAGCTGGGTACCGTCCAGGAGCCACTTGCTGGCCATTCAACTCAACCAGCCGATATTGGTGAGGTGTTTCCGCGAATTTCATGTCTGGTATCGCAAACAGCTGATGTACCACTTCTTCTAGGGCGCAGTCCATAGAACTCAGAGGTTCTGAGTCCAGTAATCTAAGATGGTTATTCTCCCATTCTAGTTCTTTTGCCACCATCAGGCCGTTCAACTTTCGGTAAGCTTTAAGCAAGTGTTTGGCATACCAATGGCTAACATTCAGTTTCTCATTGCTAAGGAACCGGTCATCCGCGCAAACATAAAAGTTAAGCTCCTGGTCGAATATCTCGTAGACATTTTCGTTCTCATACCCGACTCGATGGCAATAGAAGCGATCCGGGCTGGATTCCCCGGGGAGCCGGACTTCGGTGTTTAACATAGATGCTACCCTCTCAGCAATTGCATCTCCCATTGGAGTTCGCTGCTGCATATAGCGCAGCATAAACCTCGGTACGTCCAATGGCCACGCTAATCTCTTCATGTACCAGTTGCTAATGAAGAAATTCGGGTTATTCAGCAGAAACAAGGGGATCTCGATGTCATCCTCCAGGTGAGATGCCCTGTCCATTATGAGGTGACGGGTCTCTGACGTTCTATAGATCAAGAACCGTTCTGAAGATAGAGTCTCTTCTTTCCCAAGATCATCCCCAGGGTAAGGTGCATTTTGTCGTAGAATTGCTTCAGCTCGTCTCGCCAGGGGATCACCGATGGATTCATCGGTTATCCCCCAAGTCCGACTAACCTGTTTCTTAGGTTTTTCGTATTCAAGGAGTGCACAGGCTAAGGGGATCTCCATTATCACCTCGGTGCTGTCACCGAGGTCTTGGAGGTCCCCATCAGATCCTGTTTCTACATGCATCACGTAGTTTGGCACCCCGGGTGGCTTGTCATGCCCTAATGAGGTAAGTGTGGTCTTACTAGGGCAACTGCGGGATATATGTCCTGTCTGTTTGCACACAAAGCAGCGTCCTTCGGCTGCCAAACAATCATGTTCTTCCCTGCTCATCCGTTCTTCCTTAGGTGCATCCGGCCTTCGGCCCATCTGATTCCTGGACCGTTGGTTACGGCGTCCCTGGTAAGATCCTCCCAGTTTCTGGTTGTGTCAATCCCGACCTCCTTTAAAGGTTTTTTGGTTCGTATTAGATGACCCTTCACCCTGTTTGATTTGGTTGGACGACTTATCCTTGTCAGCCTTTTTGTGGGCTTTTGACTCGTCATCACGAGGGCGTGATTCCTTGGTGGTAGAATGTGCCAGTTCAATGATCTCTGCGGTATGTTGTACCTTTCTCAACGATGATACCTCTGGATTGAGTTGCATTTTGTATAGCTCATTCTGTATGGTTGGGTTCAGACCGAACCAAAACTTCACCACCTTTTCTCGGTCCGGGACACTCCCAATCATCACCCAAAGTTCGTTGAGTTCCGACAGATAGTCTCTAACTCTCTTATCCCCCTGGTAACAGCGATATAACTTTTTTTGTTGCTTAGTACGGAAATCCAAAGGGAAACAGTAGTTGAATAGTTCGGTGAAAAACTCGGTAAGTCTCCAGTCTCCTGGTCTATCTGAAACCTGTCTAATATAGAAGTCGTACGCTGTTCCCTTTAGGAACCGGGACAACACAAACACTTGTCTATCGCGGGCTACATTCCCGTCCTCCACATAGGCAGTTCCCTCTGTTATAAACTGGTGGAACGCCCTAGAGTCTACGGCTCCATCATATTCTGTTGGAGGAATGGGCTTCAAGGTAGTTTTCTTCTTTGAAGACTTATGTTTCTTACTGCCCTTCTTTTTCTTTGCAGTGCGCGATTTTTTAGCGCGATGATCTTCATCCGACAATGACACCTTGTTGCTCCCACTTTCCTCGTGCGACGAACTGGTCGTTGGATTCGATTCTGAATCGGACGTGTGGTCGGTGGACGCGCTGGACGAGCTGTCAGACGGATCCTCTGGGGTGGGATCTTTCTTAGACTTAGTGTGTTTCTCTTTTTTGGAACGGATATTCTCAAACGCCCTTCCTAGATAGCTTTTTGGGGCGATTTGAGCCATAGCTTCAACGGCTGCTGGAGATGCACGCCTAGCGTGTCTCTTAGAGGGTTTTCGGGCGGCTTTCTCGACCATTTCTTCCACGGGACCTCTGGTGGGTTTACTGGGTTTATCTACCGCGGCAGGTCTCCTGCTCTCTGCCAAAAGTAAGTCTTTCTTGGCTAATTCACTGTGTAGCTGTCTGACTTGTTTTTCAAAGGACTTAGTGATCCTTTTCTCGGCTGCGCGTACAGCTTGATCAAGCAAGTTGGTCGAGGTCCTTTCGGGATCCTGGATGCCCTCAGACCGGCGTTCATCACTCTGGGTTTGGTCCCCTTGGTCCTTTTTGGACCAATCACGGGCGGCTGCCCATTCCTTTAGGGCCTGGTATTGGGCATCAAAGTCCATCTCGGACTCGCTTACACCCGCGTCTCCCCAGTTCCTTGGGTCGACTCCCTTGCCCTTCGATGGTCCTTCACCGAGCGAGATTGATCGCGTGTGGGACTGGGCTCGTGTCTCAGCGTTTTTCCTGTTGAGGATGCACTGTCTTTCATCATTGGTGAGCTGTCTTTCAGCCTCATCTAGAGTCTCATCCCTTGACTGATTGGGTCTAGGGAAATCTTTTAACTTGGAATTCCTTCTGGGTTTTCCGCGTTTACGTTTGACCTGTTTCCAAGGTGTGTCGTCATTATCGCTCTCATCGCTTGTGGTGATGCATTCGGGCTTCTTATTGACAGGGGTACTATGAATAGTATCACTCCCCTCCTCAGAACTAACTATAGTGCTATCATCGCTAGCCGACCCCTTCCCAGTCTGTAACTGGAGGGAATCAGACCTCGTCTGTACCACGTCACTGTAGGAGTGCACAGGTCTGAGGATGGAATCCCCAACCGATGAGAAGGATCTCTCGGTTGGGGATGGTTTTGGGGTATTGTAAGTTTCAACATCAGTCAAGGGGGACTCAGCTAATGATCCAGGTATAGTTGGCTCGCTGATTGCAGCGGAGCGTTGCGAATGGAGATTGTAGTTAGAAGGCATGTTTTTGATTTGAGTGGAATGTCCGGTGGGCCTAACCGTAATACTGACTCATTGGGGGGTTTTTATTTGAAAGAGGTCGAGAAAAGAGTAAAGTGTTTTTTCGAAGAAAAGACTTTGGTGCGTCAAAAAAGATGTGACGTCTACTGTTTAGCTAATCGCTCGAAGTAGCCGGCACAAGTGAAGAAACGTTCACAATGGAAGACGGTGTTAAAGTCTGGTATTCTGGGTTGTAAGAACGCTGTCCTAGGTATATGACAATAGGCCGTATTTAACTATTTTCTAACGAGGGTCTCGGGTAAAACAGGGAGTAAGTAGTCGGCCGAGGAAGAGAGTGTTCATCAGATAATGGACAGTTAGACTAGGCGACTGTCAGTGATATGAGTAGAAATACGAAGCTTAATAGAATTGAAACCGGGCGTCTGTGACCGAATGTCAAGCCGTTACACAGATACCCAGGCACGTCAATCCACCAAAAGCATATACCGTGCTGTTGGGACACCTGTACAAGACGCTGTATAATATAGGTCTTCGGTTCAAGATCGCTTTCGCCGATACGCTGACTCGCCTCTTACATTCCATTGGAAAGGTATTTTCTATCCCCTGGTTGGTACTGATACACGCTAACATGACCTTAAGACGGCGCAGGCTGAAGTCGATCATCCACAATGGGAAAAGGCGATTGAAAAGATCTATCCTCGGGCCAAGGAGATGATGAGTAAGCCCAGGTATTGGCATTTCGCCTATCCATTGGCTGTCACGAGCCTTTGTGTTGCGCCTCACCAATACTTGTTGATGCACGAACGTGCACGTGCGACGCGACGTGGAGTATGATTGTTGGTATTCCAACATGGACGCTTATATACCTATTTCTTTGTGTTTCCCCTTTTCCCTCAGTCACTTACACCAGACTGAGGGTATGTTTAGTTACCTTCTTCTCGCCACCTAAACACTAACGCTATCTTGATAGATTAATGTGTGTTTAGGTATATAGCAATCTCAGTCACTTACACCAGACTGAGGATTAATGTGTGTTTAGTTTTACAGGTTATGAGCCCTGCTCTATCATAAACGAAGAGCAGAACCATCTAAACATCGGTAATTCATAGAGTCCGTTCCTGCCGTACCTTAAAGGCCTAGAACGTGCGACGTGAAACGTCAACTCCTATCAGCGTCTCGAAGAACGCTTAATTCTTCCTCTTTGGGCGATAATTGTCTTCCCCAAGATCATATAAAGCGGGATAGCAAGATACAAATCTCTTTCCCCACTCTTCTCTCTCTCTCTTTCTTTCATCACTCATCATGCCGCCGAAAGCAACCGCGAGTACTGCCGCAGGCCCTCATACGCGTTCGCACAGTTCCGGTAATAAGGGTGGGGGACTAGCCCCACCTGGAAATACTGCTCGTGTCATCGCTCCCACCGTTAGCGCCATAACACTCAGCCAGACGGACTTGGAGAAGGTTGAAGTACTGGACCGCAGTATTAACAACTGGGGGGTATGGTCCGATAAGATGCAAAACTACTTGCTCTTGAAGCATGGTGGCGGCTATCTCCTTGGCATCATCCCTCGTCCTGACCCCTCTGTTGACCCTTCGAGCGCAGCCAACTGGGACTTGAACAACTTATGTATCATAGCCGCTCTGCGTACCCGTTCCAGTCCCGAAGAGCAAGAGTTCCTTCGTACATACTCCAACGCATACCTTGCCTGGGACGCCCTCAAGTCCCGCCACGAAAAAGTTGGTCCTATCGCACAAATCCTGTTGATTCAACAGGCTCTCGCGGTCCGCTACCGCCAATCTGAACGTCTCTCCACCACTAGTACTCAACTTGGTGAGCTAGTCCGATGCATATATGCGATCGGACTGCCCAAGGAGAACGATTTTCTCACTATCATGATGCTTAATGCCATGAGTGATGACTTGCCTCATGTGTGCAACCATATCACAGATGCCCTCTCCGCAAGCTCTTCTACGAACGTATATGGTCCCTCCAACATCCGTGCTCGACTTGACGTTGAACAACAACTCATCGACACCGAAAAATTGAAGGGATCGGGTGACGTCGCTATGGTAGCTAATAGGAAGGGAGGACAACAGCCTCAGGCCAATCGGTCCAAGACCTGCTCAGAATGCGGGCGGGCTGGCCACTCTTTCTGCTGTACTCACTGCAACAGCTGGGGGCACTATGCCCAAGACTGTTTCACCAAAGGCGGTGCTATGGAGGGTAAGCACGATGAGGTCTTAGCTCGTAAATGCGCTGCTCACGAGGCAACTGGCAAAGGTAGTTCTGGCATGAAGTCTGTCAGCAAGGGTGCTGCCTCCACCGGCAAACCAGGTGGAGTCCGTTACGATCAAGGTGGACGTGCCTATCTACTCGATGGGGAAACTGGCCAGGCCATCTACCTTGCTTCCGTCCCAACTCCCTCCGCATCTGCATCTACTGGTACCACTCCTACCCCTGAATCCCATGAATTCACTGGTCTCGCGTACGACCCCATGACCCCTTCATTCATCCGTGAGTTATCTGCGGGTGATGATGATGAGTTTTTGGCTCTCCTTGCCACGGTTGACACTCTGCAGACCAGCATGGATTGGCGCCAGAACTCCCAATTGGTGGACTTCGCAGGACTTACATATAAGGCCCCCAACCAACGCCAACGCAGCATTGTGGACCCTTCCATCATCCTGTTCTTCTTGGACAGTGGTGCGTCGGTCCATATCAGCAACATTGAGGGGGATTTCTTCAGCCTGCGTCCTATTCCCCCTCGCACCGTTAGCAGTGTTGGTGGTTCATCAATCCAGGCCATCGGAGTTGGCACCATTCGCCTTGTCGTTGCTAAGGGTATCCACGTCACACTCGACCACGTACTCTTTATCCCCGCTGCCACTGTTCGTCTCCTCTCGGTATCTGCACTCTGCGCGGCGCATCGTTGTGTCGCATCATTTGATGCTACCAGCTGCTGGGTTCAATCACGCAGCGGCACTCGTATGCTGTCTGGTACCCTCACCTCTCGCAAGCTTTATGCTCTTTCGGGCGGCCAGCTGTCCGCAGAACATGCCTACCTCGCGCAACGCCTTCCCACCTTGCAATCTTGGCACCATCGCCTTGGTCATGCGAACTATCGCGCAGTGTATGATCTTGCGCGCTCTGGCAATGCGACCGGTATGCCAATCAATCTCTCTACTGAACCTCCCGTTTGTGATGCCTGTATTCTTGGGAAACAGACTAAGTCAAGCGTCCCCAAGGTTCGGGTCGGCAGTCGGGCAGCTAGGAAGTTAGGTGTCGTGCATGTAGACCTCATGGAACACCCGGACACTGTGTCCGCATTGGGCAGTAAATACATAATGGACATCATTGACGATTTTTCGTCCTACGCTTGGTCTATTCCTTTAGCGGCTAAGTCTGATGCTTTTGCAGCACTTCAAGCCTGGGAACGAGCCCGTGAACTCGAAACTGGTCTGAAGGTTGGTATATACCGCTCAGACAATGGCGAACTCAAGTCTGCCTCCATGCGACAATGGCTTCTCTCACGTGGTTCGCAACAACAGTTTACCGCGCCATATACCTCCGCTCAAAATGGCCATGTGGAACGTCTACACCATACTCTAATGGGCAAGGCCCGTGCCATGCGTTCAACCTGCGATGTCCCCGTCAACCGCTGGGATGAATTTGTCCTTACCGCGTGCTATCTGACTAATAGAACACCCGTTACCTCACAGGTTGGCCACATGCCATATGAGCGCTGGTTCGGTTCGAAACCTGATCTATCACACCTTCGTGAGATCGGTTGTCGAGCTTTTGTACTCATTCAAAACCGCCACAACCCCAAAATCTTAGACCGCTCAGTAGAATGTGTACTTATTGGATATTCCCTCGACTCCAAAGCCTACCGCTGCTACCATCGCGCATCACACAAGGTTTTCATCTCATTCCATGTTTCTTTTATTGAGTCCCATAATTCTAGTGACACACCTCTGCTCCCTGGCCTTACCATTGAGAATCCCACCAGCCTCGCCTCTCCCTCTTCGTCTCAGCGCGCCACTGTTACTGATATTACAGCTGAGGATGACCAATCTCTCCTGCCTCCACAAACGCCAGCCCCACCTGTCGTACCTATTAACCTTGGGCCACGTCGTTCGGCGCGTAATCCCATCCCATCCGAGCGGCGGTGTGCTGCTGAGGGTATTACATACACTAATGCTACACAGCGGGCCGCACTTAATTCTTTGGCTGATGCTGACCGTCGTAACACGCTTGAGGGCGCTGAGGCTTACCCTGCTGGAGAGGACAGTACCTTGACTGATTTGGAGGCCGAGATCGCTTACCTGTCCAAAGTCTTTGTGGCTACACCTGATCATTTTGACACAGAGCACCCTGACGACCCTGCCTCGTATGCTGAGGCGATGCAGTCTGAACATGCATCGCAATGGACAGCAGCAATGCAGGAGGAGTTCAAGTCCCTTTGCGAACTCGGTGTTTACAAGCTGGTCCCTCGCTCCAACATCCCTACTGGCCGGAAAATCATGAAAGGCCGGCCCGTCTTCAAGTTGAAACGTGATCAGCATGGCAACCCTGCCAGATTCAAGGCGAGATACGTCTGCCGCGGTTACTCTGCAGTATGGGGCCAGGATTATACTAAGACATCGGCACCTACCGCGCGCCTGGAATCCTTCCGTATCCTTGCCCACATAGGCACCGCGCTTGACTGGGAAATTGAGCAGCTCGACATCAAAACTGCTTTCCTATACGGCTTGCTCGACTCGGACGAAGTCTGCTACATGGAACAGCCTGAAGGTTTCGTCGAGCCTGGCTTCGAAGACCACGTTTGGGAACTCCAAAAGGGACTCTATGGGATGAAGCAAGGTGGACTGATCTGGAATCGCACCCTCAACGAAGCAATGCTGTCATGGGGCTTCACACGCTTGAAGAGTGAGCACTGTATATACTACCGCTGGACTGATGCTGGCATCCTCCTCGTCGCTGTGCATGTTGACGACTTCTTCACTGTTGGAAGCTCCAAATTGATTATCGCGGATTTCAAAACGCAGATCAAAACCAAATGGCAAGTGTCAGAGCTTGGAGACGCGCATTTTTGCTTAGGGATCGCCATTGCTCGCAATCGGGTAGCACGCACCATTTCCCTATCGCAAACCGCTCTCATTGATCGTGTCGTCGCGCAATTTGGACTTAAGGACGCAGTGCCAGTCTCCATCCCTATGGATCCCGGACTTCATCTCTCGCGTCATGACCACTCCCCGCGCACAGATGCTGATCGCGAGCTTATGTCTCGCATGCCTTATCGTTCCCTCGTCGGTTCCTTGATGTACCTGGCTATTGGTACAAGGCCCGACATTGCATATGCTGTTCAACAGCTATGCAAATTCTTAGACTCTTACGGACACGCTCATTGGGACGCGGCTAAGCGCGTTGTATGCTACCTTAAGGGCACACGGGACATGCAACTTGTCCTCGGCGGTGATCACATGGCACGCCTCCTGGCCTATACTGATAGCGATCTTGCCAGTTGTCTTGACACCCGCCGTTCTGTGAGCGGGTACTGCTGCACGCTTGGCAGCGGGTTTGTTACCTGGAGCGCACATCAACAAAAGACCGTGTCACTGTCCACGTGCGAAGCCGAGTACATCGCAGCGTCTGAGGCCGGAAAAGAAATCAAATGGTTATGCACACTGCTTCTCGAAATCGGCTTCATTCAGACTTCCGCTTCGCCACTCATGTGCGACAATAACGGTGCTATAATCCTTACTGAAGATTCTTCATTCCATGCACGCGTGAAGCACATCGACATGGCGCACCATTCGATTCGAGAATGAGTTGCCCTTCGCCAAATGAAGCTTCACTACGTCCGCTCAAAAGACAACATTGCCGATATATTTACAAAGGCGCTTGCGAGAAAGGACTACGAGCGCCTGCGCAACAACTTGGGCCTCCGGTGATTCAGTCGAGGAGGAGATACGCATCGCGTCAAGGAGGAGTGTTGATGCACGAACGTGCACGTGCGACGCGACGCAGAGTATGATTGTTGGTATTCCAACATGGACGCTTATATACCTATTTCTTTGTGTTTCCCCTTTTCCCTCAGTCACTTACACCAGACTGAGGGTATGTTTAGTTACCTTCTTCTCGCCGCCTAAACACTAATGCTATCTTGATAGATTAATGTGTGTTTAGGTATATAGCAATCTCAGTCACTTACACCAGACTGAGGATTAATGTGTGTTTAGTTTTACAATACTTCCTCCGCAACTGGACAGCTTGTTTTGAGTACGGGCTGTCAAAAATGAAGGTTCGGATTCAATTAGTTAAACGCTTTTCTTACCGACTCCTAATTTAGGAGAAGCTTCATCTGATTCCTGTCTTGAATGGAATTTAAAATAATGTCCACAAGGTGTTGGCTAGATGTTCGCGTTAGGCCACACCAAGGCATATATGAGGCCCGAGTGTGCCCCACTTCTGAGGCGTTGATGCATGGCTTGCACCCAACCTTAAATAAACGAGTAGACTCGGGTTCTTCCCTAAATCCAATTAGCAAGGCCGATTCTCTTCACGCCTCAACGGTTTCCTGTCCTCTCCACATCTCTGGTACTCAATTCATGCCATCAACATCAGGAAAACCCTCCCAAGGCAAATTAGGGAGAATTCACAAAAATTCGTAACATTAGCACAATCACAGCTATTTATGAAGAAAGTAGCTAAAGATGATAATGTTAGACGAGTTTTTTTCTACAATACATCTAACTCTTCTAAGTCAGATAAACTATTACAAATTAGAGCTAGATATCAATATCATTCATAACATGCATGTAATTATTGCTAAGTTATAGAGTACTACCTAAGGGTCATAAAACCATGCCTATTGAGAAACTCAACACCTGAATAGTGTGATCATTGATGCCGTGAGTGTGCAACAAAATTTTAAAATATCCAAGTCCAGCATTTGTGCATATTTGTTTGTATCATGTGACTTGTAGTTTGAACGAAGAAATATCTTAAGTCCAACATTTGTACATATTTGTTTGAATCATGTGACTTGTAGTTTGAAATGTTTGAGCGAAGTGGTGCCATGTCACTGATCTTCAACTCTCACTCTCGTCTTCGAAGCTTAAGAGGCCTCAAGCTTCATTGCTGGTGTTCATGCACTACATACAATTAAGGTGCGCAATGATTTTTTTTAAATTCTAAACTTGTTTGAAGCAAACCTATTTATTCTAAAAACTATTTATTCTAGGATGTTCACAGTGAGTGAGTCGGTCCGAGTTCGAGTTCGCCAAGTTGTTGCCCGCCGTTCGCAGTGAGTGAGTCTGTCGGTCCGAGTTCGAGTTCGAGCCACGCTGATCCAAGCTGTTGTCCGCTGTTTGTAGTGAGTGAGTTTGTCGATCCTCGTTCGAGCTCGAGCCACGCTGATCCATGTCGTTGCCCACCATTCGCAGGAAGTGAGTTTGTCGATCCTCGTTCGAGCTCGAGCCACGCTGATCCATGTCGTCGCCTACCGTTTGCAGGAAGTGAGTCTGTTGATCCTCGTTCGAGCTTGAGCCACGCTGATCCATGTCGTCGCCCACCGTTCGCAGGAAGTGAGTCTGTCGATTCTTGAGCCACGCTGATCCATGTCGTCGCCCACCGTTCGCAGGAAGTGAGTCTGTCTATCCTCGTTCGAGCTCGAGCCATGCTGATCCATGTCGTCACCCACCATTCACAGGAAGTGAGTCTGTCGATCCTCGTTTGAGCTCAGAAGGACGCACCTGCGAAATTCCACTGTATGATGGCCGACATCTATGAGGCTGCACAGTGAGTTCCACTTAGGTAGTATTGCCTCGATGCTCACTCTGCTTGCAGGAAGTTGCGATACAGCGGCGCCGCTGCCGGTGGCCATGCTGCTGAGCTCGAAGCATTCGAGTTACTTGACCTCGACAATATGGAAGAAGACTGAATCATCCCCCGCTCATTTTCATAGTGTACAATACGGAATCGTGAAGCTGATACATAGTCTCCCAGTTGGTCATAGCGCGCGCTGTTATTTAAATTAGCCTACTGCCCATATACCCATTTCTAATCAAATTTAATTTTGTTCTTGTATCTTATTCTGTCTGATTCGGTTGGAACCCTCGTCTAAGATCAAAAAATCAATTCTAAAAGTCATGCTAATGTGTTTGAATTACTGAAAATAGTTGCTAATTCTTGTGTTTTTATTAGGGGGTAAAAAAACTGACCTAAGCTAGCTAAAACTCGAATTTGTAAAATTTAGATATAATAACGCAGGATTAGTTCGGATTAGTTCTAATGTTACATCTTTAAGTAAATTTGTCTGGGGAGGGTTTTCCTGATGAAACAGTATCATTAACCCCACTAAACATTCCCAAGAGGTATCATTATCGATTTCAGCAATTCGAAAACCCAAGTAGAGTATGCTGAAGTACGGACCGGCAAGTCGCACTGTTTGTATGCTGTACCTGCAGGCGCCTGTGCTGTAGGATTTCGCGATCACAGGCGTCAGTTGCGCTGGCAATCTCTCAACTAATCATATTTCACTGATTGTATGTACTCGACTCAGAGACATTCATACTGTCGATTCAAAATCAACCAATAGGTGATTACAGTGATATCTACATAGATATCAACAGCCCCAGAGGCTACATTCAATGCAGCTCATTCGCTCCATCACCATTATCACTCACATCACGGCGTCACCAACCCACTAATCTCGTCCTCCAGCCCATCTAACGCGCCCCTCAAATCCTCCACCAATTCAATCTTCTCAACACCCAACCCCTCCCGCTCCGTCGGTGGGATACTCGCATGCGTCATCCGCACAGGTAACTCCGAAAGACTCTCTACACCACCCAAACTCTTAGCGAGCGTGAACAACTTCAGTTTCGGCAAATGTGCCTCTGCAATCCTTGCGCCACGTACACGGAATGAAACCATTCTGCCGTAGGGTATACCAGCGCAAGGCTCGATGGCGGTAGGGCGCTGTAGAAGTGGCCTCGTAGATCATTAGAAGACTCCTTATAGCGACAGTAACTTTAGTGTCCTGATATCCATCATGTTGCAAACAAAAGTCGTGTCGTTAAACAGTGCAGTGATACCACGATCCGACGTGATCCTCTTGAATTCGCCGTCGCGCTGCTGCCGAAGCAAAAGTGTTGCCCAAGGCGTTCGGAACCATCAAGCACAATGCCAGTGAGGGTGACACTAAGCGGAATCAAGTGAAGGTGACGCGCGATCGATCGATTCCACCACTAGTTTGCAATGTTGGCATTGTATGTGTCCTGTACAGAGTAAAGCAAGGGTATGCATAGTGAATGAAGATATAGCACAAGCACCATCAAACATCATAGCATTTTCGAGTCATCCATTTTATCGTCATCTAAAAAATACGAGTTCCCCAGGTGGACCTTGACCACCGAAAACATATATCCTTTCGGTGGCAAGTCGCTTCATTGGTGAATCTTCGGCAGTGATATCTAGCCAGATAGGGTCCCCCCAGGGAACTGTGCACGGGGAGCACGTCGCTCGAGCATGACTACGAACGTATTGCTGAAATCGGGGAACTACTGCTGTGCTTCACGAACGCGCGTTTCCACCTCTTCGACCATTCCTGACATGCTACTGGTTTCAAAGCCGGCCATGAATTGAAAACTAATACAGATGTCGTGTGATCCTGGCCCTGTTGGCGATTTGATCGAGAAGCATGGGACGAGGACTGAAGAGACTCACCAACAGTGCACCTCAGAACACTTCTTGTGTCCATTGCGCCAAGCGGTCCTTTAAATCATGATGTACCTGTGAGATGATTAAAAGGTTTGAAGCTATCGTCACGAATATACTAACGATTTCCTTTCTTCTCTCACGAGGCACTTGTATAGTCTTTACTGCGACCTGCCTTAGGAATCAGGATTGAATTTCATATGCGTTCACCGACATGTCTCGTACCTCAAGTTCCGTGGATAAGTCGGAGCGCCAAACACATTGGCGCACGTTGCCAAATGCTCCGGGCTGCGGATATGAACCGTTGGGAGTGATAATGTGGTCTGTGAGGTTAGGCAAGGTGAAGAGCAGATCGGAACTTTAGAAAAATGAATGAGCCGACATTGCTGATCCACTAGATTGGAACCGTCATCGAGAATAGCCAAAGAGTTAATCTTCCATTATGCAAAGCGAAGGTCGCCGTAGACAGAGTAGAGTTTGAAGAGCCAGTCGATGAGGACATCCTTCTCGCGTGCTGGGAGTCTGGACTCTACTCTGTCAACGTAGCGGGCTTTGCCACGCACATGGCCTTGTGCGACTTATTATGTAAGGAAACAGTTACGTGTGACGATAATCAACTCCCAACACGTCATTGTCAATCATGATAGAATCAGAGATTTCAAGGTATGGGAGGCGTTGGATATCATACCTACTTGCAATTATGTAACTGTTACTCACCAGTTTTGGTCTAAACATGCTTCGCGGGGCCCACCAACTGGTAGAAGGCACTCGATACAGCATATGTTCTGTGATTGCTGCTCATGATGGAAGTGGCAGTGACGAAGTCCTTCTGTACGAATCATCTCTGTATTCTGTACCATAGCTAATATCTACAATAGGGTGAGTAACCCAGAAACCGGTTTTCATGCAGCCGTGCTGGCTGCACTGGAAAGTGCAACAAAAGTAGCCCTGTGCCCTGGTATTCATGTTGCTAGCATTGGTACCAGTAAGTTAAATACATTGCGGCCATTCCTAAAACTATTAGCTAAAGTGCTACAGGTTTCAAAAGTCATATCAGTGAAGAAGAGCACAATCTTGAAGCAGAGCTTGAGGATGATGCAAGCGCCAGTGAAGAAGAACCTGAGAATGACCTCATAACCCAACGCATTGAGCAAGAAGCTGAGGAAGATGAAGATGTACTAACTATGCTGGAAGGTTCGCAACCTGTGCCTGCATAGCTCTAGCTAACATTGGTAGACAGATCAAATGGATGACACAGCAAATAGGATGTCTGAGATGGTGCTGGGCGATGCAGGTGGGATGCTGCCGTCAGTATCCTCTGAGACCACCTCCCTTCCTTCACAGCAGTCCCACCGACTCCACTCAAATATCTCCACGCTACACACTGATCAGGCTAGCGATGGGGAAGACTTCTCTGCAGCCATTGCGGAAGTGCCTTCATCTGATGATGATGACTCGGAGGACGACAACTCAAGCAACCCTATCCGGCGCCGGCCAGCTCCACGCCCCAAGTTTATTCAATGTCCTCGCCAGGTCAATGTCACAGCACAAAGTAGCGACCAGAAGCCATCCCCTCATTCCCAATTCCAATTTCCTGATGTGCCGACCATTGATCCAGCTTCTGACAAGCGGCTACAAGCCTTCGGCATAAATCTGCTATCTACGCCTGGGAGGACTAGGGTCTGGTCTCAGATATCCGGCGAGTGAGTTCATTGACATAGTCCGCATGACGGGAACCTTAACTTTCACAGGCGAAGTGAAAATATACTTTCACTTACATTGGAAGCCGACCACGCTCTGCCTCCGGCCCTCAATGACATGGAATATGATAATCTCCTGGACACCATCGGCTGTGGATACCTAAGAGACTATGAAGTTGTCGTGTGTAACTCCATGAAGGATGGCGTTCGATGTGGATATGCCGTCCCTCTGGAAAGCCTCATGAGTCACTGCTACAACAAAGCACCACTCGCTTCGCCTCGCTGGTCTCATGAGGTGCCGTTTGGCAAGATTTCTCGGAATGGGCCAAATGACAAACAGAAGCGCTTCATGCAGGAGATCTTGGGGCGCTACCCTAACATAGTGGCCACAATAGGAGAACTAAGAGATCTCCGGCCACTGCCCAATCAGTCAGGCCCAATTCAATACATCCGCCCACCTATTGATGGTCGAGTCTGTTTCCAGTGCGATTTCGCATTGAGTGAAGAAACTGGAGACTCTCTCTTTCGAAAGCATTGGTACCATCATCCGGGCAATAAGAGCAAGCCGGGGAAGAAAAAACTGGTTAGCTTCAAGGATCGGTTTGGCACTAAAACCCCAATCCAGGCGTTTGAACTAGACACTCATACTCGGGTGTGGCTGGCTGTGCGCAATCCCTACCAAGATGCTCCAACTTCTCAAAAGCCGAAGTTTACCGGAACGTTACTCGGACGCAAACTTTTGAGGCACCCTGCAGCCATCGCCTCACTGGGTCTCAATGAGACTACAATTCTACCTTTCTTTACCCAAATAGGAGCGGCACAACATATTGACCCGTATAACCCAGCTGCCCTGGCTGCCTTGCTTGCCTTACCAGAGCGAACCGACCACTTGCTGCTCAAGCTCAGACGTGCTGTAGCCGATCGTTTTGAAGATCTTTGTGCGTCTGTAAATACTGCTAATGGTACAGTGAGGCAACTGTTGGCAACCCCAAAGCCGTGCGTATTCAAGTTATCTGATCAGTATTCAGCCTGACCGATCTAGCAGTGGCCGGAAAGCAATGTCTGAGAGGTTTAGTGCGCCTCGTACCAAACGGAGCCGTGCTTCGTATGCCCTAGAGGAATTCCGGTTGCTTTGCTTGATCCTTCGCTCTGTGTTACTGGATGCCTACACTGTGGCTACTTCTCTTCCGGCCCAGAATTCTTCAGATTCCAGGCTATCATCCGATGATCAATATCGTCTCACCCTATCTGCAGAACAGCTTGAGGCCAGTCAGTTGCTTCTTAATCTATTAAGACAGTTGAAGCACGACGATCCAAAAATCAAAGACGGCATTGAAATGGTTCTCTTCTCGGTATACATGCCGAAAAACACCCTTCAAATGTTCGACGACAGTTATATAAACCCAGTGGTCGCCTATATCTGCCTTCGGTCGGTTGATAGTGATGGCGGATTTCTACCACCCTCACTGCTCACCAATCCTCATGTCAAGACCCAGTTCTGCATACGTCTGTTCATTTTGGAGTTCATTCGGCAGCAATATCAAGCATACGTACGGAGTCTGGCAGCTCCTCCGGCTGCAGAGATAAAGATCAAGCGTACGAGGCGTGGAGGGATTGTATTGGATGATGAAGATGAAGTCGCAGGAGTGAGAGCATCCGGGAAGATGCCCACCGAAATGATCTTAGCGCAAGGTTTGGAGGACGATGGAGAACCATGGATGAAGTAAGTCGTACTGCGAGGAGGCAGTGACTACCCTGACGTCTCAACTTAGATATGCGTCAACTATTATCACCCGGTGGGCTACCGAAGGACAGATATCTCCCTTTGCTGTTACCAGAGAATGGATTCGTGCCCTGAGCAATGTCGCAAGAAATGCTCCAGCTCCTGCGATGGTGGTGTGGGATGATGCTGGCCAACAGGTCCGGTTACAAGGACAAATCATCAACATCTCTGAATATAAGATAAAGCTCCAAGGCACGCTGCAGGACGCCCTTACTTTCATGCATCAAAAGGTTCTACGTGGCCTGCCCCTGCCTCCAAGTGCCCTCGGCATTCCCAACAATGATAGTTACAACCAAACAACGCGGGGCTACGGTCTATTCACGTATTCCCAGGAAGACTTAGACAACCCTGACCATCCTGCTTCGTGCTTCCTCGAAGCCCTCTGTGTCCAGGGCGTTCTTTGCAGAAGCACCGATGATGGTGATATTTTGTGGGATCAAGCCGAGGTTGCACGGTGGTCAAGTGACATTTCTTATATGCTTTCCCAACTCTACATTCTCCTACATATGCTCTCCCCGCCCGGTCGAGGAACAGAGGAAATTTTGTGGCAGTATGCCAACTCTGCTGACAGCCGCCGTCACCTATTTCAGTCCCGGACGTTGAAAAGTCTGGTGATGATAGGGAATTACGACAAGGGTACCACTACTACAGGACTGCATAAGTGCATTGTGCGGGTCATCCACACCAAAGTAGCAGAGCTACTTGCGATCTACCTTCGCGTCATCAGGCCCATGGAACTATTACTTGCACTTACATTTCAGGAGGGCAGGCTGGACAGAGAGGCCGAAATTGCTCATCTCTACCAGACTCGGCTTTTTGTGTCCTTTGGCAAGGCATGGACCCCACAGCGCCTTTCTGACGTCATTCATGACTGGTACACGACCCATCTTGGATTGCCTATTGGCATGAGGCTGCACAGGCATTTTGCGCAGGCGCTCCAACGACGTCTTTATTCCAAACCGGGCATGGACCCTGGTACACAATTATTGTCTGAAACAGCCAACCAGGCATTAGGTCACGGCCGAGAGGCTGGTGAAATGAATTACGCTAGGGAAGACGGTGATATATTGACGATGTCCCAGCAAGAGCTGTTTGAAAGGGTGGGAAGAGACTGGATGGTATTTCTTGGGTTTGAAGCACCTGAAGCGTTGTAATATTTTTCACCCAGGCCAATTATAAATGACAATCTTTTGTATACTTTTGACAAGATCTTTCCACATGTCATTTGCACAATATCAACAGACACAGTGTATTTACAGTTGCAGAATTCCCCGATGGACGCCGTGTTCCATATATCTTGCCCGTCTATGGGCCCTTGATTGATCCGGCTTCGAGCAGGCGTTTTTCCTCTGTCACGCGAATCAACGGAGCAGGACACCTGGTATGCAGCTCAATCATTTCCCTTCTGACATCAAGTAATTATCTTTACTAGGTGCCTCAGCATGCATCTAATCAAATGGGACAATAGATATTCAATATTTTATCCACTGCACCCTATCTCACACCATCTACGTTCATTGGACGCAGTTGGTTATCGATTACGGAGATAATCGGACAGCTTCCAGTCTCATACATTCACCCATTGGACTACCATCCTCACCGACGATACCTCTCCAATGTAGTAGCCTGCTTGTCAGGGCATCCCATTTCACGAACTTTTCGTCAAGCACCATACTCGCCTGCCATAAGTCCTCGACAATACCACCCCACGCACGGGATCAGGTACTGGTGGTTGAATATGCAGCCCATGACCGTGGTACGGCGGCTTAGAAAGGATGGCAGGTCCGTTGACGGGACTAGACTTGCTGAAATCTATGCAATGCTCCAATTGTTCGAGAATGCCAATTACGACCATGAAAACATCCGACAGATGAAAAATTGAGGTCTGAGACGCTAGACTTAATCGTAGCATGACACGAACGGCTTGTTGAAGAATGGGGAGCGATGGCGCTGCAGGACAAGAGAATGAGCTTCAAATAGGAGCGAAAGCAAGGCCCATACCACTGCAATTCTGTAAAACCAGCGAGAAGCATCTGCACAGAGCATCTTGCCACTGACCGTTCATAGCCCGTTGCAGTTTGGCAGTATTGGCTGTGGTCAGAATGTTTCGAGGATCTTTAGCCAGGCAAGAGTGTCTTCGTTGATGTGTGGCAGTTGTACTTGCATCTCGATCCAGGATAGAAGAGATGACTTCAAAACGAGGGAAGTCGCTGCCTGGACATTGGAAGTCAGATTGGCGAGCACCTGTAAAATGACTTGAATCAGGGGTTGACAAGAGTGTTGACACTACGGACCTCCAGTACTGCGCGTCGTAGCGCTTGATCGCGAACTGAGCTCTGCACAAGACTAGAAAGAAGATCCCATGTATGTCGACGTTTAAGCACCTTCCAATCTTCTGTACTCATCATGCCGTCAAAAAGGAACCTAACGGTCCATCCACGCTCTTTCTTCCAGTCATCCGAACTGCCATAAAGCATGCCATATAGCATTGGCACATCAGTCACGTCGAGTTCTGGGCGCTGAAGAAGGAAACGCGCCGTGCATGGGTAGATAAAATTGGAAGGATAAAACACCCCACGAAGAGCGTGAGATAGAATCAACGATGTAAACGAAGGTAACCGTAAGGGAGGACCATCAGATGAGGGCTTGATAAGATTCTTCAGGAGGTTAAAGATGTACAGCGCGTGCTGCCTTTCTTGCATATCCGAAAGGAGTGAGCATCCCAATAGCGAATAACAAGACAACACACGAACCTCCACAGACCCCCACACCCTTGCCAACAAGCCAAATGAGGCTGCACGAATCTTTTCATCTTTTGTAGACAAGCAGCGGATAAGCAAACTAAAAATGTTCGATCGAAACATCTGCACCAATTCAAGCGACGAAGTTGGAGGGTGATGCGTAAACATTTTGGCAACGAGCAAAGCCACGAATAATGGATCACAAACCTGCTCATCCAGACCAACTTTCTCATCTTCCTGTTCGTCTGACATACGTCTCCATATCGGGAACACATGACAGGTTCTCAACATGCGTATAGGATCCATGTTTTGTACTGCATCAAGCTGGCTTGAGATAGATATGCCAGGGGAAGGTGACCACTTGACGAGAATAGATGATATAGGCGTCAGCCTTTCAGCCTCAAATAAACGGAAAATGTTCAATAGATTTCGATCTGAGGCGGAGATTGTCCCGCCGTATATGCGCACGAGTGACATGACATGTGAAGGCTGGCATGTGTTGGTGGGGTGGAGTCGGAATAGGGCAGCGATGAAACGGATGATAAGATCTCTTCGAGATGATTCTTCAGAACCACATAGTTTAAAAACCGAGGGTGTTAAAGTATATTCTACAGAGCTCGATTCACAACGACGGGCTGAAAACATCCATATTGAGCCTGAAGCCGCACAATATGACAAGATAAGATTACCTTGAAAGGCGAGCACTGCAGTAATGCAATGCCAATATCGAGAGCAACAGTATCGGCAAGTCGGTTCTGAAGGGTAGTTGTCAATAGAGGCTCTACGATGTATGTTTTTGCCTTGAATCCTTGCTTGGAAATTTTCGCTGCCAAGATGAATTAGCCAAGGTACACGAGAAGGCCATTCAATCCGACTCACTTAATTGGGTTAGAATCAATTGGTCCTCTTCATCTTCGCCTTCAGGGCCAGAGAAATGGCGCACAACCCATTGCAGTCCACGCTCAGATAGTTCTGTCACAAGATCGGCCAGTGGGGAAAATGATTGCAAGCGGGAGGCAATGCATACACTCTCGAGGGCGAATTGGTCGACAGCAAGGCGTTGCATATTCTTCTGTAGCAGGTTGGCGAGCTGTTGCTTCCGAGTTGCATCTGCCTTGCAAATGCAGCGGATGCACAATTGTCTCAGGCCCTCAGGGTGACGACGTCGAGGCAACATACGATCAAAGAGCGCAATCGTAACGGTATCATGAAACAAATTGATGGCGTCACCACCCAGGGAATCCAAAACAGCATGCACTGCTGGTAGCACATGCTCAAATGGAATGGTCGTCCAAGTTCCCGAGTTGAACCACGCGACAAACTCCTTTGCAACACCGGATTGTCCATAAACTAGCCCGGACACAATGCGTGACGTAGATTCCGTCCAAATAGCCTTCTGAAACAGCCCCGAGATGAAATCAGAGGGCAGCACGCCCAATTGTGAACTTCCGGAAGCTGGCAGGTATCGAGGCAATAAGTAAAAGTTCAATGTCTTTGCTTGTGGATGCCGTCCGTCATGGCATGGCGGAAGATGTGAAGTCACTGCAATAGCGATCATCTCTTCGAGCACCTCGGAGTCAGGCAATACCCGATACAAACCGAGGAGCTGCGAAATAGGGATCCTCGAACTAGCACATGTGAAAGAACCCCTCAGGGTATTGAAAGCAAATCCCAGAACCTCTAGCACAGATGGCGTAAGGGCTATATTATTGGCATCGCACGCGTGATCAACGATGTTAAGAAGATTGTCTGGGTCTGTATAACTTAGCCATAACTGGATGGAACGTCCCTGGAGAAACATTAGTAACGTAAATATTCATGTATGGAGTCATCATACCGTCTGTAGTGATCCTGACTGAATCGATGCCTTGAAAGACTCCGTCCAGTATGTACAAATCGAGGAGACCATTGTCCTATCACCCTCACTGCTGGGGCGAAGAGACACATCGAGAAGCGCTCATAGAGCTGCTTGAACAATTAACGAAAGAGCGCAAAATCGCATTGAGAACATTACCTTCTTGTATGGTATCAGATAGATCTCCAGACATGCTCGGGCCATGGATAGATGGCGCCCTCAATAGGACAAACTCCTTCAGCCGAGCGCCATCTTCCTTTGAGAGTTCACCGAGCGCCCTCTGCATAATTGCGGATAGCAAAAGCAGCAGATCGCATACAAGAGATTCTCGTTCCATGATCGAGCAGATATCATGTGCGATGATGCAAACGGCATGTTCAATCTGAACCCGCGTTGGTGATCGGAGAAACAGACACTCCAGCATTATTTCGCGGCATTGTTGGTTCACCATGTCAGCTTCAGAGCTTTGCGTGAACATCCAATCAAAGGAAAGCCTGTGTAAAGCATTTAGCATTAACAACGACGCAGGAATCAAGGGAAGGCAGGTGACATACGCTTGGAGGAGCTGCCTTGAGGCAGTCTTTAGATCACCGCCTTCCCACATCAGCGAACTGGCGGGATGAAGGTTCTCGAATAGATCCTTGAGAGCAGGAGGATGGAAGCGTTCGACCACGGTCGAAAGTCAAACAATATCCTGGGGCTGAAGTTTGGGGTCTACGAAGCGCAACCAGTCAACGAGTTCGTATGCGTTGTGGATGCATGCACTTGAGCTTTCAGCTAGAAAAATGTAGTCAATTTCCATCGCAGTGATATATATAGGCTGCACACACGCAAAGGTATTCCTTCGATTTTCATCAGGAAGTCTTAGACCTCTGGACTCGTGTTAGAGTCTTCTGGCACTTTTCTCCGAGCCTCTCGTTCAACCTCTCAATGCCGACGCGTCCACTGCCCACTTTCATCTTCCTCGAGTGCAGATTCAACATCCTGGAATGTGCGGAAGACGCAGGAGAGCTTGGTCAAGCACCTGGCTAGCGCGAGCGCTGTACAGTGTTGCACAAGGTGGGACATAGACTGCAGTCCTTTGGAGAAATGCACCTTGGTGCTGACGGAAGGAAGGATGCTCTCGAGGATTGTTGAAAGCGGTGGTGGATCGGGTTGATAAATATTGTTTCCGGGGATGAGGAATGATGAAACTGGTACAGGTTGGGAGATGACAAGTCCAAAGAACGCAATGTTAGCTATCCATTTCGACGATAGACGGGGTTCCAGTGTCAATGCTACAGCATGCCAGTATCTAGAATAGTGAACATCAACGGAGATCTTCCATTAGCGATGCTGCATACCCAGCCCCCAACTCCGGACACGCCATTAGAATTTTCGACGCAAGTTCCTGCTGCCTGGCGTCTTCATTAACCTTGAGACTCTTTAGTATGTTACTCAAGATCTTGTTATATATTTTCCGGCTCTTCTTTGGCTCGTCGACAACATCGGCATCAATATCACGAGGATACCATCCTCTGTCTCCAAATGCCCAGTCCAGGTCGTGTACAGATAGCGAGGAGAAAATGATGCACAACATCTGCTGGGATGTGATCACCATCCGCGTTTTCGGCGGCGGCGCGTTCGTATAATTTCAGAAGCTATTCCAAACATTAATCATTCGTCTGCTAGGAAAATTGGTCATGGCAAGGGGGACCGTTTTACCCCTTGCCATGGCGAAGCTGCCAAATCGTGAGTCGGAAGTAGTCACGTGGCCACGATCACAAAAAATTATGCTCATCATCACAAACGATGAGCAACGTCATCTCCTGTGTATCATGGTAACTAATCCCCGTCCCGCACATCCCACATATCTTACCCAAATTTTAGGGTAAAATGCGGCATCTCAGCCAACCAGCCCTCCAAATATGTCCTCAATGAGAAGGAACTCGAGCGCGTCACACGTATCGAGCTTGAGGATGCGTGGATCGCGCGCGGAATACTGTTAAAAGTATGAGAAGGTTCTGAGGCGCATGATGCGGATGATAATGGTGATGAAGATGCATGGGTCGAGTGCGTGATTTTGATTCGGCTCTTTGTCATGTTTGCTGATGGTATTGTGAAGTGAGGAGGATGCGTCGATGGAGGTGGACGGGATGTACAGGTCGATGTGCCTGAGAAGGCGGACGATCTTGCGCAGCACAAGTTGGATGAATACCACGATTGCAATGTCAAAGAAGATGGTACGTCTGTCGACACGACCTCTTCAGTGATGCTGATGTTTCACAGGCATGGGTCCATTCAGCAATATTAGAGGACTTGCATTTTATAGAAATAACTAGGACGATCCATATATCACACTCAAAGACGTACGGTTGCCTTGTCTCTCTTTTACTTGCATCTAACACCGTGCAGGACCCCGAACATGACGAGCGCTCAGAACTCGAGATCCTCCCAACAGACAACCTCCTAGCCATCGCAAACACAGAAGACGACATTTCCCAACTCGAGATATCTATATCTACGACGGATCCCAAGACAACCTCTACGTTCACCACGACCTCATGCTCCCAAACTTCCCCCTCTGCCTCGAATGGCTAGACTTTCCACACCTCACTCTCGTTTCTCTCCCTCCCACACCAATCCTCTTTTAGTGTTATATCGCGTCGATCTCTTTCCTACTCCTTCTCGCAGTTACTTCCTCCCAAACCAAATGGACCAAAGTTCAAGGTATACCACTGGAACTACCTGTATCCATTCATTGTTCGCTCCAGGCGTAGACCCAACTTCAGAACTTTCTTTCCTTATATTCCAAACGAGGTCAAGCATAGAAAATGCACATCTCGTATACAGCTCAAGGTCCTGGAAGATATATTTCGTAAAGATACAAAACCAAATGCTGCCCTGCGTAACAAGTTAGCAGCAGAACTTGATATGCTTCCACGTGCGGTCCAGGTGTGTTCTAAACGTCAATTCGTCGCGTCCTCACTACTCAATCTCGCGTGCCACCGAAAGGTGTGGTTTCAAAACAGGTATGTTGCGCTCTCTTCTCACTCGCTTTTCTAATTCAACTCATTCATTCATTCTTAGGCGTGCAAAGGACAAGGCTCTTCGTAACAGAGTTCAGGACTCGACTCAGCAGGATTCTCCTTCGGCTCACTCTCCTCAAAAGTCTCAGTCTTCCAGGGACACCTCCCCCAATGACTCTTCCAATTCTTCCACCCCCACGGAAAAACCCACGCCCCTGCAGAAGACGATCAACCACCCTCACCAAAGCCACACCCAGTGGAGCGATCACCAATAGCTGAAAGTCCTCTTACAAAGTTTTCCTTTTCTCTTCCTGCGCCCCCTACAGAAGCTTGGCACAGTAACCTAGCCACTCCTGCCGAAATTCCCCCACATGTTCGCCATTTGCCAGTGGACTTGACTTGGCAGGACAATAATGACCTTCTGAACACACGTAGAGGGTCGCTGCCAATCACCGCGTCCACGCCAAGTACAGACGCCAACCAGCCACCTTCCCACTTCCCAGATAGACGCAAGTCTATGGACGTCAGTCTCCTTAGGTTCATGCATCATCCGTTCGCACGCGTTGCAAAAGAGAAGAATGACGCGATCTTTCTCAGGCCGCCCATATCTCCTGCAGGGTCGGGTCAGTCCATGGCCCGTCCACCGTCCGGCCTCGGTGCGCCAAGCATACGTGCAACAAGCTACAGCTGTTATACTTCCTACAACCCTCACACCTGCCCTTCTTCGGCTCATAGAGCGTCAGAGCCCCATGTCTTCTCGCCTACTCGCTCCTCCCTTGTACCGGAGATTCGTCCACCGTTTCCGTCCTCGCACGTGCCGCGCCAGCTCTCGGACAACCGCTTTACAATGAGCTCTAGAGCGCTCCCGTCGCCTATTCCTGGCCCCCTGCCAAAGCCTGATTTCCAGGTTGGCGCTCCGACTTCTGGGTCCCCTCCACATGTCTCACCGGATGCAGAATTTCCCTGGAACCTGCACGCATGGGCATTTCCTCGCAACGAGGCAGATCAGGACACGGAGGATTCAAACAGTTCTACTGGATTATCTAGATTCGGCTCGATTGCTAGCATCTGTGGGAGCGACACCAGCGCGACCAGTGCAATTTATTCGGACGTCAGCAGTTGTGTTGGCGTCGATCATTTCGATTCTAATGGCAGGAAAGGGTCTTGGTACGCTGTGCTTTTATGATCGACACGTTCGTTCGCTGATGTTTATTACGTTACAGTGCATCCAACCTCGAAACACGTATGTCCGGTTTGAACATGCGGTCCAGCCAGGGATCGCTCAATGAGGCTCACTCAAACGCCGCGTCTTCATTTTCCTACCAACACAGGGAACACCTGTCATCACAGGAACCAGGGTACTCTTCCCCTACTTCCACTGTTTCACCCGGCGGAAGTCCACACTCTGGATACAGCAAGGACCCTGGCCCTTCGGGTCTGCGAACGAGCGAGGTTTTGTTTGGTTACAGTCCTGTAATTGGTCATTTTACCTCGAACGTTTCTGACGAGATGCTGACGTGTGGCTACGCAGCTCCCACCTGAAACTAGCGCCAACACCTATCTAGATCCCATGGAGCCCACCACAGCAAGCCGCAGGCTCAGTATACCCACCATCCAAGAAGGAGTGCTGCACAATCATATTCAGAACAACATCGAACACAACTCCTCATATCCCACGCCCGTAGACACGACGGCCCCGTCCAACGTATATTATTTCGCCCCAGAATCCAACCAATACTTCCACACAGGAAACTATCCACCATCTCCGCGGGATGGCACGTTTCCTCCCACGGAGACCTCATACGCCCAACCTGGATTGCAGATGCTTCTCGCTGGTTTTACAGAATTGCAGTGGTATGGGCCTTGCTTTCGCTCCTATTTGAAACTCATTCTCTTGTCCTGCAGCGCCATCGCTCCCCATTCTTCAACAAGCCGCTCGTGTCATGCTACGATTAAGTCTAGCGTCTCAGACCTCAATTTTTCATCTGTCGGATGTTTTCATGGTCGTAATTGGCATTCTCGAACAATTGGAGCATTGCATAGATTTCAGCAAGTCTAGTTCCGTCAACGGACCTGCCATCCCTTCTAAGCCGCCGTACCACGGTCATGGGCTGCATATTCAACCACCAGTACCTGATCCCGTGCGTGGGGTGGTATTGTCGAGGACTTATGGCAGGCGAGTGTGGTGCTTGACAAAAAGTTCGTGAAATGGGATGCCCTGACAAGCAGGCTACTACATTGGAGAGGTATCGTCGGTGAGGATGGTAGTCCAATGGGTGAATGGATGAATGGATGAGACACCGTTGTTTTTCATATCTAGCAGTTACTCCGGCTTATCACCACGTTACTCCTTCAAACACATGTATATAGCTCACTGCAATATCACTTCTCTTTTGGTGGGGTGCGGCAGCCTGAGGGCGCCATGGCAGCAATTAACTACCTGAGCCCGCTCTGAAGGATGGGTGACCAAAATATAAACAATACTACCAAGGGGAGCTATAGATACAGGCGACATTAGCTATAGGTGGTCCGGGTCATTGATATGATAAAAGGATAGTAATCAAAAATAAAAAGGCATGGATTTATCTCTGAGAAAAGCAAGAAGTTGTTGCTGCGTATTCTCCACAGCCTTCAGGCAAGCCTCAGTTGACAAAGTCACCTGCTCAATCAAGGCATCAGTCTTATCATTGCGTGCATGTTCTAAAGCCAGCAGAGCTAAAAATTGAACTTCCAAATCTGAGTTGCAGTCATGACTGCATTTAACCCGCTTTGCACACTCAACAGGAATTTCATTTTCCTCATCGGTGAGCATCGCATGCCTATGAGACCGTTTGACAGGTGTCGTGAGGTCCGGTACTCGGACTCCCTGGCGATGACTACACTGGGACTCCTCGTTATCTTTCGGTATATGATGCAAGAGAAAATGAAATACTTACTCCAGTAGTTGTTGTGTTCTCACTCTCCTTGCTTTTCTCACTCTCCTTGGTTCTAACTCGTCTTTGGTTTGGTAGATTGTCAAAACCGTCAAGGACCTCATGCATGTTGCAGGCCTCTGTCCTATCTTTCAACGCATCCTGAATGCTTTTGGGGCAATTCTTGGGATCCTGGTGGCATGGAAACTTCAGTTTACTCAATCGCAACAGACAAACACTTACCACATGCCACTCTAAAAGAGCATCGAGTTTACTCCGCAGTGTGCGCTCGCTGACATCCACGCCAAAACCTCGCAGGTCCTTGGCAACACTCTCCCATGCTTTTGCAACACCTCCATGGGCGGCACATAGAACATTGTGCTGCTTGACACCTTTAGCAAGCACAAATAATGTTTCTGAACAAAAATTTTTCGTCATACTAATCGCCGGAGCACTTTGCAGTGGTGGCAGAGGTTGAGAAAGCATTGCTGGTTGGCGATGGAAATCCTGGGGTTGGTAGTTCCGAAATTTATGCCGCAAGGCATATGAAGGCACAGAAGTTCGGAGCAGTAGTCCATGATCGACTGGAGCATTGATAGTAGGAGGAGTGTGGTGCATCTTCTGGTCAGTGGTTGAAGAAATTCGATGTTTCGTCAAGTGCTGAGCCAAGCCAACTTGCCCTTACTCGGAGCCTCGGATCCGAGATTCCGGCTGGGTGTGGCGTCGACTATTTAGCAACATCCGTCCCTCCCAAAATTCAAGTAAATCACAACAATTTTCAATAATTTTCGAGTTTCATCTAATTTTTTCAGCTTTCGGAGGATGAGAGGATGAGAAAATTATGTAGTCTATTAGCTAGCTAGGCGAAGCTGCCTCAGCCAGACTGGCCTGAGGCTGGTGATGCCGAGATATATACACATGAAATGCTATTTCCAGCAAGCGGTTGAAGGGAGTTTGAGGGAGGAATTGCTGGATAGTGGGAATAGGAATGGGATGGGTCTCATCACCCATGCACGTGTGCGGAAACTGACCAGATTCCAAAGCAGATGTCAAGAAATGACGCATGCAAGGAGAACAGTAGACGTGCCCACGACCAAGAAGAAGTGGGGATGATGATACATTGGCATAGCAGATCGGGCAAGACTGCTGCCCTGACGGGTGTGGGATGGTCTGTGGACCACTGAGCGAGCCTTGGATCAAGCGCTCGAGAGCGTGTCGTGCTTCCTCACCACCAGAGATTGTAATTCTCCATGCAGATATGACGAATTTGACGTTGTCTTTGCCAAAAGTTTCCCTCAGCTCTGGCATTCCACGTGCGATGAAAAATTGAACGGACTGCTTCGCGAGTACTTTGTATACTCGAGGGACGAGAGCTGCTCCAGCTTGTCCTTGATCAACTCACGAGCCTGTTCAACAGCTTTTGACTCGCCATAATCTGCCGTCTGCAATCCGCACGTACGAGTGCCCCTGTGTCGTCAAAAGCCTGCGATCAGGCTTTCCGCTCTAACTTTGAGTGCGCCAATGGCCTCTTTCTTGGAGCCAGGCAAACGCATCCGGACAACGGCGCTCTGCTCGTGAATATGCACCATGCATGCACGCTTGTTTTTGATGCCGCCGATCAAGGCATCCCACAAAGGCTTTTGTGCGTGAAATTGCTCAGTAGAAACAGTGATTGAGTACTGTGTGGGATTCGGGAGCCGGAACCAGAAGGACACGTTCCCGATGCGATGGTTAATGAGACGGGTATGCACCACGTCCGCGTCCTCCCAAGAAGAAACCCGCGCACGGACCTTGAACGGTACCATCAATGCTGGGAGTCGGCAGTAGAGGCTCCAGTGATTTTAGGGTTCCAGGAGAGATGCATTTGATATCTTCCCGCAATGTGGCAGTGATATGACCGACATCTTCGCTGAAAAGTCCACCTCCACCCCTCACTGTCAACCGCCTGACACCATCTGAGCCAGAAAATGTTTTAACTTCTTCGTCAGAGATAGTTGGGGAAAGGAAACTAATCTTGATTGAGTTGTCATGGAATGTTGGTACGAAGTGACCAGGTGGCATTGTGTTGACCTCGACTTTGACCTGGACCCAGAGCACATCTGGCGGTTGAGTTCCTGCGATTTTGCAGTAGCATTTATCGTATCAGGGTACTCTGCGAAATAGCGCACGGATGGGGCACACCAGGATACCGTAAGGACATTACTGTCACGTTCAGTCGCTGCGGACATACTTCCGGGACTGTTGTAGCCTGATACTTCGAGAGTCAGAATCCCGTCCCTAAACTCGAGGCCACCGAGGTCAAGCGACAGTGCTTTCCCAGACTCAGCGTCCGTGATGATTTCAGCACTAAGCCTGCCACCACCTGGCATAGGCTTGACGCTGACGAGGTGGAAGCGCCCTCAATCAAGGCTGCGGTCTGTGAACAGCGCACTGATTTCATCTTCCCGCACATTGGGAGGCAGATTTTCAATACGTAAGGTGCAGCACTCGAATCCGGTGATTAGGTGAGATAATTCAAGGCCTGCGCTGAAGGTTACAATGGACCCAAGCACAGCGTTCTGGACCGTCTTCGCAGCAGCTTCTTTGGCAATCTCGGCTGCACGAGTGCTGGTCTCAGCTGCACGAACTCTGGCAATCTCGGCTGCACAAGCTTTAGCCTCAGCTACACGAGCTCTGGCAATCTCGGCTGCACGAGCTTCGGTCTCAGCTGCATGAGATCTGGCAATCTCAGCTGCACGAGCCTCCATGGCTGACTTTTCTTCTGTTTCAATTTGTTGGGGAACAACATCTTCAAGATGCTCCTGGTGGTCGCCAAGCTAAATACAGGGAAGAAAGGCACCCGAAAGATTCACGTACTTCAATACCATGCGGAAACCGACATTTTGTGCCTCTTGCGCACATCCTGGCATTCCAAGCGCGACGCACTTCGCCAACCTTGGAACTTCGGGATGGTCCAACCGACGTATGAGCAGAATTCTCCGGGGCAGGCCTTTGAGACATGGTGCGCTGCACCTGTGACTGAGGCGCCCTAGGCTGGCGGTTCTGTTGGCCATTATGCTGGCGACGACCCTTATGGTTGGATGGACTGGTTGACAGTAGTACGACTCAATTCAGCATGTTCAACATGCTGAGTGTGTGCTAATGTGTCACCCTGTAATGACAAGTTTCAGTACATAACCGAGACTATGAATTTCTGAACGAAAACTTGCCTGGATTTCGTGGCTAAACTTGCACTTCGCCCCATAATAACGTCAATGACCTTGGAGCCGATCCCCATTATGCAGGGGCCGCAGCCAGTGCACTCTAAACATGCTGGCAACACAAGTTAGGGTCGCGTAAGATAGAAGTGGTATAATTTTGCTCACCGAGGCCACCACCACATGCACGCAAGTGCATGGCCAACACTACATGTATAGATTCTCAAAGGCGCCTGTGTGAAGGCAAAAAGTGCTTTCAAGAGCGCTAGATCAAAAGCCTTTCCGGCACTAGACTCGATCGATCATTGTAGCATAATGACTCGCGACCGTGACCAAGTACAAGTGCTCCCAAAAAATCACTGACTTGTGAGTAGTGGAAGATGACCAGAAAGGCGCCTATGGAGAGAAGGAAAAATGCGAGTCGCCAGGAAAGATGATCAGCGCCACACTTTGTTGCATGCAGTGTCTGGTGCTGAAGGAAAATCGCATGGGTTATTCAATTGTGGTCACCAGTGTTGACATTAAGGTTGCATTGAGGATTTCTCTTCTTGTTGTGAGAGGACCATAGTGCATGTGCGGCTGCGCTGGACAGTGGATATGTGACCTTGGTCGGGGCCTTAATCAAGGACGGCTCGAGAATCGAGATCGCCAGGTGACAGCGAATGTTACGAATTAAACATGTGCAAACAAATACGCGTTATGCTCCCAACTGACTAGCCTGCGATGGTGAATGCATTAATGAACGTTGAACTTTGTCCTTCCACTGCGCCAGCACTTGCACTCAACAACGGCGAGGTTTCTTGACGACCTTTTGCTCGATTAACCCAGCTTAGCCATCGATATATATCGATAGGCGACATCATCTATCTTGAGGCATTGCAACAACGGATCGTGGTGTTGAACTCCTTTGAACAAGCTAACGAACTTTTATCCAAGAAATCGTATTCCGATCGTCCGGTACCCATGATGTTAGGAGAGCTCATGGGCCTTGGCCAAGTAGGTGGTATTGGGATGCTGCCAGTTGTTGGTATTTTAACTTTGCTCTTGGTTGCGTGGCCTAGAGCTTTCGTTTACTTCGATATTGCGCTGCATGGAAACAACAGAGGAAGCTTGCTCATTTGGCTTTGAATGCTGGTGCAACCAAAGAATATAGCAAGCTGCAAACGGAGGCCGTCGTGTCGTTTCTGGACAGTCTCATCGAGAACCCAAGCGACTTCATATTTCAGCTTCGGTTGTAAGTGGTGCACTTCATCATAGCGTCTTTCAGCTCACAGAAGGTAATTCAAGGGCTGCGGGCCGCATTGTGTTGTCCATGACATATGACGTCCCAGTCAAAAGCTCGGAGACGATGAATGTTTGTGCGCTTTACTTGGCCAACGATAGACTTTTATCTTACATTCTTATACCTCCCTTCTACTTTATTGCTGAAGTGGAGATTATGATGGCCACCATAGGCAAAGGGATGATGCCAGGAGCATACACTGTCGATATGTTTCCATGGCGTGAGTAAATCCCGTGAAATCATGTCCTCAGAGGAAGTGCTGATATGAAGCATCTGCATGATCCAGTCAGATATATCCCTTCTTGGGTCCCCTTCAACAACATCCATACTATTGCCACAGAAGGCCGCACGCGCCTTCTTCGCGTTGTCGGACTACCCTTTGCGAAGCAACAATTTTTGTCGCCTTCACCAACTGCATCCTTCACCGCTACTTGTCTTCAGGTAGAAGGTGCTGCCGACATGGAACATCACATACGGTGAGCTGCTGGTTCGATGTATGGGGGTGAGTTGAAGTCTTTTGACGTTCCGATTTGACATTGACTCTCATTAGCTGGTAGTGAAACGGCAAGATTTCGATACATTGATCATATGTTGTTTTGACGTTTCGAGATGCAGACCATGGGCACAATCTTGGCTTTCATTCTCGCCATAGCCTTGTACCCTGATATTCAGACCAAGATAAGGATGGAGCTTGATCGCGTTGTTGGCCATAGGCAGCTCCCGACATTGGATGATCGCTCACGCCTACCTTACGTGAATGCTGCCATCAAAGAAATGATGCGGTGGAATCCAGTGGTTCCTCTAAGTCTTCCTCGTTTTAAAAGCAAGGAAGACGTATACCAAGGTTCGCACAATCTTTTGAATCAGCAGGCATCTGTTGAGTCATTTCTTCCAAGGGTTCCGCGTGCCTAAGGGAACAATCGTTTTTCCGAACATTTGGTCAGTGTCATGCAACTTATGTAGATTCTACGGCGTACTCATTCCGTTTTATAGGCCGATGTCCAGGATGACATCAGCGGAATTTCTCCCGATGAATTTGCACCAGAGCGATTTCTTGACGATTGCGTCGAAAGGACAGCATTGGACCCATATTCATATGCTTTTGGATTTGGTAGGAGGTGTGTGGTGCAGTGGCGACACTAATCTGATGTTCTGATGTCCATCCGCTTCAAGAATATGTCCCGGCAGGTTTTTTGCGGACAACAGTGTATTTTTATCTGTAACTGGTCTCGTGTCCACCTTTGTCATATCTCCCACTATTGGATCGGACGGAAGGAACTCTCTTTTGAGGGCGCCATTCAGACAGGGTATGATGAGGTCAGTTAGATCATGCACTACCTGGATGTTTTACTCACGACTAAATTGGCAAGGTTCCCTGAATCGTTTCATGTTTGTATACTTCCCCGTTCTGAGCAGCTCGCAGAAGAACTCCATGCCAGAGCTAGGGAGATGTCCAAGAATGGCAGTGAATGACGCAGTAACTTGTAGCGAGAGGAAGAGTGTATCCGTGTATCCTTATCTTGTGCAAGCATCATAGTTATGAATCTTGGTCCGCGATATGCTATAGTGCCTTCGTGTCTAGAAATACACGGGGCCTGAACTTAAGACTGATCAATGGACATGAAGCCCAAGCTGGCTTCAAAGACATTTACTTGAACGTGTCAAGTGGAACGGTTCTGAAAAAGTTATTCAAGACGTATGCTTACTGGTACATGTGACTACGATTCCATTGTTATTGTACAACATAAACCAGCCAAGTTCAACTACTTCTCGTGGGACGCCTTGATGATGTCCGCAGCTAAGACCACGATAAGAGCGAGTAGTTTAAGAAAGAATTGGAGCAAACCTTGTTCTGCTAGAGCATATGCCACAGCTGGAAAGGTGATGTTAGGGGGTGTAGTGAAGCAATAAGCGATAAATTTACATTGAGTGTGGCTGCCAACATGGAGCGGGATGATCGACAAGTCGGCGACTCTGATATTGTGAGTGCCCCATACCTATAGGTCGAAGATTAAAACACGACCACGACAGATGATTGTGTTTGAGTACTACCTTGAGTTGAGGATCGACGACACCGTTCAATTCCTTCGGAAGCATGGAACATGAACCAGCAGTATCTAACATGCAATGATTAAGCACCGTTGTGTATGCAGACATGCGGAGAGAACTTACGAAAGGTCGTGTTGACATTGTTGCAAATCCATTCTAAATTCAGGTGAGTAACTTCACTTGAGGAATTGAATCATGACCGAACCTGCGATGGCTGCATCATCTTGACAGTCTGGTCCGGGGTGAATTTCTGGAATGAATGCAGTATGAGTCTGTTTCACAAGGTGTTAAAACAACGCCTACCTATGAGTCGGCCCTCTCCTTCTCCCTTCAAGGGAGGCGTCTGAGCTAACCTCCTGCAATACTTGACTAATTCAACCATGGTGTCTAGGTCTTAAAATCGACAGGGTGTTAGAGTGGTGCGGATATGAGAAAGGTTTGCCTTACCGAATCTATTCTCATAAACATGCGGGTCAATCGCAAGCGAATCTTTGGATGTAACATGCTATCAAATGCATTGGCGAAGAACTCAAGGGTGAATTTGCCGCTTACGATGGTTCCACGAGAAAGCGGACAGTTGGTAGCAAAACAGAGTGAAACATGCTTCTTCGAAGCATCCCACCCCTGCGGGGGTGCTGCAATGCAATAAGCATCAAAATCAGCCTAAATACAACGACGAAAGTGATACATACGATTTGCGGGTCCTGGAGCCAGTAGGATTTCGAGACTAGGGACCTTCTCCCGAAGATGCTCTGCTTGTATCTTGTACTGCGCAGCGAGTCCTGCGTCCTTCTCCTCGGTTTGCAAGGATGCGGTTACTTTTGCATTGAGTTCGGGTGAGATATCAGCTAACGCAACGAATGCGATGTCGACAGTGTTGAGGTTTAAAGTGCCTTTGCCAGATGCACTAGGAATGTCCTGTTCAGCCGGTACGATCCAATTGACTCTCTTTTTGCTTGCCAAGATTTGTGGCGAGAGAATCAAAGGTATTGACCTCCTGCTCGCCCGCAAAGTGATCCGTCAACTCTTAAGTCAGGGTGAGTCAGCGACCATATGCTGGGTCGGTATCCTGCAATGCACCGAAGGTTACTCCGGTGTATAGATGTTCCAGAACATTCATTCCAACACCAGGGAGGTCAAGTTTCACATCAATACCCGCCCGTCGAAGAACAGCAGGATCACCGATGCCAGACAATTCGAGTATCTAAGTAGGAAGTTATTCTATATCGAGGCGGTGACACATAAAATATTCAAACCTTTGGAGACATAATTGTACTGAGGAAGTATTATTTAGCTGCAGCACCTCAGATAGTAAAGAAGGGCTTACCCAGCCGTTAGGCACACTTCGCCAGCGACATTTGCCGTGTAGGTATTGTCGCTTTTGACAAATTTGACACCAATGGCAGTGGTTAATCCATTGACTTTCGTTGTAATGATCTCGGTCACATAGGCATCAACGATGACCTTTAGGTTGGTACGGCCTGCGACTGGTTGATAATACATCTGAGCGATTGTGACAGATCAGTATCAACTTTGATTACTACTTCGAGGCACCCACGTTAGTAGCGTAAGATCGATGATGCGTTGATGGGTCCAAATTGGACAGAGAGGGAGATGTTCCGCGGATCTGAGTGAAGATTAGGTGGAAAAAGTCGCAAGCGAATAAAGTATTTACCTCCCCGGAGAACTGATTTCGAAACTCCTTTCAGAACGTACAAGTGTGTCATTACAACGAACTTACTGCATCTTGAATATTCGGGACATTGTGGGCCTCCATTGCCTGGTCAGCGATGTGAGATAAAATGTGACATTTTTAGGATACAAGCAATACCTTCCTAAAATCTGCCTCAAGGTTTGAAATAAGTGGAGGAAATGACGTGACGATGGGGCGTGAGATAAGTTGAGCAAGATTCATTATGCTATCAACGAAGCGACACACCCTGCTCCCCGTGAAGCTTTGTATCGTACGTCAAGACATCCGTGTTGTGGTTCGGTTCCACAAACCTGGGAGGTGATTAGTGACGCAACCCTCAGCATATTGATATTGCTGACCTCTCAGATTTCTTGGAATATGCCTGAAATTTTTCCCAAGTCCAACCATCGTTGCCAAGCGCACCCCATGCTGTTGGTGTGTTAAGGAGGTGTTGATGTAGGCAAATGAAGCTCGCCTTCAATTTGTTGGCGCGCTGGCTTATTCCAGAGGAGATTGTTGATTGCGGAACTGCCTCCGAGTCCTTTCCCCCTGTAAACAAGAACTATCAGTTGAAGTAGCGACGACTCTTCGGAGTCAAGCAGCACAAACTGACCTAGGCCAAGTGAATATTCTGTCTTTGGCGTGATGTTGTGTTTCCTTTGCGCTGGTTAGTTGCGATTATGAGCCTGCAGTCGGAGATACTGACAGTTTTAAAGCTCCAGTCGTATTCAGGTTTGCCCACAAACAACCAACATTGTTGAGGTATCACTAGACTTGATGTCAGGGATAATTCACGAGTATTCTGACAGACTGACGTAGATTGGCATCATCGATATGAGCACTGCCTGCCTCCAAGACAAGCACCAAAGTTGATGGGTTTTCTGACAAACGTGTCACTAAAACGAGACCAGTAGTCTAGGGGCGATCGGTCAGTTTTCAAGTTAAGAGCCGCGGATGCTCTTTCTTACTCCACCACCTGGAAGCAAGGTGAGTTACTCTACATCAGAAATTGATACAGAGCGCACCAATGATGATATAGTCGAAGACTTGTCCTTTGATTCCATCGACGGAGGTCAGCATTGTTCAGCTAGAAGGAGAAATAAGACTCAAAGCCGTTCTTATAGAGACAGGCGCTGAGAGGGATGCTACTAGTAGAACTGTGACTGGATATCGATCGATGATCACTGGGCGCATCTGCGCGAGAATATCTTGCTCACGGAGATGACAGAATTACAGTGACTAAGACCAACTACGCCTTTCAGCGGCGCTAAACACCGACCCAGTTCACGGAACTAGTGCACCCACATTACCAAAATAGCCATGGGATGTGGTGCTTGGTCTGATGAGAACATCCACAGGATGGCAAGTTGCGTGATAAGATCTTGAGATCTGGTAGGATCTCGACCCTATAATTACTAGATTCTAGAATGATATCGACTTGTCATGTTAGTTGATTAGTATCAAAGATCACCTGATATGAATGGCGACAAACCAGTACTAAATCTAGCAGCTTGCATCTTGAGCGCTTGAGCTTCCGAATCAATGCACGCGGTGCCCCAAGACGGTCCGACAAGGATAAAAAAGGAGTGGATGAAACAAGAGAAGCTCCTTCCAGTAGGTCACGCGTCTCTGATTGATCTGGATCTAAAATAGTAAGCCACTACCTACCGGAGTGTGCATAGATCGGGTGACAATGAGCTCCAAATCGTTCAACCACCCCTCGTTAAGTCGCCGAAGTTCACCGCCCTCGTGAGTAACTGTTCTGGCACGTTTGCGGAGTCACTCCCTTGAACGTTTATCGCCACTCTAAATTGTTCCTCCCCCCAACTCCTCCGCGCGCTTTCACCATCTTCCTCGTGTCTGTCACCCTCTCCCATACGTGTAGCATCTCCTCGACAATATGTCATATAAATCATGAAGCAACTTTTTAAAATTATCGTCTCTTTGATTTGCTGAGTGTAAGCCGCCTAATGTGGATGTAATATAAAATTGTAGCCTGAGTTAGCAGAAGGAAAATCCAGGATGGCAGTGGAATCACTGAAGAAAGAATAGGAGACCCGCACCAATAGAGGTACTAACTGACTTGATGAAGAGACAACGAGGCAGGGTTGATTGCGAGCGCGGCGATCAGGATCTGGCGATAGATCCTGGCGTGACGTACCGCCCAGTCTTGATGAGTGTTGTTCCAAAAAGGATCAACCGGCGGTTACGGCATGGCCAGGCTGCAGGTCCTAGGAAAGAGCGGAAGTGGGATTGGTGTCAAGGGTTATAGTGGGCAGGATCCAAAGCGTTCATGGGCACTACAGTTGGAAAAAAAATGGCAGAGGATGTTGTGCGCAAAGACCGCGAGCTCGACGAGTAGGACAACGAAGACATGTAATGACTAATCAGAGACTGAGGAGAAAAAAAACTAGTACACCCGGTCACAACCCGGTCATCGATCATCGATATCTTGCAGTTGCAGTGTTTAGCCACATCATCAAATCCGGTACTACTCTCAAATTGGAATCAAAATCAATGCAGCCGTATCAATCTCATAGCCCGAGCGCGCTCGGATGTTCCAGGACCGAAATTGGTGCGCTCAGGCTACCGCCGAGCATAAAAATAAGAACGCGACCCATTCAAGTTATCGTATGTCCGAAGATCGAAGATGTTCACATTAGGTCTCTGTTCATGTTTTTGTACGCTGGCTTTGGCGAGTTGGGCCTTTGCCAGATCCTGGCGCTTGCCTCTTCCCCCAGGTGATTGTTCAATGTTCCGTGCCGAACGCCCAAAGTGACACCAGTGATACAGGTCCACAAGGAAAGTTTTGGTTTGGAAACGAGGAGATATTGCCTTGGGAGCATCCATGGAAAGAGTTTGTTAACTGGTCCAAAATATTTGGCATGATCTCTTCCTCGACCGATACATCACGAGCTTATTGTTTTTAGGGCCATTAATATATCTTTATGCTTCTGGTCGGGACATCCTCATCGTCAACACCTGAGGCTCCCACGTTGTCAGGCCTGTTAGACGTACCACTGTGTCGGTGTGGTCGGTCTAAGTCGAGGCGCTTTGAGTGATTCCCTGCCAGTACGAATAATTGTGAATATTTATGGCCCTTTAAGCTTACCTGGCGACTAGTGTACGGTCAATTTGGAACTGTCCGAAATTCACAGGGTAAATTTACAATGCGCCCAGAGGCCTTCAAATTCACCACCGTGAATTACCGTAAATTAACATGTCTGTAAATTAACGCTATTTTACAGGTGAATCAGGTCAAATGTACTGTGAATTACGCCTCGACTTAGACCGGCCACACCGACAGTGGTACGTCTAACAGGCCTGACAACGTGGGAGCCTCAGGTGTAGAAGACCGCCTCCACAGAGCACTTCGTCAAACAGTTCTCCATCAAGGAAGTATCAAAGAAAATCGCATCAGCTGTGGACGAGTCTTTTTCACTGCCAGCAGAAGGAATACTTTTTTTGTCCGCACCTGCCCCATACATCAAGGAAGACGAGGGGGGAGAGAGAAGCCCGCAGATGTAGCAAACTGAAAGCATGCGTTCAGATTACATTTCAGCTATCTAGAAATTATTATACAAAGACTTTGTCATGGTTCGTCATTGTAAACTGCACGGAATATGGAAATCATATGGGTCCTGTCACTCGAAGCGATCAGAGCTAGAACGCTCTCCGCAATAGCCTCCGCAGTTGAATTGTGCGCTACAATATCTCCCTCAGTCCTGATATGGCTACGATGAATGAGAAAGCGAAGAGTTGAACGATCCTTCCCAACAGCTTTCCAATAATCTGATGCATCAGTGGAATTCTCAAGTATTACCTCCGCTTCAGTCATCATAGTTTGGACAGTCTGATCATCTCCTGGACTCGGAGTTGACGTGGTCTTCTCGTCCTTCCACTCCCTCCAGTTCTTGTGGCCGCATATCATAGCCAGCTGATCGCGACCCGTGTCAAGGAGTACCCGACGACGGATCTTATTGATTGCGACTTTATCCTGTAAGGCCCAAACGTGAGTGTGAAAAGTAAGAAAGCAAATAATAGGACGAACACCCAATACAGCTCTATTAGTTTCATCCAATTGACTTCTCAGCTCTTTGAAGTCGTGCTTGAGCTGAGCATTCTCGTGCTTGAGCTGAGCATTGTCGAGCTTCAGCTGAGCATTGTCGAGCTTCAGCTGAGCATTGTCGTCCTTCAGCTGAGCATTGTCGAGCTTCAGCTGAGCATTCACCCACCTCAGTTCTTCCACGTCGTGCTGCAGTCCAGCATTCACCTGCCTCAGCTCTTCCACGTCGTGCTGCAATCCAGCATTCACTTGCTGCAGTCCAGCATTCGCTTGCTTCAGCTCAGCAATGTCACGCCCAAATTTTTCCTCCATTGATGCGAGTCTACGAAGTATGTCATTATTGTTGTCAGCTGAAAATACAACTATTAGTCTGATCGCGATAAACCAAAGGGCACAAAAAACATACCCGGTTTGACATAACGCTCAGTGCTCTCCTCTCTAGCCAGTGGCGCAACATTTCGTTGAGCCTTGACGTCGCATACTTCACTGAATCGCAGATTGAAGAGCATCGACAAAGGGTGAGGGTGTCAAGTGCTGTCCTTCGGGGGGTTGTGGGTACACAACCATTGTAAGATCACCCTTCAGAGTGCGTATGACGGTGTTATCATCCCTTGGAACTGACCAAGTGTTCGTATCCACTGTAAATACGTGGGTAATAAGTGTATCGGTGACATACCTGGGTAAAAATCGGTACAATCGGGGTCTAGGGTGACAAGTGGCACACCGGGAAGTATCTTCAAGTGTTCCTTGATCGCCTCCATCCCCTCCTGCTTAGCGCGTGAAATGGTAAAACTGCCTGGTAAGCTGATAGATTTCTGTAACTTGGCTTCTGCATAAAGGACAACCATTAGCTTGTGATTGGAATCTTTGGGTGCCATCGTCTGGTAGTAAGATGGTGAATTCTGGCAGGAATTTGCCGGGAAGCTGATGCGTCTTGATTTCCACCGCTATGTGAACAAGGTAATTGATTTTGTAATGCGACCAGGAGCTTGTCGACGTGAATTCACTATCCACCGTCCGCACACAGCTCGTATACACCTCCATTCTACTACACAAAGACAGAGGCGTCAAGACCTACGCAGCATGCTATCTTGCCGACATACTCAGGCTATACGCGCCTTATATCCACACCGAGCTGAGGGACATCTTCCAATTCTTCTTCAGACAACTAGCAACCGGCTTGAGGGGCGCAGACGCATCATACTATAATGATAACACGCCGTACTGCTGTGCTATGTTTTCTCACACACGATGCATTTAAGCAAGACTTGTACGCTCTCACCTGACTGTACCGACTGACCACACAACAGGAAAGCTCTATGTATATCTGGTTATAACATCGGTGGATCCTCTATGTGAGTGCTTTTCAATATGGGGAAACTGAACAGTGCACATATGCGCCATTCAAAGCACCATGGCACCTGCCGCCAATAACAAAACGTCGTCTCCAAGCGCTGGCAAGAATTCAGATGCGCGTCGAAACCTCTACGTGCTCGGTCTGCCCTTTGATCTCACCAAGTGTGCCTACTTTTAGTCGTCACACCTTTCATGCTCACGAGTCACTAGGCCCGAATTTTCCGCCTTGTTTTCGCTGTTTCGGTACTGTCATGCACGCTGTGATTCTCGCCACTGTCGATAACGCATATCGCCGTCGCGAGTTCGTGGTAATGTCATCTCATGAGGAAGCCAAACGTGCAATGAGTGCGCTCTCGCGAACGCAAATAAAGTATTAGAGCATTTGCTTCGCGATTCAAGGCTCAACTTACTGACACGTCACAGAGGACACACCCTTGATGTATCTTGAGCCGTCGTACAACGTTCTCAAGGTGCGAGCTAAATCCAGTTGCAAGTACTCTACCTTATTTATCCCTTGTCACAGGCTTCCTAGATGACGCAGACAGGACGATGATGCTGGCATCCTCAAACCCTTCGTCACTTCCGGAAATGGAGTTCGATCACCAACCCGCACCTCCAACCATCAGTTCACCCCAATGCGCCTTCCTCGAAGTTGCTGGTATCGAACTTGCCGATTCTTCTCTTTGCTCAGGCCAGTGACTTGCATCGTCTGTTCTATACTTTCGGTCCCATCAAGGAGGTGAAGCTCATGGATTCTGCTATGCTCGGCAATGGAACCACAACCGCTCTAGTCGAATACGTGAATCTCTTCAATGCTCAGGAAGCCAAAGAGGCACTTCAACGACAGTTCTTTGGGACCTCACGCCTGGAAGTCCAATTCATCCAAGACAATATCTATCCGGTTAATTCTACTGCTGCCGCGTATGCCCAGTCTCCCATGCTACCGAAAACATCTGATGCCGGCCTTAATCCTTGTGCTGCTCCTTTCGTCTTTGGATCCCGCCACTTGCCACCCTTGGCTTCTGGTCTTAGCGCCGTTGCGCACGATTCATTTGTCAACGACCTCAATCTTGCCAATAGACTGTCTTTACATTGGCTAACTCCAGCCGAGTAGACCCTCTGCTCGCAGCTCTGAATCTTACCCAAACCTTATCTTGTCATCAAGGAGACCTTCGTCCGGGAGTACGCTTGTCGTGGAGGTAAGCTTCACCGCAGGGAAGCACGGGATCCTGTCAAGATTGATGTGAACAAGGCGAGTTGAGTTTGGGACTCTTGGTGCAAGCTGGTTTTCTCAAAATCACACCTGACCCGCCTGCTGCTGCTGTTCAGGATACTTCGTACGTTAGTTACGGCTCAACAGCGTATATGTTGATTTCTGTGATTGGCCGCTTCTTGTACGTCTATATGATTCAAGTCGTCCCCTTCACTGAGTGAATCATATTACAGCGGATGGATGTCGAATTTAACATCGACCCAGATGAATTCCAGGCTCGCAAGCGCAGACGAATGTCAACCATGACCACTTCCCTACCTCCACCACCCAAGGTAGCCCCAACCTCTGCTCCTGGGGTACACGAAATTGCCACCTTCCTCCCTGGTAGGCTTGAGTTCGAACACGAGCTCGATAATGAAGCGGAGGATCTTGTGAAGGATCTAGAATTCGGAATTTGTCATGCACGAGGCGGTGATCAGATTATGGAAGATGAGAACGGCCCGGATGTACGTGCCAGGGCACGAATGCAGGAAGAGCGCAAAACTGTTGCTGGTTCCAGGAACAGCAGTCAGCCACCCGTCAATGGTGTCAGTGGCAACGGACATCTTTCAATGAACGTATCAAGTTCAAAAGTAAGTCTTGCCAGGTCTATTGTTGTACTCGAGCACTTCCTCCAGATATTCTAGCGGCTTAACGCAAGTCATCATACTCGAGATCATTCACATCTTCAACCGCCAGGCAGAGATCGTCAAGCTGAGTACGTATCTCTCTGTTCTCGACCTGTTATATATGTTCAATGTTTACCGTGTAGTCCGCACGCTTCTTAACTGCTTCAACTCCACCATTTTCCATTTTTTTATTTTTATTGTAGCTCGCAATTGCGCAGTGACACTTGCAACCCACTTACTTCCCTGGGTTCGCATTCTCTTGGCTCTGCCTTGTTTCACATCGACTCTTCATGCCAAAATTGCTACTATCCGACACCCGCGAGGTGAGATTTGCCCTTCAATTTTGGAGGAACTTCTTTTGACTTTTTCCCGTCAGTGCTGGTCTGCGTTCCACAAGCTCCTTCTTTTCTCCTTCAAGTTTCTGGCTCGATGCTAATCTCCAACTCGCATCTCGTAATTTTTATTGCGGCTCCCTCTGACTCCTCCCCGTCCTTCTTCATGATTTCCCGGAGTTCCTTAGCGAGTACTACTTTAGTCTCTGCGATGCCATTCCTCCGCGTTGCATCCAGCTTCGCAACATCATCCTCAGCGCGTTCCCTATGTCTATCATCCTTCCTGACCCTCATCTACGCAAATTTGACTCGATTCCCGAAATGGGACCGATACCACCCGTTCTATCAGACTTTGCTTCACGTCTCAAAAGCGCTGACCTCCGCAACAACCTCTATCAATACCTCCTTAATTGTGGAACCCCTTCATTCCTCACAACACTCTAAAATCCCTTGAGCCTGCCCGACGTGCCAGAGGGTTCATCCGAGTTGTACAACCTGTCACTAATAAATTCCCTATCCATATGATTGGGTGCGGATGCATCTTTCGTGCAAAGGCCCAATGCCCTAGGGTGACGCTTGCAGGGGCGCGCCCGAAGAGGAAAGGCCCATATATATTCCTGCGCAAGCTGGAACCATTGTATAGAGCACACACCACATAACTTCAGCAGCACAACATTACAGTACAATATTGTATGTAGTGCCCATCATAGGGCTTCGCCCCAAAGGACAATAACCACAACCACGGATCAAAACAAAGCCAGCATCCATCACTGTGTCAAATGGGTACTGTCCTTTCACATAGCGCTCGAACTAGCTCACAAAAGCTTCATGAACATCGACAGCTGTTTTCCTTTGAGGGCGGAGTGGTGCTGGGAATTGAACTCAGCTTCAATCACAATCTTGAGGTATTTGAGAACTCGGACATAAGTTGGCGATGTGAGGATATCAGGCGCAGCTGTTGAAGGAATGGGAGGAATCTTGATTTTGAGAGAGAGCGGGTTATGCAGGATTGCACTGCAAACATAACATGTCCCGTGTGCGATAAGAATAAGCACTCATCAAAGGTGAAGAATGGGTAAACATATGTGGATCTAAGCATACAGCTGCAAGATAGCAGTCAGCTGGTCCGTCTTCAAGCTGTTCACAAAAGCGGGAGTTAATGATAGCATAGATTTGGCCCATCTCTTCAACATTGAAACCACTCGACAAATCCTTGAACAAACTGTTTGATACATCCGCAAAGTGCCAGCCAATATTTGTACACATCGGCCGCGTCTGTTTGTGTGAACTCAGGACAAACGATAGCCTTTGCAATTGGGTTCTGAACATCGATGAAATGGGGATGACAACTAGAACACGAGGATAATGACACAGGTAAGCTTGACATACATTGATAATTAAACGCACACCATCACCTCCACAACCATGCTGTAACACAAACAGTACAAGTCTTCGTAACCTCCTTCCTCCCGCGCTGCCTTCGCACCAACGCTGAATACACGATCCAAACAGATCTCAACCTGCGCTCAACACCACTCTCGTCCAACGATACAAACACTCTCATCGCCATAGAGTCCTCTGTTTGTATTAATTGACAAGATATTGCTGCGAGAAGCCAATACGTGGTAAGCGTCAGTAACAAGAGTATAATTGAGTAAGTTGGCTCAGTCCAGTGACACCACATACAACATCATCATTCGCCCCTTCGTCGTATTAGTGCAAATACATCAAATATCAGCTGTTCTGCACGCTAAAGCTGTATGTAGCTTTGCACGAAGTTCCTCGATTTCGGCCTGTGTCAAATTGGTACGGATGAGCATCATCAACAAACGAAGCCGATAGCTCACCTGTGCTTGGTGCTCTCGTTGCATCTGCAAAGTCATACCATCTGGCATCAACCAACGAAGACCATATTCGCCAATACATAATAACTCACCATTGCTTCATGAAGTTGAGCATTTTCGACTTCCTGTTAGATTGGCACAGACAAGTTCCATCAACGAACAAAGACTATATTCGCTGATAAGTAATAGCTCACCATTGCTTCACGAATGTGGGCATTTTCGACTTCCTGTCAAATTGACACAGACAAGTTCTATCAACAAACGATGTGTGTGTGTGTGTGTGTTGAGAAAAGCCTACCTGTGCTCGGAGACGCTCAGTTTCTTCTTCAAGTCGTCGAATCTGCAAAGACCAAGACCATGAACGAACAAAGATTATATTTGCAGAAAATAGCTCACCGGAGCTGCCTGGCGGAGTATTTCGCCCTGTAGTATGTCCAACGTGTTCTGCCACTCCAGCTCATAAGCCGCAACTACAGCATTGAAACCCTGATCTGACAATCCTACTGTGATCCCACGGTAGCGATGTCAGCGCGGAAAAAGTATCCCTTTCCGTCGTCGCAACAAAATTAGTAAGCCTCTGGAGCAGAGCGGAGTTCAATGATGGGCAATTGGATTCGTGGCATGTGGTCTCACTCTGACACATGGTTTCACTCTGACACATCCGCTGTATCCTCCCGGTCATCCTGCGCTGATCATTCTGTCTCGCCACGCAAGCTCACGATATAACTCGGATGTTGGCCGGTTCATCCTGTCGTGCCCCTTCTTTTTTCAATCTGTTCTGAGTGGGCTTCCCCTTCGACTACTTGGTGAGTTTACTTTTGGAATCAGAGGTTTGCTGACTCGCCCTACTCATTCAGGCATCATGTCTGCGTTCTTAACCAAAAAACCGTCATTGGTTGCACGTGTCTTGGAACACAACGATTGCCCACCACATAATGTCATTCATGATGTCGAAAATTACCCAATCTATTACAATGCTTTATACTTTCCTGAACTGCACCTATCCGTCTATGCCACTTCTGGCCACTTCTGCTCATGGTTAGAGGCCGCATTGAGTGCTCACCATCTTCATTGTCTAGCATGCTGTGTACGCTGCTTCGGTGTATCTGTCACGTTTGACGGTTCTTTGCTCTGTGTTGATGTCAAGGGCGAGCGCAGGATGTTTGCCCGTGAACATTTTGAATCTGAAATGTATACTCATTGCAGCGTCTTTCGTGCGTTTAGTGACTCTCCATGCATCCCTCCCCAAGCCAGACCTTCTGTGGTTGGTGGCTTGGAAGATCTCTCTGTGCGGTCCTGTCTGCTTTCTTGCCTGGCTCATGACCCTCCCTGGTTCTCATACAGAGATGATGCCTATTGCGATGCGGTGTCCGCTTTGCCCGCTACTGTCTTGCGTACTGTTGCTTATGGTATCGGCTGCGATCGTTCTCAAACACGCATCAAGAATCTTAGTGTTGAGGTCATCCTGCAACATTTTCACACAGCGTGCCTGCATTTTTCTCGTTTGTCAGATGATGTTATTGCCCAACGTCTGAGCGTTCATTTGCCTCATGATTCTCTGAAGTTCAGAGGGACATATCTTGCAGCCGAATTTGTTCATGTATACGGCGCTGACGTGGCTGCAGCATTACGACGTCCACCTCATGATCAAGTATCTATTGATGATCCCTCTGACGTGGCATGTGGTGACAGATTTGCACTGTGGATCTCTCTCCCACTGGATGAATTGACCTGTCGTTTGGAAAGGCTTCCAAAGGAAGAAATTCACTCCTGTATCCAGACTTTGCCCCGCGCTCTGCACAACCTTTACAATCGCTGGTCACATCGCAAGTCATGCAATGCCCTTGCCAATTACGCTCGTCGGCGTGCAATGTACCTTGCACATGTGGGTGTTGATGTCTTGTGCCACATTTTCTTGGCCCATTTTCCATTTCCAAGCTCTTGCGACCTATCGCTCAATGAGGTGTTCAATGCTATTGTTCATCATGAATTGGGCGACATCATCACTGAACGCTTGTCACAGGAAATTGTCACACGCTCCACCGCAGCCAAACGATTACGGGTTGAGCAAAAACAGATCACATTGGCACAGGCTAGACAGGCTGTGGCGACTCGTGAGCACCTCTGGCCATCCATTGTTCCCCAGTCAGTAATACTGAACCGTCTGAATGAGTATCTTGAGGCCACTGTTTGGACTGAACCACCTATCTGTGCTGTGCGTTCACAATATGAGCGTGACACAGTGCAGATCGCTTTGTCAGAAGATCTGTCAGGACTGAGTCTTGAACTGTTGTGGTTGAAGGATGAGCATCTCATTAGGAAATGCGTGGTACAAGGTTTATCTACCTGTTTCACATTTGGCCACGATCTCATTGATGGCCTGATGCTAGACCATCAAGGTATTGTTTGAGATGACTCGCATGTGGTGGCTTTACGTGTATGTTCACATTGCAAATCTGCTTTGTCGCGTGATCGCCTACCAGCTCTTGCCCTTGCCAATGGCTTATTCCGTGGGCAACTTCCTGAACAATTCAAAGACTTGACATGGGTTGAGGAGAAAGTGTGTGCTATTTATTCCATGACTGCACATGTGACACGACTGTTTCAGTCCACTGACCCTGCACAACCCCGTGTCTTTCATGGAAATACATGTGCCCATGACATGAATGTTATGTCGACAGCTACCAAGCTCCCTCGAGCCCCTGCCAGTGTCAACGGGTTTATCAGTGTTGTTCTGATTGGGCCCAACAAGTTTGATCCTAAGCGGATGGGTTCCTTGTTTCGCGTGCGGAAACATAAGATTTGGTCTTTTCTCACGTGGCTGAAACACCACAATCATTTATATGCAGATATTCCATTAGACTCCTCCCTCATGGATCTGTATCCCGTGGATGGCATTCTCCCTGGTTTGCAGGACCGGGTTGTTGAAGATCACGAACTGGATGCTCAAGTTGTGTTCAACACGGAAACAGCAGGATTTTCGCCACACCCTGCATCCTTGTTACAACCTTCTGTCGCACACACACAAACTCACGGCGAGCTGCAGGATGATTTGTCGATGGTGGAAAAGATGGGAGTTGCTGATCCAGAGTGTGTGAACGTCAGTGGTCGCCATTTCACTGCATCTGCGCTGCGTAACTTGGTCCCTGGTACTGCAGAGTCTCCACAACCAGACCTTGTCCTCCATCATGGAGCCTCTCCCATCACTGATTACAATAACCCCCGTCTCTTTCCTGGGCTGTATCCCACACTCTATCCTTATGGCTTCGGGGGATTTGAGGACCACTCTCGAGTCACTGCTTTGTCTATTGAGCGTCATGCCAAATACTTGCTCAACTTGTCCGACCGTTCGTTTCGTTATCATGATGCTTTCATTTTTGTCATATTGAACATCTTGCAGCGCCGCTGTGCACATCTACAAACCCATTTTGCTGTAAACAAGTCTAACTTTGATTTGGTAGCTCGCAGTTTGACCAGTGTATCAGAGAATGTACTTAGGAACCTTGCTGATCGTCTCGAGCAAGAGTGCAAGTTGTCTGATCTTACTCCTGAGGAAAAGAGTGCATTCGGATTGCTGCGGCAAGTCAGTACCATGTCTACGCGTATACCAGGCTCGCAAGCATCCAAGATTTTTGTAAGGAATGAGATCCGCAATTATTTTGGTTATTTTGGCTTACCCCACATTTTCTTCACCTTCAACCCGTCTGCTGTGCACAGTCCGATATTTCAAGTCATGTATGGAGACCAGACTGTGGACCTTTCTGCACGTTTCCCTTGTGTACCTTCAGGTCATTCATGGGCTATTCGTCTCGCGCATGATCCAGTCACCGCTGCCGAATTCTACGAGTTCTCGTTTAAGTGTCTGTTTCGTGATCTTCTGGGTTGGGACTTTGACAATGACTGTGCTCTTGATTCAGGTGGCATTCTTGGCCACATTCGTGCATTCTATGGCACAAGCGAGTTTACAGAAAGAGGTGCTCTGCATGGCCACTTTTTAATATGGTTGCAGGGAGGCCTCAATCCCAGTGAGCTGCATACACGTCTGCGTGGCGACGATGAGTATCAAATGAAGTTCTTTCAATTTTTTGAGGATATCATACACCACCACCTTCCTGAAGTGGAGGATGCTCTTGAGCCGAGTTTCGAGCCGCGTGTTCAGCGACCTCCACAGCCCCCAGTGCCTACAATGGCAATCCCAGAAGCCCTCAAGGAATGGGATATTATTCTTTCAACAGAGATCAAACACTGTGGTGAGGCCCTTCAGTGACATAACTGCCGAGCTGTGTGCCATAAGTACCACAATGAAGGTCGTTGCCGGTTCCTGTTCCCCCATGAGATCATTGAAGATTCGTACTTTGATCCAGACACGAATTCTGTAGCTCTTAAGTGTCTGGATGGGACGGTGAATTATTTCAATCCGTACATTCTGACTTTCTGTAGACACAATCATGACATTAAATGTATTTTGTCTGGTAAAGGAGCGAAGGCTGCCATGTTTTATATATCGGATTACATCACCAAAATGGATGTGAAGACCTATGAAGTCCTATCATTGCTCTCGTGCGCGGTGGCCTGTGTACCGGACCCCACGCCTGGAAATACTGATGTTGCAAATGCAAAGACTCTTTTGCACAAATGCCTGTCCCAATTCGGAAGGCAACAGCAGATACATGCGCAGCAGGCAGCTCGCTACATCCAAGGCTTTGATGATAGCATATCTTCCCATGTGACCGTCCCAATGTTATCATCTGTGCTTCTGGCCTATGTAAGAACAGGTGTTATGAATGCAGAAGATGCGCAGGACGAGGAAAGAGATCCAGACGGAGATGACGCACCAGAGAAAGTGCACCTCCGCATCGCTATGGACAATGATGGCAACCTGGTGGAAGCTAACCAAGTTCACCACTACATCTATCGTGCAGATTCTTTGGCGGACATGCACTTTTATGATTTCTGTCGATGTGTCCGGTTAGAACGCATTAGTAAGGGTGCAACAAGATCAGACCGACTGGGAGTTTACAGAAGGCATGCATTAACCAATGGGCATCCCTCTAGCAGTACCCATGAACTTGTTGGACATACAAATGAGGAACGAGGTGATGGATATCGTGAACTAGTGCCTCGTGTGGTCGGAATGTCTATCCCTCGTGCTACAGACGCCAAGCTGTGGGCACTGTTCACTCTGGCACACTTCAAACCTTTCAGTGCATTGTCCCCTCTCTTGCACAAAGGCGAAAATGTGATAGAGGTGTTTCGGACGTACTCATTTTCACCGCGATCCCGTACAGTCATGACCAATTGGGAAGCAGTTCACGAGTGTGAGGATGAAAGAGATGCTGACCGATTGCGTAAACAGGCAAGTGCGACAGCTGAGAGCAAAGCACTCACGACCTCCTTGAGACTCGGCGGCGATGATGATGAAGTTGAAGTTGATTTTCAGTCCAAAAATACACGACGATCAGAAGAAGACTTCTGTATCCAACAGGTGGTCCTGTCGATGCAGCAATGCAGGTGGATTAAGGCAAGAAACGAACATTGTGATTCATCATTGGCAGGTGAAGGTGCCTTGCAAAAGCCAAGCGTGTACATGATAAACGATACAGACAACTTGAGTGAATGGCTGAAACGCTGGAAGACAGAGATCAAGCAGCAAGAGAACGCTGTGGCAGACTCACGACGCAATGCTTTGAATCCAGATTGCCAGTTAGCTCGCACAGCTCCTGTGACAGAGTCTACTCGGACCGACTCTTACAGCGCCATAGACAGAGGTGTCCCTGCAACAGATTGTGAGAATGCGCAGTGCCAGGTACCCATGTGTGACACATCGCAGGCGCAAACGGCAGAGGACATCATTGAGGCAGTGGGTTCCCAATTCGGCCTCAATGAAAAGCAGTGGGTTGCGTTCAGAGCCATTGCACGGTTTTTTGTGGCGAAACATGTTGAAAAGTCTCTCCCCCTGGGAAATGACCAGCTTCGAATGTTGATGACCGGTCCAGGAGGTACAGGCAAAACACATGTTGTCAAAGTGGTGCAGTGTGTCATGCAGCATTATGGGTGTGGTCATCTCATACGATTTCTGGCACCAACGGGCTCTGCTGCATCGCTGATTGACGGAATGACTGTGCACAAGGGTCTGGGTATTAAGATTAGATCTAACAAGGGAAAGGGAGATTGTGACTCAGGAGGTGCTACAGACTATTCAGCTTTGATCAGTGTACAAAACAGGACACAGCTGCGTGATGAGTGGCGAAATGTGGAATATCTATTGGTCGATGAAGTCTCATTGGTTGGCTTGCAGCTTTTGGCCAAGATCGATCACGCACTACGATTTGCTAAAGAACACCCCGATGAGTGGTTTGGTGGCGTTGTGGTGATTTTTTTGGGGGACTTCTATCAATTCCCACCTGTAGGTGGCAGTCCACTATACACTCCAATCTCCATGTATGCTGGTCAGACCGACGAAGAGATTCAGAAAAGACTGGGGCACCTCGCATGGAAATCAATCAACACAGTGGTGAATCTGACACAACAGCAACACATGAAAGATGATCCGGAATTTGGAGATACTGTCAACCGCCTGCGTGAACGTGTGTGCACTGAGGAAGATGTTGAGTTATTCAATTCCCGGGTGATCAAGTCTGCAATTAACCCACAAGGCGTTGACATGGGCGATTCACTGCACTCTCAAGCCACTGCCATTGTATCGACTAACGCCTTGAGGGAAGTTCTGAATGCACACAAAGCAGCCACTGCATGCCCAGATACAAGTAAACTGGTAGTGTGTGCAGCGCTAGACAAGACAACAGCAAGACCTCTCACACGTGACGAGAGAGACAGCTTGCTGAAGCTAAATGTCTCCGCTATAAAGTCTTCCACTCCATTACCGGGGCACGTGACATTGTATGAAGGGATGCCCGTGATCCTTCGCATGCGAAATCTGTCGACAGACTTGGGGATTACCAATGGTGCACAAGGCATTGTCCGCAAGATATGGACAGCTGTGTGCCCATCAGGCTTTACTTATGCATCCTGTGTGCTCGTGCATTTCCCAGAGAGCAAGGTGCAGCTGAGTCACCTTCCTGTTGGTCATTATCCTATTGTCCCATCAATGTGGAAGTTCACGATGACTCTGGGCGCCATACCTGCAGAACAGCAAAAGCTCCATGTCACCCGTTATCAAATACCCATCCAGCCTGCCTTTGCAGTCACTGCACACTCTGCACAGGGAAAAACTTTACCTCAGGTTCTAGTGAATCTGCACGAAGGTGGTTTTCCTGCATATGTTGCAGCATCACGTGCACGCAGTCGTGAAGGCCTTTGTTTGACCCAGGCAGTGACTATGGATCAGCTCAACAAACACATTCCAATGGATCTTGCCTTCGAGACTCGTCGTTTCCATGCTCTGGAGCACAACACCCTCGTCCGACTGGGTTTGCGAGGGGGTGTTCCTATGGTTGTGCCAGATGCGGAGGGAGAATGCCACCTAGCCCACCAGCCAGTGTCGGTAGCTTTTGATGCTGATAAAGCCCAACCTGCCAGGAACAAACGGCAAGCAGAGAGCGAGCCTGTCACTACCCAGCACGCAAATGACAACCGTGCCAGGAAATGAGCACAGCTGCCTGCCCAAGGTCACAGAGCAGTGTCTGTGGCCAGTAAATAATCTTAACGAATGCTGGGACATTGAGAGATGGTGCGTAAATCTGGAGATGTTAGATTACTGCTCATCAATGCTGATCGGCTTATGCAGAGGGAGTCCCCCAATTGTGTGACTTGGAGTCGACAACCTCATGTCACATGTGGTTCTGTGTCTCCTATTGCCACATAAACCAGTCCATCTCAGCAAGCATGGCCGAAGACCCTCTGACTATCACAGCCGATGAGTTCACTACAAAGGTAGCCGCCTACCTGGCTGGCGGTACTGCAGATGAGAGGGATCGAGCCTGGGAGAGAGTGGGGATGAGAGCTTTGTCAAAGAGTAGGCGGGTACCCGTGCAGTCATTCATGTGAGTTGTTAGGTGTGCACTGTGCAGAGCTCATGGTCATGTCATCGCAGGCATGGTGCAATATTGCCCTCGGTGGTGGGTGTCGACTGTAGAGAGCTGTCTGCATGCAATGCAGATGAGGGAGAGGCGCATACTGAGGTTGCAGATCACTCTAGCACTCGTGAAGACACAGAAGAGTCTGTTATGGTGGCTCAGGTCAGAACCTGCTTGCTTGCGTGCTCACCATCTGTCTAAACTCTTTCGCTTCGACTAGCTCGCCGGCATCCTTCAGGCCACAGGACCGTTGAATTTATTCCGCTTCATTATCCATCCATTGGACTTTGGCCAATCTGTGGAGAACCTATATTATCTGTCTTTCCTAATTTGCGATGGGATGTGTGGTTTACATATGGCCGACAACGGCAAGCCAATACTGAGTGAGCAGGCACTTATGGATACATTATACAGTTTAACAAGGACAAGCTCCGAGACAGCCTTCTGAGCATGCATCCATGCTGGACACGCAGGTGAATCGGCAGACGGTGATGGAATTTGACATGGCTACATGGAAGGTACGCCTTCATCTCTGCAAAGTTCATTATGGTGTGCTCATGTACCCTCCAGCGTGCAATAGAAGTCTTCGACATCCAAGAATCCATTATCCTGTGCAGGTCCCCTGGCAGGGTCTGACAAATAGGTATAATCAATGGGTCTATTTGTATTTAGGTTTCAATGCTGCCACCATCCCTAGCCATGGCGACGCTTTTGACCTTGACGCTCGAGGAAGAATTTGGCCAACAAGATGTACTTCGTATACATGGATGCAGATATATACTTGCTTGACACTCTTCATGTAGGGATAAATGACTGAGTTGAATGTAGGATAGTTGGCACAGCGGTCTTTGTTTCAAGGGAATTGACGCATGCGTGGGCTTCTCTTGGTGCTGACTTGCCACAAGACCCTTGATTGATTAATTTTAGTCACCGATCAGGGTACATAGTTCTGCCACCACCGCCGATTCTCCTTTACAATCAAATGCGAGACAGGAGACGCTTCCATACATGGGCTCTCCTTATGGTGAACCCAATCGGTCATGGTCTGGACCGTTCTTAGACATCCTGGGATTACATAACTGACAGGAGTACATGTATGCATTCTGGCACTCAAGGACAGTATGTTTTGGGATAAGGATCGGCCATTGATCATGCCTTTCAATAGCTTGGGCTACAGCAAGAGAGGCCTTCGACTGCTTCTCTTCGCGGCGGATAAGTTTGAGATGGTCGGATTGGGTGAGTGGTACATGAGTCAATGCTTGAACAACAGCGGAACCATACTCAAAGTCCAATATATATGTGATTGATTCGGAGGTGCGTACAGATAATAGATTGGCTTAAGGTGAGTACGCCAGCCAGATGTCACATAATACAGGAGCACCTACAACCTGCAGGTATGATAGGCGGGCGCGAATGTGGCAGACCAAAGCGTTCGACGTCTGGGAGTGAGAGCGTCCATGTAGTACTGGGCGGTTAAGTAAAGGCATTCTGCGGATACAGTCACATAAGGTGGCAAGCTTGACCTTCCGTAGACGACAGACGAGTTGTTCGGTAGACAACGATGACCAGGGTGGTACGTCACCGCTGACAGAATGAAAAACATAAGTAGTAGGGATGGGACAACGAAGCACTGCGTCCACCTCAGAGCCATAAACAGTTTCGAAGAAAGAACACAGGAGCGGGACAAGTCGACGCTCACAATTAACGGGAAGCTCTACAGATGCGTATTCATGAACAAGATCCGTGTGAGACTTCGCCAAGATGGATGCACGTAGCTCTAGGAAATGGGAGCAAATGGCACCGACAAAGTTGGTTTTCATACGTCAAGGGACAGAGACGCCTGGAAGACGTGAGAGGGACTGAGACAGAGGTAATTTCAATAGAGTATCCAGGTGAGATCTGATGGTGTCTTCACTGGAAGAGGTTGTCTCAGCGGTTGTCGATAGCTGCAGGACAAACACGCCATTGAAGCTATATACCCTCTGGATCGGTGACCATGTCGCATCGGCCGCGTGCGAGCGCCTCACTCGCTCGAGCGGAGGTGAATGTTAGATTGGAGGATTAGAAAGTGTGCAAAGCTTCTGACCGCTGGTTGGACGGGCGTAATCGAGAGTGTCGTGGTTGATTGGCGTGGTTCGGGCCACCGGGGCATTGAAGCTATACACCCTCTGGATTGGTGACCATGTCGCATGTTTTCGGATGGGCGTAATTGAGAGTGTCGTGGTTGATTGGCGTGGTTCGTGCCACCCACCAGCCATCAACTTCTTACCCTCGAATTACTGTCACTCGCTTCCACTCAGTCAGGTAGTGCAGCCAGAACGGCTGTCTCCGATTCAGCAGGTTCGACATAGAATGACGAAGATATTTCCCGAGATGCGCTTGAATGTCTGTGCAATCGCCATCTTTAGGTCGATCCCTCCTGAAATCAGATTGCGTGTCAAGGTTGAGGATTTGGCTCGAGTCCTCGAGCTCGTGGTACCAGTCACGGTAGTTAATCAACCGTTCGAGGATAAAACTCCACTCCTTCATACTTTGGCTGCACAAGAACTCATTAAGCACCTGGCAGAGGGTAGAATACCACTTTGAAGGCCTGTGATGCCTACCATGAATGAGGAAGTTCGAAAGATGGCAAATGTCCAATTAGTAGGACTCGAGTACCAGCTTGCGAGCCAGTACACATCCTTTGTTACCATAGAGCCCCGGCGTGAGATGGAATGCAGCAGGCTACACTGGACGGTGTCAGTAGAAGGCTCTCCGCGGCAGCATTATAACACATTCCCACCTAGCATCATGTATGATGCTCCTGAAGATTATGTTTTGGGAATGGATGGTCAACGCAGTATTTGACTTTTTCACCCCAGATGCTGCCCCGACAGACTCGAGACGCCAAAGCTTGCTTCCTGGCACATATTATTCCACTGCACAATCACATTGGAGCTTGTTGTCCAGTCATGGCACACGTCCGTTTCATCACGATAACTCGAGCACGGCGAGTTCATGCTACGTCAGGGATGAGTATAGACAATGGTGAGACGTGGTGAGTGGTTCTTACAACGGACAGTACATGCTCTGAGGGTTCATTGGAATGCACATCCAGAAATTCGGTGACCACATCCACCAGCACGACAGAAGATCCGAGGACATGAGTAATCTAGTATCAATAATTGTTAGTTGAGTAGTAAAAATTCAACACTAGAACTTGCCTTGAGAACGAAGGCAGCAACAGGCCCTCCGGTGATTCCAATAAACCTTGTCAAGTCAGGCCACACGCGAACTGCCCAACCCTGGATGCCAGGAGGTCCGCGTCCCAGTTCATTGCCATTCGCAGTTAACCGATGCACAACGAGCAGACTGTCGCCTGCTTGGATTGACCGTCTTCGCAATCTATTGTTAACATTTGCGGATACTTCAGAAAAGATGTTGATAAGGTGGTTCCCTCTGACGCGGGAAGCGCGAAATAAATAGTGTTGGAGCAGGTGCAAGGGAGGCAGACACTTTGGAAATGTCTTCACTAATTTGCCAGATGTCATGCTAGACATGGCGAGGAAGTAGGGAAGTCCTGGAGCGAACATGATCTGTCGAATCGTTCTGCGTGAGCCAGTCCGGTCAGATGACGAGAAGGATGATAAGAGCAGAAGTTGACAAGTTTGGTGGGAGAGGCAGCGAAGTACATGAATTAAAGAAAAAAGGAACAGTGAAATCAATAATAATAATTTACAATACAGAATTCGGTGGGATCATAGAGAACACACGGAGACCTCCAGGCATAGCAGAGCTCTCACTCGCCAAAGTGAAATGAAATGGACATGAAATGAAGGAAAAAGCAAAAAAAAAAAGAAATATGTAGTACAGACTTCTGCGGGATCACAGAGGACACACGGACACCTCCAGCCATAGCAGGGCTCTCCCCCGCAGAAGTGAAATCAAATGAAAACTGAGTTACCATCACCGGTAGATGTCTCATGGCTATCATGGCATCGAATATGTTGCCCTCACCGGCAGAATTTGAGTAAGGATGAGATTGAAGTGAAAGGATTGAATATATTCCCTAGTTGAGGGATGCGGATAATACTAGGACTTCCCAACCAGGTTGAACCGTTCTACACCGAGTTGAAAAAAAGGAGGACATCTCGATCCTGGAATATCCAGCCCATCCGAACATCCGACCCATCCGACCCAAAGTCTTGCATGTATAATAAATATCACGGTCACAACTTACCACGTGACTCACAGCGCCGCCGCGCGTGTCGCGGCTGACACCATGACCAACTCTCAAGAGCCTTTTTAGAATAGGTTGAGGCCCAAAGGATGAGGTGGAGAGGACATCTCGATCCTGGAATATCAGGACCCATTGTAGTATTCATTCAATTATGAGTATGCGAAATATATAATATTTAATTACATGCAAAAGAATTATTAAAAAAAATGTGTGAAAATGGTAAAATAATTGAGCTCGCTGTGTGCAACAGCGAGCACGAAGGTTTCGGCAATGCACGCAGTGAGCGCGCGAGCGTGCTTACCTATTTTGGTTATCATTTACATGTCGCTGTCGTATCAGGTACGTGGGAACTACACGTGATGCTAAGTTAGCCATGGGTCGGATGTTCAGATGGGCCGGATATTCCAGGATCGAAATATTCTGAAAAAAAGGGAGACCGAGACTCAAGCTCAAGATCAACGACTGGCACGTAACTCATATATCACATGATGTATGGGGTTGTAGCGCGCGAATGACCTTATCCGTGGTGGTACGTACTTATATAAGCTAGTACGCAGCGATAGCACAGCAGAATATATATTATTTTCAGCAGAATATAAAACAGAGAACTATGGCGAGCTTCCTTGGCCTTGCCTGGCATCAAAAATCTGACAGACCTCGCGTGCAAGATGCTCTGCTAATTCCACACTGTCTGAATACACTGCTCTCGTGCTGCTGTCATCAGCAATCCTGCGAATCATATCTGCGTGACTGGTCAGTGTCTGACAGACATCAGCATCAAGATATACAGACCTGCGAACAGACTGGGATACTTGTACAACTCAACCGTTGCAAGCAACACGCCTCCTTCGGTGACAATTGTGACAGGCTGGCCCGAGGCAATGAGGTCTGCTGTGGTTTGGACATGAACAATGGGTGGGCTGCGAGTTCCTCGATCAACTGCTTGATGTGAGCAAAGTTCATACGGTGACAGTGAACACAGACGAAATATGAATGCACCCTCTTCACCAAAGATATCAAGTAGACCCTTGACAGAAGCGGACATGCTCAAAAATGCGAGTGCGCAATGGAATGCAAGTCAGGAGCTGAGTGTACAGCCCTGGAGCGATGCACGTCTGGGTGACAAAGTGGGGTCCACGAATCGGAGAGTCTGAGATTCACAAAAGAGATAGAAGGTTCAAGCCAGCAGGCCTGGGCCCGACCGATCATGAATGATGATCGATTGATCAGCGGAGGACTTGATCGGAAAAAAAGGTAGTCAAAATTGATTTTGATCTGGGCTGAACCTAGAAGGGCCGATGGTAAATGAATGAATAGGATCGGTGTCATGTTCCCATTTATGGGCAACTGCATGTAGTGCACGGTCACCCTGTACAAAGGAAAGGCAGTATCTGGCAGCTCATCTTGAATTCATGCCTGGTATGACCGTCAGAAGGACCACCTTCATTGAGGGCCGTGATAAAGGAGGTCAGTACCCTCTCCGTGAGCATTAAGCGGTCGGACTTCTGTCTGTGACAACCAGGCATGAGCACTTGGCACGGGAAATGTCCTGAATGAAATGCAAATGTGTGGGCGGTAACACAAGGCGATCAGACTCACCTGGCAAAAAAGGTTTATGAAAATTTTTGACATATGGCTGGCTGTGCCGCCGATCACAGAGGGACAATGCACAGACCAGGTAGCCTGGGTACAAATACTAGGCAGGGGGGACACCCAAAGGTCGAAAACCCCATCTACTCAAATCTTCAACGCGTTGTGCAATAACTTTGTCACTTACTATCTACCATCAACATGTCTGCTACCAACGGCAACCAAGGCACTTCCCCTTCTCGCGATTCCACCCCAGAGGCAACCAAAACTCCATTGTGATGTCCTTATGCAGGTACTCCGGTATGGCTCATGCCATCAACGAAAACACCTTGACTAGTGTCCCCTCCGTTAACAATCCTCGGCCTCTGAGGGTGATGGGGGACAATGCTGATTACTGGGTGAATGATGCGGGGGAGCCCTTCACTTTCAAATTTCCAGCGACTCTGGATCTCGAGGGTCAATTCGATTGGTCAGGCCCGTACTTCAATCTTCCACGCACTGGTGTAAGTACCTGTGATAACTTGTATGCATCCATTGTGAAACTGACACTCTTTCACCAGCTGGACTTGGTCACGATCAAGAAGATGCGTGCACAGTTTGAAGTCCGTCCTCTGGATATCCAGGCACGTGACGTGTATCCCCCAGAGGCCATCAAGTGTAGCTCCTCCGCGATCGACATGTTGAATGTGTTACATGGGGAAGCTGAGGATGTGAGGAATGCTTGTAAATTGGTTGAGTGTCTGCTGTGGTATCGCTGACCTACACGAATTTGCAGTGTTGCCATCCAGTGCCTCGTACCCGAGAGATGTGCCATTTTGGCGCCGTTACCCTCATGGAGAAAACGAGCACTTCTCAATAGTGTTGACCACTGATCTGCTCGTCCGCAATGTGCCTGATCCTGCCCGCTCATCAGTGCCACGTTTGAGGCGGTGTGATATTGGGAGTGCGTACATGTCGCCTTTCTGGCCATCTCTATATCCTGACTGAACTATCATTTGCCTACAGAAGGTGACACTATGCAAAGCCCATGTGAGTGTGCCACTGACCGTCATGTGAGTCTATCTGTGGACTAAGTTTGAACTTGCAGCGAAGGCCAAGCGGCCGCTATGGCTGGTGGTCTTCCTGGAGGTCCTCCTGGTGGAGACGCTCCTCCGACCACTAACGTGGACGGTGTGTTTCTCTTGGCATGCATGTTCGTCCATTTGGTTGACGTAGCTTGGTCAGGACTCCAACGCTTGTCAGACCTGCCCGATCCCCTTGGATGGTATGCAGCGGTTATCTCTCAATATAACTTGAGAGAGTGTACCATCGCTGCACCGAATGTCCGGGATGGCAGTGGGGTCCTCATTGGCCCACACGAATACAGGTCTAGGCTTGCCACTGGCGATGTCGTCATGGTTGAATGCCAGCTCAAACTGTAAGTGACATAAGATCAGTGTGATTGCAGACATATGCTGACGTGACCTCAGATGGACGATTTCCCCCAACAGGAGGGATAACAGTCCGGCAGAGGAGAAAAATGGATCCCGTCGTTACCAGGTCATGCTGAAGTCAATGAGACTGCTGCCGGACACTAGTATGTCGGAGACGACAGTGGATGCAAAGGGTAAGCGCAAGGCCAGAGAAAATCCAGATGACGCTCCAGCCAGCAAGAGGTTTGCCGAATATGAAGATGACGATGACGAAGATCCGCGTGCGAGAGGGAGTGGCCACCACGTCCGCGAGAGCCATGCCATGGAGTGGTCAGATGATTGAAGGGAGTTAGGTCTAATCACCAAGGCCAGGGCGCCATTTCTCGATAGATGTGTATGAGATGTAGACTGTTCATCGGCTGAATTGTATTGATTGTTGCCTGTTTCACGTCTGAACGCTTGAAGACAGTTCATGGTGCGTGGTTGTCCTGTGTGTGTCCCTATATGGAGGGGATGACGGCAGCAAGCCTGGCAGGTCTAGATGTCACATACTGACTGCAAGAGTGAGCGATGGTGGTGCCAATGACACCACGATGTGATGGTTGATTAAGATTGCTGCGTTCAATCACAGCGAAACAGTGTTCCTTAGTACGGTACTAATATTGCACGTCTCTATCATACAGCAATACGAGTTTGTGTATTGTGACCTGTATATGACATCTGATTCCAGTGGCGTCCACCCTTGCTACAAAAATGTGCGTGAATGGATGGCGCTGCGGTCTTTTTCAGTGCGATCCTGTCTGAGGCGATGACTTGGACAGACCTTGATATCAGGAAGTTGGCAAGGAGTTGGTCTCTCTTGGTCATATTCATGAGGTGGTATGGCGTGTCTTTCATTTGCTTGACTACCAACACGCTGCCCTGAAAGGTTTCTCGGGAACCACTCATGGACGCCATTCTGCTGAGTAGGCGACTGCGTCGGATAGATGGATGAGGGGTTTCCACATACAATGTATAGTGACCGTCCAACGTAACGTGGCTTCCAGGAACTTTGGTAAAGGTGCGACACAGGTGACGGCGAGTAGCTGTGCAGTCGGCTGCATGGCGCTGTTTGACCCAATAATTCACATCAAGGTCATCCAATGTTGGGGGTCTTGATACACCATCTCAGACTGGAACAGGTACGAGGAATGGCCTCTGGCACCCAGCCCCATAGAACACACCTGCCACCAGCTGGAGGAAGTGCTGAGACAGTGTCAGGAAGGGCACATTGATCAGACCTGTACATGTATGCTCACTGGTTGGCGACATCATATCTCACTCGGCAGGAATTTGACATCTGCGCCTGTTTGGACATCTGGTGAGTCGTCCTGACATCTCCAAGTAGTGAGCTTACAGTTAGATGCCCCTGTGGTGACAATGTTTCGCATCATCACGGTCACACAATGAGGACATCGTGCATTGACACACAATGTATTCAACCGCCATTCAACATCAATGTTGTGGCAAACCCTCGTCACGGAATCGTCCTGGTCCCAGTCGACTGACATACGGAGGTGTTTGTCTTCGACATGGTGCCAGTATGTGGGACACTGCTTGCCGCAAGGGATCCGGAGGAAGGCAGTGCCTCTCTGCACGTCAAAGACATCATGCAGTTCACCGGCGCATCCCAGTTTTTGGTTGCATGGGACCAAATCACCGGTGCGGGTTTGAATGGCCAATCGTTCTTCAAACCACTCAGGATAAAAGTAGCAGACTCCACCAGTAGTCATGAATGCCATGTCTGCAGTCGTGGGGGCACTTAGAACAATGTGCAAGACACTTTGCACTTTGTGGGAAGCAGCAAGGGTGATGAATCGGCCATGGCGTGCGTATCTGCAGAACCTACCAACCGAAGGTGCGATGGCCAGATGGGGTATGGTCAATGTGGGTGTAAATCCAATGGTCTGCTCGAGTGTGGCATCCAAATCGTCGAAGTGCTGGTGTGGGACAAGGATGTTGAGATCCCGTACAGTGTAGCCCTCATCGAGTCCCACCATGGCTCGCATGGTAGACCCGGTTATGACACCATCAAGGTGTCGCAAGGCTGAGAGGAAAATGGAGAGATGGTCTCCTATGAAAGGCACCAACAGGCGTGCCAGCCTTCTCTGCACAACCTGTTGGCCCAACTGACTCATCATTCGACAAGTCCGGCTGATGGAGGTGATGTCAGTAATCATGAGCATGTCCAAAATGGTCGCAGCAATGTCTGCATTCTGGGTGACTGCAATGGCGATAAGTACAGGTGACACATGAGCACAAATTTCTTACTTTTCATTGTGTGAGCTGGACTGCCTGGCGAGCAGGAAGATGGAGAGGGTTGCGCACTTGCGATTCCCGGTGAAAGAGGTTTGCTCTGCAGCAGGGTTGGACCATGCTCGGACATCATGCAGAACGGCGCGGGGCAATCGGTTTCACTGGTGGCTTGGCATGTCTCAGGTCTGTCATAGTCTGATTATGGTCTATTTGCTCGAAATATACAAAAGAGACGTATGTAAAATAGTTGGAGAATACAAATAGGATCAGGAGGAGGAACGTGAATTGATGTGGGAGAGGGCGGCAGTCTGGAATGACAATGATTATAACAAGTAGCTTCTGAATTCACATGAGTGCGAGGAGTAGGAACAAAAGTGTCGACTCACAGGAGATCAGTCGAGTATGGTGGGCCTATCTAATGAGAGACGTTGTCAATGTGAGCCTCCGAATGATTGATTGCCAAGGTCAGCCTCGCGTCGCTGGCCAAGAGTTCAGCAACAGCGACACCCTCCACACATACAATGTGGACTGCAGCATCATAGGCGATGGAGTGAATGACGCCTGCGGATGTCAGATACACGAAAAACATCAATGTGATGGACTTACATGCAAGCGAGTCAGGGTGTGCAAAGATACCACGAGCGACGAGCAAAACACTGACTGAAGGGTGATGGGTGGATGATCGAGAGGGTGAATGGCGAATATCTGCACTTGGGACAACATGGAATTGAGGAGCACGTCGGCTGCCACGATCAACTGGTGGAGGCAGGGATGAGCAGGTGAACGACTCTGAAGCAACCAGTACACATACTGAATATGAACGCAGCATGGCCAGCAAATATGTTCATCAATGAGTAGATAGCATCGCACATGGTGGACGATGACGGCCAAGGGATTGGAGGTATGATTGAGTGAGTGTGAGAGGTGTTAAATGCAATGGTTCAGACTTGTGAGACATGCCAAGAATGATCAGGGACTGAGGAGACCATGGTCGATCAGAAGGGTTAAACGAGAACAGCGTGGGCAGTAAAGAAAAGGCATGGAGGACGGAAATGGATACTTGTTCCCGTGCTGATAGAAAATACGGAAGTCAGGGACTTGGTGCGGAGGCACCGCTACGATTTGATAGATCGAGAATTGGTATAGCTAGGACTAGTACTTACAGCGGCCTATCTCGGTCTGCGCTCAGCGCTCAAATTCAAACTCCATCTGATACATATGCGGGTACCTGAGCGCTTTGGCGACATATGTCATAGGTATCTTAAGGTACCGGTTTTCAACAAGCCAGGGGTATGGATCATCCTGAGCAGCCCTGTCCCCAAATCCTGCGGCAAAATCACTTCTAATATGTGGTGACAAGCATGACCAGATAACGACGAGCAGAGGAGAGTAGCGAACGAACGAGTGACAGGGTGATGGACAACGGGACGAAAGGGACATGCTGGCAGTGCAAGCTGAGTGTATCAGTATGAGTATTGAGAAAAAGTAAAAGTGAATAAAGTAATGGATGTAAAGCACAACGAAACAGCAGGTTCAAAAAAAAAACCATGAGACCACGACCAAATTAATTTGCAGCGACCACGGAATAATAGCAGCGAGCAAAGGCAGTAGTAAATTATGGTACATGCGAATTCCGGACGGATGGACAATGAGAATGGAAGATATAGACAGCAGTCCAGGAAAGTCGACGGCTGCCTCAGCTATATGCACTAAACTGCTCCCCACCATGCCCCACGCTATTCGAAGGAGGTACAGCAGATGTGTATTCAGCCGGAGGCAACATATACGAGTTCATACTGCCACCGATTCCAAAATTAGCAGACGGAGCAGAGCTCAACGCAAAACTGCTCTCTGCTGGGTGCTGCAATCCAGGTTGGGCATATGAGGTCTCCGTGGGAGGAAACGTGCCATCCCGCGGAAATGGTGGATAGTTTCCTGTGTGAGGGTATTGGTTGGATTCTGGGGCGAAATGATATACGTTGGACTGGGCCGTTGTGTCTACGGGCGTGGGATATGAGGAGTTGTGTTTGATGTTGTTCTGAATATGATTGTGCGGCACTCCTTCTTGGATGGTGGGTATACTGAGCCTGCGGCTTGCTGTGGTGGGCTCCATGGGACCTAGATAGGTGTTGGCGGTAGTTTCAGGTGGGAGCTGCGTAGCCACATGTCAGCATCTCGTCAGAAACGTTCGAGGTAAAATGACTAATTACAGGATTGTAACAAAACAAAACCTCGCTTGTTCGCAGACCCGAGGGGCCAGGGTCCTGGCTGTATCCAGAGTGTGGACTTCCGCCAGGTGAAACAGTGGAAGTAGAGGAAGAGTGTGTTGAAGAGATAAGTCGTTCTCTGCATCCGGACAGAGATAAGTCGTCCTCTGCTTTCGGACAGATTAACATTGCATTTGGCTATTGGGCAACCTTACCACTTCGTCGTATCACGCGCTTCATTCTTGGCACCTGTGATAACAGGTGTTCCCTGTGTTGGTAGGAAAATGAAGATGCGGCGTTTAAGTGAGCCTCATTGAGCGATCTCTGGCTGGACCGCATGTTCAAACCGGACATACGTGTTTCGAGGTTGGATGCACTGTAACGTAAAAAACATCAGTGAACGAACATGTCAATCATAAAAGCGCAGCGTACCAAGACCCTCTCCTGCCATTAGAATCGAAATGATCAATGCCAACACAACTGCTGACGTCTGAATAAATTGCACTGGTCGCGCTGGTGTCGCTCCCACAGATGCTAGCAATCGAGCCGTATCTAGATAATCCAGTAGAACTGTATGAATCCTCCGCATCCTGATCTGCCTCATTGCGAGGAAAAGCCCATGCGTGCAGGTTCCTGATAGATTCTGCATCCGGTGAGACATGTGGAGGGGACCCAGAAGTTGGAGCGCCAAACTGAAAATCAGGCTTTGGCAGGGGGCCAGGAATAGGCGACGGGAGCGCTCTGGAGCTCATTGTAAAGCGGTTGTCCGAGAGCCGGCACGGCACGTGCGGGAACGGAAACGGTGGACGAATCTCCGGTACAAGGAAGGAGCGAGTAGGCGAGAAGACATGGGGCTCTGACGCTCTATGAGCCGAAGAAGGGTGGGTGTAAGGGCTATAGGAAGTAGAAGAGCTGTAACTTGTTATATGTATGCTTGGCGCACCGAGGCTGGACGGTGGATGGGCCATGGACTGACACCCTGCAGGAGATATGGGCGGCCTGAGAAAGATCACATCATTCTTCTCCTTTGCAACGCGTGCGAACAGATGATGCATGAGCCTAAGGAGACTGACGTCCATAGACTTGCGTCTATCTGGGAAGTGGGAAGGTGGCTGGTTGGCGTCTGTACTTGGCGTGGACGCGGTGATTGGCAGCGACCCTCTACGTGTGTTCAGAAGGTCATTATTGTCCTGCCAAGTCAAGTCCACTGGCAAATGGCGAACATATGGGGGAATTTCGGCAGGAGTGGCTGGGTTACTGTGCCAAGCTTCTGTAGGGGGCACAGGAAGAGAAAATGAAAACTTTGTAAGATGACTTTCAGCTGTTGGTGATCGCTCCACTGGGTGTGGCTCTGGTGAGGGTGGTTGATCGTCTTCTGCAGGGGCGTGTGTTTTTCCGTGGGGGTGGAAGAATTGGAGGAGTCATTGGGGGAGGTGTCCCTGGAAGACTGAGACTTTTGAGGAGAGTGAGCCGAAGGGGAATCCTGCTGAGTCGAGTCCTGAACACTTTTATGAAGAGCTTTGTCCTTTGCACGCCTAAGAATGAATAAATGAATGGATTAATGAATGAGTTGAATTAGAAAAGCGAGTGAGAAGAGAGCGCAACATACCCGTTTTGAAACCACACCTTTTGGTGGCACGCGAGATTGAGCAGTGAGGACGCGACGAATTGACGTTTAGAACACACCTGGACCGCACGTGGAAGCATTTCAAGTTCTGCTGCTAACTGGTTACGCAGGGCAGCATTTGGTTTCGTATCTTTACGAAATATATCTTCCAGGACCTTGAGCTGTATACGAGATGTACGCTTTCTATGCTTGACCTCGTTTGGAATATAAGGAAAGAAAGTTCTGAAGTTGGGTCTACGCCTGGAGCGAACAATGAATGGATACAGGTAGTTCCAGTGGTATACCTTGAACTTTGGTCCATTTGGTTTGGGAGGAAGTAACTGCGAGAAGGAGTAGGAAAGAGATCAACGCGATATAACGCGGAAAGAGGATTGGTGTGGGAGGGAAAAAAACAAGAGTGAGGTGTGGAAAGTCTAGCCATTCGAGGCAGAGGGGGAAGTTTGGGAGCATGAGGTCTTGGTGGACGTAGAGATTGTCTTGGGATCTGTCGTAGATATAGATATCTCGAGTTGGGAAATGTCGTCTGCTGTGTTTGCGATGGCTAGGAGGTTGTCTGTTGGGAGGATCTCGAGTTCTGAGCGCTCGTCATGTTCAGGGTCCTGCACGGTGTTAGATGCAAGTAAAAGAGAGACAAGGTAACCGTACGTCTTTGAGTGTGATATATGGATCGTGCTAGTTATTTCTATAAAATGCAAGTCCTCTAATATTGCTGAATGGACCCATGCCTGTGAAACATCAGCATCACCGAAGAGGCCGTGTCGACAGACGTGCCATCTTCTTTGACATCGGGTTGCTCATCGTCTGTGATGATGAGCATAATTTTTTGTGATCATGGCCACATGACTACTTCCGACTCACGATTTGAAAAATTGGTCATGGCAAGGGGACCCCTTGCCATGACGAAGCTGCCGTCGCGTCCTCCTCAGTTTGGGTGTCGCGTGCCGTGGTGGCGGTGTTGCTTGCATAAGCCTGTGTGTGACCGTCAATTTGCTCGTGATCAGCTCTTCTTCAGCAGCACTAATCAAAACCAAGAAATTCGGATTCTCTTATGCGGTATGCATCACGCAAATACTCCAACCGTGCTTTTAATATCCGGCTCTCCGTGTATTGATATGGGACCCTATTGCGATTCTACCAGTTGCTGGCTCTAATGTATGAATTCAATCACGAACCCAAACATGATCACAGCTCTCCCATAGTTGTGATCAAAATTGATACCCTCTGACACTTTTCCATGCGCAACCGACAGAAGAACAGCTCCTCGACCATTATCGCAAGCCTGTAGTAATTCTGTGAGTGGTCGAACTTCTGTGTGGCATAGGCACTTCTCACTCAGCGATAGTCTTCCAAAGCAATGCTCATCTCGTTTGCATCTGGTGTTTCCACAAATATTAACTTGTTCTTCCAGACCTTGTTGAGAATACCCTAAGAAAATGATGAATAGGGTTTCATCTCTTGGGGTACATAGATTTACCATATCATTCCAAGCTGCAACGATGGACTCCATGTAAAGATAACTAGGGAAGAAAGCCACAATGCCGTCCGGTACGATCTTGCTGTACTCGATGAGAATACTTCCAAAGTTGCGAACTATGGCAGGGTCGTTTCTGACTTCGAAACATGAACTGATAGCGACTTGGTCACTTCTTCACGTGATGACCTTCTATTTTCAGTGGACAAGAGCACAGAGATTAGCAAGACAACTCACTAACGGTAAGAAAGCATTGCGTGTGAGTGTCATAGGATATGTTTCTTGCACGACGGGAGTGAATTGCAGCATCTTTGGATACATGTCCAACGGGGAGATGGTCCCTGAAGTGATTACAACGCTGCTGAAATGCTCGAATACAGGTTTGATTGCGAGCGACGGGTCCAGGCATCTGAAATTAATGCTCAGTAGGCAAAGAAAGTTCAGAATAGATAACCAAACTCTCACGTGAAGTGGAAGATGGGATTAGTAACGGTCGCGTTATCGGTTTCGAATGGTTCAAGAATAAGAAGAAACCCTGTAACAGAGTTAATATCGACATTAATAAGAATTAGGGTTCGAACCCTTTTCGTAAGTTGCAACAAGGGTTGCAAAACTTGCGACCTTCTGCAATGCTGAGTACTTATCTAGCCGATTCAGCTCCAATGTATGGATCATCGACTGTAGTCGCTCTGCACAAAACCTGAAGGCTGACGTTAAAGAATACAGGCGGAAAGAAAACAATACTTGCCGCAGTGGTCGCCGCTCAATGTAAGTTATATCTTTCAAGTGCTGTAGAAACGACAATGGCGTTTCCGCAACGACATGCAAAACGTGCATGCTGGTCTATGGCAACTGTCAACACAGTGTGCCGCATGGGTGTCAGACCAAAAACCTTAAGATATTCCATGAATCGCTTCAAAAATGCCACAAAATGTTCGGCCTTCCTGATGTTTCCTGGAACAGCTTCTTTTAGGAGGTCGTCTGGCAAAACTTTCCTGGAAATTTTAGTAGAGTGGAAAGCTACTTTCTTTCTCGACGAACCTGGGTTGGCCATGAATGCGTCTTCCTCAGAAGCTTCTGCTGCTGATTCCTGTAGCCCCTCGACAAGTCTCGCATACTCGTCCTGTAGTTTGGCCGCGTCCGTTTTCTTGATCCTAAAAATATACTTGGGTGCTACGATCACAATAATATATAAAACACTAACTCGTCTATTTTTTCACCCAATTTCACAACACTGCGTGCAGCTGAATCTAACATCGGTCGGGTCAAGTCAATGCTCAATGACTCGATGCACACATTGTCTGCGATGGATTATAGAAAATTCAAATAGTTATTCGACAAGGCTTACCGATATTGTGAGCTTCATCAAAAACGACGATGGCGTCTTTTGAGAGTTCTTTGGAAACTTGTTTGGCAACTTTGGGATCAAGCAGATAGTGGAATGAGTAGATGATAACATCCACGAATGGCATCTTGTGCAGTTGATGAGGGGTAATGTATGATATTGATGTCACTCACCACTCGCCGAACCGTGAAGTATGGACATGTCGTGTTTTCACGCCCGTGCTGAAGAACGTCGGCTAGAGTCCATATGCCAGGGGGTATTAAAGAGCCAGGTTCTAAGACGACTTAGCACCCATGGAGCAACTGATGCAAATTTCAATGACTCACCTCGTGCCAATCGCACAATTCGACTGAACCTGGATCTGTGCGACCTTTCTCGCATGCAGCAGAGTTAGTGAGGTCTCGACAACGGGCGTCGACTACCTTGCCCTTCTTCTCCTTTGAGACCTAGAAAATTAGCATACAGAGAAATGTAAGCTGTGGAACGGGCTCTTTATAATGTGTACTCACGTCTGGGTGTATGCAGAGGTTCTTCCTACTCGTGAGTCTGAGTCTCATGAAACTTGCTTCTTTTGCTTCTTGTTCAGGAGTCTCCATAAACTTGATCCGGTACGCCATGAGACGCTTCAGCTCAGCCAATGCTTTCTCGATCTCTGGAACTGTCCGGGAGCAATAGATAAGTTTCTGTTTCATAGGGTAAAACTAGTGAGAAGTGTTGAGAAACATGCTATGATGTGAGCTTGGAAACATACCTGCTGATATGATACAATTAGAGACAGCAGTGAGAGGGTCTTCCCTGTTCCTGAAGGCATTTCCAAAATGCAATGCCCCTAGAGGAAAGCAGTCAGAATGGCATGTCCAGGACAATATCTACGTGTGCCGTACCGTTGCATCCAGGGTTCTTTTGAGATCACACATGTATGCATATTGTTCTGCAGGTGACAGAGTTAATGTTGAGTATGGCTGGCATTTGAATGTACGAACCAGGGTAAATTCGGTCATAAGGGAAGACAATCTGAAATAGAGAACTTCAGCATCATTGATGTTCACCAAACATAACAACAATACAACAATACAAACAGGTAGGTTGTCGATAAAGAACTTCATGAACACCGATGGTGGCAAGGAAGTGCGAGTCCAGACAGACCTAATTACGAGGCAGCGTGACCGTCTGTCACAATCGTGGGGCGCAGCTATTTTGACGTGGTCCTGCCGCGCCTGCCGCGGTCGTGACGCGGCGTGACGCGCATGTGACGCAGTACTGATGCGGCACTGACGAGCCTTGACGCGGCACTAACGATCCTTGACGCAGCCACTGACGCGCCATTCCTATATTCTATATTCAACTTCCACATCAAGTTGGATGAGTTCACGACCATTCTTTTGTTATTTTATTTGCCTCAGAGCCATGTACAACTAGGTATACATAAGCCAATGACTATTTTCTTTTCCTCCCTCTCTGGACTCTTCGAGCCTGTGGAGCACATCGACGTTTAACGGGCGGACATTCTTCGGCCGGCAGACAAGGAACTACAGCTTCGGATAGCTCGTCTGCAGACTCCAAAGATGTAGCATCAGAGTTATCACTGAATAAGGGGCCGCGCTATCAATCACATAAGTTAGATATCTATCGAACGGAGCAGGTAATGTCTTCCTCACTTCAAGTTCACTCTCACTATAATCTCTTGCAGAAACCCATTCATCAGGAATTCCGAGATACACATTCCATCGCCTGTGATGTTGGCCAACATCCAAACCCCACTGCTGGTTGCCTGCAGGTCCTGCTTCTTCAGAATCCTCAAACATCCTTCCTTCTAGTGCAGTCAGACACTCGAGGTCGAATCCAAGACCAACAGCAGGGCCAGGGCACGACTCTGAAAGTTGTCCGCTTTGGCAGGGTCAATAACTCCATTGATTTTTTTAACACGTGTGACCTGAGACCGGTAATGCTGCTGACAGCCTTTGAGGAGTGCTCCTGCTGCATCTTCAAGTTCAGCCTGAGAACGTGAATCCTCACGATTGGTCCAGAACATAATGAACGCTTGAGTAAACCCAACTCGTTCAGCCTCGCTGAAGTCGACAACCTGGATCAGCGAATGTCAGAATGAACACTATGTACCAGTAACCAGAGCCTTACATTGCCAAACAATTCATCATTGACTTCACGCCCGTGCTTCTCGCATTCATCTGCCATGGAGTTGAAAAGGACAAGAAAATGTAATCGGTAGTGCTCGGCTGAACCTCCATTTGCATAGGTCATGAGTCCAGGTACCCAGCATGCGAGCAAAGCAGAATATGTTGAACTAATTATGAGAAGATCCTTAGATGAGTACCAAAACGTGACACCATGAATTGAGTTTGAATGACAACGACAGTGACTGCTTCGAATTGAGAATACAAAACATATCCTGGATGGTTCTTCTGGAATTCTGCGAAGTCATCAACAAAGTTTCGAGTGGACTTGCCCCGTAGTGCTTGCAGCTCGGCCTTGACACGGTCCTGGTTGAGAAGCACTGTGGAGATCATTGAAACAGATTCACGGGTACCAGTAATGCTGTTGCGACCAGCAATTAATGCCGCAGGGCCAGCAGCAGGATTTTTGAAGACTATTTGTTCGAATCTTGTCCGCTCGTCACGAGATAGATGCAAGATGTGAGTTTGTTTCGGATGGTGGTGAATGCCCTTGTGAATGTAGTAGACGCCTCCTTTGAATGAATACAACACTGATGTGACACCGCAGTCGATGTGCTTGAGCTGACTACCACAAAGGTACGATGCATTGAGTTGTCCCATGATACCAGCCCGGCGGGTCTGCGGACGTGTGACTACCTCACAGGTAGGTTCATCACAAGTAATGACACCCAGGCAAACATGTCTCGTCTTTTTACCTTGCGACCACGCAAGTGCTGACTCTGACCCCCTCTTGTCTCCTCCTCCTGACTGACAAGCCCAATGTTCACTAAGATTGTCAGTTCTTAATACCTGGTCCCATGTTAATAACCTTTCAAAGTCACTGTCCGGCCATGGGTCTCATAACTCATCTCCACCGCCAGATTTGGGACGTAGGGAATTGGAAGATTGATCCGGACCACGGCGTTGATTTGTTTGGGCTGCAGAAGGACTAACACTTCGGGCACGTCGGCGTGGTATAGACTTTGTGTCCGTGCAGAGTTTGAATAACTCTTGTGAGTGGTGTTTCATGTGTTGAGGGAGGGGTGGTGGATTTGGGACGGAGTGTGCAGGGTCATGTGATGGCTGAGCGGTCTGCAGACTCTGCACGGAGGCCGGAAGATAAGCTATTACGTTGCCTGTTCTATTTGTCAAATCTGAGTTCACAAGGAGAATATGTCGGATGACGCACCTGAACGGTCATAGCAGGGTATGAAGTCCCCAAAACTCAGCAGCGGACCCGGCCGATCTGGATAATTTTGATTTTCCGTCTCGTTGAGATAGAAAAAGTTGAATATATGTTTGATTAATTGCTAAAAGATGGTTATAACAAGTTTACTCCGTATTTTAAAGAACTCACAAAGGCCATGATACGATTTACAAAAGCGCGATAATAACAGTTGTTTCTCGAGCCCAGAGGAGACAACGAAAGAATGCTTAGTAAAATAAATTTATTTAATATTCGCCGCCGTGACTATTACCCACGCACTTGGATCCATCTCTCCTCGTGCACCTCCTTTCCCTTGCGCTGCTTTTCCTGGATCCGCGCCACGTGTTGACAACTCCACCAGGGAAGTTTGCCCCCATTTTCTGGAATGCAGCTCATGGTGCAATGGTCTTCTGTGGGGAGAGCTTGATGAATGCTGGAGAGGTGACCCATTTTGGTGTATACGAAGCCCGCTGAGCAGCGCTAGGTATGTTAGAACGCAACAGGATCGACCCACGTACTGATTCTGCCCTTCTAGCATGTGCTGTAAGTTCGAATCAGACATGCTCCTGCTGTAACATGCACCAATTTATTCATTCAGGTAGAGCTCAAGAATCTTCTGCAACATCCCTTTGAGAAAGCCGCTGAGAGCGCCTTTTCCATGTATGATTATCCTTCCGTTCAAGCCTTTATTGAACATGGCATTGTGGACCACATGGCGAAAGAGCCATCTGGCATCTCTGTCAAAACCCTCCAGTCAGAAGTGGACCTTGACTCCCACAAGCTCACCACGGTATTACGCCATCTGTCAGTTTATGGTTGGATTCGAGAGACTCAGGATGGTATTTTTGCCTTGAATCGCTCCTCTCGCATTTTACTACAAGGCCAAAGGGGTCATGCAGTAGTGATGTAGGATTCTTTTGCCCACCGACTTTGCACAATTAATCTTGTTATAGGGCTCCCAACTACATGAGGATTGCAGAGGCTCTTCCTTGATGGCTTGTGCATCCCGAATTCAGGTTCTCTAAGTCTCCAGATCAAGATTTCCTGCCCTCCGTCTTGTTGTCCAGGAGAGGGAAGAGATGGTCGGCCCTGCTGAAGCTAACATCAAAGCCCATTTGGATCCCAACTTAGTTCATGGCACAGTAGTTGCTGAAGCCAACGACTTGTTCTCTGTTCAACCACGCACTGGGGATAAATATACCTTCATATTACGACATGTTCTGTGCGCTACACCTTCATGATCCTTAGTTATCCACTGACGTTCTTTCATAGGCACGACTGGCCCGAGGCTCAAGCTGTAAGTCTTTTTTTATCATCGACATCAAATCTTAGTTGATGTTTCCAGGTGAACATCTTGCTGCTGCTGCTGCAGGACCAAAGGTTCGTTCTCAACATCACTTTGTAGTTCCGAGAGCACGTTCAATATCTTTCCAGTCCAAAATCCTGATCATCGAGAGAATTTCTGGGCACTATCCCGACACTCATGTCGAGCTTGAGCATAGCCCAGCAAACACAACGGATAGCACAGCTCCTGCTTCACTCATAACCGAGCAAACCATTCTCAATTCCTCATTTCGCATGCCACAGGCACTCGCCTTGCATCTCTTGTGTATTTTGAATTGCCACGAAAGGACATTGGTACGCCTGCTCCGTCTTGGCATGAACTTTGCTCACCATTCTTTCAGGATCAGTGGCGAACTATAATTTCCCGGGCTGGCCTTGTCATCACAAGGGTGTACAAACTTAGGGCTTACGTGTCTATCATGGACTGTCGCGCTATTCATGCAGACGAGAGTTGAGATGACATTATATTGACAACTCGTTATCTGCTATAAATCTTCGGTCGTCTGTTTTTTAATCAACAGTGTCTACAGTAGAAGATCACTGAATACAATGTTTGCACAGTCTTATCCTTCGTTCGTCTCCGCAAACAGACAGCGTGTCTCTTCGCGTTCTGACTCTCGATAACGCCGTGTACAATTGACCGGGAGCAAATGGATCCTTTCGCAGGTCAAGCTTCAAGGACGGACGCCAAACCCTGTGGAATGTTCTAGTATAGTACAAGTTCTACTATCAGCTAGTAACACACATTGTTTACCTAGATGAATTCTACAGTCATTGTGGTCGAGTAAGCGAGTAAGCGATGTGTCTATCACGGCTCCGTCTGGCTAGTCACCAAACCCAGAAATTCAAGACTTATCATAGTTCTTTATCGAAAACTGCGCAGAATATAGTAGTCATATGAGTCCTGTCGCCTGGAGCGGCCAGAGCCAGAACACTCTCCGCAATATTCTTCTCTGTAGAAGAGTGCGCTGCAATATCTGCGTAAATCCGAATGTGGTTACGATGAATGAGCAGCCGTAGAGTCGAATGATCCTGCCCAACAGCCTTCCAATATTCTGACAGGTCATTTGAATCCCGAAGTATCGTCTCCGCTTCCGTCATCATCACGGTGCGGACAGCGAAATCATCTCCTTCGGTTGATGTGGCCTTCATCTCTTTCCACTCTCTCCAGTTCTTGTGCCCGCATATGACTGCCAGCTGATCACGACCCATGTCAAGGAGTACCCGCCGGCGGATCTTATTGATCGCGACTTTATCCTGTAACGCCCAAACATGAGTATGCAAAGAAACCACACAAAAAACACAAGACGAACACCCAAAACAGCTCTAATAGTTTCATCGATTCTATCACTCAGTTCGGCATTGTCCCGCTTTAGCTCAGCGTTGTCCCGCTTCAGCTCGACATTATCCTGCTTCAGCTCGGCATTGTCCCGTTTCAGCTCAGCTATGTCACGCTCAAACCTTTCCTCCATTGCCTCAAATCTACGAAGAAGGGCGTCAATGCCTACTGAGAATACATTAGTCCAAAAGTTATGAACTTAGGCCACGAAAAACACACCTGGTTTGACATTACACTTAGGGCTCTCCTCTCTAATCAACGACGCAGCATTTTTCTGAGCCTTGAAGTTTCGTACATCATGGATAGCGTATTGAAGAGCATCGACGAAGGGCGAGGGTGTCAAGCACTGTCCTTTAGGAGGTTCTGGGTACACGACCATCGTCAAATTACCCTCTAGACTGCGTATGATGGTATTATCGTCCTTTGGAGCTGATCAAGTATCAGAATATGTATCCATCCTGTCATAAGTGTAGCGGTGCGTACCTGGGTAAAAGTCGGTACAATCGGGGTCTAAGGAGACATGCGGCACACCGGGAAGGATATTCAAGTGATCCCTGATTGCCATCATCCCCTCCTCCTTGGCTCTGGCGACAGTTGAACTACCTGGTAAGTCTATAGATTTCTGCAACTTCGTCTCTGCATAGAGTACGACAACTTGCTTGCGATCGGAAGGCATCGTGTGGAGATGGGCAATGCTCAGCCATCTTCAAACTCCGCACATGATCTGTACCCTAGGAATAGTTGTGACGGTTCCGCGTCACAATCGTGTCACGACCGCACCTAAGGCCCCACACATTGGGGCTGTCGATATTTAGACAACCTTGGGACTTCGCCGTTCGGTGAGTGACTGTCTCTCATGTACCATTATACCCTCGCGTTTTGACAACCTCGCCATGAAATGTGACGCCTCTGAAACCTTACAGGAAGGCCTTCACAGCATCCGCTTCCGGGCACCACAGCTTCTCAAAGGCCTCGATACTACCGATCTCAGGCTCATCATTGAGCAACCTCATCTTTTGTGTATCATGGTAACTAATCCCCGTCCCGCACATCCCACGTATCTTACCCAAATTTTAGGGTAAAATGCGGCATTTCAGCCAACCAGCCCTCCAAATACGTCCTCAATGAGAAGGAACTCGAGCGCGTCACACGTATCGAGCTTGAGGATGCGTGGATAGAGGTGGAGCGCGCGCGGAATACTGTCAAAAGTATGAGAGGGTGCTGAGGCGCATGATGCGGATGATAATGGTGATGAAGATGCATGGGTCAAGTGCGTGATTTTGATTCGGCTCTTTGTTATGTTTGCTGATGGTATCGTGAAGTGAGGAGGATGCGTCGATGGAGGTGGACTGGGATGTACAGGTCGATGTGCCTGAGAAGGCGGACGATCTTGCGCCGCACAAGTTGGATGAATACGACGATTGCGATGTCAAAGAAGATGGTACGTCTGTCGACACGGCCTCTTCAGTGATGCTGATGTTGCACAGGCATGGGTCCATTCAGCAATATTAGAGGACTTGCATTTTATAGAAATAACTAGGACGATTTATATATCACGCTCAAAGACGTACGGTTGCCTTGTCTCTCTTTTACTTGCATCTAACACCGTGCAGGACCCCGAACATGACGAGCGCTCAGAACTCGAGATCCTCCCAACAGACAACCTCCTAGCCATCGAAAACACAGAAGATGACATTTCCCAACTCGAGATATCTATGTCTACGACAGATCCCAAGACAACCTCTACGTCCACCACGACCTCATGCTCCCAAACTTCCCCCTCTGCCTCGAATGGCTAGACTTTCCACACCTCACTCTCGTTTCTCTCCCTCCCACACCAATCCCCTTTCCGCGTTATATCGCGTCGATCTCTTTCCTACTCCTTCTCGCAGTTACTTCCTCCCAAACCAAATGGACCAAAGTTCAAGGTATACCACTGGAACTACCTGTATCCATTCATTGTTCGCTCCAGGCGTAGACCCAATTTCAGAACTTTCTTTCCTTATATTCCAAACGAGGTCAAGCATAGAAAGCGTATATCTCGTATACAGCTCAAGGTCCTGGAAGATATATTTCGTAAAGATACGAAACCAAATGCTGCCCTGCGTAAAAAGTTAGCAGCAGAGCTTGATATGCTTCCACGTGCGGTCTAGGTGTGTTCAAAACGTCAATTCGTCGCATCCTCACTGCTCAATCTCGCGTGCCACCGAAAGGTGTGGTTTCAAAACAGGTATGTTGCGCTCTCTTCTCACTCGCTTTTCTAATTCAACTCATTCATTCATTCTTAGGCGTGCAAAGGACAAGGCTCTTCGTAAAAGAGGACTTGACTCAGCAGGATTCTCCTTCGGCTCACTCTCCTCAAAAGTCTCAGTCTTCCAGGGACACCTTCCCCAATGACTCTTCCAATTCTTCCACCCCCACGGAAAAACCCACGCCCCTGCAGAAGACGATCAACCACCCTCACCAAAGCAACACCCAGTGGAGCGATCACCAATAGCTGAGAGTGCTCTTACAAAGTTTTCCTTTTCTCTTCCTGCGCCCCCTACAGAAGCTTGGCACAGTAACCTAGCCACTCCTGCCGAAATTCCCCTACATGTTCGCCATTTGCCAGTGGACTTGACTTGGCAGGACAATAATGACCTTCTGAACACACGTAGAGGGTCGCTGCCAATCACCGCGTCCACGCCAAGTACAGACGCCAACCAGCCACCTTCCCACTTCCCAGATAGACGCAAGTCTATGGACGTCAGTATCCTTAGGCTCATGCATCATCCGTTCACACGCGTTGCAAAGGAGAAGAATGACGCGATCTTTCTCAGGCCGCCCATATCTCCTGCAGGGTCGGGTCAGTCCATGGCCCGTCCACCGTCCGGCCTCGGTGTGCCAAGCATACGTGCAACAAGTCACAGCTCTTCTACTTCCTACAACCCTTACACCTGCCCTTCTTCGGCTCATAGAGCGTCAGAGCCCCATGTCTTCTCGCCTACTCGCTCCTCTCTTGTACCGGAGATTCGTCCACCGTTTCCGTCCTCGCACGTGCCGCGCCGGCTCTCGGACAACCGCTTTACAATGAGCTCTAGAGCGCTCCTGTCGCCTATTCCTGGCCCCCCTGCCAAAGCCTGATTTCCAGTTTGGCGCTCCGACTTCTGGGTCCCCTCCACATGTCTCACCGGATGCAGAATTTCCCACGCATGGGCATTTCCTCGCAACGAGGCAGATCAGGACACGGAGGATTTAAACAGTTTTACTGGATTATCTAGATTCGGCTCGATTGCTAGCATCTGTGGGAGCGACACCAGCGCGACCAATGCAATTTATTCGGACGCCAGCAGTTGTGTTGGCGTCGATCATTTCGATTCTAATGGCAGGAAAGGGTCTTGGTACGCTGTGCTTTTATGATCGACACGTTCGTTCGCTGATGTTTTTTACGTTACAGTGCATCCAACCTCGAAACGCGTATGTCCGGTTTGAACATGCGGTCCAGCCAGGGATTGCTCAATGAGGCTCACTTAAACGCCGCGTCTTCATTTTCCTACCAACACAGGGAACACCTGTTATCACAGGAACCAGGGTACTCTTCCCCTACTTCCACTGTTTCACCCGGCGGAAGTCCACACTCTGGATACAGCGAGGACCCTGGCCCTTCGGGTCTGCGAACGAGCGAGGTTTTGTTTGGTTACAATCCTGTAATTAGTCATTTTACCTCGAACGTTTCTGACGAGATGCTGACGTGTGGCTACGCAGCTCCCACCTGAAACTAGCGCCAACACCTATCTAGGTCCCATGGAGCCCACCACAGCAAGCCGCAGGCTCAGTATACACTCAGCGACGCCACTCCATGGCAACTTGCAAGTATCTAGCGCTCAAGCACAACTTTATCGTAGGCCTTCCCACGCATGACGGTCGGGTTGTTGGACTGCCTGCATTATTGGCATATCATCAATTGCTCTTCAAATATTATGACCCGAAGACCGATGTCTGGAGCGCATACTGGAGTAGGTTGTTTAATTGGACACCCCTGATTGTTTCAGACGTACTCTTGGCAAGCTTCACTGGGGTCAATTGGGCCTACGGTTTATTCAACTTGACAGGCTTCAGTAAGTTCCAGGATCATATCAATTGACCATTTGATCACTATTCAACGCGTGACGCAGCCTGAGTGCAGGTTCGCCAAATGCCATAGCTTTATGAAGGCCAGACATCACCACAGAGCATCCCTGCCCGGACTTATCCGTTTCTGTCATTTTCTGGTCAGCGGCAGTTTGATACAGCGTACCGTTAAGTATGGATGGGCGGTATGATATCGGGAGTAAGACCCCCGCAAATCGAATAGGGCAAAGTCCGTTCGACATAGGGTCTAAAGGACAGAAAATTGTCTGAAAAGTGGCGTGATGTCCTGTTCGCATAACAGGCGCCACAGGGCACTGTACAGGTCATGAGACAAGTCTGCCTGCCTAACCCTGCAGGTCATCTTCGCTGGCTAGAAATGTCGTATAAAAATTTGATATGGAGACATGTACAAAGGGTCTTCCTGCGTCGCATATAAGGTTGGTGTTCAAAACGTGCATCTGAGGCTCGCCCTTTTCTTGTCCACCAGACATACCCGATGGCAGCATTATTCTACTACTCAACTAACCTGATCGGTGGGTGGAAAGGAGCTAGTACAAATGTCGTGTTCTTATTGTATCATATGCGAAGTCGCGGTGTTGGTGTCAAATGGCATTGCTATGCTGTGCACCATCGCCAGACTTGTTTACAGAGCCTGGACGCGTTACTTCTGGTGGGAAGATGCATGGGCGGCAGTTGCACTGATAGCAGACGGTGATTTTTTTTGTGCGCTGCCTTGTTCGGTAGACCAACCACATCTTCCCAGTTCTCTGCCTGGCGTGTCTCTGGCTCGACCAAAGAATGACTTGTGAGTGTTTGACTTCGCACTCCAATATTAATCGTGTGTTCATGATGTTCCCAGCCTGGATCCTCCCGGTAACGTTCACCTTCGTCCTGTGGTACGCCGCATCATTGCTCGCTCGGTCACGTTTAAATCTTACTCGTTGGTCCAGGGCTGCACGCATGAGCATCATTTTCTCCGTCATCCGCATCGCCAACCACTCGGGCCACAAGTGCCTTAAACAGATCACGTATCTCATTTCAGTGTCCTTTGCATGTATGTGGGCAGCGCTGATCGCCCAGGAGATGACCGTATGCGAACTTCGCTCGTGCGTAACGCTGCCATCGGTGGCGCTCTTGGAACTGATCAGTCAGTGCCTCTTTGTACTTTCTGTGGCTAGGATGGTCCTCACTTTTTTTTTGTCTTTGCAGCGGACTCCTACGCGGATATTTCCCTCGTTGTTGCGCCACTCTGTCTCTGGAACAACGCAGGGCTCTCGCGTAGCAGACAAATATCAATCCAATCTGTGTTCAGCGCATCTCTTCTAACTACCATCGTCACAATCATCCACTCCATAAACCTCCCTATGGGCCACACGTCGACCACGCTTATCTTCGCGTATGTCAGAGTAAGCACACTCCCGTCCTCGCACTACTCTGTGAAATCTGACGGAAACAAGGCTGCCCTCAATCTATTCATATGCAATATCCTGGTGATCGTGACCTTCTTATACCGCATGTGCTCAAAGGAAACGGCCGATCTCGACCAATCATTTCCATCTAATCAAGTCTTCACGAGCGTCATCCTCACGCCGATGCCCAGTAGCACAACCCCCCGAGACGTTATTATCTGTACAAGAGGAGACAATCTCGAGATAGAGAACTGCGATACAGACCGGAGCGACGAAGCCAAAGGGTGAAGCTGCAAATATGCGTCGTGCCGAAGAAGGCACTAATACTGAGTACTGAGGGATGAACAGAAACAATGGCAGGCAATGATCGAAAGTTACGAAATATAACGGCAGCCCGCATTTCCATGTTTCCGTGTACATATAGAAAACAGCGCCTATGAGGGGAGAAGTTGTAGTGTTATCGAAGGCTTCTATGTTCAAGCGTACCGCATACAAAACTTCAGTCATATCCTATGTATTCGAGTATCTGAGATTTTTCCTATTCCAAGATCCCCATTGCCCGCTGGGGCCTTGAATTCGGACATCTCTTTCCTCCAGTGTGGCAGTTCACGCGCTCGTTTTTCACAATACATTTCATCCCCACAGTCGTTCATATCTGGCAGTGTACATATGAAATTCTAGTGGTATGTACCTAGGTCTGCAGTACTGCACTGACTAGGTCCGGTCTGAGGGGAAAATGTATTTAGCTGTATGATACTCACTAAAACCGCGAGAGCGAGAATCGCCCATTTTTGGAGGATGAATATTGAATGATGTTGCTGTGACGGTATCTGAGCTTGTCTGAGTCGAGGAATCATCATCAAATTTCGCCATCGAAGGGCTCTTCCGGACAGTCTTGACTCACTTTGACTGTTACGCAAATTGGTGACTATTTCGTCTTGAGGGTTGCTCAGGCCTTTGAAGGGAGCGAGCAAGGAATAATCAAATGAGAAAACGGAACACAAATGTCAGTAGTACTGTAGAGGAGCTAATTGTGAGCGGAGCGCCCTACCTCTTCGGGGGACGCAGTCGCATTTCTTCCAAATCGACGAGCCGTCAATTCCTCACACGTCTAATAATTTCTGCGATAAGTTGCTGCGACAGCTGGCGTTCTGAGTGCCGACGGACTTCTCAATAGAAAGAAGCCGATGTCGCGACCCTTCAACGACTCTGCATTTGCAGTGTCATTGGACTACTACACATCATGGATAGTATTCGTGCTTGGTGCGATTGAGAATTGCGTGCTTGACTGGATGATCAAGGACCCATCTAGACCTCCCAGTTAGAGAAACTAATGGCCTGACTGATATAAACTGCGGTGTGGTGGATGGTTCAACTTCACGCTGCAAATACTTCTAGGGCAACCAAGGTCGATGAAGGCATTTTTTTCATGTGCAGATGGAACCGAATTGAATGTCGTGTTGTTGTGCTACGGTGTCATGACGAGGTCCTCAAGTCTTCACGAAGACGATCGTGCGATAAAGAAGCAAAGAACTAGGACAATCTGACACATTGTTCGATCAGGTGCTCCTTATTTCTACAAGGCCTCCGATGGAAATGAAGACATGCCTGCGATCAAGAATTGCAAGCAGAATGTCTATGGAGAGACATGCCCCGCAAATTTCAACAGTAAGTCATCATCTTCGATGGGACGCACGACACAGCGAGACCACCTATCTGCAAGGCATACCGCCAAAACATGTTTGCACCACCAGGGGTGTCATTCAGCTATTACCATTGAGATGTAAGTTCGCACCATAAGATGGTTCTCGGATATTAACACTGCGAATGCGAATGATGGGCAGGTACAGTAACTAGACACGGCTGTAGATGCAACATCGAGGTGCGGAAAGACGGTATATGTTGAAGTGGTGCCCATAACTTCGTAGTGGTGCCGGCCCCAAGAGGTCTTGTACTTTACGACTGGAGGCCCCTCATTCAACCGCAAAAAATGTAGCGTATGGAAGCATTACTCACCACCTTCGCGATCGATAATATCCAAAGCAGCTATAATCATCGTGTCTGGGAGAAGAGTGCGAAGCATTTCAATGCCTTCTTCGACTACATGCCGGGTTTGTGAGCATCCTGTTGTGGGAGTGGAGATATCTGAGAGGACATACAACTCTCTTCGTCCGAGTCGAACACCTGAATGCTTGCTTGTAGGACATGCCTAAGGTGTAGTGAATCTTGAAGTGCCTCAACGGGCATCATTGACTGGAGTGATCCATAGCCAGTGATTACTTGGATACTATACTAAATCAATTTAGTGGTTGTTTGGATCCAAAACCATTGCCAAACAACGCGTTAACCTTCAGTCAACAAATACAAGATTATGTCATGAAAGTGAGGAGGGATACGTACATAATACTAGTATCAGCTTTACCCCATACTTATATGTATTTTGTTCTTCCCTCACTCGGACAGACCATCCGAAGTGCGTTTTGGTGGCTGTGCCAACTGTTTTGAAAACGGATAGGCGTCAATCTTTTCTTAAACCATGTCACTGCACGCGAGGCCTTGAGGTTCCAGCGTCCGTGCCAAAACTCGGTTGTTCGCAATGTCATGTTCGACTATGTAGAGATGTCGCACTGTTATAAGCTCCACTGGCATACTCTCCTGGCGTTAACTCCTTTCCTCTCCGATCAAACGTCCGTCCACTTCATTTCCCTTAATAGTCGAGGTTCAAGCTATCAACGATATGTCTCCTTGCTTCATCCCAGCAATCCGACTGTTTCGCAGACCACAACAATCCATTATAGGTTCAAGACCGGGTCGAAAGTTGAGATCTAGACTTGATGTCACCTATGATAGCCACCGGTATGTTATCATTTATGCTGTGCAGTTTCTCACCCTCCAGCAGGCGGCGGCGGCACTTTGCCGAACCCATGTCTGAAACTCGGAATTCATCACGCGGATCCACTGACAAGCGGGCCGAAAAAAAACCTCCAAAAAGCCAAAGGTGAGAAGCCACAAAGCTCGGTGTTAGCGCCGTATATTTGATCTGACATAGAATGACCCAAACGTTAAGGAACCTTCTTCTGAAACTAAGGAGTCGCAGGGCGACAATGCGGTGCGACTGCTGGGGCGTCACTATAGCGGCAGTCAATATTACGAGAGGCCTCGTACCCATCGACCTGACAAAAGGCATGCTCGGAATGGTCGCAAACATCCTGATCATTGCGCAGGTGCGTTTGCGTAGCCTTTGAAATCGTTCGTGAAGGATCCTGAGAGGTGTACAGTCAGTGATCAAGAATCAGTCCGATTTCCAGGCGAGAGTCGATAAGTGCGAGACTATCAGGGAAATCCTTGACAGAGCGACCAAACATGCCACTGACAACGATCTGCGAGGATACTTGGGCCACGCCTTATCCCAGTTGAACAAGTGAGCCGAATCAATTCCACCACTACAAGCTGAGGACGCCATGCAGATCAGTAAACCGTATCAATACTGAAGTAGCCTCGAACAAGGAGCAAGAATTTTTGCAGAGACGATGGGAAAAATACTTGGATCGCATCATCCCACTGTTCAGTGTATGTTTCTGGAACTCCTTGAGAGCTACGGCTACTGAATGATGTTTTAAGGCTGAGATGCTCGTTGGCCTCGCGATTGGAATGAACACCCAAACCTTGGGACTCAAGGGCAATGGTAAGTTGCCATCTCGGCGCGTGTTGTGTATCTTCTGAAGGAAATTAGGTATCACCCACCTGTGCCCCCACCACGTCCCTCCATGTTTTATGGACGTGAGGATCTCGTAGCAGAGTTGACAAACCTTGCTGTCGACGATGAACGCATCACGTTGATTGGTCTTGGAGGCATGGGGAAGAGCTCCCCTGCCAAAGCTATCATTAACGAACCACCTGCCATGGAGAAATTTGCTGATGGGCGCTTCTTCGTGACCTATGACAGCCTCGATCCTTCGACCATCACCTTTGAGACTCATGACTCGTTTTGCGGGAGCCCTATGCATAGAACTTGCTGGTGCTGATCCTATGCACCAAATATATACATTTCTTCATTCTGCCAGTGCCCTCATCGTCCCTGATAATGCTGAGACCTTCGCAGCGAATCGTCAGCGCTCGGAGAAATGCCACCAGCCATTGCTGACATCGCAAACATCCCTGGCGTTATTCTGATCTTCATGTTATGCAGTCGAAGTAATGCACTGAATGTGTGATGGATAACAAAAGATATTCTGCCATTGGGCTCATTAGGAGATAGAGGACTACAAGGGAGATAACGAGCGCTACTAAATCCACTGATGTGGGCATTTAATGAACAATACGTAACATGAAGTAGAAAAAAAATGAAACATACAGGGTGGCAACACTCAGCCAGTCCAGCGACGGCCACTGCTAACTTATTGTGCTCTGCCACAAGCCGCCCCACCAATTGTTTGAGGGCTGCATTTTCTTCTTTTTCCCTTCGAAGTTCGAGGTAAACATCCTGAAGTGTCTGAGGTCGGGTAATGTGTTTGTTCATAGTACCCTCTATGGGTAGAAGCTCAGAAGGCTGCTTCAGCGGCAAATTTAATTGATTGCTGTGCAACAATATCGAAGGACGACTTACCATGGGGACTGTCATGGATGTTGCTGTGAAACTGAAAGTAAACCAGGCAACGGATGACTTTCCATAGGCTAAATAATCCAGAATATCTTGTTTCGGAGCCTGAAATACATCAGGGAAAACCTCCCACGGGAATTTTGAAAATGTGACAACAATTCTCGAGAATTATGGCAAACTTTCATCAAATTTTTGTAAAAGCTTGTAAATAGTTGATAAATAGTCACATCCATAACGCAGTCAGTGAATGCACTGAAAAAGATATCTACAGGGCTCTAGTTGAACCTGCCATGAGATATGTAACTAATTACTAGTATATCAAAAATGTAGAGTTCACGCAATGCAGAACAGGGACATATTTAAACAGGTGGGAGGGAGAATTCGGAGGTGTCTGCTGCTGGCTACATAGAGCTCGCTCGAAGGGCCTTAGCCTCAGTGACAACAAGTAAATTGAGAAATTGAAAATTGAACCACCAACGATTTAATTACTAATCACAGGGCTCCCACGGTTGATTTCAATGAACTCATTCAAATATTCATGTTTCACTCTGCAACTTACACGAGCCGCGGCAACCACTTGCACACCCTGTCACGTTGTTTTCTTTATGTTTTCATTCTCCCTTACGGTTACTGTTGGGGACTCTAGGTGAGAGGCATCACCACCACAGAGCTAAGTCTCGCTCTGAGTGGGCGTCTGAATTCTGTTGTCGCATTCATCTGTGCATGGTCATTCAAACCAGGTGTCTATGTAGGATTCCTTTTTTTCTCTTCTTTTTGGCGGTCCAACCGGCCTTCCTGATCTCTCCCAGCTACAGGCTCAATTTGGAGCATACACATAGGTCCACATGACAGATGTCACGTGACCGGATGTCGTTCCGAGATTGTTCTGGAACTTCTATTACGTAATAGGTCTAGACCTTTGGTCCAGACTCGGATCAAACTATTATTGCTTCATTCTCATTTTAGATTGTGTACGCCTGTTTACCTTTTTATAGAGTTTGACATCTGTGAGAGATTTTTAATGGGGGCCTTCGGCCCCCTGCTGCGGCACTAAAAATACTTTTAAGCTTATTAACATTGATAACATTATTAGACATGATACGACACTTCTTATCTTCGATAAACCTTCGTACTCAGACACAAACTCCTCTCGATTTTGTGTGTCCCCTCCTATTTAAACCAGCTAGAAAACTGATGAGAGTATCATACTCGAAATACCACCCCAGACTACCTAGTAGCCGGGGGTATTTTTTCTAGTTATCTTTCTTCAGTTACTTGTGCGCCCACCAGCATTTTTACTCCCTAAGCTGACTGGCAAAACTTACTGTGGCGTGAAAGTTGGCCTTGTTTGTGCAACCGTCAGTCAGCCAAAAAAAGTCAGATCACTCCCGGTCGAACGGCATCACTCGGTCATACCAGTGATGTTACTTACCCAAATCAGACGTGACGCAAATAATATATGTCTCAATTTACAACTCATACACAATGGCTCGTCCTCACTACAGTATTGATATTCCGTCCATAGAGAGTATCCAACAAACTGCAGAGAATCTCTTTGGATATAAGCCATGCCTTTGGCAAGTGGAATCCGCTCTCGGTCAGCTAGAGCAATGAGATGTAATCACAATCTCTGCCACCAGCTCTGGAAAGACACTTAACTTCTGGCTGCCGTTGCTCTTCAATGGTGATGGAATCATGGTCCTCATCACACCGCTTAACATCCTAGGAGATAAGAACTACAATGAGTTGAAAGAAATTGGTATAAACACTATTAACTTGACAATGTCCACAGCAACAGCCGATGCTTACCAGGTGAGTGAGGCCCTTCTCTTCGAAACCTGGTTGACATTCTGATGATATAGGAAATCAAGTCCCTTAAATATCGAGTCATCATAACCAGTCCAGAATGTGTTCGAAACGACTCCCGATTCAAAAGACTCTGGGAAAACAAGAAGTTCATTGAAAAACTGTTTGTAATTACATTGGACAAATCTCACTGCATCAGTGAGTGGGGTGACTCATTCCGTCCTGAGTACGGAGACATAGGAAATCTCCGGTGGATACTCCCAGCACACATACCTTTTCATATCACATCAGCTACGATGCCTCCTCATATTCTCCAGGACGTGAAGAAGAAACTCCAAATTCGATGTGATGCTGTCGAAATCATCCGTTCAAAGGACTGACCAAACATCTACCTTTGTGTTGAGGAGATGAAATACCCTGTGAATACAAAATGGGACTTACTTCGCGTCCTTTGATTGGATCCTAGTGTTGGACAGGACTCGTTTATGGTCTTTGCAAACTCGAGAAAGGAGACTGAGTCAGTGGCTCAATTTCTGCGCTCCTATGTTGCAAAGGAGTATTGTGATAAAATAGTCTGGTTTCACTCTGGAATGAGCGCGAAATTTAGACGAGAGGCGATTGAAAATTTATGGACCATCAAAATATGGGGGATTTGTTGTACTGATGCAGCAGGAATGGTGTGTGATTGTTTGAAGAACTAGTGAGGATGCTCAGACTTGACAGCTTTATGCAGGGTCTCGACTTACATGAAGTTAAGTTGATCGTTCAGTGGCGACACACGAAGTCCCTCTGCTCGTTGATGCAGCGTATTGAGTGTGGTGTCCATGATCCTACCTTGAGTGGTGTTGGAATTTATTTTGTAGAGCCCAAGTACCTGGATCGTGAGAAAATGAAAAAAGGAAAAGAGGCGAGAAGGACGACACAGGTGATACCACGATACTAGACACAGATGACATCAGTGATGATCATGATCAAGACATGTCTCTCCGAATTGAATCCCTAGGTGACTCACAGTGTCCAATACAAACTGCTCCTGGTCGGCACATCCCTTGTGGTTCAACACCGAACGATTACTTAGAAAATGCAATGGACACGTATATCAATGCAAAGACTCGTGGGATCTGTCAATGAAGAGTCATTGACGAGTATTTTGGTAACCCGAGATGTGAGTCTGCGGCAACATAATACACGAAGGATCATCAAAGCTTACATAGTAATATTCATTCCAGAAGACTTCGACTCAATAGACTGTTGTCAACGCTGTGCGCCGCAACGGAGTATACATTGTTGTGACACTTGTCATCCTGCCGCATTTCCTCCACTTTTTCCCAGTAAGCCACCACCAAAGCACACAAGAGCAAAGGCGAAAATCAAAATCAAACCATACTCGATGACCGTAAAAGACTCTTCATTCTGACAAGCATTGGAGGACTGGCGAGTGGAGGAGATGTTAGAATGTGGCATGGGAGAGGATGATCTCTTTGGGGCGCAATTGATTCTTGCAGATCCAATTATAGATTGAATCATTGACCTTGCACACAATTTGAAGATCACGGATATCACGTCACTCAAAGCACAGACAGAATGGCGCTATACGGATAAGTTCAGAGTGAAAGTCCTTGCTATCCTTCAAACACACTATCCCCCCACCTCGTTATTCACGACATGCCCACTTGAACATCCACTCACAAATTCAGTCGCCCCACTGTCTAACAGTAATGGGACACCCCCGGTTCATTCGGTCTCTCATCTGACATCTTCAAGTCACCCAGTGAAGAAACCATGTACTGCATGATGCAGCCGTTGTGGGCAAGTGGGACACATCAATGAGTTTTGCTGCGCTCGACTAAATGTAATTCTAATGACATTTTCGGAATACAGCATTGAATCGAAAATGTCCTATGCGGCAGGACAACACAAACACAGAAAATATTGCACCGCACAGAAACGTAAGTCAATTCTCCCACAAGTCATCAGCTTCAATCTGAGCAGCCTTGTCATCTTCATTTCCAGGTAATAAGCCTGCCCCCTTCTGCAGCAGCATAACACCATCAGCGAGCTTATCGTCAATGACGTGCTTTGTAGTCCGTCCTGCAGCGAACCGATGTGGAGATGATGCAACCATTCGATGGATAAGTTTTTGTCATGTTGGGAGGGGCATGTCGAATGGTACACTGTGAAAGATGAAAAGCATTCTCAATTGTAACATGGCAGTTCCAGTATACTTCAATCAAAGGCGACTCGTTAATGATATGATCGATGGTGCAGTTCAGACCTGTTCCAGAATAAATGACTTTGGTATACAAGTTGTTTCGTTCGACCAGCCAATCAACAGCACGAAAGGCATGTGCCTTGCCTGTTGGATTGCACAGCATGTTTAGGTAAATGATTTTTCTGACGAAGCTTCTGTTTAGCAGCCAGCTGGATGGGAATGCAAGTAAACTACATACCGCAAGCCCTCCGGATAACCATAATGCAGGTGAGCACAGAAGCGACTCATTTGTACTATATCTCTGTTCAGGCGTTTGTAGGCCTGTAGACGGGCAATATATATAGCATAGTTGCTCCCATGAGCACGTACATCGCCGCATGGTCATTGTCAGGCAACGATACTTGGTCAACTGTAAGTAGCTATTTTCAAGATCTTCGAAGTGAACACCAGACGCTGAGACTTCATACAGGATGAACTCGCAGACACGCATGCAAAACTCGCAAAGCAACACGCCCTATGCGAGAAACTCGAGATGGACCTACTCGCTCTGAACATCAACAGCGGGAGTGGGCCAAGAGAGGAGGGTACCTATCTTCCCATGGAAGGCTTGCTTTTGAATGGTGAGTAGTCTTTTTCTGTCTTGTTTACTGTGCGTCCTGTCATCCTAGGTCATCATCTCTTTCGACTCGCCGCGCTAGCTTGTCTCACTCACCACGCTGCACTTTGTTCCGCCTCTCTTGTTACCTCCCTTACTGTATGCTCTTGCCTCGTCTCTCGCTACCTCTCGTCACCTCCCTCGCTGTATGCTCTCGCCTCGTCTCTTTGTCTCTTAGTGATAACCATCTCTCGCTTCCGTGCATCTCTGACTGCCGCTTATTGCCATCTGTGTCGCGCAGTGCCGTCTCCGTCTCTTAGTGTCATGTAATTGTTATATAAACAAAATATATTGAATTTGAGCTATATACAAGCAAAATCGTGTGCACAATGAAGGGTATCATTGACATAAGTCAATGCAGTGAGTATGAATTCACCTAGGGTGATGTTTTCAGACATAGCTCAATCAGTTTTGAGCCGGGAGACGAACTAATTAAAGCGGGAGGTACCTGTACATCTACAGAATAGAATGAGAAAAAATTGAGATCAGTTGGTGCAACAGAAAAAAAACATATAGCTGGATTACCTTCTCCTCCTCCTATAGGCCACCCAGAGTGAGAATTTCGGGTATAACTTGGGCAGTTTTGAGCTGGGAGACAAAAGTAATAGTGCGGGAGCTAGCTGTAAGACTGTAGAGTAGGACGACTAAAGGCCGAGGTCAGAAAGTGCGATGCAAAAGAGTTAAGGGTGGATTACCTCCTCCTCCCCTCCTAAGTCACCCAGGGTGCGAATTTTGAGTATAGCTGGGGCAGTTTTGAGCCGGGAGACGAAGTAAATAGCGCGGGAGCTAGCTGTAAGACTGTAGAGTAGGATGACAAAATGTCGAGGTCAGAAAATGCGATACAAAAAGTTATGGGTGGATTACCTCCTCCTCCCTCCCTAAGCCAGTCAGAGGGAAGTTTTAGTGCATAGGAAAACTGCTGAACAAAAGCATACTTGCGGGGCTGCTAACCAAATGGAGATGATGGACTGCATGTCGGTGTCGAAGAATTTGCTGGCGCTGGAGAGCAGAGTTCCCTGCTGATATAAAGTCACCCAGCTCATTAATGCCAAAACGAACCTTTCGACTAGCATGTGGTGGGTCGCACGAGAGATGAAGGATAGCCGGAATAGAGATGCTCTTCATAGTCGAACCAAGCCTGGCCTTGTGAAAATGAATTTAGGTGGATCTGAGACGCATGCAGGAACGTACCAAGTTCGCGGACCTGAACCATGACATCGAGTACTATAGAAAATGTTGAAGTGCGAGGTGCAGGTAAGCCATGATAAGATGACAAAATCCAACAGCCTTCAGTTGGGCGCATAGAAGTGGTCATAGGAAGAGGACATCATTGGCAGAGTGCTAGACCAAATTGAGGTGCAACGTTCGGTCGGATCAACTCGAACGACCCTCAGAAAATAGGCAAACCCAAGAACAAAACATTGGACCATACGATGTAACAAGGCTGATCCACTGGACTTGAGCATAGGCATTTTGATACGCGATCGAAGCCAGTGCAAGGTCCATCGACAAATGTAGACTCATCGATGGTCAACGATCGTGTTGGCGAAGGAAATATCCAACGTGAAACTTGAGAGAGCGCAATCAGAACTCAAAGGGACTGCAAGAGCTTTAAGTGGTCGACTTCAAGGAAGAAAGAGGTCGTCCTTGCTGGCGAAGCGGAGATCGATATCGATTAGAGGAGATTATCGGGTATGCGGAACTCGGGATTGAGTCGATTCCAAGAGCATCGGAGAAAAGAGAGTATTTTAAGCCAGTGTCTGTGAAGGCCCGATGATCTGAGAGCGAGCTGTCTCGCTCAAATCCAGGCAACCTTGTCGTCCAAGTCGCATGCTCAGGCTCAATATTTCTTAGATCGCGCAAAGTTCGTAGTGTGCTGAGTTCCGAACGAATACCACAAACACTGTATGGAGTTGGAGGTCTAAACAGGTGAAGCGATTGGAAGCAGAAAGGGGAGAAGGTCAATTTGGATGATGGCCTTGTGTGTCTGTGAGAGAGCAATTGTTAGACATCCGAATACTGACGGAGACAAAAGTCTCACCTGAGTCCATGATGGTGTAGATTGATGTCATTTCAATCTCGACCAGATCAGCATTGAACGAGCGCATGTGTAAGGATTACAACACGACTCGTACATGGTCATGTGGGGTGGGATCTTAAAGAGACACTGAGTATCACAGATGGCATAGAATTGATGGATAAGTGTAAGATCATCAGTAACGAAGGATACACTGGTAGTGGGATGACTGTATATGAAGTTAACTGCTGTGAGCACCACCAGTGCTACTATTTGCTGCACCATCCTAAGGGAGTATACTCTGTCCACCCTGGGGGCAGAATTCCATCTTATGTCAGCAATTGCCTCGTTCGTCCGCTTACTTAGGGTTAGGTTCTGTATTTTTTTTGTATCCTGCGTTTTCAATTGTTTGGGCTTTTCTCATGCTTGGTCTTTTCCCTCTCTCATTCTGCTCTTCTTCTTGCCATCTTCTCATCTGCTTGCCTTCTCTCTCTCGTCTGCTTGCCTTCTCTTCCTCGCGTCTGCTTGCCTTCTCTCTCTTGTCTGCTTGCCTTCTCTTCCTCGCGTCTGCTTGCCTTCTCTCTCCCATCTGCTTGCCTTCTCTTCCTCGCGTCTGCTTGTCTTCTCTCTCTTGTCTGCTTGCCTTCTCTCCCGTCTGCTTGTCTTGTCTCTGCTTGTCTGCTTGCCTTCTCTCTCTCTTGTCTGCTTGCTCTCCCATCTGCTTATTCTCTCGCTGTCTCTGCTTCCCTGATATTCTTTTCTTCTCATTAACCTCATGCTCCGCTTGCTACTAAAATATCTCTTTGTGTAAATCTGAAACACTGAACGTCTGTTTGACAGATAAAATCACGTGACATGTTCATCGCATACCGTGACGTTCCGGCGAATCATAACTGACAAGTCATGTACCATCAGTACATATTCAGTGGACTTGAAGGTGAGTCTCTCCATACTATCTTCATATCTGTTTTGTGATCCTCACACTCTATCTACAGTCATCAGCGGCAAGAATCTTCGAGTCCCCTCCTGGCGCATCCCCGCTGGCATTTACGTGTCCATCCAATGTCGACTCGAGGAGACGTTGGAAATCAGCCATCAGTGCCCTATCATCTGATGAATCTGTAGCGTGGAGGGATAACGTAACACTGTAAAGTCCATGGAGATCTTCTGCCGTGGTGCGAGAACTGATCATTGGTGTATAGATCATCAAATGACTCGCCTGCATTGTCAACAGAGATCAGAGCGTCCTATCTATATGAGTTGCTGGCTTTGGGTCCCATAAATTCCCTTCGACGGAATTTCTTTTTATGGGTTAGTGATGTCCTTAAATAGCAGAAAAGGAATGACCTCATTGATGGAAGAGGAATATCAGGTAAGGTTCGATATCTATATGAGTTGCTGGCTTTGGGTCCCATAAATTCCCTTCGACGGAATTTCTTTTTATGGGTTAGTGATGTCCTTAAATAGCAGAAAAGGAATGACCTCATTGATGGAAGAGGAATATCAGGTAAGGTTCGATCAAAATGGTTATGTAAGTGTATCAAAATGGTTAGATTTTGTGCTAAATATAGATCTAGAAGACGGAAAGAGGAATGGAATCAGAAGAAGGAAGAGGAATGCCGAGTGAAGGAATTCCTATATATGGAGAAGGAAAATGGAATAAGAGGAATGTGGAATTCCTCCATTGTACCTTATTATGTCACACAGGTGGCTTTCGACCGTACATTATCTTTTCTTCTACTTGGCCTGGACACACAGCAACCCACCACCTGATGTTGTTTATCTCAGAAATGTGTCAGTCAATCATAGTATTCATTGTATACAGGAGAGGGCTTCATCAGTTTGTGAGCATGACCTTGCCTGCTGCATGGTCCTTGAGACCCAGTGAAAATCGGACATGGCCATTTCCACAGGGTCGATGGATTTGTAACTTTTGTAGCCATTAGACTTGTATAGATGGACATTGAAGTTGTGCAAACACATGTTGAACGATATGTTCAACTGGAGGTCTGTGCTTCGCTACACTAGATCCGACTTCAGTGTTGTTCAACAGTTCCACTTGCCTGTGATTTGGAATCTTGATGAACCCTACTCTCGCCCTCTTCAATGCACATACTTATTTGCACTACCATGGTCCCTGACAAGTGCCAGTCATCTTAGCAAAATCTCACTCTTTCTACTGCTACACCACGGCTGCAAAGCTCCTGGGCAAAAACAGATTTTCCTTGTCAAGATGATGTGAACTTGTTGCCTTGGCTGGGTTATGCTCTGCGAAGATGAACACATTCGAAACAGAGCGCATATAGTCACTTGTTCGAGGGACACACTTGAGTAGTCAACGCATCAAAAGCATACACCAGCGCCAAAGTGCATTGTTATCTTTTTGCATATAGGCAGCTGACATCTCCGTGTGTCTTCAGCACTTTCAACTATCCCATTCAATCATACTTTAATCAAGGTCGTTCGACCTTGTAATGAGTTGTATTAGTGAGGCAATTCTATCTATGTTCGAAATTTTGTGTTGGAGTAGCTAGAAATACAATTTTTGTGAAAATACCGACTTCTGTGTGTTGCCAATTGCACTGGAAGGTTTAGTAATTGGTTCAAACAAGTTGAATCAACTCTCGCACTAGGTTCTTCTGGTCGAGTCTTGTTCTGTGCGCATACTTGCTATGTCTAACTGTGATGTATGCTTGTCACTGGGTCTCTTAATTGCTGGTGGCACAGATTTCAGGCCCAGTGAAACTGACTATGACGGGAGGAGTCGTCACAAGCTTAGAAGTGATTTTCCTTTTTAGTTACATGCTTGTTTATGTAATCTGATTCTTTGCACGCATTGTGCTTGCAACATTGTGTTGCAAAGTGGAATTTCCTTTGTTCTCTTTGCATCTCCTCTCCTTGCTTTATGTTGTGTGTTAACAATTTGCAGAAACATCGCCCTTCGGCTTATTTGTATGTTCATTATTTCAGAGTCTTTGCACTCATAGCTGTATTTCGATATGTAGAAGCCTCCCACTATTCCCAGTAGTCCCATCACCCAGCTGTCTAGTCCTGCCAATACACTTGAGGAAAAGGAGAATAAGCCACCACATGCAACTACTGCTACGCCTGCACCAATCTAGATCCCATGTTGGTGGTACATGTGGCTTTTATTTACTGGTGTTACCCACTTTCTTCCAGTTCGTTTCTGGCTTGGGCTGCTGCTGGTTGTGAAGATACATCCGAGTCCTTCCAACTGCGTGCCTATTGCAAGCACCTGTTCCACCTGAAAAGGCGTCTGTCCCATCCAATGAAGCCAAATCCAACTTCCCCGACAGGCTTTACTAATGCTTTGCAGAATTTATGTGCTCTTCATTCACTTAAGTAAATCAAAATCAGTGGGACAACGGAGGAATTTTGTACTTATTATAAGAATCTGGTACTGGAGAAATGAAAGGCAAGTCATATAATCTCTTGTTGTATTGATTCATTCACACTGATTAATAGGAATATGACGAGGAAGAAACTGCACTGGTAAGTCCTTGATTCTCTCTTGATGGACCTTCCAAATCATCATCTACTAGGTCGCTTCCGATACATGAGACAAATTTGTCTCCGAAGAATGTCTCTATTAGATTCAGCACGATTTGGCCCTGCACTATCCGACATACGAATATCCTACAATGTTTTCGAGTGCTTTTGAGCTGCTATCCGTGCGCATCATGTTTTCAAGCCACTATATGCGTTTTTGAGCTTTCGTACCACATTTCCATTGCTACATAATACTATTCGAGCATATTTGCGCACATTTTCAACCATCTGGCAATATGTTTTACATTAAAAAAACCACCTATGTGCATGAGGAAACCCGCCCCCACATATATTTAAATGTGCGGATTCACTCACTACCTATCATATCATGTTCTCATATGTTTTGTCTACCGAGTGCTGACAAAACACTGTGCTTCAGTCTTCAGTCTTTTTTTCTTTGCCATGATTTGTTTATGTTTTATTCTCGAACTCAATTTGCTCGTATCTATGTTTTAAACCCTCAGAATGCCACATCCAACACTCAGACGTCTCTTGTGGGACCAGTAAGACCAGGGTCTTTGACTCAAACAGAACATTGGAAGATCGGTTGTATCCCAACAACAGTTGGTAGAGAAGTGCCTCAATACAGCAAGCTATCCATCTCCAATCTTCCCCAATATGTATGAGTTGCACTGCGCGTCTATTTGCTTTTGTTTGGTCACTGTTGATTTTCGTGATTCTCTTTCTCTCCTCCCTTCTCTCCATCTATCCCAACTTCCTAGCGTGCACCTTGCCGTGCTTCTTGTTTATCTCAAGAGTCCGCTAGGTGGAGCGACACTCCCTCTGTCCTTAACACTACAGGCAGAGCATTCTTGGGCTGTAATGCCTGGGATGGGTCGCTTCTGGGACTAGATTTGCCTAAAACATCGCATTCTATATGCACATTTATTATTTGTGCGTTTTCACAATTCAAGAGCTGCAAACCGGCAGATTGTCCTTCAAATTTGTTGCAATCTCACAACCCTCCAAGTCCAGATCCTCTTGTCCAGTCTGTGTTGCCGCCGCACGTTCATGTTCAAAATGTGGGTCAACACGAGGAGGCTATGACACTCCAAATGCCACTTTAATAAACATAAACTGCGCCATACGCAACATAAAGTTAGGTGCTTCTAATCAACCGGACGGCCGAAATCTTCGAAGCTGGGCTCAACGATCAAGTATTTTGCAAGATTGTCAGCTGTACGAGCGTCAAAAGCGCTTTGGGCTTTTACGTATATAACACAGCCTACCTACAGTCCAAGTTAACATTGATATCTCCAATGTCAAGTTTTTCGAAACCTTTCAACAGCATCCTTGTAAAGTTGTGAATTTTTTCTGTCCAGCAGAAACCTGCCCATTCCATTCCCCCATGAACTCTTCTCTGCTGCACACTACAGACCCATGAACAATGCAACCGCTGCTCCGAAGAACGAACTGTTCACACATGAGAACATGGCAGTTGATGCACTGTTGTTGGAATTCAGATTGGATCGCATCGCAGCATGTGTGGCAGTACATTCCCAGCATGTTGGATAAGGTGGCGGTTGGGCATTGCAGTAACTCCCCATGGTTTCTGGAAAGGTTGGACACATCCTGTGGCACCCTGCTCCCGATATCTGCCTCCCCTGGGACAGCATGTGAAATACCACTTAGGATCGCACCAGCTTTTGCTCCTCTGCACTTTTTGAGCGGTCTTTCAGGGATGGATAAAAAGGGAGGAAGGAAAGCAGAGTACTTTAGTATTTCATTAGATTCGACGGTCACATGTCACACATCAACCTGACTGTTGTAAAGTTGCCTCATTTTACTGCAGGGGTGTATAAGACACACCTCAAAATTGCGCCTCATCTTTAGCCCTACAGGTATGTATATGTGTTGCCACATACAATTGTTGGAGGAGAGTCGTTTTCTTTCTGCATTCGAACTGATTAACATTGGGTTTGGGTATGAGGCGCAACCTTGCCACCTTGTACCATATGGCCGCTACTTCTTACCGCATGGCTTCGCTTCTAGACATATTTAAGCTCCATTTGTCTTTATTCTCCTGCGATAGAACAAACATCTGAGAGTCATCTACAGGGATTTTAACATCAAACTTGACATCGCGGAACAGTGAAGACTGATCAAGACTGTCTGAAGCTTGATTGATCTGATCCTGAGCATACTGGCTGTGCTTGCGGATATGATTATATATAGTTCTTGTAGTCTGCAAGAGTCCTTTCGGCTGGCAAACAGTGCATGGACATGGGCGTCGCTATGAAGAAATAGTACCCAAGTTAGATTCAAAGGTCCTGGTTAGCACTCAGTGGAGTGAAGTTTATACATTACTAGTCTTATTTTGCGGCATATGGGCTCATACACTGGTGTTCCGCTTGTGTACTGATTGGAAAAGGAGAATACAACTTGATGTAGAAGAGCAAGCATCAACTTACATGCTGCAGCGGCGATCGCATGTGCATATGTGTGACTTTTCTTTCTGAGATTTGGATAAGTGGTTAGCCAAAAATATTTTGACCTATAGCGTGAAACAACGTGCATAATATCAGGCCTTTCTGGGACTTATAGATATATCGCTAAGTGGTCAACAAAATGCTCTCTGATGAATGCAATAGCAAATTGAGCGTCGAGTTTCCGACATATTCACAGCTGACTGATATTGAGAATTTGGACCCCTCTAAGTTTTTTTCCGACATTTTTATCTCTAGCGGATAGTTGTTGGCGGAGAAGATGGCGGAATTTTTGAACCTCTCCCCCCCCCCCCCCCCCCCCACACACACACACACGCAAAGTTCATGCGTTTGCATGCGCTGCACTCACAAGAAGATATGCTATTAACTAGATCCACATGATCTGGCACTTTGCGGAACACTCTCGCATGCTCTCACACGCTCCCGCACTGTCCATTTTTCACTGGGCATCACAATTTAAATTTTACCCTTGGATATCATTTGAATTTGAATTTTTATATTTGGCCATCTACGCTCACATAAGCTCAGGTAACTAGGTTCCTCGATGGCTCAACTACCAATGAAGCAAATAAAATGTCCTGCGAATCCAGTCAAATGTCCGAAATTAAAGCAAAGCCTGCAAACTCCTTGGTAGTAGGTACACATAAGTATTCAAAGACTTATGTGTTACCCTATTAGAAGGAACCGCATTCAGAGACCTTATACATCGTTTGTATTCTCCCCAAATATGTCCCGCCAGCCAAATACTAGTACGCACACATTATCATGGTGGTTGTGTCACATGACCCATGCTTATGGAAGTTGTGGTTGGAAAGTTTTCATGTTCAACTTCGAAACTTGTCTCTCATCTCATCTACACACTAAGTGCACTCCTGGCCCTTCAAGCCAACATCCTCTTCCTCTCCGTCCTTGTCCTCCTTTCAAATTCATCCATGCACATCCCACCATTTGTAGCCGTGGGAAGGAATGTGTAAGTTTGTTGCCTAATTACAACTTAACCTTGAAGTTGTTTGTCGTCACACGTGACATTGTTTATTGTCTGATTGGTATGCTCAGACTTAGGTTTTTTATCTCTTAATTCCGAACTGTCATCTGTCCAACAAACTTCTGAATATAGAGTCTGTTAAATATACAAAGACCCTAATGGTACGCACAACCCTCAAAGCACGCAGCATTGGGCGAGTCGGTAGACCTAAATCCAAAGGCAAAGGCAAACTTGTACGCATGGAAAAGGGCGCCGCTACTGCTAGGCTCAACTCTGCAGCCATGCCACTCCGCCAGCCCCTTACTTCATTTGCAATTCCGCTTGTTCACGCCGAGATTGTAATGGACGACTCGCTAAAGAACAACAATAATAAGATCACATACGGGGAGCCACAAGAGACCGAGTTCATCCGGGTCGAAAACAGGGAGTCATACAAAATGTGCAGGATTCCAGTGTTTGAGGGTGGGAAGAAGCGAGGGTTTGTACCGCTACCCCTGAGGTACAGGGATGTCTGGCTAGAACTTTCTTACAATATCGTACTGTGCACTAACATATGGGAGCTTTGGCTGGAGGAGGGTAAGAAGAAGTCGAAAGGAAAGAAGGCGAGCATGGTGGCGACTTGCCGAAAGAACACAGGGTCAATGCTTGTCCAACACATGCTCACTAGGCGGTTGGTTGTGGAGCAGTTGCTGAAGTTGGATTATCTTACGGAACCTGGCAAAGAGAGCGTCCCACTTTTGGACGAATGGAAGATTCGCATGTGTCGTGATTGGTGGAACAAGAGTTATGATGAGGCTTTCGCTGAAGGGCGCGAATTCCTGTCAGCGGATCCTGTGACAGCTGCAAACAAGGCATTCTTTGGTGAGCTCATCGCATCCCTGCATGCTCACCACCACCTGATATGTAGTTAGAAAAAGGATGGGATATCGATGAAAAAGGGAAGGAATCATTGTTGTCCCCCCCAGATCCAGCTGCCTGGATCAACGGACGTGTTGAAGGAATTCACAAAATATTTGCACAAGTCATCATGCCTCAGGCCTTGAACGAGTTGAAGAAGCCTGGGGCATTCCACGAGACTAGACATTTGGAAGGAGGAGAGCTGCCAGGACGCTGGCACGAGAGACACGATCCTTGTCCTTACTTCTGGAGTGAAGCGCAATGGGAGTGGTACAGCGAAGGTCAATCAACTCATTCCCTAACGTCTTTTATAAGCTACTAACAATGTGACATGATGCAGGACACAATTTTTCGGACACCCCAATCGCCTTCTTCAACTTTGTCCTCAGGAAAGAGCCGAGCTATGCAAATGTCAAAGAATTTGAGCATGACGTCAAGAGCATTGCCAACATCATTTTCGCTAACAGTGAAAGAAATGGCTGTGAAAATATCCAGGAGATTGTGGGTGGACTCTGGCTAGGCGAGATGACCTGGAGGGAATTCGTGGATTACCTGAGGCAGAAATGGCATTTGAATGATGATTCCTGCAAGCCTTGGGAAAAAAAGGGTATCGACCTCCTCCCTTTCATGCTACACCTCACTCTCAACGGCCTTCTATTCTAGACGAAAAAAACCCTTTCAATAGCTTGGAAGCACAGTTGATCTTCCAAGGATTCGTGCGCCGGGGCTCCGAGAAAAGAGATTGGAACCCTAAGGATCAGATCCTATGGGAATCTTTGTTGAGAATGAGTCCAAAAGAATACGAGCCGGTATGGAAGAGGGTCGTGAAGACGATTTTGGAAGAGGAGAGCTCTGTAGGTGACGTGTTGAAGGATGCGGGGAATTGGTCGCACCATTGTGAGTGTTTGCAATGCTGGTTTCATTTCCTGTACACGCTATGCTGCGTCACCAGTAGAATGATGCTAACGGTGATTCTTGTGTCTCAGCTAAATCTGTGGAGGATAGCGAAACGGGTCAGGTAGAAAATCAAGCTCAGCCTCAAGTTTGTCTTGAACAAGTTGATCGCGCCGACGCCTCTGCGAATTTCAACCAGTCGCCTCCCAAAACATCCGAGAAGCAGTCCACACTATCTCACCAACTGCTACCCATCTATGAATGGATGCTTGCGTACGTTCAGAAAACCATCTCCTTGGAAACATTTGAAGAGAAACTCAGGAGCTCCTTGTCGAATGAGCACGAGAAAGGCATCCAACAGTTCCTTGATGACATTCGTGCAATTCCCCCTGGGAATGACGTAGCATCAAAGGATGCCCTGGATTCGTTTGTCAACCGCGTCAAGGCACTAGAAGCTAGGAGAGAGGCTGGACGGTTGCATAATAATCTCCTCTGACGTTGATCTTCTTTTGCTGGCAACGAATCTTTCCTGTCACATTTATTGCTCGATTCATGCTTCTTACTGATGTATCAGCTATCGAGGAACCTAGAATGGGAAGCTTGAAGTAATAATTACATTTCTTGAATTTGCTTTCAGGTCACCTTGCATCAGACTGAGTGTGATCAATTATTACAATAGAGAGACAAACTGAGAACACCCACATCACATAACTTTTGGTCAAATATGATGTTTCTTCCAAGGGGGCAGCAGACATATAGTTTCTGACACGGACCCGCAAAAGTCGAGTGGCCAGGACCCTGACAATGAGTCGAATACTATACCATGCTGTACAATACTTGACCACTGAAATTTCGCTAAGTCCCACACACCATGTATACGCTATAGTGAATTGTAAGTAAGTAATAACTTCAAAACACAGTTTGATGGCAAGGCAAATAATGTGATATTAAATCGTGCATCGTGCATTTACATATAACTATGATGGTTGGTCTAGTAAGGTGACAGTAGAAGGAGCTTTGATGTACCGTACGTGCGTGAATCAATTTTTAAATTTAAGCCTTCTTTGAGCACTTGGAACCAGTGTTACCTTGAAGTGTCTGTCATTTGCGCTTCACTAACGAGTTTTGACTACTAGCACTCCCTGTAAGGAAAGTCAAGACTACAGAATGCATCATACGCCATCGCCTGAAACTTGTCATTGACAAAACAGAATGCAGAGTCTCTAGCATCATTCCCACCAAGTTCCTGTCGAAGTTCATGCACCAGATTCATATCCACGGCAATTGAGCAATCTCGTGCAAAGCACGAACACTTTCTGGAGCAAGCCATATATGTCGTGGAGATGTTCCTTTTGGGAGAACATTCTTTTGAGAGGACAAGCGGTGGTTGTTCCAGTATAGTCGGAACTCATCCAAGCGCTGTTGGACTAGAGGTGTCATAGCCAATTGAAAACTTGCCTATGAATAGTAGCCCCATGATGTCAAGAATATAACAAGAGTCATAGATGAAAGTTACGTCTCCCATCCGCAGAGCCTGAGCAGCAAGCTTCTCGTGCCCATCTGCATGCTGCCGATGCCAAGGCCAAAGGGAGTCCAATGGGACGCATGGTCGCGTTTCCCTTGCCAGCTTGCCCAATTGGGAAGTAGAAGGGATGTTCGCGCACGGACCGCGGATCCATGCACTCCCACTGACACAGGCTTAAGAAGAAGGTTTCTTACGTAGAACTAGAAGTACAAGTGGTTGTGGTAGGATTGTCGTCACACTTGTTTCAATAAACGATGAACTATGTTTTATTGGCTGACAATAGCGATTGATGGGCAGTGTTTATGTAATGAATGCATTTGGTTATTACAAATTATTTTACAAACACCCAGCTTGCAAAAAAATCGCACGTACCTCTAAAACCATTTGCAACACACTGTACCTCCCACCTTTCTGCCATCTTGTGTACTGTGGTCCGTGGGATCGAGGTTTGTTTGTGCCTGTATCATATTTGCTTTTATTTGGTCATGGTTGATTTTCGTTGTTTCTCTTCTCTTTTTCTCCATCTATCCAAACTGCCTAGCGCGCGCGCCTTGCCGTGCTTCTTGTTTATTCAAGAGTCGCGCTAGGTGGTGCAGCACCCCCCTCTGTCCTTAAAACTACAGGCAGAGCATTCTTGGGCTGTAATTCCTGGGAGGGGTCGCTGTTGGAACTGGATTTACACAAGGCTTGTTCTGGCGCCCTCGCACGCGCTTGTGACGACCTAACTTTCTTGAACTTCTATCTTGCAGGACACCATCTATACCGATCGAGTGCACCTTGTTAAGGTAGAGGACTTGCGAATTCAACGAACATCACGTGCCAAAGCGTTACTTAGAGTGACAAAGCTGAAATTTTCAACATCAATTCAACAGGAGCAGAATGTATAAAAGTAGTTTATGCAAAATATGAGAAACACTAGTGTACACATTATCCATAGAATAAATCAATGCTACATGGAGATGGTGAAAACATTTTGAATTTTGAGAGCTTTCTGCGCGGTTGATTATATTATAATACCTACCAATACCAGCGCTGCTATGAACGAAAATGGCCTCCATCTCAAGGTAATATTTTAATCCAAGATCAATTATACAGTATCTGCTGCATACATCATACACCCGGCGTGGCCAAGCAGACACTCTAAATCAAGATGGCCATCTTGTTGAACCTTCCTATGCAAGCGAAGTTATCAGCGGTGCCATTGTTGAAGTCCATTTCCGCATTCCTCACTGACACATCAGCAACTTTGATAAAGTTTCTAAGTCAGATAGAAACACATCACGTCATGAAATGAGTGCGACTTCGAGTCCTCCCTGTCTCAAGTATGAAAGCAAGTATTTTCTCTCAACATATTGACCTACATATTTCTGACAGAACATCTTGCCTCTTTCAGCAACTCTTGTGGCTTCATACCTGACATAATGCATGTTCTGTCTTTTGGTTTAGTTCACAGTGGCCTGTTTTCTTGTATCTGTAATTGTAATTAATGACTTATGTATTTATAATCCATTTATTAGTCCGCCTGAGGTTTAGTGAAATCTGATGTATACATAGGGGACATATCGTGAAGAATATGTGACCACTGAATCAGCAGGATGGCCAACCTCGAGCACAAATAGCCTAGTCAACAGGTCCTTCAATATCAATAGTTCAATGGGTGAGACCACAGTTATCAAATGTGGCATAGAACGGAGATTCATAAACCTGAAATCGATCTCCGCCATTGTAAGCTTTTGCAAAACACAACAAGCTACCTTTAAGTCAGGTCAGCCATGCAGCTTCGCTGTCCACTATAAGCCAATACCTTAGGTGAAATACCCTGATAGAATTGAGGAACTGGTGTCAATGCCAAGGTAGTCAAATTTGTATTTTAAGCTGTACTTTTACATTCTCCGAGACAGCCCAACCCCTTGAACTTGAACACCGCGCAGCACATCTTACAACCTGATTTTCCTGCAGCCATGAAATTTGAGCCAATCTCATAGTGCAGACTTGGAGGCAGATTCATGGGCCTATGAATTGATGTTAGAAAAAATTACATTGCGCAGAACAGTTCTTGAGTATCGCACGTCACATGAGAGGTGTTAGGAGCAGTAGATGGTGGTCAGTGGGAAGAGTTGCGTGTTGGGACTCTTCATTGCAGTATGATGACCTTGCTCCGTAAGGTAGCAGAGTTGTTTACTGAAGCTTGTCAGTATTTGTATATGCCTTTGTTTGGTCATGGTTGATTTTTCATTGATTCTCTTTTTTTCTCTACTGGTTTCTACATCCATCCCAACTGCCTAGCGCACGCCTTGCTGTGCTTCTTGTTTATTCAAGAGTTGCGTGAGGTGTGGCTGCACTCACTCTGTCCTCAAAGTTACAGGCAGAGAATTCTTGGGCTGTAATTCCTGGGAGGGGTTGCTGCTGGGACCGGATTTACGTAAGGCTTGTTCTGGTGTCATCGCACACACCGTTGACAGCCTTGCTTTCTAAAACTTCTGTCTTATTTGCAGAGCGCACTCTGGCATACCAGCCAAGGGTACTATTACGTTTGATCATTCTTTGTCACAGTGCTTTACAGAAAGGCGTGTCTTTTTCCGTCCTGCTAACTCATTTCTTCTCTTGTAGGGCAGGACCTCTGCTCTTATTCTGTTGCTCCACCTTTTCAAACAAGATGCTTCTATTTCTGCATTGTACTAAGCCTTGCCTACTGCGTCTGCGTAGCGTACCACTTCCAGTAGTGGGAGGTAAATCTGGTGTATCCTGGAACATCGTGGAATTCGATCAAAAAGCGAATTATAAGGTGTTATTTGGAAAAAGGACTAACACAAGGAGAGTGAGTAACTAGTTGTATCAAGTATGTTACCAGTATTGGCGCTGTTATTCTGCCAAAATTCTACAAGATGAATCCCACAGCAAACTGAGACTGTAAAAGGCAAATTTGAGTTGTTGAGTTTCTTGCTTCTAAGTTGGTCTTTGGCAGCACCATGTGCCCATTCCCATGCAAGGTGTAAAGTTTTTTTTTTTTTGAATCCAATTTATGTCCTTTGCAGAGTTGTACTCTATGTAGGACACTACTTTCTAATCTAAGGGATCCCCGGTGTCCCTATTTGCGTCCCCGAGTACGCGAATGCCCTGACGTAGGGCGTACCCCTGTCAGTCCGCTGTTCCTGCCGGCCGTTTTAGACGCGCCACTCTGGTGGGGGGGAGATTTATAGATGCTCTTCGTGCTGATGTACTATGGTAGCATAATCTAAACATGTACTCGGTCGCGCGAGGCGATCTAGTACAGGAGTCAGGTGGGCATTTGTATAGGGATTTGGTTAGTCTTGGGGCTGATCTGACTATCCTGGGTCCGTATGTCTTGTGCTGCTGTGAGCGCTTGATTCCGTGTAGGCGAGTGAGTGAGTGAGTGAGTGAGTGAGTTGAGAGTGTTGTACAGGGTGTCTGTACATGATGGTGAGAGACGCGTTGATGTTTACAGGTTGGATCTACAAATAAAGTTGTAAAGTTACCAGATTTGAAGACAGGGGGAAGAGAAACTCGAGTGAGAAAATACCAACAGAGTGACTAAAAATAGGGTACCTAGCGAGACTAGAAACTTGAGTGAGAAAAGGCATAGAGCCATTGCGAATCCGTCAAAACTTGCTGGCAATATGATGTATCATATACTGTAATTGTAGAAGGTAGGTGATACATCCACCCACACCTTTCATCCTTACATGGTAATGTATCACACTTGCGAGATGTATCAGTGTGTCCTGCATATCATGTGACTGAGTCTGTCCGCTTTTCTCTAATACATCACTTTCTTTCTAGTTGATTTTCTCGTGACCGGCAGTCTGATACATCACTGTCGTGTTGTCATAACACTTTCCAGCAGCTGATATATCACTTGGTCTGTCTATTTTGTTTGCTTTTCTTGTTACCTGCACGCTGATATATCATTAGCGTCTATCTGCTTTTCCCATGACCTACAGGCTGATACATCACTGGTATTGTTGTAACAGTCTTTCTAGTGGCTGATATATCAGTCTGTCTACTACAGGCTTGTGATGGTACTTATGTAGCTGATATATCACTTCCGCGTTCCGTCTATCTAGCATTGCGCATTTCCTCACGCAAAAGCAGTACTTCCTCCTCCCACCGGTGAGCTCGAGCACTTGCCTTACACCATTCCACGCGTAGTGCTACAGCATATTAAACAAGGTATACATATTATAATCGAAGACTTACAATCCTGTAGTCCTTCCCCCTGATTGTTGGATACCCCTGCCGTTTTCCATATCCATGAAATATTCTGTTGGCTGACTGTCTTCCCTTCATCGTGTTTGAGAGGGACTGCATCCTTCGTCCTGTCCAGTGGCCTCAACCATTATTCTTACTAAGTTTTGATGCAAGTATTACAAGCGCATCTCTGGCAGTAGTGTACTCAACCGATATTGCATTGATTCTGCTTTCAGCCGAATGGATAATACCTTGAGCACGAGTATTCGCTGACCTAGGACAAAAGCATCCTTGTACTTGTAGAGGTGGTAGGTCATATTGATGACAGTGCGGAGTTCGCTGAGAGCATCATTTTCTTGGGCTTTACGTAAATCCCATTCATACCTTAGCAAGTGAACGTCGCATGGGAAGCTTGAGGGTAGCGAAGAAGGAAGAAAAAGATGAATCTTGTGGACCTTGTCCTCGGAGGTAATGTCATCGGGCGATCTCAGGCAGGAGACACAGGGCATATACAGCAGTTGTACACGGGACCAGGTATCAATTCTGCGGCGGAGGGTATTGATGTGCTGAAGTATCTTGGCTTTTTGAGTGTTCGTGGCATGCTGTCTGATGCTCTTCCCCTCAAACTCAACACGTTGTCTAGGCAGAGCCGATTCAGCTGTGAGTGCAAATAATGCGTATACGCACTGCTGACTCTCTAGTTCTATTCCCGATGAGATAAGGACCAATGGTAATACATCATCGTCCAGGGACATGTGTTCACCACGCTCGATTTCTTTTGCCTCGGTCTTTGATAATGCCAGACGCACGGCGGCCTGGGTCACCGCTGTTAAATTACCCATTAGCGACATAAATGTTTAGGCACAAAACGACACTTACTAGTCCCCGCCTTCACTTCGAATGGGTTTGGCAAAGAGCAGTCCAACTCCCACATCTCGATATCTGTTATTCACACAGCTAATTGGTCTGCATCAAGGGCAGCCTCGAATTCGTCAAGATCACGAGCATGTTCTTCAGCCTCAGGTACCGCGGCCTTATATTTTCGGAGAAGAATGGCGCCTGTGGGAGTAGCTTAGCGTTGAACACTAATCGATAGAATAATCACTCACCCATAGCAGACTTTCTTCCAATTCCAATCGTTAAAGTGGTTGTCAATGGCCTCTCTCCTGGATCCGGGTCCCATCTCGCCAGTACTTATAGCAAGAGGGTTAATATCTGCCCACCCACGCTCCGGAGCTTCGCCATTCGTCCGCCCAACACCCTTGATAAAGTTGAACGAGAACCTGTTTTGACAACAAGCAATGTGCGCTGGTAGGTGAAATTTAGGTACAAGGAATGTAATAACCTTTTCGTTGTGGTTGATATGATATTTGTGCGGGAATGCTGACATGCGCGACCAAAGGTTTTTGTTCCATTGGCAGGAAATGTCGTAAGATATGTTGAGGACGTGAACGCCGTGTGAAGAACGCATGCTTGAAAAAAACAGATAATCCATGTTGATGTACCTATCAACGGTGGGTTCAGAATCAAGACTATGATATGATCAATGAACGAACGCACCTCTCCCCCTTTTGAAAATCGCCAACTGAACAAGGGCGTTTAAAATTGTGCCGTGCACAATCAATGGTTCCTGCATCCGTTGCTGCAAGTCCACCAGAAGCCCTTGTTTCCGCCAGGTTGACTGTAGAGTGGCTAGAACACATGCTCTTCTACATTTAATCATAGTCAGTGCAGTGGCTCGGGCAATTGTGTTTGACTGACCCCCTGGGCATTGCCCACCCTGTTGCGTGAAGCCAATATATCCTTGTATTCAGTCTTTTCAACAAAAAATACATATCCGCGATTCAGTCCGGGATCAACAGCATCTGATGATGATACGGCGAACGAGTCGGAAATTCTTGTCAATAGCCAGGAAATCTCAGCCACAATTCCAGTGCTCTGGGAGGCCCTCATATGGGTTCCATCGTTCTTTGTGCGTGCCAGCTTCTTTTCTCCATTGTTCATTCCCTGCAGCACCGGCAGTCAACGAGAGTTCGAACATTCGTATACCAAGGGACTCCAGATCAACGTCTACGTCCATCGCAGACAGACCTCTAAATTCAGCCTCTCAAAGGCATGTCCAAGAGGTGCATAGTTGATGAGTTCGACGAGTAATAATGCTAGGTCAATTATCTTGTGTATGATTACAGTAGTTGTCGGAAGAGCCCGTAAAATAACAAACGGGCGACTCATTCAGATGGCATTTTCCAGCTAAGTAAACCTGCTAGAATAATTTCATCATAGGCTTCAGTACCACTCCGTTCTATAAGAGTGATGAGTTCTCTTTCTGCAGCAAGCCGTCGTCTTGTCAAACAGAGCAATTTCTTACACTGCTGCAATAGGCCATTGTGACCAATCCCCGGTGCACATAGCTGTACAGCCTCTGACAGCAAGGTAACGCGCTTGTGCAAATTGTGCATAAAAGCGCCCACATCTTCGAGCTCGGGGGACATGACATCCCATCCTTCTGTGTCAATGCGTTGGAGTACTGCGAGAAAGCGTTTCTGGAGGGAATTATGCTCAGGAACTCCTGCTTTGTAGCCAAGCTCAATGTATAATATGTCGAGGCTGTGAAAGTTTGAGATGATGGACTTCACGAATCAGCAAAGTTGTGCACTATGACCGTCTCGAGAAAGACATACATCGCTCATATGAGATTGCCTTCGCCAACGATTTCGTGACATGTCTTGCTCTGTAGTCTTGTTTCTAGAGCACGATGAATACAATGACCATTGATTCTAGAGATAGTGATTAAATCTAACCTTGCATAGTGAGATCGTTTGCTTTGCAATCTAGCATTACGACGATCTTCCTCGGACTTGTATTTTGGTGGCATTGATGATATGGGTAAGTACGGTCAGTGTTCACATATTCACCATATTATTGAACACATCGGGAGCCACACTTCCGGACAGATGGATTTGATTTGTATATACTACGTATATAATACCATGTACTTGACAACAAATAATCTCAATGCGCAGAATACTGGTACTGCTTGCTATACTTACCTATATGTCAACCGGTCACACCAATCATTTGGATGAACAAGAAAAAATGCAAATTCACCAGACATCGTAGGGTGTCTCAGAGAGTTGTGTGTTTTGCACCATGATATATCATGCTGTGCCGGTGTCAATCACTCTCGGCATGCTGAAATACCTTGGTGCTAAGCGCACCAATATTATGGAGCATATCCGTGTTGAGCGCAAATGTTACCAGGATCGATCGATCAATGATTGCCTGTTCAGTGTTATAAGACTCATGTCCAACTCATGCATGAAGGCTGATCGGATGCCAGATCTAGCAGCAACACACTGGAAAAAGGGTATATAAAGCTCATTGAGCACATCGCACAATATTTTTAGTATACACGAATGACAGAGTATCTATAGTGCAGAGATATCAAGCTGCCTCACCGCACCATACATTGAAAACATCCTGGAAGTGCGCCTGGGCTTCATGTAGTGTAGTAAAATAATGCACTGTCGTCCCTGCAGAGCGGAGTTTACGTGCAGTATAGCTTAATGGGTATCGTTAGAGAAGGTACAGATCAAATAAATGAAGGAGCCTACATGTCACTGAACAATCCAACTCCGTAATGACAAACAGTTACGAACCACTTAAACCGACTGGCAGGGTCAATGTTGATGAGGGTCTCGGCACTTGCATTAGCAGCCTCCAATTCTTCCACCTCATTAGACTGATACTTGGGCTGGGAACCAGGCAGAATATCGTTGGTGGCACCAATCCAAATGTCTTCGATGGAGGTGTCAACATCTGTGGGGTTGACATCCTGACTGTCCATCACATCCCGGTGAGAGCCTATAAGTAGTGTGAGCGGAAAAAAACACAGTAGATACACTATACGTACCAGATTGTGTGTGAAGTACGCATTCTTCACCTTCTGGTCGATGGGGCCAACCAAATGGTTGCGGAGACGACGGAGGAACTTTGCAAAAGTGTGTCAGTACCAGCAAACATTACGTAGAACCAAAGAAAATAGCTTACCACACTGAACCAACCGAATGTCCTTGATGAACTGTTCGAGTGTGAAACAAGGATGGGTTAGCATTTGGACGCGGCGATTGTGGAGGCACTGGATATCTGGCTGGGACATGTTCACAAGTCTGAACAAAGTGGCAAGGTCAAGTTGCAGGGAAGAGAATAGTATTTATACTGCTTGCCATTTGACCGGTATTGATTAATGATTGGTCAAGAAAAAAATCAAGCTTAATAATGCCAAGTCGAAAAAAGTCGTTCTAGAACCACGAACGTCACACTAGCATTGCAAGTAAAGATGGCCCCTCCGAGATGGAAAAGTGCCGAACAGCTTACGTGGCTGCAAAATGAGGTTCCAACGTACCTACAGATGCAAAAAGAGAAAAAGCTGGTCCGGTTTTTTGAGCTGCTATACCCCAAGTGGTTCAGTGTGTTCCTGGAACATATGAGAGTTTGGCACATAGGATCAGAAAAATCACCTGACCACAATGACGCCAACATCGACCAATCTAGTCTTGACTCGGATGCAGCTGTCAACGAGATCATTGCCGAGCTGGACCATGAAAACGCTATAATTCCTATCAGTGATGTTAAAAAACAGAGTAACTTGGACGCAGAACTTGCCGAGGCACTCAAGGACCCCATAAAACATCGAGGTAAAGTGCGTTTCTTGAAGCTGAGCTAATTATAGGTCGGAATACTGATTAGCCATTACACAGAAATTGCAGGAGTAGTTTTGAAACAACACCAAAGGAAAGACCAGAACAGACGGGACTTTGACAAGCAAAGTCCTATCTACAATGCTGGGACAGCCCGCACGAGGCACTCGAGACCTGAAAGAAGTCGAGGTGTACTCACAGCTTCATTATGAATCAAAAGTCAAGCCTTTGGTCTCGGACAACATCAGGGAAAACAAGCTTGCATTACCTGACCAGAGGCTTTGTGCTGTCCGGCACCACACAAGTGAATGTTTTGCAAAGGAGTCGGAAGATGTGAAGGAGAGTACTATCATAGCAGGTTATATATCACGTTTTGTAAACCTACCAGTGATATATCATAATCTCAGAAACGGGCCCACTTCTACTAGTGCTGATAATATATCATTCACATGGTAGTATGATGTATCATAAAATTCAATATACCAATTTCTGGTGGTAGGTCATATATCACCCTCTGTGTCTGATGTATCATCGTCTTAGAGTTTCACTCAAAGGCCAGGATGTATCATGTGCCTTCTACAATGATAGGTAATTAATAGATCACAATGACACTATCGCCTGAATCCGTCTTGTTAGACACAGACTGCTATCTGCACTGAAGGAGGTGGTGATGATAATTGCGCGCCGCATGTTCGTCATGCTGAAAAGCACAGGGAAAAAGCTGCAGGGGCAAAGGGCATGGCCCAAGACAAAGACATGGGAGGACCTGAAGGAAGAGAAAGTCAGCTCTTAGAGGGACGATTCAAAATTGGGCTATGATGCAATTTATATCCAATAACGACAATTCTATTCACTGCGGAAATGACTTTGTAGTCATATATGAAAAGAGTAGGATTAGGTCAAGCACACGGACAAAAAATGGACTCTAGAAATAGACTCAACATGTATCAGACACAGTATAGAAAGGTCTCCCAATCCGAACCAAACGAGCATGTGGATTTCAGCATGGAACAGAGTGTGATTATGCTATAGACATGCTACTCCTCAGTCTGGTTTAACGCTGATTAGCTATGTTATCGCATCCGTTTAGAATATCTAAAATGGTGAAAAACCCCTCTATTTAGGCTAGGATTACATGGTGCTATGAATCCACCATAGATCGCAAAAATGCCTGCTCTTCTGCCTGCTCTCATCCCCTTGCATAGCAATGTATCTGGGTGTTCCCCAGAATAGTATGCAGAGAAGGACCAGCGATCCTAAAAGGAAGTTACTAGGTCAACAAACTCAAAGACAGCAACAGCGACACGAACCACTTGCGGCGCCACTTGTACTACCACCTCTGCAACCCCAGCTCTCCCCTCTCGAAAATAATGGCAAGCTGCCACGGATGGACCTGTTCTTTAGTGTGGGAAAACAGGGTGCAAGTCGTGAACCACAGGTCATGGTAAGTCCATTTGAATGCACTGGTAGGGAACATGAGATACTCACAATAGATAAAACAACGACAGCTTGTATTTTTTCAGGCGTCAGGTACATGGGGGGTCAGCATCTGGACAAGGGACACCATATTAAGGGACACAATTAATTGTCGAAATTTGAAAGTATTCCTTCGCTTATACTTTTGATTCCAATTGGTCAAAGCGTGCACTTGACTGCATTTGAGTTTATCAGAAACTCTTACTGCAGTTTCATATGATATGCATGTAATTAGGTGTCAGGAACTGCCACGATCGAGCAACATTACTATGGAATAGCTTTGATTGGATGGTGGGTAGGTGCATGTCTCTAGTTATTCGTGAGAGCCACTGCCAAACATTGCCAAACATATTCACTTAAAAACAGACATAATGTTCCTATGAAACAAACTCAACAACCATGGCACGCACCAGATCTCTAGGACGCAGATTCAGCAGCCGTGATCCCCCTGCGGCACTTCAACCCGAGAGGAAAAGAAATATTAAAAGTAAGACCAAGAAGGACCGTGCCCTGACTGTAATGTCCACTAGTAAAACAACTCTTCTGGTGCCTCCGGTGCAACTCCGGAAGCCTATACGGTCATTTTCCATTCCAATAATCCGTGCAGAGCTAGTCATGGATGAGTCCCTGACAAAAATTGGAACTCAGATCACTTACTGTGCTCCGGAAGAAGTTGTTGCCTTTGATTTCGATACACGGAGGAAGCACACGACCTGCCGCGTACCAGTGATGGAGGGTGGGAGGCTTAGAGGGTATGTACCCCTGCCCATGAGGTACCGGGACATTTGGCTCGAGCTTTCATATAATATCGTGCTGTTGATGAATATCTGGGAACTTTGGTCGAAGGAAGAGGGAAAGGCTTTGAGGCCGAAGGAGAAAAAGATGGTCACTGCTTGCCGGCAGAACGTCGGGGCATTGCTTGTTCAATACATGCTTGCCAGGCTTCTTGCGGTTGAGGAGTTGGTCAGCTTGAGTTATAACACCGAACCTGGGGAGGAGTGCGTGAAATCTCTCAACGAATGGAAGGTCCGGATGCTTCGGGATTGGTTCGATATGACACACTCCGAAGCAAAGGCTGACGGATCTGAATTCATGCGTGCAGATCCAGCAAGCGTTGAAAACAAAGCATTTTTCGGTGTGTCCATCACATCGGCCGTTCGTCTAACATCGCCTGACCTCAATAGAAAGGAGATGGGAGATAGAAGATGATGGGAGTGACATCTTATCGCCCCCGGCAGACCCCAATCTCTGGATCCATGGGCGTATCGAAGGGCTAGACGATATCTTTGAAAAAACAATTAAACCTCAGGCTTTCCAAGAGATCAGCAAGCCCAGCAAATTTTTTAAGACTAGATATGAGAAAGGGGCCAATTTACCAGCACGTTGGCACGAAGGGCATGAGCCCTGTCCATTCTTCTGGAGCGTCAAGCAGTGCGATTGGTTCTGTGAAGGTGATGTCATAACTGCATGCGATCCCTTTTAGCTTCTGACAACACCATGTTTCGCAGGGAATGACTATTGGAACTCGCCGATCGACCTCTTGCATCATGTTCTTTCTACAGATCCAGCGTACCATGATCTTGAGCAGTTCTTGGGTGACTTGCGCAGCCTTGCTGGCATTATTACTGTGAATCCTGAGTGGGAAGATATCGAGGAGGCTGCAAAAGATCTCTGGCTAGGAAAGATAATCTGGAGGGAGTTTGTAAGCAGCTTGAGAAGAGGTTTGAATCTTTCCAAGGAACAAACTGTGACTTCTGAAAAAAGGGGTACGTCTTTCTAGACGTTCATTCTGACAACTCATGTAGATCGTTCTTCCATACAAGATGACCAAAACCCTTTCAATACCTTGGAGGCTCGTTTGGTCTTTGAGGGATACATGCGCGGGGGGGGAAACCAAAAGGCTCAGAGCGACAGGGATGTTATTTTGTGGAAAGGCTTGAATCAAATGGGCCCCCAAGAATATCGGCCGGTATGGAAATGGGTCGCCAGTGAGATCCAGCTGCAAGAAAATGCGGTAATAGAAGTTTTGGAGAAAGCAGGAACATGGTGGCAAGATTTTAGATGCCAGCAAGGTGAGCATTAGAGAAATCAGCCGATCTCCTGTGCAAATCAATTCTTGTTCACAGCGAAAGAAACAAATGTCACGGAACAACCTGACAGGGAGGAGGATGATGCACACGTTGATGCAATGCCAGAGATGGAACCGCAGGTCCACAATCAACAGCAGGGTGGATCTGGTGAGCGTGTGGAAGGGCAATACAACTAGCAATCTAACTGAAGAGGGAAGGGTCCATTCTTGAAGGACGTGGACATGAGAAAAAAAGATGTCTCCTCCAATCTACGTTTGCCAAAAAATGATGGTGCCTAACAGCAAAACTCTGATGACTCTTGTGACTCTTTTCCTGGTGTGGAAAACATTGACGGACATCCACCTGCAGCTATCATTGCAGTAAACTCAATATCCATCTTCCACACATCCTCCCCTGCCTGCTCACGCTCCCATCATAGATGGGGCGCCCGAGCATATTGCCCTGCACAGTTATCTAAAATCCAACCCTGTCCCTGATCCTCCTTTCGCTCTTCCTGCTAACAAAAACACTACAACTCAGGAGCTAAGCGCAAGGGAAAGTCAACGGCAGGAGCTGAAAGAACTGCATGCCATCTATCTTGGTTTAACTAGGTATCTTGAGGGTCACGAATCGTTGGAAGTGCACAGAGAAAGCTTGATAACATCCTTCTACTCCGACTTCGAGGCTAGCATTCTGAAATTTGTGAAGGATCTTCGGCATTTTCCCGCAGACCAGCTTACGGTGGAGGTAGCAAAACCAATTTTGGACTCCTTCGCCCGCCGTGTTCAAGCAATACAGGCGAAGAAAGAAGCTGGGGAATCGCAAAATGCCCTCCTGTAACTTCGCATCCTGCATTGTACCCTGAGATCGCATGTACCTTAGCCTGTGTAGGATTTCAATTTGTATCCACAGTGTTGACGAGCCTTAATCACACACAAGTACCAGTACTGAAGGTTAGAACACGTTGTGAATTAGAAACTTTACAGCATTTAGAATCCCAGATTTTGACAGTAGGAAACGAAGGACCGTTTCCGTTCCATCACAATTGGGAAAAGTTATTCCTGAATAGGAATCTTTGGCAACTAAAGAAAAGGTGACCCCTGGGAAAGCCCTCTTTTTGTTGATTGACCCCTTGGAAAGCTTCGCAGAGCAGGACACCCTTGCCATGACTAATTTTTTGATATTCTGACATTTACAGATATGAGGAACTTTATCAAGCTTGTGTGCACTGTATGTATATAACTATTGTTCAACACTACTCAGATCAGTGATGGTTGTGATGAGTAATGAGGCACATTAAGAGCGTGAGAATGTGAACGTGTAGAGACACATAAATTCACGGTCTCTCCCTTATCTCACTCAGCTCATCCCACTATTATGTATCATCATCCAGGACAAGAGTCCCTGAGCAGATTTGACACACTTGATCTTGATCGGTACCCCATAGCATTACGTCCGGCATCACGGCAGAATCGCAGCATCCTTCCTACACCACCTAGTAGCACCCGCACATCGCTTGAGGAATCCCAGGGTCTACAAGAACCTATTTGCGCCACCCAACCTTTTACACAATTAGTTGTGTCACCCACAAAAGCAGATGTACCGTCTTGTCATTTGACTCCTCCACCATCCCCATCCAGTCCAGGGCAAGAAACCTCCAGCTCTATCTTGAAGTCTCTTAGGGATGTTGCAAGCAGAGTGGTGTCCAGGCTTGTGTTCGAAAATGTGTCAGCCCCTGTATATGAAGAAGTCGTAGAAGAAGCCACAAAAAATGGGGATTGGCAAGATGTAAGGTAGGTCCCACACAGCGATTGGTTTGAACTCAGTGTTAAGGAGATATAGAGTTGATTATGATGGAAGTGTGCTCATTGTACATTGCCCAAGCCTTGGCCACGAATTTCCTGGGGATCTCTTTGATTTGATGGGCCGTGCAGGGAAGTCTTACCCAAGGGAATATCATGGCAGCCGCATCACCCAGGGTGGTTCAACCACTGTTGATCTTGTTGTTGGATCAAAGTCGCCTGACTTCAGCCTTTATGAAGTGAAAGACAGCAGCAGGCAGGATCAGAAAGTCCTGAATGTGATGCCTACAGTTGCCTTGGAGGTAGGATATTACGGGGAAGGGGAAAGGAAATTGACTTTAGATGCCGGCCGACTCATATGCCTATCGAAAGGCATGATACAATTAGTGGCCACTATCAATATCGATCACGAGGTGGAGAAGCAAAATGATGGAAGACGAAAACTAAAATCCGTCGTATGGACACACTGGGAGATGGATCCAGAGTATCCCAAATTGGTTGAAGAGAATGACAAGTATGAGCTCAATGAGCTCATTCCTGAAAACGACGGAAAGATGGTGGAAGATCAAACGACTGTCCAACCGCCGCCCGATGCCTATCGAGCAGTAGTGAAATTTGCCCAAACACCCTATTGGGTTAGAGCTTACAGGTCTAACATTTACAAGGTACTTGACTCTTTTCTTTCTGACTTCAATTACCTGAGCTTCCGGACTGTAGCTCTTCCCACCAACAGGAATCCGATCTATCCCGATTCTGCATCGTCATTTGTTTCGCGATCCACAGGAGTGCGACCAGGAAAATCCCGCATTTACCATTGAGACAGCAGATATCATGGCTACAATTCACAGCTTTGAAAGGGTTCAGCGGGAGATGGACGGCAAAAAGAAGAGGAAGCCGGAAGAGGAAGACTTGATGGACAAGGAACTTCTTGCAAGATTAAAAAAACGACGTCCCAACTAGTGCTAGCTAGAAACATGATGTGACATAAGTAATCAAGCACAAGTAACGCTGCTCAACACTAGGCTCACAGTACAACTTTACGTGTTCCCAGCAGTGACTCATCCCAGGCACTATGGCCCAAGAGTACTATGCCCTGTGCAGGAACAGCGGTGTAGCTCTGCCCAACAAGACTCCAGCATATGCCGGATTTGCCTACCACCACTGGTAGGACAATACTGTGCGGTTGGGAGGAGAGACAATGAGAAAATGGGTGGTATGCATGGCGGAAAATCATGAGAAATGCCATGCAGTGACCAAATCGTTCTCAACGACCACAACAGTAATAGGCAGCTAATCATTTCTGCCGCTGCTGCACTCTACATCAGTCCCAGCAGCGACCTCCCAGGCATTACGCAGGAGAACCCTTGCCCTGTACAGGGAGGAGTGTTGTGCCGCCCCAACTAGCATACCTCCAGCATACGCAAAAGGTAGTCTACTGCAAGGAGGAGTAGGCCAAGCGGTTGAGAAGAGTGGATTAGACAGTATTGAGTCATAGCTGTCGCATGGGTGGAAATATGGGTGTGTGTGGGATGGAGGGAAGAGGAAGAAGGACGCGAAAGTAAATCAACTGTAGACAAATAAAAGCAAATACAATGCGCATACACAACAAAACACAATTTAACTCGACCGCTGTTTTCGTGGGAGAGGGTTTTGTCAAAAAAAATAATTGTTGCTTCAGATTATATATAGTCCTTTGGGGTCATAAGACATGTGTTGAACCCTTAATAGATCATCAAGTTTCTTTCGTTTTGGTTTTGTTGACTGAATTCTATCAGGTAGATGAGATGGGCTTGTACTCTACGAGGCTTGGTGGCAAGTACAAAAGGAAACCTGCGGTGAGGAAGAGGGAGGGAACGGACTAACTATCACAGGACCGTTGTTTGGAAGGGAGGATTTGGAACACAATGTAGAACTTCCTGTATCCGATTACACGATAAGTAATCGGCAACTGTGTTACGATCCGCAGAGATACGAAATACCAGATAATTCACTGATGTTGGCACAAGTTCAACCACAAACAACAGAATGTGATATTTGTGTGAAGCTGGAAATGACTTGAACGTTGAAACAGCATCAAGATTTTTGATAAAAAAAAACACAAAACGACCTCCTCGAGGCATGCGTGACAAAGCATCATGCATGGCCGAATATATACATAATGCCTCCAAAAAAGATGCCCTTGGCAGGTGTGCACATAGGCAATCCAGCAGACTGGAACCTTAGCAAGAGAGTCTCAGTTTACCCCGCACACAATTTGCAAGGTCGATGCCGTCAGTTTCTTGTCATCATTGTTTGGAGGCAGTGGGAAGAACAGTGACAAAAATTGGAACAATTTTGGGTAGGGGTATTTGCAGATACCGTGGCAGCATCTTCGTTGCGAGTGGTTAAGGTCTTATCTTGTAGCTATGGTGGATCATTATATTCTTACTTGCCGTGCATGCAATGGAAATCGTAAAAAGCACGAGTCGAACTCTTGGTTGCGAGAGTTCAATTTTAACATTGTATCTTTGTTATGCGTGCCGTTACGCTACTTGACCTTGTCTGTTGTGGACTTGGCATACATCCACCTTCTTCGCAGATGTCCAGATAGATGTTCTCCCAGGTGGACACCAAACTTTTGTGTCCGGATGGGCCGGGATGGCAACCTGGGTGAAACAGTCTTTTCAGTCAATTTATGTCCGGATCCTGACTTGGGTCCCATAAGGATTCTCACGTGTCCTTTTCCCACTGACATAAACATTGATATTCGTCCCATTAAAGGTCACTGAGTGAACACACTACGATCTGAGCGACACTTCGAACATGAATCGATGTTATTGACGGTAATCATGTACAAATTCTATGTGCAGTAGCGAACAAAGCATGATGAACCTCAGGATGGTACGGTAAGTTATAATACAACGCACACTACACGACGTCATGTAAAATGCAAAGAGAAGGACAATCATTGATATCAAGTGCACAAGTTTTCACCAAGGGACATTCATTCTAAACACTGCCATTAGTAGGGAGGGCTCGGAACTAAGCGACCTGAACCTGTGGGAGCTTCAGAAACACACAACAATAAAACGGGGGGCAGCGCATGACATTCAGACACGGTCAAAATCCACGAGGGAACAACAATTCCGAAGGCAAGAAGTAGGTAAACTACATGCTGAACAGAGAGTGAAAGAAGACAAGATACCGTGCAAGAAAGGAAATATTTTCTCAGCCACTTATATCAGCCTGAATATTCAGGTCAGACTACTTTGTACTACATTCGGGGATTAGCGTTGTTGGAAAAACCGTCGAGTGTTGCCAACAGGTTGTGACCGGCATAACAAATGGAATGATATGCTCGATACATGAACACTGAGTAGATCCTTGGCAGATATATGATATGCACATACAGCCACATTTCAACTGTTTGAAAGTCACATCAGACACCGATGACGTTAATTTTAAGTCAAATGATAATGAAAGTCAGAATCATCAGTGACATATTCACACTTTTGATAATACACCTTTTGGTGACACACTGAATCCACATCTCTCGCATGTTTACGTTGTGATGCATCATCAGTGTCTTGACGAACACCACGCCTCGATACCGCTCGATGATCAAGAGAGGGCAGATCAAAAGGCTCTGGCAAAACATGATTAGAACTATTTGGTCTGGAACGCTTCAAGAGTTTAAACACAATGGCATTGGGAATACGTACACCGTCCGTCGAAGAAGATCGCAGATTTGATCCTTCCGATTTGCAGACGAAAGTGGCTGCATAGTATAAAAAAGACTGTAAGATTCAGAATTTAGATGTATGTGTGAGACTGGAGACACACGAGAGAGTTAGCGAGTTGAAGTTGAGTTGAAGCGTTAGCGGCAAGTGAGGGTTCACAAGTCGTCTCAGCCAATCAAAATAAGTCACGTGATGTGTGACATGTGACATTCGAAATGCTACAGCACTCCGCTCCCTTTTTTTTTTATCCATTCCGAAATGCCTCCCCACAGATCTAGAAAAGCAAAACCTGGTGCGATTCTGAGCGGAATTTTACGCGCTGGCCCAGGGGAGGCAGATGTCAGGAACATGGTTCCACAGTGTGCATCCAACCTCCCCCGAAACTGCGGGGAGCTACTTCAATACCCATCCACAACCTTATCCAACATGCTTGGAATATACTGCCACATGTGCTGTGACGCGATAGAACCTGGATTCCAGCACCAGTGTAACAACTGCCACGCACTCGTCTGCGAACAGTTCGTTCCTCGGAGTAGCGGTTGCATTGTTTCTGTAGTGTGTAGCAAGGAAGAGTTCTTGTGCCCTATTTGCGCAAGGACTGGAAAGAAGAAAGATTCCCCTTTGCCATACGTGTATGCTGGCTTTGGTAGGCGAAAGAAAGTGAAGATGAAATGGCCGATGTGCCTCGTAAACCTCAACGTGAAGTCGTCGGAAGAAGACTACCTTGCAACCACCACCAAGGTTGAATTAATTAACCATTACAGGTCACATAAATAAAATGTGGGTGGGGCTGACACTTTTTTTTGCGTGTAGTACTGAATATCCATTCTAGCTTTTCATTCGCACCTTGCCCATCACCCAGGGTGTACACACGTCCGAGTTCAAGAACCTTGCAGATGGGATAGAGCTTATTCATAAGGCCATAAAGGCCGGATGTCCGCCGAATTCTTTCGTCATAATCAACACTGACTCAGATGAGGTTACCGAAGGAAACGCTGTAGTCTCAGACATTGTTGCAAAATCCCTCGGCGAAGAGTTTTTGGAGTGCATGGGAGCAGCCTCTTCTGCGGCAAAGAGTGACGCCACCGTCAACATTACGGCAACCGGGAAGAAGCCTTGGTGCGACCTTACTGCCAAGGCAAGGGGAGGACGGAGGGTTCTCCTCCTTGTCGGAAGTCATCCTGCCATCAGGTTCCGTCATCACTTCGAATCACTTATGGCGTTGGTGAAGAAGTAAGGATCTCTTATGATGCGTAAATGGACCTCACTGATGGCATTTCAGTGAAATATTCGACTTCGTGCTTGGTTTCGGCGGTTCTGGCAGCTCCTTATCTCAAATATCTCATACTGTGCGCTCACTCATTGTAGAGACTGGAGTGTTCGGACAAACAGATCCCTGGTCTGCATTGAGGAACATCCTGACGTCAAACCATCAAGTTTTAGATCACACAACTGTCGTGGTGTTGTACACGACTACTGCCAGTGGCTCCCGACAAGTCGAATGCCGTCAGATTGGGAAGGACACCCCTGCATCACGTGCCTTTGCCTACGAATTTAAGATGTGCGGAAAAGCTGGATGTGATCCAGGGCTAAAAGGCATACAGGTCTACAATCAGAAGGGAAAAGTCCGTGTTGGGTGTACACTATGCCACTGGAAGTCTGCATGGGCGAGGAACGATGAGGACAACGAGCTCTTCAAGAGGGTGAACGCACTCACAGCGCCTCAAATATTTTTGGCATCATTTCCCTCCCTCAAATGACCTCCAACAGTTCTTTGTTAAACTCAAGCAGCGTGAACCTGAAGGGACAAGCCGTAAGAAGGGGTGGAGAAGAGAAATGCAAGACTCCAACATCTCAGCTTCCGGAAGATGCACAAACGCTGGACTTTGTCTCAGAACATTCGCTTAACGATGGACATTGATGAATGATGTATGCCTCCTCCCTTCATTGCTAATTGCACATTGCCATTGTTATTAATTTGTGACCTTGTAAACTGAAACTCCGCCCAAAGTTTGTACATGTCGGAATTTAGAGAAAAATTAGGTCACCGTAGAACGTAGATGTGATGCATATCGTCACTCGAGCTTGTACGCTATATTCTTGATATCAGGAAGTGGACGGATTGAACTCATGATAACTTTTCGAAGGATATGCAGTGTCAAGTCAAAAGACAAATGGTGGTTGAGAAGTTCAAGAAAGAAAGTACTCAGGCGCCAGATCAAGCCTTAGATAAATCCAGTCCCAGCAGCAAACACTGCAAGGAATTACAGCCCCAAGAATATAACTTTAAGGACAAAGTAGTTTCCCACCTAGCGCGACTCTTGAATAAACAAGCACGGCAAGGCGCACGCTAGAAAGTTGGGATACATGAGGAAGAGAGAAGAATACACCACAATCAATAGTGAACAAAAAAGAAGAAAATAGAAGTGAAAACAAGCTTCAGTAAAAAAAAATGCAGTTTCTTTGCAGAGGAAGGTCATAGTGATTGGAATCCTGGAGATTGATTCAAGATAACCTGTCAGTATAACCTTGCACCTTTCTTGAGTAGCAAGAGAGAAAATGACCTTAGCAAGGTTAATGACATACAATGACAGGGTGTGATTGATATATTACAGCAGTGCCAGCTCGGGTGATCTAACGGATTACTTCTCAACAGAAAGTACAACTGCTGTTCGAGTAATGGTGCAAATATGAAGTTGGGTGCGGTATCGATAAGGGTTCAAGACTTACCTTTCGTAAAGTGATTACGATGAGAGGGTGATGTTTCCGAGCTCAAGACAGAATGGAAAATGATGTGCAATTTTTTGATGTCAGCTCGCAATACGTTATGTTATGATTTTTTAGTGTTCCTTGTTAACTTACTATGAGGGTAAAGCATGCATAGAGAAATTTCAGTCCTTTACAAAGATTGAGATGTGAGTTCACATTTGTTTTCATATCCATTGGAAAAAACTGACGAGGTCATAGAATACTTTGTCTTGTAGCTTCCTCTTCCTCCCTGCTAGCATATCCCACAGGATTATCAACTGATTGTTCTTGATGTTTAGGAGAGACTTTTTTTTCCCTCGGTTTCTTGCTATGCTGCTCGAGTGCCTCCATCTCCATTGTCATCGTCGCCATCCTTCCGCTTAAAGGACTCTTCCAGGTTTTGGATCTTTGCAGGATGTGCTTCAACTCAGGTTTTTGAAGCTGTTTCAATGACCGGTGGAGAAGATATGACTGGCTTCTGCGTAAGACATACGTATGTAGTATATTGGTGATATTGAGCTGAGAATTGACTTTGCATTATGTCCTAGTGCAGAAGGGAACACAGGTATGTAGGAAAGAAAAAGACAAAAAGGATACACCGTTGCACAAAGCCACAGAAGACGAACAAGGTGCACTCGATCGGTATAGATGGCGGCCTGCAAGTAGGATAAAAGTTCAATGCCAGAACAAGCCTTGTGTAAATCCAGTTCCAACAGCAACCCCTCCCAGGAATTACAGCCCGAGAATGCTCTGCCTGTAATTTTAAGGACAGAGGGGGTGCTGCACCACCTAGCGCGACTCTTGAATAAACAAGAAGCACGGCAAGGCGCGCGCGCTAGGCAGTTTGGATAGATGGAGAAAAAGAGAAGAGAGAAAACGAAAATCAACCATGACCAAATAAAAGCAAATATGATACAGGCACAAACAAACCTCGATCCCACGGACCACAGTACACAAGATGGCAGAAAGGTGGGAGGTACAGTGTGTTGTAAATGGCTTTAGAGGTACGTGCGATTTTTTTGCGAGCTGGGTGTTTGTAAAATAATTTGTAATAACCAAATGCATTCATTACATAAACACTGCCCATCAATCACTATTGTCAGCCAATAAAACATAGTTCATCGTTTATTGAACCAAGTGTGACGGAAATCCTACCACAACCACTTGTACTTCTAGTTCTACCTAAGAAATCTCCTTCTTAAGCCTGTGTCAGTGGGAGTGCATGGACCCCTGGTCCGTGCATGAACATCCCTTCTACTCCCCAATTAGGCAAGCTGGCAAGGGAAACACGACCATGTGCAGTGTCCAATGACCCAAAAGTTTACAAATTGGGGAATTCTTATCATAAACAGTGCGAGTCTTGCATCTAGGCCTTAAGCCTCAAGATGATAAGAGATCAGCTCTTTCAGGCCGACATCCCTATGAGGTCATAAACATGGATAGGGAAATTTTTGAAGATGGGACTCTCAAGTCACTTGCAAATTGCAATACACTGTAAGTACTTAGACTCTTGAACAGTCCGTCTATCGATGGCTTGCTCTATAGACGGACTGGTAAATCGGGGTTTTAATTTGTATAGTGCTTTTGAGTTTTGAATTTTTATATTTGAGTGCGCGCTTTGGAGTTGTCACATGATCTTTAGCCAATCAAATAATGATACTTTTGAGACAACAAATGAAATGGTGAAATAATCAATTATTGATTTTGATGCATCGACGCTGCTGCACTTACGTATCTGTTCTACAACTTCAATGTATACGAGTACCAGCATCTGTGCTGTGCGAGAAACATCCAGACTATATCCCTCTGCTCGTTCACTGATACAAGAATGACTCCCAAATGAGTACATCGAAACTCTTGGTGACAAGGATAGGACGGATGTGCTACATGCTTGCCTGCTCATTTATGTTCTTACAGCAACAACGATAGGTACACTACAAGGCCATTCTTGCAACACTAAATGGCTTCTATGGACTCTTTTGATGATCGTTGAACGGCAGGCACTTGGATGAATGCAATGATATCATTGTCAATGACCCTGACAAGCCTTTTCTGAAGTTACAAAGAAAAAATCATTGAAACAAAATTGCACCATCTTTGCAGCACTACGCTACGTTCAATCAAAGACATGTTTGAGGGAGATTCATGCAAAATACCTGCACGATGAGACTCCCTCTGGTGATGTTAAGCAACTGTTTCATAACGCTGTGGCTGACACTTTTTCCATTAGCTCTCTAACCTTTCCCCATTTCTTTCTCGGTCCAATCAACACAGGAGAGATTGCAGCGACCAGCCGGCCAACAAAATGCTGCTGAAATCAGCAGCAGGACAGGAGCAAACATGACCTTCTGTACGAAAAGCTGTTCAACCAGCATACGCAAGAACATGCATCACACCCACTCAGGAAGACAAAAATGGGCATAGAACGTACTTTGAAGATGCGCCGGTTAAGATAGTCAAAAATGCCCTTACGGAGTCGGGAAACCCTGAAGGATGGACTAGATTGAGCAAGAGCGTCTAGGTTTCTATCTAAGTACAAATGAAGTCTATTAGATCAAATAAATGAACAAGATTTCTAATTAAAAATGTCAGGCTGAGCCTTTTCCAATTTCTTGCAGAAGGCGAGAAATAGCTCCACTAAATTGACATACCTCCCCTTCTCGCTGTGTTCCTTCTGCACCCAATGGATGAATTCCTCCTTGGTCGTCCAAGTACTTGCTCCCAAATGTTGTCTAGCCAATTTTTCAGCGCGTCCTGTCTTCCACAAAAAAAATACAGCCTTGAAGATGAAACCTGCAAAAGGGCATTTATCTCCCTTGCTGTAGCCAACTCCGGAATGGCAAGAGGGCGCCTCGTTATTGTGATTATTATTCTGCGGAAGTGCGCATTTGAAACAATAGGTGTAATTCCCAAAGACAAAACACCTCCTGAATGTTTCGTAGAATGCCGCATCCCATGCTCTGCCTTTGTGATGACATGCGAAATCATGTTCTGGATGGAACCTATCACGACCTGCAGCATTGACAAAGTGGAATGGACAGCGGCCTTTCAATTTTCGCATATACTTGTCGAGGAGTGAAGTGCTTTGCAACCTCTTTTCAAGAGCCTCCCGTACCTTGTTTCCCCTATTGACCCATGATGGCTGTTGTTGAGATGCAGTAGAAGGTGATCTTGTATGGGGGATCGTACTCCTGGCTGACTTGGATGCTGCAGGAAGTGATGCAGGAGGGCACATAAATGCGTGAGGCTTTGCAGACTTGGAAGTTGATGCCCTGATGGGGACCAAACTCCTGTCTTGCTTAGATTCTGTAGATCGCGATGCAGCAGGGGCTGAAGCTGTGGAGGTCTTGGAAAGGGTGGGATAAGATGATCTATGGGAGCGATCCTTCTTGGATGCTGGATGTTCTGATGCCGTTGTAGAACCAACAGATGAGGATGACGGTTGAGAAGACTGGGAGTGAGCGTTCAGTAAGTTGTCACAAGTATGCAATGAAAGGTATTATTACCAGAAATTTAGCTGCACGATCTTTCCGTAGTAGCGCCTTCTTGGAAGATGGACTACGTGTGGTATCCGAGGCCTCAAAAGTGTCAATCGCTCTTGTCATTTCTGGCGTGATGTCCGGTAGCTGAGCAAAAAAGTCCTCCTCTGTTTCTGGAGAAGAAATGGAAACGTCGGGTGTCGGCATTCGGCATGTGCTGGGAACGACAATGTTTCCTATTGATGTTGCAGGAGACGCACATTGTTGGGATGAGCTTGGGACCAGGATATTACCTCTGGATTCCGCCGGATGGTCAGAAGTTGGTCTGAACGGATCCCTGATTGCTTTTGCCACAAAAAGTTCCATGTGGCTTCGAGGGTCACAGACGTCGCACTGCATGACGTCTGACCTCTCCTTGCAACGATACGCATGCTGTTCACCATCCATACACCTGATTGAGGTGTATCTTCGACAGGTATGGCCAAACAGCACATCATCCAGTCCTTTCAAGCAGTCATAGTCCTGGTCGCTATCGAATGCTGAAAGTGTTGTTTTCCGTGTCAGATAGAAGGTGTGAGCCTCCCGTCCGTCCCTTCCAGCGCGGCCTGACATCTGATTGACCACCATGAGGCCGTACTCGACTTCGCTAATCACCACGTATCTCACGGAGCTTCGATCCACGCCCTGGGCGAAGGCAGTAGTACACGCCATTACCTGCGTCTCTCCAGTGTCCCACCTCTCCAGATTCAGACCCTTTGTATTTCCTAGAGTTGGGAGTTCGCTGTGAAATACTGCGCAGCCTATGGAGGTGCTGAATTCGTCTGCCTCTTTGTTCCTGTTGAAAAAAACCAGCATGCGATCCGATTTTGTCATCGTGGATAGTAGTGCGAGCACGACTTGCTTCAAAGACAAATCATAAGCATGCGGGAGTATCTTCACAACGTGAAATCCTATCTCTGGACGGTCTGTGCAGGAACGGATCTGGATTACGTCTTTCGGTTTCAGCCCAAAGTGTTTAAGAGAAGCAGTGACGTTCGATGGGGGGTTCGTTCCTGAAAGGAAATTCAATGGAATCCGCAATTTAGAAAGGTGATGAGCAAGCTTTTTCCAAGGTTCCCTGCGTTCTGGATGGCATATCAGGGAGTCGTGGTTCTCATCTATGAAGATTCTGTGATACCTGTGCTCTTGCGCGTGCATCAGACTGGGATAAGAAACGAATATGAGAATCAGACTGTTGGGTTTGACAAAAACACCTACTCCTTGAATGCTTTAGAAGAACAGCTCTCCACTTGGATAAAAAGGAGCTGGACATTATCTGGAACGTTCTTATCTTTTGTGAAGTTGTGCGCTCTTAGCCCTGCAGAAAGACACCTTTCAACTTGTTCTTCCAGAAGGGCTACGAATGGGCAGATCACGATGCACCGCGGGTACGGATGTATGAGAGGGGCAATCATCCACAAAGCGCTCTTTCCGCCACCAGTCTTGAGGGTGATCATGGCGTCCTTTTTGGCGGACATCACCATAACAATTGCGTTCAACTGCTCAGGGGACTTTTCCTTTGCAGCTGGATCCTTGAACAGCACTGGGAATGCTGCGCGCACCTTTTTTGTCCATGAATCTATCTTCGACGGAGACAAGTGCTGGCGCATGTCGCCCTGCATCACTTGCGTAAGCAATGTATCATCGATTCCTTCAGAAATCGGATCGCTGTCAAACACAGGATCACTTTCCACCATAATGTCATCTTCCTCCTCGTTCTCCAAGGAAGCCAATACCCTGGATTCATCGTCGTCCTGATCGCTGAGAGAGAAATCCTCTTCTAGGAATGCGGTGGATGAAGCATTATGAGTGTTGCCTTCTTCAACGTCGGACGTCTCTGAGGTACCCATGGAAACATCCTCCTCTCCGCCTTCATAGGATTTTTCCAGCCGAATGCGTTTCAGAGGCTGGAAGTCATCGCTACAGTCCGACTGTGTTGTAGGACAATTACGAGGTCGCTTCCTATCTTCTATACGCATATAACCTTGCTGCACTTTGTGCTGGTTTTGGTCCTCATCATCAGTCTCGTCAAGGTCAACGAACTGTTGGTTTTCCTCGCTGGCGATATCAGGATGTTGTTGCTGAGATATTTGGTCCTCATCATCCCTCTTGTCCGGGTCAACAAACTGCTGATTTGCCTCACTGTTTATATGAGGATGATATTTCTTGGATGTTGGAACGAAACCTTAGTAATACGGTCAGAATATTTATGGGATAGAGCTATAAATATGTACTGCGTGATCCCTCCGTGATGTTTGACTGACCTATGTGGAAAGCTGCACCAGAAATGTCAGGAGCAGGGGAAACATTCTGCATGACGTGGCAAACTCCTTCGACATGGCTATGAAGCGCGCTGACGATTTGAGGTATGACACCCTCCGTCAGTACATCCTTAAGTAGTCCTGGGAGGTTCTCCAGTAGAAAATCTTTGACCAGCTTGCTACAGGAAGCGGAGACAAGGCTGGCTATGGATGAGGGGTGTGGTGAAGAGGATGCAAGATCGCTCTGAGCCTGCGCTGATCCCCCGCGCATTCTCGTCCTTCGAACAGGCTCCTGAGGCTCAAAGGGCCCAAGGCCGCAAAACGAGTGCCACTCCCTTGCCAACCAGCGATGCTTCTCCACAGCGTTGTTGGACAGTTCAGGAATGGATCCACGGAGGTTCCCATAGTGGGAATGGTCTATTTCGGTCGAGTGATCTGCGCCCTCCGCAAGTAGGTCATCTGCTAGAGAGAATGCATGACTGGGGGAGATGAATTCCCTAGCCATGGCTATGGCGCCTTGCCGGAAGTCACGGACGCCCCAAGCACACTGGAAAACCTCTCTGTTTCTCTGCTGAAAGACGGCATACCACTGATCTGGGCTCATTCTACTGCCGTTGTCCATGACCAAGAAGCTGACACAAGATAGTAAGAACAGCAGTCATTGGAAGGCATGAAGATGAGACCTACGTCTTATAATCGTGCTGCGCTGAGTTCCCATATGCCACCTTCGCCAGAATTGACTCTGCTTCCCTGAGACCTCCAGCAAGGAATTCCACCAACCACCTGGCGACCTTCGGGTTGACATAGGATGGAGTGCAGGCATCTCTGTCTGTGATATGGGTGGTCTTGCTGTAACCGGAAAGGAAGAAAACCTCCTGAGCCTCAACAAAAATATTTCGGTGCCGATCAGCGTTAGAGATATGATGCTGTAAAAATTGGACCGATCTCGTGGATATTTGTGGGGTCACATATAGAAGGTGATACAGGGGCTTCCACACCTCCCCGCTTTGACGCAGGATGTCTTTTACAGCTGGTATATCCCAAGAAAGAACGCCGCTCCTATCCACCATGGCGAGGCGATGTTTCTCCACAAGGTGGCAGAATAGCTTGAGTTTGAGTGGGTGGAAGCTCTCGTGCATCGCAAAGGAGTGTCCCCTTGTGGAGTTGGTCATATCATCGTGAATACAGTTAGGCATGACTTCCAACATGATACGCCCGTGCTGTCAACTTTAGATAGCCTTCTTCGACCTGTTTCAGAAGTGTTTGAATCCCTTGACGAAATTTGGAGATGTGCATGGTCTCTGTTCCAATGGAGAGCCAGGCAAATTCAGGATCGATATAGACTTTTGGCTCACGCTTTTGTCCGAATGCCAGCGCTGAAGCATATTGCTGATATTCGTGTACCATGTTAAAGGTAGTCAGGCGTCCTACACGCAAGACCTCCTCGTGGACCGCAATGACTCGTCTGAAATCAAAACAAAAAAGATAAAGTAATGAGCGGCGCATGAAGAATCCAAAGGGAATATGCTGACTCAAGTTCGTCCAGTTCACTTTCTCTCTGATACCACAATGCATGGAGAAGGCATGTGCTGTTGAGGAAGTATTTCAACTTAGCAAGATCCGGTGTGTAGTCAGTGACCTCGTAAAAGTTCCCGTCGCGTCGCAGGGCCTTTAACCAAATAAAACGCTGGATGACATTTGCCCAGGGCTCGCCTTTATGAAAACTGTCTGCATTTATCAAAGACCACAAAAATTCATGCAACATAGTGATGGCAGTCTCGTCCAGAGCATTGTTAGAGAAGTTCATATGTGCCAGAAGGGCGACCAAGGCATGTTCCTGTGCAGGATCGAGCTGAAAACTGAACTTTGAGGGATGATCCATTTGGACTCTAAGTCTGACAATCGCTCGGAGAAGCTGGAAGATCATATCGCAGTACGACGTATTTTTATCAGAGATTGGAGCCCAGTAATCCCTACAACGCAGAGGTTAATATGTGTCAAAGCCTGCGAAGATATGCTAGTGAGTAGGACAGACTTACGATTTATCTGTGACTTGGCTGCCATGCAAGAGGGCCTTTGCCAGGGTCAGCTTGTGAGGATTTCCATCCAGGATGGTAGCAGCCATGTCCATGTGCGCCTGCATCAGCTCCTTCAAGGCAGTGAAGATATCATGGCATTCCGCCGGACTGTGCTTCTCTTTCAGCATTTGGATCGCCTTAACCTGAGCTGGATCGGAACGGAGATCAGGCATGAATATATCCCAGGACATGGCCTTGATGAGGGGCCTTCGCTCTTCAGGTGACAAGGATGGCTGTACCAGCGGAACATAGAGCGATGGACTAAAAGTATCGTTGAGCACTTTTTCCAGGTCCTTATTCTGGTACGAGGTGTTGGGATCTACCATAAAGTAGGCTTCTTCCCACAGAATCGAAGAGTTGTTGCACCTGAATTTCCTTGCATAGGGAGATTATCCTTACTGATTGTGGAATGGACGTTTTTAGCATGCTTTTGCATAGTGGCCTTGTCGCAGACAGGCATAAACGCAGTCCTGGGAACTCTGGCATAAAAGGGCATTGCGGGGAGGGGCGATGAGCTGGACGGGAGGGACCTCCAGAAGCGGGGATTATGACTTGCTCTTGTCGGCGAAATATTTTGTTCTCTTCTACATAGTTGGCAAGTGAAGACAGCTGAAGCGTTGTCAAAGATTGCTTGTGTTTCTCTTTGCGGTGGCCAGCGACCATATCAGCTGTAAGACACTTGCTACAGCTCCTGCAGATAAAAATCCTGAGCGCTGTGTGCATACAAATGCCCACAGAGTCCAAGAGGGCAGAACAGGAAATATAATCCTCTCCAGAATTAAGGGTAACACGATGAGCTCTATACACCCTATGGCTGTATATTATATATATCATCACACTTTTTCCCATTGTTTTTGGTGTCTTATCTAATGGAATGGATCACTGGGATTCTATTGCACTATGTTTTAAAGAATTTGGTGGTCAGAAACATAAGTTATGCTCATTTTACTGAGTATCATCTCATGTTACTGTATTACCATATTAAGATGGTGTAACTCAATTGAAACACCTAGCATTTTTTACAAACAACTGTATGTACCCTGTAGTGTTATAAACACATGATTTCCAGCCAATATTACAAAATATTAATATGCTGTGTACTAGGGGAGGAGGAGAAGATGGGCTACAACCTTAGAAAAAATTGCTAGTGCTCCAAATCTTGGTCCATTGAATTCTATGACCTTAGAAATGGTAGGAAGAAGCTTTGCTTGATGGTTGATGATGTTAGAGACCAATGGTAATAGAAAATTGACATCTACCATACTTACCAAGTCTGATACCTCATAAAAAATTCCTAGTATTTTACACCTTGATGCATCATCTTCTGTGACCTTGAAAATGTTGTAAAGCAGTTGATTTAGATGATTGGTGATGTTGGTGATCACTGGTTTTAGTTGACCCCTTACTAGCATATCCACCATGTTTGGTACCTCATAAAAAATTGCTGGTAGTTTGTAACTAAGTGCATCATCTTCTGTGACCTTAAGAATGGTAGGAAGCATGTTGTGCAAATGATTGGTAATGTTGGTGATCACTAGGTGTGGTTGACCCCTTACTAGCATATCCACCATGTCTAGTACCTGATAAAAAATGACTGGCAGTTCATAACTTGGTGCATCATCTTCTGTGACCTTGAAAATAGTGGGAAGCATGTTGCTCAGATGATCAGTGATGGAGGTGATCACTATTTGCAGTTGACCCCTTCCTAGCATACTCACCATATCTGATACCTCATAAAAAATTCCTAGAAGTTTATAACTTGGTGAATCATCTTCTGTAGCCTCAAGAATAGTGGGAAGCACTTGATTTGAAAGATTGGTGATGCAGGTGATTGCTATTTGCAGTTGACTCCTCACTAGCATACTCACCATATCTAGTACCTCATAAAAAATTCCTGGCAGTTTATAACTTGGTGAATTATCTTCTGTAGCCTTAAGAATAGTGGGAAGCACTTGATTTAAAAGATTGGTGATGTTGATGATCACAGGTTATAGTTGACCCCTTACTAGCATATCTATCATATTTGGTAGCTCATAAAAAATTACTAGCAGTTCATAACTTGGTGCATCATCTTCTGTGACATTAAAAATAGTGGAAAGCAGTTGATTGAGATGATTGGTGATGTTGGTGATCACTAGGTGTGGTTGACCCCTTACTAGCATATCCACCATGTCTAGTACCTGATAAAAAATTGCTGGTAGTTTGTAACTAAGTGCATCATCTTCTGTGACCTTAAAAATAGTGGGAAGCATGTTGCTCAGATGATCAGTGATGCAGGTGATTGCTATTTGCAGTTGACCCCTCACTAGCATACTCACCATATCTAGTACCTCATAAAAAATTACTGGCAGTTTATAACTTGGTGAATCATCTTCTGTAGCCTTAAGAATAGTGGGAAGCAGTTGATTTGGAAGATTGGTAATATTGGTGATTACTGGTTGTAGTTGACTCTACACTAGCATACTCACTATATCTAGTACCTCATAAAAAATTCCTGGAAGTTTACAACTTGGTGAATCATCTTCTATAGCCTTAAGAATGGTGGGAAGAAGTTGATTTGGAAGATTGGTGATGTTGGTGATTACTGGTTGTAGTTGATCCCTTACTAGCATATCCATCATATTTGGTATCTCATAAAAAATTCCTAGAAGTTGATAACTTGGTGAATCATCTTCTGTAGCATTAAGAATGGTGGGAAGAAGTTGATTTGGAAGATTGGTGGTGTTGGTGATTACTGGTTGTAGTTGATCCTGCACCAGCATACTCACTATATCTAGTACCTCATAAAAAATTCCTAGTAGTTTACACCTTGATGCATCATCTTCTGTGACCTTGAAAATGTTGTAAAGCAGTTGATTTAGATGATTGGTGATGTTGGTGATCACTGGTTTTAGTTGACCCCTTACTAGCATATCCACCATGTCTGGTACCTCATAAAAAAATTGCTGGTAGTTTATAACTAAGTGCATCATCTTCTGTGACCTTAAGAATGGTAGGAAGCATGTTATGCAAATGATTGGTAATGTTGGTGATCACTAGGTGTGGTTGACCCCTTACTAGCATATCCACCATGTCTAGTACCTGATAAAAAATGACTGGCAGTTCATAACTTGGTATATCATCTTCTATGACTTGGAAAATAGTGAGAAGCAGTTGATTCAGATGATTGGTAATGTTGGTGATCACTATTTGCAGTTGACCCCTCACTAGCATACTCACTATATCTAGTGTCCTATAAAAAATTCTTAGAAGTTTAAAACTTAGTGTATCATCTTCTGTGACCTTGAAAATAATGGGAAATGATTGATTTGGAAGATTGGTGATATTAGTGATCACTAGTTGTAGATGGGTACATGATCCTTATGAAGCACAAAGGTCAGGAATTCCTGCTAACACTGAAACTCCTGCTCCTATATATTCTATGATTTAACATAGATGCACTGAGATTTGAAAGAATCAAATTGATCATATATAATAATCAGATTCTAAGCCTTCAAAACTGAAGAGATGACTGTTGAAATGGCTTCTGATGAAGTTCCATATGCCAAAGGCACTGTCACTACAAGTACTATAATAAGGATAGAATTTGAAAAATTTGGTCTAGTACAAACAATCAGAATCCTAACTACAGATATGATTCATTTCTGGGAATTTGCTGTAGTGATGAGTTTAATTTGAACTTGACCAAAACTCAGTATGATGTTGAGATGATCAAATGTATTGCAAGGCAAACCCTATAACTAGAACTAAAACTCAAAACAGCTACAATCATTATCATCCTCTATATTGGTAGTTGATGCAGCCTTTTAACATGAAAGAGAATAATTTGCAATGTACTGATTTTTGTTAACAATTGGAGATTGCAACAGGCAACATCAATCCTCAAAGTATTGAGTTTACAATCATTAACATAAAACACATCAACATAATACTATCAACTGGTGGAAAATTACAAAATGCTACAGTCAAACAAATTTGCTCTAAGCTACATAGCTAAAAATCAGGAAAATACCAAGGTGTCAGAGTCAGCAATAATTTGTGGTTATTACCATCATCATCTTCACCATCACCTTCCTCTTCCTTTCCTTCCTCATTAAGCACCAGGCTCTTGGGTATTAGCATAGTATTGCTGGCAGGATTATGAATGGCATCTTGATGGGCAGCAAGAATAATGCTTCCAAAAAACTCTTGCAAGTCTAGGGCCAAAGATACTTGGAAGAGATCTTGAATTCCAGTTCTCTCCAAAGCAGATGTATCCAGATTTAGCAGGATAGAGGTAGGAATTCCTTCCTGAGCTCTGGAATGTGCAGCTTGGGTGATTTGTTTGGTGATACCAGAAAGGTTGGAGTGAGGAATAGGATGAACACCCACAGCCAACACTACATCCACAAGATTCTCATCATGAGCTAGAACTGAATTTAAATTTGGCTGCTCCTCTTTACAAACCACAATATTTGGACGTCTGATGCCATGATGTCCAAAACTATGGGTGAATGTTGGACAGTCAGTGCATATAGGAAGTCCATCTGAGAGAGACTGATCCAAAAATATGGCTGATGGTGCCACATTGTCACAAGAAGTGCAAGACATCTGGTCCAGACGTCCTAGCAATGGAATGCATCTTGGACAATCAGGTGTCCCTATCTGAAATGACTTGGGAACTCCAAAGGATAGCAGTCCAGTGTTTTTTTCCATGGCATCAATATTTTGAGTGTAGACTCTCAAAAGATTGCCACGGCGGTCTAGAGAGTGAATAGCTTGATAAAGTAGGTTTTTGATGGGTGTTCTCTTTAGATGGTGCATCATGGTCTGGAACACTAATGATGACTTGGTGGGTTCCTGCAAAAAAGTAATATATAAGATGTTCCCAAAGACATCTAGAACCTTTATGTTATGCACCTGCCATATTATGGGAAGCAGTGATTCAAAAGGATGAATTGGAAATTCAGATGCAGCAGGAACAGATACTTCTGGACCTATAGAGAGTGTGCAATGAAACAGAGTTTCTTAAGCATAAAACTTTTAAGAGATGAACTTGATCATACCACAGATGACAATCAGATTTTTAGCATGTAAGATGATATCCAACACCTTCTGAACCTCTTCACCTCCAGAAATCTTTGAGACAAAATTGTTTTGGGCAATATTGATAAAAGATGAAGAAGAGGATTCAGCATGATCAACTGATGCAGGTGGAACACGGTCTTTTCTAGAACGGCGCTGCTGTATGACTGGGCTAAAGCTCCTGGATCAGCATATTTATCTAGATTTACTACAGTTGACTTGCTAGAATTACCTGACTTTCATGATGGTCTTCAATGCAAATGCTTTTGTGAGTTCCAAGTTGGATCTGTGTACATGTGAGAAATTCAGATTTGAGAGTCCATCCATGGCCATCATGACAAATAGACCACAAGACCAGCTATCTTTTTGTTTTTGATCATCTGGTGGAGTGTGATGAACAATCTTCCAGTCTTTGAATCTGTGTTCAAATGATTTGATCTCTGGATATGTTTCATATTTTAGCCAATGCTCTAGGCCAGCAGCAGCATGCTGCAAATTCTGATAGTAAAATTATGATATCAGATGCCTAGATATTATAGTGGATTAAAAATTCTACTAACTTTTTGAGCCCAAGTAGGATGGATTCCCAAGCTATCAAAGAAACCTATTTCATGGGCTGACCAGTCTACCCAGCCCAGAACCCAGTGAGAGGGACTGCCTCCACATAGAGGAAAAGCCCAACATCTGGAGTCAAGCATTTTTTTTTTGGTTATCTAAGTCCAAGAAGTTGGAACAAGATCCAATTTAATATAAATATCTGCTTGAAAAAACATACTGACCACAGAGACAATGTTTTCTAGAGTTGTTCCACATGAAGTCTTTCCATGTATCAAGCGGGGGACCAGTGAACTGATCAAGATATATCCAGCTGTGGTCAAAATGCTGTGCTGTTCAATAGATACCAGATTGGCATATGCATTCATGACTGTTCCATTGATCCTCTGGTGTTTATTTTGCAGGCAACCAAGGTCTTCATCTATGAGCTCAATGCCTCCTATGTAGCGTGATGATAAACGGAGTAGTCTGTTTGATACTGTACTGGATGCTTGTGGGAAGGGAAGTATCACATCTTCTGTTTTTGTTTCTTGCTTGATCCTATCCTGGTTCAGAGAAGATGAAAAAGCTGGTGGATCAATATCTGGCATGATTGAGGAAGCCTTGAGAATGACAAAATGGACTGAGATAAATGATGTGTGGCTACATGCAACTCATGGTTTAATAACATATAATATATCTGCTGACTAAGAAACCAAGTTTGAACATCTGCAAATCTGGACATGAGATCTGAGGCTCTGAACATAACATAGTAGTGTTTTATCATATAAATGGAAGAAGCTCTAGTGGATGGTTGGTTATGGTATGAATCTCTGGTTCCAAGTTAGTGTTTGACTATTATACATACTTAGCCTATCATATTGTAAAAAATGGCTGATGCTTCAAAACTTGGTCAATGATCTTTAGAATAGCAATGATAACTCTATTTGAATGTCTGCTAATGTGTGAAATCTCTGATCTCAGGGTGGCCATTGCCTACCACATGGACTTGGTCCATCACTTGGTGAAATATTCCTCATATTTCAAAACTAGTTCCATGATGTTCTGTGACATTTAAACTGATGGAAAGAATTTTGGTTTGATCTTTGGTAATATCTGACATCTTGTGAAAAATGTCTGATGCTTCAAAACTGGGTTTACTAATTTTTTTAACCTTGAGCATAGTTAGAAGCAGCTTATTTGGATGTTTGATGATTTCTGGCATGACTGATTTCAAGTCAATCTCATATCAACACATATCTCTAGTCTATCACTTCATAAAAAATTACTAAAGCTTCAAAACTTGGCTAATCATCTTCTGCAGCCTTGAAAATGATAGGGTGATGTTTAGTTCAATGATCTTTGAGTTGAAGTCAACCACTGACTATCATATAAATCTAGTTTATCAGTTAATGAAAAATTCCTGAATCTTTAAAACTTGGATAATTATCTTTTGCAACCTATAAAATAGTAGGGCAGAGTTTAGTTGTGTATTTAAAAGTGTCCAGGACCTTTGGATTCACATCATCCTCTGACTACCACATTTATATAGTCAAACTCTTTGTGAAAAAATCCTAGATCTTTGAAACTGATCCTGTTATCTTATATGATCTTTAAAATCATGAAAAGAAATCTAGTTGGATGTTTAATGATATCTAGAATTTGTTTCAAATTTTTTTGAACTTATTGACTGACTTCAAGTATAGCTGATAGATGTACTTGGTGTATTCATAGAGTGAAAATATTTGAATAACCTCAGTACACTGGCATGATAAAATATCTCATCTTGTTGTATGTACTGACAGTTATTTGAATGTAAGTAGTTAGAGTATTAGTGCTAGATAATTTAAAATATGATGTAATCACACAGCTTATAGACATCCTTCAATCCTTCTTTCTATATAAGTCCTTGTCTATTTTGAATAATCATCATCTCAAGACAAACTTGAAGATGCATTCCATCTTTAAGATGCAAGATATTCTTTTTCTTATATTTCAGATGCTCTATACCCTTATCACCAAAGAAGATTCTGGCAGGCTTGGTGCTTTTGCTGTACTGGCCACAACATCTTCAACCATCTCTGAGCCTGTCCTACAGCTTCTATGGAAGAAACTACCTTCTGTGGAACCTCTCATTGATCTCCTTCCAAATGATCTCATTCAACGCCGTAGGAATTCAAATGGAGGATGGAAGTTGGTAAGTCACCTAATACATTTTGTGAAGCTATCAGAGACTTATGCCTTATACTTGATATAGAGATTTCATAGAACTCCAAAGCAATCTGATTTAAAAAGATTTCATTTATATGCACAAAGGGTCAGAGCCATCTGTGCTGACAAAAAGGCACTGAGGTCTCAATACAAACATGTTTTTCAAACTATGTTGACCTTGCATGGATCTGCTGGCTTCCTTTTGCCACATCTTAACTATGTGGAGTTGAAAGACAGAAATGACTGTTTAATCCAATACCTGGACAAGTTTCTGCTTCCAGGACTGCAGACTCTTATACTACCATCTCATATGCTTTTATCTCCTGATGTGCAACACCTGCTGCCTCATCTGCACACCTTGGTCTACATCTCTGACTCATGTCATACAACCATCATCTTAAACTCTCTTGTCAGTTGTACCTCTATGCACTGCCTCACCTTATCCTACACCCAACCTATGGCCATAACATCCTTGGCATGTCTTCACCAGCTCACTAGCCTAACTCTTGTCATCATTCCTGGATTATCAATCATGAAGGAGAGCAACACTATTCCTGATCATCATATTCGGACCCAGGTTCTAAACATCCATGTGGAATCCAATTCACTTACAGAATCTATCTCTGTAAATACTGGATTTCCAGCTCTTCTATCCCTCTTGTCCAATCATCCCATCACTTGCCAAGGTCTCAGCATCAACATTCACCAAGAATATTGCTCAGCAAATGTCATTCTGCATTTCTTCAATACTCTCACATCACTTGCACCAATCAATGATGATGATGATGAATTCCTAGCTTGGGAGAATCTGGCAGCTTTCAGATTACAGATGCCATGGGACAAGAATTTTTTCATATTGGATGAAGAAAGTATTCAGATTCCAAGAAATGGATTAGCTGCTTTGCACAGACTGGTCTATTTGACTGCTCTGGAGCTGGAGGACTTGGGAACTTGTAGGATTGATGATGATGCCTTGAGGAATTTGGCCCTCAGCTTGCCTTATCTTCAATGTCTCTTGTTAGGCACAAGACAACTTTGGGAGGAACCTCCAAGAGCCACTCTATGGGGAATATCACTTGTTCTGCACTACTGCCCCCATCTAGAGACACTTGGTCTGCTGTTTTACTGCAGCTTAGGACACCACAAGATTGAATATGCTGATACCAATAACCTGATCACTACATTGCAGGTTGGATTCTCACCTCCTCACAGTTCTTTTACTGTGGCAGCATTCCTTGCTCATTCATTGCCTAATCTTGATTCAATCATGGTGGAGCCTGAAGAATCTCATAGGAAATATGGCCATAGTAGAACTGATCTGACTCTGCCTGACCGTGACATTAGGATTCAAGAATGGAGCAGAATTTTAGACTTGACTACAGAGTTTGCAGATATCTGATTAGAACTATGCCATCCATTAGTCATATTTTACTGTATATAATATCATGAAAACCAACCAGTGGCCATTTTGTTTATCAAGCCTTTAAAGTCATTGTGGATTATATTTTGACTTTGTATTTATTTTATGATTAACCATCTAAATAAGGGAATTGTTAGTCATTCTACAGATTCCACAGTTTTCAGCTTTTTTTGCTTAATTCTTCTGTTCCCTGCTATAACTTGATGGCTGTCCAACATCATTTCCATCTCCAACACTTTGACAAGTGGTGGCATGATTCAAGTCCTGCTCATTTAAACTTATCTGTCATTCCTAGTTATCATCTTGGAAAATTCATACCAGACACCAGAACCTATGAGCTATTCCACAGACATGAACTTATTGTCATGATCCCTGCTTATTACAAGAATGGCCTCAGATTTCTCAATCACATCATCATTTGTCTACAAGAACTGCTGCAGCACCTAGGGCCTTCATCTCATTGGGACATCTTACAGCTCAAATATGAGGCTTTTGAAAGGGAACTCTTGGTGCTCAGCAAAATAAGGGAGGAGTTCATTCAGGAGGTCCAGAATGAATTTAGGTTTCACCAGCCTGGAGTAAAGAATATACAGTGGATGTCACCTGTTTTGAACTCTTTTCTGGCCTACATGTATTATTGTGGATCTGTAAATCCTCAACACAAACCTCATATGATGAATGTGCCCCTGGATGATCCTCAGACATATAGTAAGTTTGTATTTTTTATAAATTAGAGAGAAGACTAATCTACCTCTGAAAGATTGGCATAGTTGGGCAAATAATCAAGAGATTCCTGGATTATGGGGAAGACTTCCAGAGCAACCTGCAGAATATCAGACTGCCATATTTGAAGCCATAAATGCTAAAATTGCACTGGAGCCTAACATGGAGTCTTCTGGGTCTTGCTCTGAAATGTGGTGCAAAGGCATCATTAATATGATGGTTCAGACCAAACAGAAAATCCAAGACAAAAGTTCTGCAGTAAGCATTTATTCATTTATACTATAACCACTTGTTGAATTTTTTTTAGGATAAGTCTGTACTGGAGGTGCTTGAGTAAGTTATCATTGAAATTATTGATCCAAATCTAAAAGAACTAATCTTATAATTCTAATCATTTAGATCATCTGTAGATGTTGAGAATAATGGATGTGAGAAGCCAGTGAAGAAGAGAAGAGGCCGTCCAAAAGGAGTGCTCAATAGCACTATCATGGAACTTCAATTACTACCTAAATCTCCTATGAAACTCCGTAGCAAAAATCCAACTAGATCATCAATTTTGTCACAAAATGGTGATGCAAATTTAGAGAGATCCCTCCCTGAAGTTGCTCAAGGTCAGTTGATATTCTCTGATACACACATGACTATTATTAATTTGATCTAAATAGAAGACATGAGAGATGATATTTCAAGATCAGAGACCATTCAATCAGACATATCTTCAGCTTTTAAAAGAGTTGAAACTTTGAACCAGAGGTTAGCAATTTTGAGTAATTTTCATGACAGAGTTTTAACAATATTCTGATTATACAGGACACTCAAATCAAATCAACTATCATTGAATCAGGTGCTTATATTTTTTTTATTTTCAAGTTGTGATACATCTTATCTTGTTAATCATATTGGCTGATCATTGATATTATAATTTTAGCAAACAGATTTGAGGGCAGCATCTAACTCTTCAAAGATAAGACCTGCAGAAAATGATGTACCTGCTCTGGATCTATCCAAATTATTCTGCAAAAAGTTCTATCCAAAATTTGGAAAATCTTTGTTACTATCAACAGTAAGTAACTATTTTGAAGAACAAATATTATACTCAAAACTCATTGAGGGATTGCAGTCTGCTAGAGGACTTTGTGATTCATCCCAAGAAAAGCAGATGCAATCAAAAATTGCAGAGACTGCTGTGGCACCAGCCAATATGATGAAGTCACAATCCAATAGCTTCAGATTTGATGATGGACCATCATCTTTTTCTGATTATACGGAGCCTTGGGATTATTCTTCAGATACCTGCATGGTACCCAATGAAGAGTCAGAATCTTCATTATATGATGAGGTCATAGACCAAGCTATGGACACCAACATCATATTTCAAAACACCTCAACATCTAATTTCAGGGATATCTCCTTAGAGATATCAGAAGATATTATATTTTCTTCACCAACAGTCAGTCTAAACTGTTCAGAAGGATTTGATCAAACTACATCTGTTTCACCTGTTTCTTTATCTTTATCTAAAGATGATTTACAGATACAAGCTGACTCTTCTCTTTCCTTGCCTGTGATGGAGGATGAGGAATCACTCTTTATTCCTTCTCCATCTTTGTCTAGCCAGCAAGAATCAGCTCAAACATCATTGATCACCAGCAAAACATCTAAGGGCACTTTGATTTTTATCAAAAGCCTTGATGAGAGATTTGTCTATGATTCAGTCACCTTTGTACCCAATGCACTCAAATCCCAAGCAAAAGCAAAAGCAAAAGCAAAAAGCAAAGGAAAAGGAAAAGGAAAATCCAAGGATCTGTCTGAATCTATCCAGTCTTCTCAAGGGAATCATGAAATACCAGTGAGTTTCTTCTTCTGTTTGATATCAACAACAACTAATGCAGTCCAAGTCTATATCTCAGATTCAGATCAGAAAAGAGAAGGAAAAGAGAAAGATGGTGATCTCAGATGAATCATCCATGGCTGATCCTAGTTCTAGCATCAAGTCTATGACCACCTTGACAATGCCTGCAAACATATCAAAGGTGGCTAAAGCATGTCAAAAAGCACAAGCTTTATCTGAGTCTAAGAGTTTGATGTGGAATGAGAAGGTGAGTTCTTGATTAAGATCATCACCTCAGACTAAGAGCATATCACTATAGTTTCTGAAATTCTTTTCATGTCTTGGACATGAATGGACTCAGTCAGATGAGCTACAAAACAACATTAAGCAGCAAATTAGGAAGGCAATGACCTCTAAGGATGTCCAAGTATGTTATATTTGCATAATAATACTGGATTCCATTAAGCTTTCTGCAGAAACAAATCAAGACTGATATGGATATCATAGTCCGATATGTCTACTGGATGAAAAACCAGAAAGATACAGTCAAGCTTTCTAAAGAGCCTAAAATTGGGTTCAAAGTACTATTTGTACTCTTAGAAATGAAGTCTTAGTGTAATAAGTTAGTTAGTATTTTACAACCTTGTGGCTCTATAGAAACCTCCAAGTTTTTGACACTCATACTCAAATACTGCTAGCAAAAAATGCAATCTGTCAGATTCAGAGTATCAGCAGAAGGCTAACTAGTGAGTATTAGAAACATATTAAACCCCTCTAGCAGATGTAGGTAAGTCAAAATATTTTTATTGACTTCATAAAAAAGCACCATTTTATATTTTATGATTTATAACCAGAATGTTACACAATTAGGACATTGGTAATAGATAGTGGTAGCCAACTGTTTTGTAGGAATGATCCATCTAGTATCAATCTGATCTAGATGTATAATCCAGTCATGAGGCAAAGAATGACCTTTAATGATCAACTGGCTGTACCATCTCCTAATCTGATACATAGCCCATCCATTTCCAGATACTCCAGCTGTAATTCCTCTTTCAATTGGACAGCAGAGAAGTGCTTTGAATAGTTCATCAGTGAAGTCAGGATGGACTTGAGTGGAAGGAAGTCTGGATTTGATAGACCCTGGTGGTGAAAGGACTTGAAGACATCTTATATGATACCACCTGTTGCAATTCAAGCAAAATCTTTGAGTCTCTTTGTCAGGACTAAAAGGCTTGTTGCAGATTGAGATGCATGACAGGCTAATTGAATCATCCTAGGACAACCAGATGCAAATAAATGAGATTGATATATCTGAAGGAGACTTGAGAACTATGACAGACCTGTAATTTAGGAGGCAAGGAGGATGCACACCAACGGGTGTACAGAGTGTCAGGACTCCAAGGTCTTTGAGATCCTGACTTTTCATCAAACTCAACCACCTTGATAGTGTCTTAAAGTGCAAAATAAATAAATATAAGAGATTAACTAATTGAAAGAAAGAGAACATTCTGACCAGCTAATATTGAGGCTTCAGACCATTGGGTGAGATCTGATTGCAAAAGCTCATTGGTTCCCATGTCAAAGAATCTGGAATCAGACTGAGAAGCTGATTTAAAAGACTGTTCTTGAAGATCTTTAGACCAATACCAGCGTATCTTGACCCAAAAAGGCTGTAACAAAAAGATCATGCATTTACACATGAAATGAGTGCATATTTTAAAAAACACACCTGCAAAGCTTTTGGACGCTTATCCACACAGAGACACTCAATGATCCCATACCATAAATCATTGTCATCCACTTCTCTTCGTCCTTTTTTGGGAGCATATACTGAAACACTGGAGTCAATAAAAATCAGCTCAATAAAACTGATCACTGTGTTTCAAAAAAAAATTACTTTTGTCCAACTTTATACTCAATTTTTGACTCCACTCCTTCATCTGATACAATAGAATAAACTAGATGATTTGCTCTAGCTCAGAGCAAAATATTCAAAGGACAAACCAGACTCACCTATTGCTCTTGTGGTAGGCAATTCATTGAATTTCTTTTGTGTCATACCTTTAGGCAGTTCTGACATTTTAAAATCTTTTGAATTTGGAGTCAGACTGTGAGAGTATCTAGCATGCACTGTTTTAGAATATGCAAATAGAAACAAACTGCTTATAGAATCTTGTACAAGTCATATTCAAATCAATCAGATTCTAAACATTCCACTTTATTCCTTGTTTAACCCATCTGCCTCAATTTTACACCAAGTTGCAGACTAGCTCAAATTCTTACTGGGTAGGATTTTGTTTGATATGCCAAGGATTAATTTATCAATCTTGACAGCTGTCATGCCTAAATCCTCATCATGTTCAATGCAGCATACTTCAAGATGGCTGGATATGCAGCTATCCTCTGATTCTGATCTCCAACAAACCTCTGATAAAAGAAATTCCACTCCCACTTCATGCATACATGAAAACCAACCAACAGCATTATTTGAAGAATCTACTGCATCAAATTCAGAGGACCTGCCTCCAGGCTCATCTATCATTCAAAGCTCATGGCTTCAGTTGCAGCTATCATCAGAGGACAGCTCAGAAATGCTATCTGACATAGGCCATAACAAAGGAGATCCTGTCAGATCATCTTCCAAAAGATGCTTGGATGATGTTGATAGCTCTGATTCTGAAGCTGGTCAGCATCATCATCTGATATATGATGATTTATCAGATATTTTGGAGGAATATGTTCAAAGACATGAATTATTGTCTGAGACAGAAGATTTACTATCACAATCTGATGATGATGGTCCATTTGATGACTATCAACCTGGAAGTGCAGAAGAATGTAGTCCTATATGGATGAGATCTTTCCATGCCAATGATTCAGCTGCAATTTCAGAGGTTCCAGATGATGTTGAATCACCAGGTAAATCATATTAAAAATATTAAGCTGGATTCCTCTCTGACTGGATAACACAGTGAATGTTGACCCCATGTTAAATCTGACACGTCCCACCATATGGCTTCCTGCTCTGGAACAGCTTCATACATTGAATCCTCAAATGCATATTGGAAATGCTGTTCTTAATTTTTTTCTCATGACCAAGTGGTATCCTAAGCATGGCCAAGGTCCTCTGAAATATGCTGATATGGTAGCTGTGGCTCCTCTACTGGTCAACAATACAGAGAGAATGCCAAACTTAAAGGAGATCCAAACTTTTCAACATAGACACTTCTTGCCTTCTTCTCAAGAACATCCTCCCAGTCAAGTTGGTTTCATCTTGACTATGTCTCAACATCACTGGGTGGCTATCTTTGACTATAGCCACCAAACCGCCCACATTCTAGGACATCACATCACTTCCATGACTCCATCTGCAATCAATTCACACAGCAATTGGGAGAAATTATATGGTCCATCACATTGGAAAAAGTTGGCTATGCTGCATGGCTGGCCTCATGGAGATGTTGCTGCTGTTCATGTTCATGAATACTCCAGATTCTATCTGCAGCATACACAGAACTGTGATTGTGGTGCAATCTCATGTGCTATATTAGAGCATTTTCTGGAGGAAGGACTCAGCTATCATCTTGATGGAAGTTTGCAGCTTCCACTTATACCATGTGGACACACCATCCGTCTTAGAATCTTAGAAATGGTGAAACTCAGCTGCAGACGCCAGTGGAGCCATTATCTCTATCTTGGAACCAGTCTTCCAAATGATTGGGACCATACAGATCATATCTCTCCAGAAGTCTTGGCAACCAGATTACAACAACCCCAGCAGATGGCCCATGGTCACCAGGCTATTGTCACTCAACTTGCCACTATGCTATATAACTGCCCCAACTGTAGACCAAAACTGGTTCAAACTCAGGCTCTAGCAACTATCTCATTGGATCATCCAACACCAGAGGATCCTGATCCTGAAGATAATAATCCCATCACACATCTAATTCTGAGCAGCCAAATGACACAAAATCTGAAGCAGCTCTTGGATTTTCACTCCTTGACCAACGGCACTCACTTTCGTGATACTACCACTATGCCATCCAAATGGCAGCCTTTTGATGGAACATTTGATCAATATTTGGGTGGACCTACTCTAGAGTCTATGCAGCCTATCATGGATGCTGGAGAAATATGGTCTACATCAAAAAGTGCATGGATTAGTGGATTAGGATCTGCAATGCTTTTCAGAGACTATGGCTACAGAATTCTGCCTAGCTTCTCTCAGATGTTTTGGTTGGGCCCTCCAGTGGATACCTTGGATTGTATGATGAGAATTGGGGTATCTGACACATATGATCCCAGCTGGCAAGTTGGTCATTGGAGAGCAAAAGGCCATAGTCTGTCTAGAAGCTCTATGTTTCCTGATGAGAGAAGAATAGTTCCAAGTGATGTTAGGATCATGGCTGCATCCGAAATGTTGCTAGATGCCCAAAGGCTAGCTTCAGAGAAGAAAGGAGTATATGAGACTTTATTTGTTTATGGAGCTCATCCCATTGGAGGTCAAAGAATCGTATTGGATCTAGAGCTGGACATGGATGTTCCAGATGAAATCACTGTTTCAGTGGACATTGACAGCTACATCTGGGTTACTTCAGACTTTTGCCCAGCCCTCAGCTTAGGAATCTACTTGGCACCTGTTATCGATCATCAAGCTCCTATCCACAAGCACAATCATATTTATGCAGACATTCTCATTCCTCAAAGTGCTGATGACCAGGGTCCGGATGGTACTGGAAGACAAGAGTGGTGGACCAAGTCTGTTCCTTTGAGCTCCATACCTCATGTGCCATTTGGAATGCTGAGCACAGCAAATCATGCCTCCAATCTTCTGCTATTCTTTCCCCGAATGATCCACAATCGCACCAACTCATCTCTCAAGGCCACCAGGATTCCTCTTGATGTCATTGATTTATTCTGGAATGAGGTGGTCCTGCCTTCTATATCTCAAGAGGCACCAAATTCTTCTCTGCCCTATGTGGATACCACTGTGCATGAGATCAGATATAAATCAAGAAAAGGTGGATCTGGTCAGCCTGGAAGCCAAAGACCCAAAGCTACTCCTGTCTCCAAGGTGGCATTCCAAAGGATTCAAAGAAGCATGAGGACTAGGGTCAAAGATCAAGCAATGTTGGCACCATATGGATCCTTCTTCTTTGTCTTAGAAGGCAAAGGCATCAAACTATGGACCAAGGATGGCCAGGATGGCAGATATGACTCTCCATATGAAGCTTTGAAAAAAAACTTCACAAACTTGGACTGGGATTACATGATGGATAGAAATCATGGAGAACTGTACTTGGATGTAGGGATCAGCTTCAATCCCACTGGTCAGTTGGTGGGTCTTTGGAGGCTTGATGCTTTGAAAGCTTCTTTTCAGAAAGGAGGATTTAGAAAAGGTATCACTCATCACACCAACACTTTGGGAAGATATGGAGGAATTCAGGCAGAAATGCTCTTGGCCAATGCAAGATCTAGCCAGACCTGCTTCCGATCAGCTTACCAGCTGTGCTATGAGGCTATCAGACCTAATAACAATCGACCCAAGTGCATTTCTGATAGGGATGGCTATCATCTTACAGATGGATACCTTAAAGAATGCCAATGGATGCATGAAATCTACAGTGGAGGTGCTTCTCAAAGAGCTTATGGATGTAGAGATGAGTATAGAATGAGTGGACAGGCTGCTTTGAAGGTGCTTCCCTATTTAAAAGAGCAGGTAGGTATTTAGTCATCAACTTCATGCTTTATCTTACTCATGAACAATTATAATAATTAGGCTGAAGCTTTTCTGAAATCTCAACCTATCCTTTGGATCCCTTCTCATATTTGGTTTGGCCTCATGGATGCCAGACTGGAAGGCTTGAGATATGCTCAAAAATCTCTGAAGACACACAAACCCCTCAACTATGGTATTCAAACCAGCATCTTGTGTCATCTCCTGAGATCTTTGACTTCCACTCCTATTGTGATGGATGCCCATCTGAGGCAGGCCCTCCAAAGTCTAGATGTTGAAAGAATTTGTGATCATAATGGCATGCTCTTTCTTTATGATATGGAAGACAAGATCATCAAAGAAGACAGTGCTCAGATTCATAAAATCATGGGTGCCAATGTCAAAAGCCATCCCAAATCCTTTGCTTTACAAAATCCTACGACGATCTCTGATGACTGGCCTATTGGTTCACAACCTAGCTGGAAAGATGTGGTGCAGATGATTGAAGAACATCCTCAACTTCTAATAAGGCCTTGGATTTATAATCCAATCTGGGATCCAGGAGATATGGATGTTGGCATGCTATTCATCCAGTTCACCAGGGAGTTTTGGTTGCAGCTAGGTGGAGCACAGACCACCAATGAATTTATGGATGCTATCACCATCAATCCCAGGATCTGTGATAATCTCCAGGAAGCCATGACCTGCTGGTCCTTGGACAGGGTAAATCAATGGATTATTTCCATCAAATTCCAGGCCTGCAGTGCTGGACTAGTGGGAGACAAACCTGGCCGTCCTCATCTGTCATTTGTCCAGAGAAGGACCACATTTTTCCCAGATAAAAACTCCACCCCATCCCAGTCATCAAAGTGGAAGATTTATTGGACAGAGGGATATATTGCACACTATCATAAGATGTGCTCTGAACTGCCAGAAACCCAGTTGCAGCATCTTCATGACAGACTGGATATATTATTTGCCAATCTTCAATGTCTTCCAGATGCTAACAAACCCACTGCAAAAAGTCCTGGCTCTACTTGGACCCTGGCATCTGGTGAGGACAGCATCAAGATAGTGACCAATCCAGGTTTCTACAGGATACAAAAAATTGGAGGAAGAAAGAGGACTATCAAAAGGCCAGCTGTGATCAGAAGACCTCAGGATTTCCGTCTTACCATCATGACCTTGCAAGGGCGGGATCCTAGGAGAGATAAACCAAAACAAAAAAAAATCCAAGTAGACCGCCGCTCTACAAAGTCTAAAAGAACTAGAAAGCCACCAACCAGACACACCAAGGTATGATTAAATCACATAACTTCATAGGTCACTTATCTCTTTCACTATTAGAACACTAATTCCAATCAAAACTGGTCTTCATCACATCACACAACAGCTTCTGTGACAAGTGCCAAGAATAAATCCAACAAAAAACTCAAAGTAGAGCTGGAACATCATTCAGACACCAATGCCTCTGAAACAAATTCACTGCTTGACAAGAAGGATATTGATGCTACAGATGATAATCAATCTGAAATGGATTCATTATTTGACTATGATGGAAGTGGAGAGGAAGCTGATGAAGAGGCAGATGACTCTGATGTTAACATCTATTCAACATAATGGTGTATATGCCTCCAGATTTATTCATGTACTAGTATTTCAAATTTTTGAAAAATTGTCTTAGTCGGTATGCTCTTGGACATCAAAAAAACTAAGCAAGATCTAGATCTCAGGTATGTAAAATGGATGATCTATATCTAGAAAAATATAATCCTTGCCTTTTAAGAAGAATATGGCTTCAGATGGAAGATCTTGCACCAAGATAGATATAGTTGTGGAGTCTTTAGAGAAAATAGCATCATCTATGGAATGGTCAAACTGATGGCTGAAGGATCTTATTAAATGTTGAGCAAAAATCTGCAGGTCACCTGACACCCAAGTATCAAAAATATCATCCCATTTTGATGAGAGTGGTTTCTGATCTAGATAGATGGATCTGCATCCACCTCTGGACTCCTGAGAGACTGCTTGAGCAAACTTGTGTACTGCAGCAATGATACCTGGAATCTTGAGGCTGGTGCCAGCAACCAGTAAAACATCTGGTTTTACTTTTCTAGAATCACCATTTGCATCTCTCATGATGGCTTGTGCCAGATGATCTGCAGCTGGATGTGGCTGACCATAGAGAACTATTGTTGGAATTAATATTCCTGATGCACGGGGACGCTTGTGGATGATTCTTCTCTCATGCTCAACCTGCTCACAGGCTGGACATAGTGGTAAGCAGCCAGTGACCAGAGTTGAAACATGTAAGTGCAATGGTGACTGGTAGCAGCACTTGATACATGCCAGTGTCTCCAATGTACCATGCAAGGGAATGCATCTGGGCATATCTTGAGGACTGTGCATCTTAGGCATTCCAAATGATAGGCCTGCCTTTGATTCCAGAAGGTCTATGTTTTGTGTGTAGACCCGGAGCAGACCACCTTTTTTATCCAACATTTTGAGAGCCACATGAAAAGGAGTTGGAGATGCTTGAGAACATTCTTGATGCATTTTTGCCAATATTTTGCATAAAGAAGAAGCCTTTGTGGTTGTCTGAGTCAAATATTATGAAATCAATAGTTAGATGACAATGATGAGCAAACTACAGAAAAGGCACCTTCCAAACATTTGCATCCAGCAAATCCTTACTCAGTACTCCAGTGGTAAACAGCCCTTGTGAAGAACGGAAATCAGGAATTCCTGCTGATACTGAAACTCCTGCTCCTGCATTCCTTGTGATTCAGGATAGATTCTTCAATATTATACATGTGAGAGACATACCACATATAACAATCAGATTTCTAGCCTCTAAGATTGAGGAAATGACTGCTGAAATAGCTTCTGATGAAGTTTTATAATCTAAAGGAATTTGCACTACCATGGTATATCTGAACTTCGAGCACTGTAATGAGGACAGGCTTGAAAAATTGATATAGCTCAAGCAATGCAAGCCACAATAATCAACAAAATCACCTGACTCTCACAGTTAATAGATAGATATAATATATTTCTTATGAATCATCATTTGCTGTGAAAGTCAGTTTGATGTGGACTTGAGCTAAAATGAGCTTGATTTTTAAACAGAATATCTTGATTCGGAATATCCAGACATCCAGCTCATGCTGACTTAGCATTATGTGCAGTTCCTACATACCTGATATGACAGTGATGTGTTAAATGATAACCAAAATAAGTAAGCATGTATATGCAGTCACTGCATGCGTTGCCAAAACCTTTGTGCTTCCTGTTGCACACAGCACACTCAATTGTTTTTGTAATTCTTTCACTATACCACTTAATATCATTAAATGTTATATATTTCATATTTTTAGACCTCTGAAGTGTTCATAATTGAAATAATACTACAATGGGTCCTCCACCTCATCTCTTGATTCTAAAAAGACTCCTGGGATTGAACAGTATACCAGGAGAGTGTTTTACTTATGCCAGCTGGGTACCAGCAGTAGCCATGGTTACAGTGGTGCAGTGAGTCATGTGGTAGTATGTTGTGACCATGAGATGTGCATTACACATGCAAGTGGATCAGATGAGTTGAATGAGTCAGATGGATATTCCAGCATCATGATGTCCTTGATTTGAAGATGACTGAATTTTCTAACTCACACCTCAGAACTTGATCCAGTTGCAATCATTGTAATTGCAATAGGTATGAACTCCAACAAACTCACAGCTACCTCTTTAATATTCCTCTTGACAAGCTCTGCATATGCGAAGTCTGGTGAAAGCATGCGTGCAAGACCAAAGAAGTGTTCAACAAATTCGGTGCCAAGAAGCCAAGGACAAAATGGCTGGTCAGGATACTCCTTGGTGAAGATCAATGCCAGCAAGACAAGAGTATCACACAAGTGGTTGAAGATATGGAATGAAGGACTGGAAATGAATGAGCGAGATGTCGAATATAGATCAGGATAGGCTTTGGATAGTGCTGAGATATGTTCTTTCCAGATGTGGAGGAAGAAACGTGCTCGCAGTGCACATAGAACATGGTCTTGGATGTCCATTTCACGGCTGATCCACGCGTCAAAGAGAAGACCTAACATTGCTTTGTTAGTAGACAAGACGAGATATGACATCACAACTACATCACCGACCAAACACAAAGAGGTACACAAATATACCCTCAAAACTATCTCGTATTGTGCACTGTTGTCCTTCTTCCACAGCAGCCAACAATGCAGTCGCATGGAAAATTCGCCGAGCAGCACCATCGTCTTTTTTATCAACGTCCACCACATCCCGTGTCACCAAACCAGACACTCCTGTCTTTTGTAAGTCAACGAGTGACTTGTTCACGAGGAACCTGACTCCAAGGCTTGCAGTATGAGTACCATGTTGTGGTTGATTGCGGCAAGTTTTTCGTGCGTGGGGTGGATCCATGATAGAAATGAGAGGACCGGTTTTGAGAACTGGTGCCTGTAGATGAATTCCGTACAATGGATAAGAGTATGTGAAAGGTTCTGTTACTGAAGCTTCATGGTCCATCATGCATTGGGAGAGAAGCTCGGAGGCTGCACCATCACCAGCAAATGAAATAATATGTATCTCAAGGCGTGCAGCCATGTGCAGAAGTGACATGAGCTGTTCATGAATACCACAAGCATCATCTTTGCCTGTGGTGGGCAGAAGGGCAACTACTTGTGGTGGGTACTGCGGAAGCGGAATCTGAAACTTGTTAGAAGGTAAATGATAGTAGAGTAGGAGCGGGAGAAGTTCACCTTGGCAAGTATAGCACGTACTTGCATTGCTTCAGCCTTAGCCTTGTGAATACTATTGATAGTATTCTCGATGTCTTCAATTTCGTCAACCTGACATTCATCCAAAGGGAGAGTCGAGCCGAGAATATGCCCTCCAAAATCGGTTGAATATGCTAACCGTGGATGAACTTTCGTGCAGTCACCAGCGACTGCTATTGGACCCTTGTAACCCACTGCATCCATGAGTCGTCTCACTCGAGCAATATTCTCGAAGATCAGACTTGGATTTTGTAGGGTATCAGATGACTTGGCAACAAGAGTCCTGTCAAGATAATCAGAAAACTCGGACTCTCTCCCAGGACCACATAACAACATACCTTAAGTGACGGGGTGATGGCCCACCTAACTGCGAAGTAAGAATGCCATACTGGCGTGGAGTTTCCACCGTGAGAACGCATCAAGACCATGAAGTTCAGGTATGCTTCCGAATATCGAATGCCATACTTTAAGTTGGGGTTGGTGGAGTTGGTGCGGCCGAAGCGGTCTGCAAGCGACTCACAAAAATTGCTCAGCCTAGATACTACCATACATAGGTATATCTGCGGTGTCAACACTGTCAACAATGTCAGGGTTAGGGTCTAGTATGTCTGAGCAGACTTGGAACCTGAAATGTCCAATGGACAGAGCATGTAAGACGTGTTCCAGGCAAATAGATTATTATCTCAATTAGATTATTCAGACATTGTAAATCACACAGAGATATTCAGTTTAAGTCAGATATTGATTGTCATCATGAGAGTACAAAGTATTGTAAGGCGCTACAATGTGAGGAACCTGCTGCGCCAGCAGGATATCTACAGATGATATAAGTATTTCGATGATTTTTCATAGTAGACTTCGTTTGGTTTGGCCAGGCAAACGAGGAAGCCAGAGTGTTGTGGCAGCAGTACAGTGAATGAGTTAAAAATTGAACAATGAGGACACCAACAACGTACATCGATATTTGGAGCATCGAGCAGCACACGCAGGTTTGGCCGTGGAGGCAAGATGATAATCAACAGCCACGTCAGCGCTATTGTAAGTGAACAGGCATTAGTAACAAAGACAGGCTCCTCAGGGTCTTGAAGGAGCAATTGCTCGTACATTGAAGTAACGCAATCCCAGGGAGCTGAAAGTTTTCAGACGAGTAACAGGGGGCGGTAAACTCGATCGCAGGGTGTCCACTTGACCTCGTAAAATTGTGGTCTCTTCATAGTCCGACTTGATGTAGTGACGCAGGACCGGAAAGTGAACTTTGCCGTGAGGCGATTGCTATTTTGTCAAGGGGACATGAAAAAATAAATAACATACCCAACATCGCTGAAGTAGAGTGTAGGGTCCGGTGCAATGGGAATCAGCCAGGGTCTTTGGTGAACGTTGAACGCTGAGCTGTCAACAACTCGCAACATATCCGGATTCCGAGTCAGTGTTTGATCCCAGGAACATGGTCTTTCAACTCTCTCGCATTTGAACATCTGAATCGCACCATCAGTGAAACGGTGAACAAATGATAAAGGTATTTAAAGCAAAAACAATGTAACGAGAGCACAACACCGAACGTTCCAGTGCAAGAATATGAGTGCAACAAGGCAAAGTCCAATTTCGAAATGGAGTTGCGCATATAACTAGCATATACTCACCTTTCGTGCGATCTGAGTGAGCTCCTTAGACTTTCCGCTATCGGCAATAATTGATCGGAGTCCCGGAGTCAAATGAAGCAACTGCTGATAGTTGCGCTTGTACCGATCGAGGGTATTGGTCGAACTAAAAAACGGCAAATTTGAGTGTAGCGTAGAAGAAACTAAAAAGATGGGACTTACAGACTCGCAAGCCTTTTCTTGCGGGAGCAGCGGGACTCGTGCTCAGCCTCAAGCTCTTCAAGTTCTCCATTCTCTGCAACCCGCTCTTGCTGCAGGAGGAAACCCACCCTTAAGAGTTTCTCTACATTGCAAAACAGATCGACACAACGTGCCATAGCACGTGCTGCCACCAGGAACTCCTCGGCAACTTGGCCAGGATCTGAGTTGTTGTAGTAGACGAGAAAGAAAAAACATGAGCACTTGGAAGTGAGAGATAATGAGCAGTCCACGCGAGAAAAAAATATGGTCCAAAGCCCCACCCGCAAGCGTTTGCGCCATGGTGGAAGTGGTGAATGGCAGTGGTTAGGAGTACGGAAAGATGCAGGTGATGTGGCGGGCACTCGTTGTGGTGCCGCGGTTGATGCTCTCAATACCAAGCAACATCGAGAAGTAGGAGGGCATGAGAGATGGGGCGCAGCATGAGAGAACAGGTGGGAGAGAGTTAACATGAGAGAACGGGCACGAGATAACAGGTATAAGAGAACAGGTATGAGAGAGCAAGCGTGAGAAAATGGGCGCAAGAGAGCGAGCACAAGCGAAAGAGTTAGAGAACGGGCGCGGGAGACCAGAAGTATGGATCTGTAGACATCGATCAGTTCACGAGAGAACGAGCAGGCGCAAGAGATGGTAACTACAGGAGTGCAAGATGCTTTGCAGTAAGAATATAGAAAAATGATAAAAAGTTAAAACATACCTTGAGTCTCGATGTCACCAGCATTGGTCCCTTTCAACTCCCTCACGACCTATGGCGAACTCCAGTGATGACGGAGATCCATGCATGGTTTTGGGGTGACATCACTGAGGCTGCAGTGAGGCGTTAGAATAGAAGCAATGCGCATATACTCACCTTTAGGTATCAAATGCGGATACACTGTGGAGAGATAGTAAGTACACTGTACGAGAAGGGACAGAGCTACTGTGTTACCTTGAACAGAAATTCAGGTCATAAACTATTACCAATAGCCTCAAGGGTGGCCATGGCGGTGGGAAGAGCAGTGGGTAAGTACCGGTTGAAGAGCTGCTCGAGTTCAACTTATTGGGGGTGAGCACAACCCCAACACTTTGCGCAAAAGTGGTGAAGGGGCAAAGGGTACCAAACAAAGGACTTAGAGAAAATCGAGCGTACGTAGATCTCGTCGACAATGTATTGCATATATCATGTAGATACAAACGCATCGCAGACGCACGTCATTGTGAGGCATCTGTATCAGGTTGGAATGTCGGCGACATGACCTGACAGTGACTTGTCAAGCGCTGTGGCGCACAACAGTCTAAATCGGGTAACATCTGAGTTAAGCAATTTCTGTGATTTGAAACACGTCACATAATTCTTTGAATGTCTTGTGGTCTGCAAGTTTCCCACTCTGTGCTACCTCAAAAAGCTCAACGAAACATTCAACAGGACTTCCACGCTCGATTATCTTGAATATCTTGAATACCACAAGGTCCTTGAGCTTGTCTTGCAAGATACGGCCATTGGTGGTACGGAGTGTGTTAGGGGTAGTATACTTCTCCTGTGCCAGCAGAAGCTCGTGTTGTTCCTCTTCTGGCAACTCCGATTCCTGTGTCTTCTGCTCATACGGCCATGTCAAGTCATACAACAGACACACACGCAGCTGGCTCTACACACCCGTTGGATAGCATGCTTGAATGCTTGATCACTGTGTGCCAGTCTTTCGCACACATCACATATTCCACTCTTGTTCAAGGTCCGCTGTTTGCACTGAGACGAGCGAACATAACCATTGACATAATCAACTTCCCATCGTGCCCAAGCCAACAAACTCTCATCCAGCTTCTTCTGTTCATCATTTGTCCAGTCTTTCTCCTTCACATTGCAGTCTGCTTCCCATGGAACACTCTCCGGATCTAGGACGGCTCGTTGCAACTCTTTTTTGCACATGAAATCTTTAACAACTGGGAATGGTTTGTACATGAAGAGTTGTCGGCTAATCCGGGTTCGCAGTTTGTAGGAAATTCCTGAGCCGTGTTTGGGGACGCAGTATGTATTCCGTGTACTTTGGCCCAGCGAGGTGTTGACAGGGCACTGTAGGAGCCTCAGGTGACGGGTCAGGCCGGGTGATGACACTGCCGTATTTCGTGTTGTTTCAAGCTTGGGAAATATTCTCGCAATTGAAGGGGTCTGGGATTATATCCTAGGTAAGTCTCAAAGGCCACCATCATTCTTGCAATACACTCACACTCTTGACCTTGATAGTCGCATACTTTGTTGTGTTGTCGGTCTTACTTTGCTGTGAGCCATTGTTCTGGACTGTCCTGGTCATAGCTGCGTTGCTGAAGAAATCTAGCAATAATCGCATTCCTGTAGACTGTTGTATTGCACGTCAGATGGCAAATTAGTGCATGTTTACAGTGCCTCACCTGAGGTTTGGATTTCGATGACTTTGTTGTGACCTTTCGTTTGTTTTGCATGCCAGTAATGTGAGGACATTTTTCACGGTGAACCTCCCAGTTATGTAACTCATATTGACGGTTATCTTCAGAGCGAAGCACAATCCACCTCGTACACCCATTGCACTGAACACGCTTAGGTTCTGCTTGACGTACCCACTGATCCTTGATCAAGACATTGCGCCGTTGTGATGCTGACAGGTGCGGCAGGGTATTATCTTTCTGCTGGACAGCTTTTGACTTTTTGATTCTCCTCTTTTCATCGTCGGTGTCATCGGGGTCTGAGTTGACACCTTTATCTTTTCTTTTACTGGAAAACACGGACACCTCAGGGTCATTTGTGCGTTTCAGAGACCTTCACTTACAGTGGTGCACTGACAAGCTTTTTCGGCACTGACTTTGATTCCGTTATCACATCTGACAAGACAGGAATTGCATCAGGCAAGGCAGTAGGTTGCTGATCCAGGCAAGTGACGTCGTCGTCGTCGTCGTCAGAGGAATAATCATTAGATGCAGCGGGTCCCGTGCGAGATACCCTTCAAGACTATAAGATTCTGATCAACGTCTTATGACAAGTGACTCACAGAAGTTTGAGTAGCATGTTTAATGCGCGTGATCGCATGTTGTCCTTTATGTCATCCCCGGTATTTTTGAAGTCCAATTGTTATTTAAATGCACTCATTGCCATCATCACAAAGATCTTACACGACCAAGAGTCGTGTTGTCGTTCATTGACGTCAGGTGAATATATCTCAATCGTCCAACTGCCATCTCTGAGATTGACTTTGTGCGTAACAGAAAGTGCTGAGACGGCATAAATGGTAGCTTCAAATAACTATGCAGGCACATGTTTGGGGACCATTGTTAGGAAGATCAGTGTGTTTCTTACTGGTTGCGCCCATTTTGCTGACTCGAGCTCAGGAATACTATCATATATCCCCCATATCTTCCGTTCGAAGTCGATGACACCAAGGACCCAGTGAGAAGGGCAACTGCCGCATAGGGGCATCATCCACTGTGCCCGTTGTAGTGCATCGTCGAGGGGAATATTTCCACACTGGGTTTCATTGAGTCATGCTTATTTTTCAACACTCACAGCCGCTTGGACATGTTCGACTATAGATCCTTCAGCTCGAGTAGGTGTAGCCCCACCAGTTGCAAGAGCAGGAATCCAGGACGACAACACCAATGTGTTGTCATCAGCAGCATGAAACTGCTCGCAGGGAACATCCTGGATGATTGCCCCGAAAGCATCGAGTATGGGACTAGGCAATTTGCGACCGGGGTTGAGTAATGGGAAGAGATCGCAGTAATGAACTTCGATGTTCCGCACAGAACGGACCTCACGATGTAGATTTTCGCCGAGTGACATAATAGAAAGCTTAGAGATGGTTGGCGCTCAGCGCTCATTGATCATACAGATTCACATGGCAACAGTTGAAAAAGCCTGCCCTGAAGGTTGGCTGGAGGCCTAGAATAGGCAAGATTCGGACAGACATTGGCATGTTTGGAGCCCTGGAGTGTCTTCCCAAGGCGTCAAATAGGCAAAAACGGACAAGGAAAACGCAAAATTTTGGCCTCAAATAGGCAAATTTTCGGCCGAACATTATAGGGAGCTTCCGGGGGCCTGCTGTGGCTTCTTCAATTAGCGCATTGTTGCTGCAGCAGTGAGCACACTCACTACAGTTACCGATCGAGACACTATTACTCTTGTTCTCAACGTCAGATGTACAGACTCAACTGCATTGTCTTTGGCCGCAACTCACGCCATATTTTCCCAGTCGACATTGAGCGGACGCAGACTGTTGGTCACCTGAGAAAGGCTATCAAAGAAGAGAAAAAGCATGCATTTAGCGGCGTGGATGCAGACAGTCTCCAGCTATGGAAGGTGAGTGATCTGATGCCTGCGATTGGATTTTGATAATATGATATTTTGGCAGGTCGACCTGCCTGTTGACGATACAATCGAGCACAATCTTAACAATCTTACACTTGACCAAACGAAATCCTTATCACCTGTGAAGAAATTGCAAAAAGTTTTTTCTGAGATACCTGAGGATGAATCTCTGCATGTTGTTATCCGGGCCCCACCTGCCGGTGAGTTGTCTTTCGATATTGCCACCCTTTCCTCCTTACTGATCGCGGTCTGACTTAGTGTCGTCTGAACCACTCCACCTCAACTGCATTGTCTTGGGCGATGACCCAAGCCATATTTTCCCAATCAACATTGCGCAGACGCGCACTGTTGGTGACCTCAAAGATATGATCAAGGATAAGAAGAAGCGATATTTTGACCATGTTGATGCTGACAGTCTCAAGTTATGGAAGGTGAGTGATCTGGTACTTGTAATCTGATCTTATGCTGAGACTTTGGAAGGTCAACCTGCCTTTCAGCGACGCGCTCAAGCATACTCTTGAGAGCCTGGAACCACATCGCGATAAGCCATTGTCACCCGTAGATGGAATGCTCAAGGTTTTTGACAGTCCTCCTCAACGTGAGGACCTGCATATTGTTATCCAACCACTACCCGCTGGTAAGCTACCTGTTGATATCACTCTGACACGGCAGATGGGCCGACGCTGCCTCGCCTCCCAGATAGCTCCCGTACTCATTTGCAACTGTCGCCTTCTACACTCCTGAATAGGACGCAGCAACTTCGTTCGGAGTATAGCCGAAAATTTCCTCAGAACGCTCCTTCCAGTCAGGGGAAACCTTCTGAATTCAAAGGCATACAGAAAGACCCGGACCTCACCATCCACTGGGATCGACCCCCTTCGGCTGCACACACTATACCCAGCACGCTTCTTCATCCAATCTTCGGTGCATTCATGGACGACTGTGAAAATCACGAACCAACGCCAGACGATAATAAGCTGGTCATGGCACTGTCGGCGACTATGTCTGGCTTCTTCACAGACGAGACGGGACGAGCTTCCAAATTCCGTGAACTCCTGCGGCAGCACGACATCGACCTAAGGGCCACGACAATCGACGGCAGCAACTACACCACCGACGGTGATGTGCAGTACAAAGGCTTCCGCTATGCAATTGCCGAAGTCAAGAACGAGATAGGGTCCACGAAGGCCGAACCCCACATGCAAGTCCTTTCATATTATATACATTCCACGACCTCTTTCTCGAAGGAGAAGCCTGCATTTAGGTTTCCCTGTATAGCAATCACACTCTTTGGTAGGTTTCTAGTATTCCACAACTTGTGATGCACTGATCACAATTTAAAGGGTCACACATCGATTTTTCAGCCGCTGTTTGGAGTACGCGTCCGAACATGCAGGTAATTTCGACTGCTTTACCTCTGTTCCATCACTACACCGATACCAAAATGCGTGTGATGATCGCGCGGCACGTTGGTGCGCTTAGGAAAGCTCTTCTGTCTCTATCGGAATGCTACGAACGCATGTCATCAAACACTACGTCTCCTTCTACTGATCCACACCTTAAATTTCTGGACTCGGAATTTCCAGATCCCAGTTTCCCATACCCGTATTCTTATACTTGCATCGAGACATCGTCGACGTGTCGTTTCACGTACTGCCATCAAATGGATACCACCAAGCTGCTCTTTTCCGCCAAGACAACCGACGACAAGATGCTCTGCATCAAGTTCGTCCGTCGTTACTCTAAGGAAGTACATCAACGATGTGCTTCCGGCGGCTTCGCTCCAGTACTCTACGGCTTTGAACACCTACCGGGCGGCTGGTACATGGTTGTGATGGAGATTATCACAGATGATTACTGTTGTCTTGGGGAACTTTCCGTTCCTTACCCGCATCACGACGCGCTCACTGCGGGACTCCAGTCTCTTCACCAAGAAAATTATGTTCATGGAGACATTCGAAATACAAACGTTATGGTAAAAAAGGATTGCAGCCCTGGATTCAAACTTGTGGATTTCGACTGGTCCGGGATAATAGGCGAAATCCGATACCCAATCAACGTATATCGAGGAAAACGTCTATGGAGGCCTGCTGGAGCAGAAGACGGACAGTTGATCCTGGCTGAACATGATATTCAGATGTTGCACGCCATGTTGCTTCGAGTTTGAGTAGCGTACTATAGATAATATCCGGGTAGCTCCCATACCACATGGTGAACATACAAACGTTATACAAACTAGTATGCTTTATGAAAACTCACGAAGCAATGAGTATGGAACAATGAGGGGATCCGGGATCATGAAATCTGGCACTGCCACCTGGTCACAAACACGGGCTATAGTATCAAAATTAAGCATGATACTCGCTGACTAGCAATGAGATGGTTGCGTAAGTTTGTTTGTGGTCAACAGCCTACACGTATTATGCTTAATGCCCAGTCAAAGGCCACTCCAGGCCCATGTATGGATGACCATTCCGCTAATTAGGAGAAAGCCAGGCACGATGAGAGAGAGGAGAAGTCAAGCAGACACGGAACATGACAAAGAAGCAGATTATTTTTGAGGGATGTGTTAATGATTAGAATCCCAAAGCGTTGTGATGTGGAATCCATTATCGGATCATGAAAATGAAAAGTATACAGGAGAAGTGAGTGTTTATGTAAGTAAGATTGACATGCAAAGAAGATTTATGAACCAAAAAGCGGGCCATCCTCAAGATGATTCCTGGCTTGAAGGGGCACTGATTGCAAAACCCTCTTTGTGCTGTCATTTTGCTTTGCTTGAGATCCCCAGCTCATCTCAAAGAGCTTGAATACACTGAGCTCCGTGAAGGACGACGGAACACTGCCCACCTACTCATAGAATTCCTGTATCATGGAAATCAAGGTTCCTGAGCGTTGCAAGTAGAGAGCTACAATGACTTACAACAGTGGGGGCCATTAAGATGTCTTTGGTTGGCATCACTCACAAATAGACTGAGCGAGGCACACGCCTGTGCAGTGTTTCCAATAAGAGCGCGGGAGGTGCATCCCAGAATAACTACATGGACAGTCAAGCGGGTGGAGAGACACCATCCTCTGTCAGACCTCCGCCGTTCAGATGAATGCTCCTCACCGGACAGCAGGAACAATGAGTTCGGCTGTCTTGTACGAGCCAATGAACTGTTACAGTTGGGGAATAGAAGCTGGGGCAAGATGAGGGGATGGGAAATTGCTTGTGGACACCATATGATTAGAATCTACTTCAGGCTCAAGAAGTGACGGCGTCCCATCAAGACACCGGGCGACATTTTCATTAAAAGAAAAGGATGAGGTGAACCGGAGAAGGTGCAGGAAGAGTATACAAGTAGACACTTTCTTCGACACCCAGCTCAAACTCAAATCCATGATGGGTGTAAGAGAGGTTAGCCCTGTCATATTTAAAATGGCCTTGGCAAGTTGGCGATAATAGGATGTGCTTTATGCGAGGAATGTCATTTTCAGACAATGCAATGATTAATGACTGGTAGTCATCCAAGCGTGTGAGGACATGGGTGACACGTTCATGCTTCATTGAGTCCCTGAAGTTTATCAGTTAAGGTTTCTTGCAAGTGACAAGACAAACCTGGAGCTTCAAGCGGTTGACATCTTCAGCACACTGACGCACTACTTGAACCATGTCAAAATGGTTTCGATAACGGCAGTGAGTGCATAGTTTGATATCCCGTGTGACTAAGACAAGATGTTCAAGGAATGAGACTATGCCAACGCATTCTGTGCAAAGGGATCCCGGTGTTGCATTCCGTTCACAGTATTTTGAATAAGCACAAGAAATAGCACCACGAGTGTCGATATCAAAAGGAAGTGTGCCTGGGCCATCAGATGCACGACCAACTGGGAAAGTCTCCACAAATGAAGGCTCTCTAACTGGCCAGTAGATCGTAACTCCGTGACATGCTGTAATGATAACATCAGAGTCCTTGGCTAGTGTGATCAGAATCAGTGCGTAATGCAGAGGAGGAGATGGAATTAGTGCTTGATGGTGAAGATTTCCAGGAACGATGCCATTAGGGTCATTTTGGCTCATTTCTTACAGCGGCGCACAGAGCTTTTGCTGATGTCAGACGACGGCAAGGGAATTGGTTTAGTGTGTATGAATTGTTGGTTGTTCTAGAAGGATTCCGGAAGCTCGAGTGTAATAGTAGGGCGTCTAAACTTGTGCCCGTACGAATGAGGGTGGCACGTGAAGCGTACAGGATGAAATTTGTGTCCCGAAAATTCGAGAAATACAAACCTTTTTCGGTCGCCTACCGTTGAAAATGCATGCCGAACGGAATCTGTGCTGGCAAGGTGATTCAAAGGGGAGTCTGGGACTGGCGCTGGCACCGTTACGATCATGTAGTCAGTGTTTCGGGTTTCGCCCTCGCACGCCTCTTGAGTCTGATACTTTCAACTTTCTGGATCCCTTGCCTTCGGCATGTGCCGTGAGGCCCGTGACGTACATGCCGAGCAACTTGTCATTGCGTCGCAGAGATTGGTTTGGTGCAGGCAGACATTTAGGAAGTCTTCGCCTTGTCCGTCGCACCAGTAGCATTTAATTTTTTTTCCTTTCAGGCGTATCCCCAGGGAGTCCATTCAAAGTCCACCTACAGTGTTCCCTTTTTTGTCCTTAGTTGGTATGATTTTTGTGATCCACTCTGCTGACTAATCCTTGCGCATCTGAGCTTTGACGTCGGGCGAGGCAATGTGAGCCCTGGAACCTGAGCCTTATTTTGTTTAATTGGCCTGGACGTATGGAAAGATCCAACGGTTGACGCTTCTAGATAGGGCATCACAAGTTGCCTATTGATGATACTATCCTCCGAGGTGCCTGCAAGTTCCTGGTCTCTATGAGTCTCGGGTCAAAGCTCCAGGCCTCCAAGTTTGGACTCCTAAGTCATGTCGTGTCATGACTGTTGACACGATGTTTTACAATGGAAGTCCTGATGCGCACCTCTTATAACAAGTCTCTAGACTCGTACTACTGCATCCCGATGATATCGTTGTGACTGTCACCCTGTGACAGGCATCTTTGGGTGGGCTTCTCGTATCCTCCGCCATACCATTACCAAGTAACTCACGCCTTGACGGATCGTAAGTACCAAAATCTCTTGACGGGCGTCAGGCTGAAATTGCAGATTGGCACGACGCCAGATCTTACATAATGATCAAAGAGATTCTGGTAGTGCCGGACCCGGGGCGGAAGAAAACCCAGTTGCAACTGCAACAACAGACATATATCGATTGGGTGGTGGCCTCTCTACCTCAACAGGAGGCTGATTACCTATTGGGTAACAAAGACCTTGATGGCCTGATCTTTGCGGCTACAGTCCAGCAGTTGCGTGGCCAAGAGCTTCCTGAAGGACACAAGATGGTGTATATTAATGAAGTGGTAAGTAAACAGAAATGGTATCTGTCATGGGCATCATGACCCTAACTCCGATTATGATGTGTAGTTATTGATGTGGCACACGATTGACGTGTCACCCAACAACTGCCTGCGGGCATGCTACATGGATTTCAAAACATTCACCGAAATCATTCACATGCGCCTGGATAAGCTACAGCTGGCCATGAAAAAATTTGCGGCCGTATGGGGAGGTTTAGATTTGACCAAAAATTACAGGTGAATCCGTCACTTGAAATGGAATTGGACAGGCTGATCCCGGACCTTGGTGTAAGATAGAGAGGCCCCAGTTTTGTTCCGCCTTTCCAATTCCTCACGCGATCAAGGGGATTCAACTTTATGTTGCACGTTTGAGAGATACATGTGGGCATTGCGCAGGTTGGAAGGCGTGCTTCCGGTATGGCCGGGCATCTTGGAGTGCCGGGCTGCATCTCATGACTACAATGCCATTACCTTGTTGGATTCCATCGCTCGAGACGTCACCCAATCTCATCGCCCCACGACAGAGCTAATCACTTCAGGGACGAGGCTTGATCCACAGATTCCCAAACCTGTGGTTCTAAAACGTGAAGCCAGCGCCTCAAGACAGTTCATCAAATATCCTGTGAAGCAAAAGATGCTGGACGAGGCGAAGGAATGCGGGGAATATCGATTATTCATGCAACCGTATGTCCCTGAGTGGGACGAGGTAGGCCAGTGGCGTTGTCTCATGGTCAATCAAGCCCTTTTCTGTATCTTCATTCACCCCGGATCTTCCAGGCTGACCCACCACAATTCCCGTGTCTTGGACCACAGCCTGCGGGAGGATGGATGGAGTTTGAAGGAACTGGGCATGTAGGGAGTTCACGCTCCCATCTTTGTCTATTGCATTGACCCTGTAGTTTAGGCTCAGAAAATCCAATCCGGATCACTGCAATTTCATGATTCGTGAGGGTGGAACGAGGGCAGAAATTTCCCGGGCTCAGGCAGAAATCCAGGAGTTCTTGGTGACGACACTAGCGGTCTTCATCCGAGGAGAAGAGGTGATGTTGGGTCGTCAGGGCCTTGAGAACAGGTTACGGCCATCGTCCTTGAGGGTTTCTGCACGGGTAGATCTCTCCGTCATCACCGATCCTGAAAGCAAGAAGCTCCATTACTTCGTAACTGGTGTCTCACGAGGCCCGGGCATGATGTTGTATGGCTCGGTCGACACCAATACCATCCGGAGGTACGCACTAGAGTTCGCACATCCCTTCGAATGCTGGATTGGTCCACGCAATCCACGTCCTCAAACCACGTCCTCGATATGAGCGCAGATAGCTAGTGTCCATCGTCTAGTTTATTTCTATTTCACCTTTCTGCACCTCTCTGGAGCGCATTACAATGCCCTGACTTACAGGCACATGTATTTAAACCTCAATATTCTATTCCATTCCATTCGTGGCTAGGCTGCTGAATGTATCAAATGCCCGGCCAACACAATATCCCTGACCAGCACCCCTTGCCGACCCTGTCAAGTACCACAGGTATCCTACTCCTGTGGATGTGCCTACGTTTGAATTTCCTGCACGATCCTTCTAAGAACTTCTGCACTTTGGCTGCATAGCCAGTGGCTTGCATGGAATCTGGCAGTTGACACCATGTATTGTAGTATCTCCCTCTATACGCCGACCAGATAACTCGTTGTTTCGAAGCTGTCTTCACTTAGCATTGGGAAAAGGTGACGAACACTCGGGCCCTGGCCTCGCTTTTGGGGGATAACAACGGAGAAATTCTCTGGAGATCCCACGTACATTTGCTTTATTGAAAGTAATAACGGTCTTATCCAACGTACAATGAGGGCGACATAATGTGTGCAAGATTATTTAAAAATCGAACGTACGGATGGCACTCGTCATGGATTGGGACGGGGTGGTTTACTGGGGCACAGACGAACGTAATCCTCTTGCTCCTCGGTGAGCGGAAAGTTGTGAACGAACAAAGACTTGTGGGAGGAGAACTGTAAAAGCCATTTTGGTTGGGGTTTGTAACCACCGGAATCCCAGCCGCAGCGGTTGCAATGGAATTTCAAGAAGCCAGTGCCTTGGCGAGATCGTTTGGCTTTGATGTCCCCGGGCTTGGGATTGCACAGTTGATTGCCACATCGAGGGGGAAGGCCCCACACGCAGCCAAAGGGAGTGGCAGCTATATATCTTTGGCTAATCAGACGCCCTTCTTGATTCCATCAAACCAACACCACAGGAGTATGGGACAGCAGTGTCCAGTTAGCGATCTGCTGCTCAAGGGCCAGCTGAACAGGCTTTTGGTGAATATAGACCTCCACGATCGTCTGTAACATGAAGGGCATGACCACAGAGGGTTGAACGGAATGAGCAGTGAATCCGATGATGAACTGCAGGCGCTTGCTGGATCCACAATGTCATCAAAAAACTGGAGGGCAGGTGGGTATCGTACCTGGAGACCAGCGACTTGATTTTTTCAAAATGCGACAGCTGCGTGAACGCTGGACCACAGGCCAGCAGGATCATTCCTTTGATGCCGGTCATATCCAGGGACCGCTTCCACAATTCCGGGCCAAAGTGGTGACGGAACACCTGACATCCTGGTCAAGGAAAGAAAGCTGCAAGATTCAGCCAGTACTTACCTCTGTGGCATCCTGAGTCCAGACATTTCCGTGTTTGTCGACACTGTGGACCAGCTCGCCATTCTCGTAATCGCTGTGCGTGTCTATGAGAACCAGAAAGTCAGCCACTGATCTGGCCTTCACCAAGGCCAGGGCATCGCGGACACGAGCGCGGACATTGGGCAGGCAAGCAGCTCCAGTGACCAGTTCGATATTGGTACAACACAGCTGCCACATACTCAGGCTTAATCCCATGTTATTTCAGCCGTTGACTGAAGCGGCACACACCATATTTTTCCAAGGTAAAAATTCCTCCTCCAACTGACATCGCAACAACCGTTCGGGGTACGCGTTAAGTTTCAGGGCGATGGTATGAAACACCAGTGGGCGTCGGGCGTAAATTCGGTCGGCAATATAGGCACCTTGTGCAACCACCGAGTACTATTAACATATCAGAGTCACCGATAAGTCCAGGATTCAGTTAGGACCGGCTTACAGGCAACGGAGTAGAGCGCCTACGGCTCCAACATGGGGGACACCAAAATTCACCTGGACCTAGATCGCGGACACAGGGCTGCATATTTGACTTCCAGAAGCACAGCGCATAAGTACAGCCTGGTCGTTCACATTTCTTCAACTGGCCAACATCCGAGCAACTGCTGCATTTAGCCGTGGCGCCATCATCTTGCATCAGTGAAAACGCCTCCAGGGCCAATGCCTCAGACCTGTAATCAGCTGACCATTCGCCGGAGGTCAGAATGTGGCCGGCCAAATTATGCCAAATAAACTAGACACCCACCAGGTGATTCCTCTGTCCACCGATGAATTAGCATGCAGCGGGATGACCGAAATATGACCGATGTCAAGACCTACCTCCGGTGTCAATGGCATGACTTTGACCGTGAACCACACGTGAATCTCCTGGAGGTACAATAGCATCACTGTCAATATCTGGTATGGGAGATGTCAGCCACAGGTGCGGTCGAGTCACATCACTCTATACGGCCTACCCATTGTGTCACCTACACCTGTGAGAAATGAGTTGGAGAGTTTTCCCTGAATTTACATGCCGAACTGACCACATAATATTGGGCGCGACATGCCTTTCAAAGCCCGGCCTTGGGCCATAGGTGGCTGTTCCGGGGCGCCCCCCCTAGCAGATCCTCTTGCGCCTCTTGCGCCTCTTGCGCCTCTTGCGCCTCTTGCGCCCCCTGCGCCTCTCGCACCTCTCGCGCCTCTCGTACCTCTCGCGCCTCCTGCGCCTCTCGCGCCTCTCCCACCTCTCCCACCTCGTGCAACGGTGGATGTGGTGGCTGCGGCGCTGCCTCCTACTCTTTCGTCGTCGTCGTCATCGTCGTCGTCGTCGTCGTCGTCGTCGTCGTCATCGTCGGCATTGCCATCAACATTGCCATCACCATCACCATCTTCTTCTTCTTCTTCTTCCTCCTCCTGATCTTGGGCCGAGTTGGACTGTGGGGCACCGGAGGCGTTGGCACCATGACTAGCATTATTATTGGGTGTAGGAGTCCCGAATCGTGCACCCGTGTTGATCGTATGGCCATCGCCAGCATTTGTGCCAGGTGCAGCCTGCCATTGCATCAAGCCAGCCATTGTTCTGAACTTCTGTGTAATGCGAGGTACTAGTGCTCAAAACTCAAAACTCAAAACTGCACCGCGCCAGCTGTCCGTAACGTCACGTGATAAACATGCGGACCTCAATATTATCCCTTATTTTATTCCACCATTTTATTTATTATTCAGTAGTTATTAGTAATATAAACCTTTATCACACTAGAATTAAATAATAAATGATGTAGAATTGAGTGCCTCAGTTTATTCAGTTTATTTGACGCATGTATTGCTGTGCTTTTTCAATGGGCCGAGCAGCTTGAAGTACTAGAACATTCCATAACAATATAGGTCTGGCTGACAACAGCGTGAATACCTCTTTGAGCACAAATTTATGGTGCCGCGTGATGTGACGTCTTGATCGAGGTGGCTAAAGGACTGGTGAACTTGAAGATAAGCTGGTTTCAATGATCTTGATAGAACTATGACACACCCATGTCATTGTCGATAGCTGTCGATTTCTTTGTAGCGTTTAGATGTATATTGAAGCTTGAGATGCAATTTCAAATGCGGTGCTAATTAATCAGTCCGCCATGTATATTCAGAATCAATATATTAGGTCAGTCCAAAGTCAGTCCAAAGTTCACACAAGTCAATCTATATTCAGTGTCAGTCCAAAGGGTCAGTCAAAAATTCACCCGAGTCAGTCTTGACACCTACTATATTGGGCAGGTCGGTCCAAATTACAAGCTCCCCCGCCAATCTATAGTAGGTCAGTCCGAAGTTCGTAAGAGTCAGTCCAACATCTAAGCAGCAAGTCAGTCCAAAGGTCAGTCAATTTTCAAATTATTCCAAAGGTGGATGCTCGAATATGTTCAAAGATTGCCCTTTGCGCGTCAGGTTGTGGCGGTTGCGTTACGCCCGCACCAGCACTTGCTTGGTATAGCAATTAATCAATTACCAATTACAGTACTACCCGCCCACTCGGCTCTCATTAGTAGCAATGGTGTCGAGATGGTATGTCTCGTCCCACTCTCTCCATGCTTTTCGCTATCGCTGCCACTTCAAAACTTGCCCTTGCTCAACCTGACCAGATATGTTACGTCGCGCCCATTAGCAATTCCACCTAGACATGGCCCGTACCACTACGTCCCTACAGAGTGGATATGTATCATTGTGAGTTATGTTGTTTGTGTTGTTTGCATCTATTTCACATTCTTCCCTAGTTCCTGGTGTTCTACAGTATCTCAACTGGTACGAATTTTGACCATTAACGATGCACGTCATGGCTTAGTGTTTTCAGTCTTCCACCTGGGCCAGGCGGTCAAGTATAGACTGTGGTGGATGATACCTACAGCGACCTTCGCGAGTATCCTGGAAATTCTAGGGATGTAGTGCCAGGTTATGGTCGAGTCGGAACCTCAAGTTTTTGACGCCTCATGAGATGCAGTAAGTGTTCATTCAGAAGGAATCACTCGTATGCACACTTTAACATTTTCGCCGCAGGATCGTCGGCACCATCACGGCACCTACTCCGTTTGTCGCAGCCAACTTTATCATCCTTGGTATCAAATTGGACTTCAGTGCAGCCGTCTAACCCCAAGGTTATGTTAATGTTTCTCCGATGCTTCTGGCATTCGATTACTGATCCAGTGCAGATACCATCATTTTTTGTTGCTTGGTTAGTATGATATATTCAAGTGGTGTTAACTCTTCATATCTTGCCTCCTCCCAGGACATCATTTGCTTGATTGTACAAGCTATGGGAGGCCTATCCGCTGCGCACGCTGCCAACACGAAGACAAGCGCTTCGATGGTATGCACGTCATCCCATATTTTATCTGACGTTCACATCATCGAGACAGGGCGCGAACATTATGCTAAGAGGAATTTCTGCTCAAATTTGTGCGTGATGAGTGCTCCTGCATGCTTCTCTCACTGAAATTCACGACCTTCGCTTTCCAGTTGCAATAGTGGTCTATGTCACTTTAGCGGTTGAGACTCTCTTGCATTTGCAATATAATCTACCCTTGCGCCATGTTGGACATGGTCGCATATTCATATTGGAGAAAAGCCAACGTGCTGTAAGTAAGAACTTGCAACTTATGCTTTGTGGCATGGCGTTCTGCACCCTTTGCATCTTCATTCGGTTGGTGTTCAACATATTTTTCTATCAGCAGTTATGATGTGGCTCCTGCGATCTGAGATCTCAGGTTTGGAAAACTTCCCTCCGAAGCAATGGAGTCATACCTTCCCGCGATTTCTCTGTGGTACAAACGTCCAGCCGTCTCTGTCGGAAAGCCACGATGCCAAATAGAGTTCTGTAATTGTACACTTCTTGCTGGCATCTTACCCGGGCTAAACGTCGACAAAACGGTACTCGTGAAGGTGGACAAAAGGTATGGTAATTGTTTTATTTTCGTCGGGTCGCCTATCTGACAACGACCGAAGTGATGCTATCGATGTACTTGTCACTAAACTCCTTGCTTATCTACAAGGTTGCGTGGATGGAGCACATCCGTGACACAAGAAATGTCTCCCAATTGCCCTTCGCATCATTGAGCCGACAGGGGCAGTTCCCCTTGACTGCTCGTTTTTTCGAGCAGGCCTTGCCTGCTGCAACGAAATATTCCTTGGATGGTCAGCAATATCTGACAATGAAACCGAGGACTCAGAAGATACACGGAGACGCTTGTTCGCCGCCTCGATCAGCGCCCCTTAGTGTGAATTTGTTCTTTTTTGCGCTACTGCTGGATGATGTCTGTCATATTCTTGAGCGAGCTCGCAGTCATGACTGCATCTGCTAACGCTGGTTTCATCCCTGGATCATGATCAGGAATATCGCCGGTCTTGTAGTCCCATCTCGTACACAAAGACATTCGCATGCTGTTGTCAGGAAATGAGTTAAACATTGCATCGGCAAATACTAGACTACACTCACCTCTGCACTGCTTTCTGCATGATCGATCATCACACAGGTTGAAACCAACGAACCTTCAGAGCTTCGTATCCGGAAGGCGTTGCGTAGGGCGGGAGACACCGGCCTTGACTTCAACCATTTTGTAAATTTCGTAGATGATCGTTCCTTTGAAAAGTAAAATAACATGTGCAACGAGAGATCAATCAAGCTACCTTCACACATATCGAACGTACGAGCCCAATCTCAGTTAAAAAAACAAACTTTGATTACGATTTTGAGTGCTTACCTCGATGTTCTGATTCGATTGGATGAATACAGGCGCTCCTTGACATCCTAGAAGTGTGTACGATGACAGTAAGTGAGTGGTTTGAGTGATTGTCGAGTGAGTGCAGCAATCTGCCGTGTCCGCCATCGTCATGAGAGAAGACGATGAGCGCCTATGACGTACTGCGAGCGCGCAAGGACTTGAGGGAAGAGACCTCCGGGGAGTGCTGTCACGTAGTGGTGCCCTGGTGCCCAGCCGACAAAAATAATTACCATCAAAAGAAGGTGCGGGTACATCACGCACCTGCCAGTCTGTGTGACGCGTGACCCGATGCATAGATGAGACAATGAGCTCAAATGTTGATGAGTCGCGACGATGGGACAAGATAGTAAAACTGACTGACTAGTAGCTACAAAGTATCTCATGGATAACTTGTATGCCAAGAATAGAGCTCTGAGAAGCCACGTGGATGATTTTTGGTTGTCATTTAGAGATTTTCGAGCAAACCCCGACTTTTGGGTTATCATGTAGATATTTTATACAAAAATGATTCAAATTATTATTATCTTCTCTGGGCCATCATATGTATCCTTAGCGTTGTATTGAATACAGTCAAAACTAGAATTCTGTAAACGGTTTTAAGCAGATTGCCAGTTCTTTTCGGTCTATGAGGTCTCCTGGATGCATTAGACTCTGAGATCTCCGGCGTTTATCCAAGCCAAACCGATAGACCGAAATTGCCGTCTCCACATCCTTCCAGAAATATTTTATAATCGCTCTGGAAATCACGAGTGCGGGTTTGGTGGTGTTCCTTAGAGTTTTCTTCTTGTTGGCGCCAACAGCCACATATTTATGAGAATCTATGACCATGGTGCATAGAGCGATGAGAGGCCTGGTAAATAATTCTGGTGATAGTGGTGAGATGATCAACACAGGAAATATCACAGAGTATCACTTACTGGTGCGGCAAGATGCGCGCGGCAGATAAATCACCATTCGCTCCAGCGTTTCCAGGGAGTGTTCATGAACCTGATTTGTGAGGAAATGACCCTTCTTTGCATCAATATAACGAGACAGCTCGCTGTGATGCAAAAATTCAAGATTCAGACAGTGGGCTCCCTTGGCGAATGACTCTGTAGGTGTATAGGCTGCATGGTATTGTCCAGGTGGTTGTATACTGGTAGAGCAAGCCATTAATGCAGATATAAGACAAGCATATGGTTTGATCAACTCACAATAAATCCCCCTCTTGAAGAGTGACCACCTCCATGTACCAGTTGGCTTCAATTTCTGTTCGGTTAGCCAGAAGGTTTGTCAGCAGTAGGGAAAGTTCAGTGAATTTGGTGCGAGAAATGTTTGGATTTCTGGGGAAGGCCGGAATCCATTTTTTTTTGCCCAGTACCGACTGCACAAAGGTGACTCCTCCATCAGAATCATGGTGGAAATTTGTCAGGACGGCAGGTTGATGAAGCAAAGACCACCCGTTAAGGAGGAAATTGTCAGGATGGACCAGGTCTTGGATCGGGTAATCAGTTGTAGTCTGATTCCATCCATGCACTATGCCGTGATCTAGTTGCCTACAGGAAACAGAAGTTTAGAGAGGTTACAAAGAGAAAAAAGATTACTCGCCGCAAATGATCCGGGATGCCTCGCCCTGTGTACGGAAGGTCTAGGATGAACTGTATGCAGTTTTGGTTATGCAAGTTGCGCAGGAAGTCTTCGATCGTTCCGTCAACTTGCGGATGCGTATAATCCTTAGTACGTTTTTCTACATCTGTCATGATACACGAGTCGGAACAAGAAGTCATGGAACAATAAAAAAGACTGACCATGGATAGATACACGCATAAACTGTGAGAACCCCTGATCTTCCAAGTAGTCCAAATCAAGTGGTGCTACCTGAGGTCTTTCTACCGCCCGAATAACGATGCATTTGCCTTCACGAAGCGTCTGGGAGATGACATCGCGCAACTCCGCTGTTCGGGATATCCAATCGGAGTGATTTATGTGAACGACGTATAGTGATCGCTCTGGATCGGATTCTGGAAGTTCGGAAAAATACCGTACAGTATCCGCGTCTTCTTGGCATATATTTGAGCCATCCTTCCAGATGCACGGAAGTACAGTGGTGAACCCACTAGACCATTTCACAGTCTCCGAATGTGCAGACACTTTAACACCAATAATATCGGTTGCAAGGTCCTTGGCATTGATCGGTGGTATCAAAAGGGTTGAGGGGACTGTGGGATCGTTTTGAGAGTGGGATGGGTCGGTGTAGGGAAATTCCGTCATGACCTCCACGTCACAGGTTAAAGGAGGAGGATCTGTGGCCACAGAGATATGGCTGAACAGACGCGATTGCGCTGGAGGACTAACCAGGAGGGTTGCATGATCAGGAGCAAGGTCAGATGGACCTGCAACACTTTGACCCTCGGAAATGTCAGGGGGACCACCGGTGTCGGGTGCGACATCAGATGAAGACCTTGGCGCCAGGTGTACAGGGCCCTCATTGCATATTGCAGCCCGGTGTCGCTTGGCAGGAGGTTCTTCACTGCCAGCGGCATTTCCAGATGAGGACCCTGCACCCTGAGAGTGTGATGGGTCTGCATCGGGTGTTACAGCGCGGAGGCGCCTGGGAGATGGCTGTTTGAGCCCCTGTCGTGCAAGCTTCTGCCTCGCACGCGATATTCGTTTGTGCTCGTTCTGTTGTAACCTCAGTCGCTCGGCTTCAGCAGGGTCCTGTTTCTTGAATTGGCGCCAAGTTCTTTTGGTTTCTGCAGCCTTGGTTAGGGAGGGTGCAGCGGTTTGATTCTGCATTAAGTATGGGCTGCGGATTAACTGTGTAGTAAAAATGGTGACGGTTGCAGGTCGAAGCGAAGCCAGCTGTTGTTGGCGATTTGAAGTTGGAAAATCCACAAATTACATAACTATCGAGCGGCGGAAGTGGACCATGAGTTGGTGTTCAAGTGGTTAAATCCAAGGTCACCTTTTGCTAATCTTTTGAGTGGTCTCCCGGCAGATAGTTAATACATAAATTGGATACTATACGGCACGTAATTTATGTTGAGAATCTTGGCAACATCACTGTCTACAACAGATATTGAAAAAATCTTCATTGTGACGACACCTACATCAAATTCACTAGCAGGCGCTGTTGATAGAACTAACTTATTGACTTAGTAAGACCTCAAGATGCTTCGGACTGACCCGCTGAATATGGATGTCAGACTAACTCGTGTGAACGTTGGACTGACCTCATGACTGACATCCTGAATATAGATGTGTCAGAGTGTCAGACTTCTTTGGACTGACATTATGTAATCATCATCTCATCAAAGAAATGCCCAAAGTTTCCAAGCCCACGACCTCGTCCAACGGTTGCGCAATCTTCGCTGAAGGCATCGGCGAACTCCAAAGTCCAACCACTCCGAAAAATGACAGAAAAAAAACAGCGCCCCCACTAGTGGGGTCTCCACAGCAATCCAGCTACACCCTCGCCTCGCTGCAGCACTACTCATCTTTTTCGGATCCAGCGAATTCTTGCTCAGTCTGCAACAAACGTGTGGTAGGAGAAATCCGTTCGTCTCCTCGACCCGGTATCCAATCTCAAAGGAACTCCTGCAAAGACATAACATTCGTATCAATCTGATGCAAAATTAGTGACACAGTATTGATATAATCAATCTACGAAAACATCCATGTTCACAATTCCCTCTTCTATTGTTGATCGCTTGTTCATTCTCTCGGCTATAAACGCATCGATCTGTGTTATAAGTTCCACATCTGCCATATCACGTTAAACACGGCAAATACGCATTACAAAAAAAACGTACTGGGGATAACATCCTCTACTACCAGCAGCACCCGGTTGAAAGGATCTTTGGAGTCAGAGAGCAGATGAGACTTGATAGTAGAGCGGTCTATGATGACGCGAGAAGATGAAAGCGTGACCGGATCACGCATGATCGTGGCCATGAGAGGGTCTGATGAATTTGCCGTAAGCCATGACGAGGTACAAGAGAAAAAACCGACCCAAAAACTCATCCGATATCTCACCCTTCCTCTGCCTCAATCGTAGTTTTCATCTCCTCCACCTTGGACACAAAAGATCTCACAACCCCAATCTCAGTCTCATTTTTCAACGGCACCCGTCTAGCAGTCTCCATCGCCGCCTCAAACAGCTCCTTCCTATAACTCCTTCCATCATTTGCAACAGCTCTCACAAACTGTTCTTGATCACTAAGGTTGATGTACACTTGCAGAATATCGCTCAGGAGCTGACGGGGATTGAACTGGTATTTCTCTGGGTCTTGCACCCTCGGCTCGCCGCACTCGGGCCCGACGAGCGCATCGAGATTGTAATCCAGCATAGCTGGAAGTTTGTCCACGATTTCGGGCATCATGAATGGCCCCTTAGTTAAGACCGACGGTGGACCTGCCCGGCGCGGTATACCCAGATGCATGTCGCTCGAGGCCGCGGAGCGCACCTTCGCGTTCACGTCGGTACTGCTGAGGACGAGCGTTCCAAACGGTTTGATCGCGCATCTCTGTCTGGATGTTGCGGATCTGCGTGAGCTCGCTGAGAGACTCATCCATGAGATAGGTAACGTCGTTGATCATGAGGTTGATGAACCGGATAAATTTGTCGACATTCCTGGAGGACAACATTGGTCTTGCGTGAATATTAGGAGGGGAAACATACCGAGCTTCCTTATTCAAGGCATCGCTGTGAACAGGATTGTCCCAAACCGCTTTTAAAATGTAAGCGATATTCCTCCTCGCGTCTGAGATATCGATGTCCTCAGATTCTATCAATTCATGGAAAAATCTCACTACTGAATTTGTCATAAAACTGCGAAATAGCACCCGTTTGCTCGACCTCTGAAGACATTATGAACAATGTTCATCCAGCTTTTGACGACAAGACATACCGATATAGAAATGAGTCAATGCCGGTATCAAGTTCTTGAGCGCGACGGGATGCGTGTTCATCGTGTGTCCCAAAATTCCGTGTCTGTCGTTTGCGTACGGCAACACACCATAAAATACCGCCTGTCTCATTCCCAACGTCAGCGAATTTTTTTACGGCACCAAGTGAGGGGGGAAACGCACCTGGTTGATCTTAGCTTTCAAGAACGGGTTCTTGGTGTTATGGGGGTTCCTAGGGTCAGCCTAGGGTCGATTTCAGCTTCACTTTCAAAACATTTCATGTATCAGATATGGCCTACTAGGACTCCCACTGTATATGGACCCCTTCGGTTCAATTTTCCAGATATCCCCATGCATCAGATGTGGGAGTCCCGGACTCCCACTGTGTGTGGACCCTCCACCCTTCATTAGTTGGAACACTGCTCATCCGTAGTGTACATGAGTGTGGCCTTCCAAGACTCCCACTATGTGGGGGGCATTGTTTATGACACACTCATCCCATTGTGTACATGAGTGTGGCCATCCAGGACTCCCACTGTGTGGGGGCATTGTTCATCACACACTCATCCCATAGTGTACATCAGTATGTTCCATTAATGAAACATAACCGAACATACACATCCCAATAGTGTACATGAGTGTGGTCTTCCAGGACTCCCACTATGAGTGGTGGATGGCCATTATGTCCTCATTCTGTGGTCCATCCACATGGGATGAGTGTGTGATGAACAATGCCCCCACACAGTGGGAGTCCTGGATGGCCACACTCATGTACACAATGGGATGAGTGTGTCATAAACAATGCCCCCCACATAGTGGGAGTCTTGGAAGGCCACACTCATGTACACTATGGATGAGTGTGTGATGAACAATGCCCCCACACAGTGGGAGTCTTGGAAGGCCAGTGCTAAACTGACCAACTGCTAACTGATTGAAGGGCCAACTCACTATGGGCCCAGTATATGTTGTGAGGGTAAGAGTATGTCACTGGGTGGGCTCCTTATATTCTGTGTGCCCAATGGATAGCAGTGGGCCTCCTATCTATATTTTTCATCGAAGAAAACTTTCTTTACAGATGGGCTCATAGTACAGTGCAAAGGCCATCTCTCGAGATTTTCGAGTAGGCCCGTGGATTCAGATGTAGCCAAATTACATTCGCCAATGGCATCTTGGTCAGCAAACATCAGATACAGCGGCAGATACAAATTGCAACATCAGCTGGCTACATAATTTCATGATAGCGGGCGCATGCGCTCCCACATCATTGGCAGGTGTCCGCTGGCATTTAAATATGGCAAATTTGACATACCGGTGGCTACAACACGCAAGCTCTGCCGGCTGCATTATCTGCTGGGAGGGTATCTTTACATTGCCGGCAAGAGTCCACCGGAGTATGGAAATGGCATCCACATCAGGCACAATCATTAGCATAGTCGTGTTTATTAGCAGGAATCCCCGGCGAATGTGCATTATCCGCTGAGCAAATACAATTTTTAGCACACCCTGCGGTTCCCCAATGGTGTGTCGATGGGCCCACATCATGTCAGCACATCAAAGGGCCTGCTGTCGGTGTCCGCACTAGTAGAGTGAGCCCAACCCATGTCATGGGTAGTGAATGGGCCTGCTGGCGGTATGCAAAAAGATTAGTGGGCCCACATGGAGGGATGAACTAAGGGATGCGGGCCTACCCCTGAAATACAGCATAGTGGATGGAGCCCGATGCATCTGCCGAAAACGCAGGGGCCCAGCTACATCCAAGCATTTGTGCAGTGGGGCTCACACCATGTATGGCACTGTGAATGGGCCTACCGGCAGTATGCAAACAATGACGGTGGGCCCATCTGGAGGTCTGAACAAAGGGATGCAGGCCCACCCTAGAAGTAGAAAATAGTAGGGTGAGCCTGCTGTAACCTTGGAGGGTGCAGATAGGCCCAGCTGTATTGCGCTCTTTGTACGGTTGGGCTCACACCATGTAAGGCACTCCACGTGCAGGCTCATATCATGGTCTGATGGGGTGATGGGCCCAATCATTACAGTGGGTGACAGGGTGAGCCTGGGCAAATAGCTCGCTAGATTCCAACAGGCTCATATGTACCGCCATTGATACGAGGGGGCCCATGACATGCTGGAACAAGGTTTCAGGACCTGAATAACACCATCGCCAGGCGCCAGACACAATGTGGGCGCAGACAGGTGCTCCCATGTACGGTGACCATTGAGACCACATTGGTGCCGATTCCATGGTAAAAAACAACAAAGTAAACTATACATGAGTTCTATAGTACTAGCAAACATATGTACATTATTCTACATCACAAATTACATATTGGCATCATCAGCGGCCTTCATGACTACCGGCAAACAAGCAACCTCAGCTTGAGGTGTTGCCGGACCAGCAGCCAGTTCAACATTGGCCTCAGTGGAGGTACCAGAACGCATCGAGAGCAACTTGAAGGAGAGAATCACCTGGGCATTGATACTAGTCCAATGCAATGTGCCATAGCATGCGTGATAGTAGTTATTGACTCACAGTGTTTGCAACGTTCAAGTTGAGTTCCAACTTGCCAGTGAACATGATTATGTGTCGCACTTGAGCCTAAAGATGACCAGTTCAATAACTAATCTGGCTATTATCAAGATCATTGTGCAAGGTAGAACCGCTGTAGACATACTCTGAGCTGATCTAAGTAGTACTATATGATTGATGTATAATGAGACCATTTTGGCTGATTTGTGTCAGTTCTTGCTTGCCAAATGTGGTAACTTAATGCAAAGCCGTACTCAGTCAGTGCTTCAGCCTTAATTTCATCACACACCAAAAGACTGGCAACTCGATACTGCTTGTTCTTGTAGAGGTATCTAGAATAAATTATTTGTAACTACGTACAAAATATATACTGTTAAACTGTTATTCTATGTGTCCAATCCGAAACGGACTTGTCTGTTCTCTGTGCTGTGCTTACTAATCGACACCGCTCCGGCTATTCCCGGGTAAGTCAGTGTTCCCTACATTATTCATCTATGTATGTATTACTAATCCTTTTACTCTTCTGCTCGTACAGTCATCATGTATGGGCTGAGTCCAACAGTTCTTACTGCAAGAGATATTCAAATGCAAAGTGCACACTTCTCTCTCTGTTCTAGCTACTGATGTGTACCAAAAGACACAGTAACTTCGCCTCGTACTAGGAATCCTGGCTGCCACTTGCATTCTGTTCATGCCTACAGGATATACTTCACGCAGTGAGCTACTATACCATACTGCTCCTGATATCAATATTTTGTATTAATCATAGAGATGCATCAGTGATGCATCAGTGTTATATACAGTGACTCATACTGTCTGAAAATGTCATACTGGTGATTCCAAGTGCCAGAAATCAATTTCCAACAACACCGTTTAGGTCTAAGCAAATTTTGATAAAGGCTAATATCTAATATTAATACAGAAATGGAACAGTCAATACTTCGAGCAATCTCTCTGAAAACCCTGGGCCTTTGCATCCAGCTTGGCCACACCACTGGCCTGAAATGTCCTAACCCTTGTCGCGCATTCAATGATGATTTTATTGTTGTCGACACCCACAGCATACACGAAGTATCTCTCGACTTCTGCAATTGTGCAACAGCCCAAAGCCATATACAACAGCTACTTCAAATATCGTGGTTTCCTTTGACAACATCAGATCCAAAAACTGCTGCAACATTCCGCGTTCTTGAACACTATCACCTACTCTCATTTGAGTCAAAAGTATCTGCCTTCGAGTTTTATAATGCGCTCAGCCGGATGTCCGATAACACTGGCTTACTTCCCATCAAGGTAAACTTAAATTTTAGGTGCCTTCAAAGTTAATCCAGCTTCCTACAGGATCGGTATGATTCGTTACATGGATGATTCTAAGCATATTTTGTTATATGGGATATGGTTAGACCATGGTTATGGCTAGCTCAATGTGAGCAATTTCGAACATTTTTAGCATTTCTCAAAATGTGCAAAACAAGGGGGGTCCATTTTGCACATTTTTGAGAAATGTCAAAATGTGCAAAACCAAGGGGGGGGGGAGCTCATTTTGCACATTTTGCGAAATGTCCAAAATGTGCAAAACCCAAGGAGCTCCATTGTGCAACATTTTGAGAAATGTCAAAACTGTGCAAACCAAGGAGCTCCATTTTGACCCATTTTGAGAAATTGTTAATAAATGTGCAAAACAAGGGGGTCCATTTTGCACATTTTGAGAAATGTCAAATGTGACAAACCAAGGAGCTCCATTTTTGCAACATTTTGAGAAATGTCAAAAATGTGCGAAACCAAGGAGCTCCATTTTGCACATTTTGAGCAAATGTCAATAATGTGCGGAAACCAGGAGCTCCATTTTGCACATTTTGAGAAATGTCAAACATGTGCGAAACCAGGAGCTTCCATTTTTCACATTTTGAGAATGTCAAAATGTGCGAAACATGTTAGGTCCATTGCACATTTCTGGCTTCCTCAAAATGTGCAAAATGGGCCCTCTTGGTTTTGCACATTTTGACATTTCTCAAAATGTGCAAAATGGACCCCCTTGTTTTGCACATTTTTGACATTTCTCAAAATGTGCAAATGGACCTCCTTGGTTTTGCACATTTTTGACATTTCTCAAATGTGCAAAATGGGACCCCCTTGTTTGCACATTTTTGACATTTCTCAAAATGTGCAAACAAAGGGGGTACATTTTGCACATTTCTGGCATTCCTCAAAATGTGCAAATGTATCCCCCTTGTTTTGCACATTTTCGCCATTCCTCAAAATGTACATAATGGACCCCCTTGGTTTTCGCACATTTTTAGCATTTCTCAAAATGTGCAAAACAAGGGGGGTCCATTTTGCACATTTCTGGCATTCATCAAAATGTGCAAATGTACCCTGCTTGTTTTGCACATTTTCACCATTCCTCAAAATGTGCAACACAAGGGTGGTCCATTTTACACATTTCTGGTATTCCTCAAAATGTGCGAAACAAGGGGGTCAATTTTTACATATTTTGGCATTTCTCAAAATGTGCAAAATGAGGGGGTCCATTTTGCACATTTCTGGCATTCCTCAGAATGTGCACAATGCACCTTCCTTGTTTCGCACATTTTCGCCATTCCTCAAAATGTGCAAAATGAGAGGGTCAATTTTCACACATTTTTGGCATTTCTCAAAATGTGCAAAATGAGGGGGGTCCATTTGCACAGTTGGTAGGGTGCATGTCACACATCCCCTTGTTTTGCGCATTTTGAGATATGCCAGATATGTGTAAAATGGACTCCCTTGTTTCGCACATTGTTGACATGCCTCGAAATGTGCAAATGCACCCCCTTTGTTCTGCACATTTTTGGCATTCCTCACAATGTGCAAAATGAGGGGGTCCATTTTGCACATATCTGGCATTCCTCAAAATGTGCAAAATGGACCCCTGTTAAGACCGTGCACAAAGAGTAGGACTGATTCAAAGGGGCTTGGCTTCAGCTATGCACTGCGCCCCTTACCCGAGTATGTGCCCTTAATTTCAGAATGATGTCTGGAGAAAGTAAAGTCCGAAGGACTTCCGGAAGAGCGCGGGAAACTTTGGAAGGACTTTCTGGACAAGTGCAAGTAACTTCCAGATGAGTGCAGGAAAGTTCAGGAGGAACTTCCGGAAATTACAATGAGGTTTCATCCTGATATAGATATGTATAATGGCTACTCAGAACAAGTCCTGAGTAGAAGCAAACAGAGGAATATTGTCAGATGTAGGTCTGGAATATGGGATATGACAACCCCTCTTGTTGTCTATATTTTTGGCATGCCTCAAAATGTGCAAATGCACCTGCCTTGTTTCACACATGTCCACCATGTCTCAAAATGTGCACATGCACCCCTCTTGTTTTGAACATTTCTGGCATTTCTCAAAACAGGTGGCCAATACATTTACCATTACACTTTATCAAGGTCCAAGATTTTATGATTATTATGAGCCCCTTCAGTGACCTAACTCTGTAAACATGGTCACCCCACCTTGACATTTTTCCCATGTGACATGGGCCCACTTTATCATTATATATCAATGCCTTTGGGTGGGCCTGCATACAGTGTGTATCTAATGGTTATGAGTGGGCCCACAGCACACATTCTTCGAAACTTTGGAGAAAGCTTATGTTGAAGTCTAATGTATGTATAGGTGGGCCTATGGAACAGCAACAAAGTATTTGTTAACAACTTTGAGTGGTTCATCATAATGGAATATAGTGAGGGGATAGCCAGGAGATTATCCTTGCCGGAGGTCATGATCCTAACATTCTATGGCTGGTTTTCCATTTTACCGTCTTATTTTATCCATAGGTGAATATCAAGTCAAGCAGTGAGTCATATTGGACTGCTGTATTGTGGGAATCACTATGAAACCAGGACCCACCAGTGGTTATCATATTATGCTGGTTGTCCACCATTTCATGGCTGATATATCATTTTATCTATTTAGACCACATACAAATGGTTGATTCAAAGGTAACCTTTGATGTATATAATAAGTATCATTGAACTTGCATGATAGACACTGTGCATGGGATTGAATCTACTAAGTAATATTGGCTCAACATGTTCTATACCAGCCAGGGACTATGTCGAAGAGCAGAGTCAGCAGACACACCACTAGTTATCACATATTCCTTTGTATCTGAGAATATCTCAATTTCTTGTACTTTACATTGAATAATCAGTAAAAAGGAAGCAAAGGATCATGTGTGCAAGAGTTATAATTACCACACCATATGAGTGATAGGTATGCATATATAAAGTAAGGATTCTGGGCAAGCCAGCAAACCTGGTGTCTAGAACAGACCTCAATATTGACTAGGGACTCCTTCATGAGGGTCATGAAATATGGAATTCATAGGTGAATGTGGTGACCACCAGTGTGGATGGTCTCCTGGCTATCTTCTCACCAGATGACATTGTGTTGGACCACTATGATTAAATACATTTATCAACATTCAGCTGTAAATCACTCATAAGGGTAAAAACTGGTAAAATGAAAAATCAGCCATGAAATGTTAGAATCCCAGCAGAATGTAATGACCTCCGGCGAGGCGAGGGTAACTGTTTATAGAGGTGAAAACTGGTAAAATGAACAATCAGCAATGAAATGTTGGAATCATGGCGGGAGGTGATGATTGCCGGCGAGGGTAGTCTCACAGCTATCCCTTCATTGGTCCACATCACAGCAGACCACTATCATGAGACATATTCATCAATATTCAGCTGTAAATCTAAATCACCAATAGGGGGAAAAACTAGTAAAATGAAAAATCAGCCATGAAATGTCAGAATCCCAGCGGAATGTGATGACCTCTGGCAGGGATGGTCTCATAGCTATCCTCTTGCTGGTCTGCATCACTCTGGACCACTGTTATTGAGCACAGACATTAATATTTACTTGGGAATTGTTCATAATGGTAAAACTGGTAAAATGACAAATTAGCCATGAAATGTTGGAATCCCGGCGAGCTGTGATGACCTCTGGCAAGAATACTCTCATAGCTATCCCCTCGCTGGTCCACATCACGCTGGACTGCTGTGATTAAGTACAGACATCAATATTTGCTTGGGAATTGTGCATAGGGGTAAAATGAAAAATTAACCATAAAATGTTGGAATCCCAGCAGGTGGTGATGATCTCCAGCGAGGGTAGTCTCAAAATCAGCCATGAAATGTTGGATTCCTGGTGGAATGTGATGACCTCTGGTGAGGATGGTCTCATAGCTACCACCTCGCCATTCCACAGCATGCCAGACCCTGTGATTAAGTACAGACATTAATATTTACTTAGGCATTGTTCATAGGGGTAAAATGACAAATTATCCATAAAATGTTGGAATCATGGTGGGTGGTGATGATCTCCGGTGAGGGTAGTCTCATAGCTATGCCCGCGCTGGTCCACATCATGCTAGACAACTATTATTAAGTACTTTGATCAACATTCAGCTGTAAATCATTCATAGGGGTATAAACTGGTAAAATGAAAATTTGGCCATGACATGTTAAAATCCTGGTGAGCTGTGATGATCTCTGGCAAAAATAGTCTCATAGTTATCCCCTTGCCGGCGCACATCATGGCGGATCACTATGTGGGCCCACCCGGTCATGCAAATACATGATCCAGGCCTAATTATATATAAAAAGTACCAGCTATTTGGGCCCACTCAAAATTGTTAACACTCATTATTGCAGATCATTCTATTGGCCACACTGACAGTGCACATGATGCATTTGCATTCCAATACACTCACATTTTCAAAAATCATATAACACTTCTTAGGAATAACTATTGGATTTGGACAGATAGTGCTTACCCCCTTTCAAGAAACCTCCTTGAAACTAGTGACCAGAAGAATTTAACACCCCCCTTTCTAAAGTATGTGTATTATTTTATTTTTCCTCATCTATTTATTTATATCTATACTTAGGTCTGTGTGCAGGTAGAGCACACAGTCGCTGCTTTCAAGGGCCACTTCCGATCTCTCCAAAAGTTTTGATACCTAATGCAAAATTGTTATACACAAAGTTTCAAGTTTTCTTTTTGGTGTTTCCTACGAATCAGCACACAGATGTGTTTCTCCTTTTCTCTTCTTTAGTCTTATGCCCATCTGTTTTGATAGTTATTGTGATTGTTGTTTGTTGTCTCACCTTAGTACTTCTCTCTCTGATAGTAGCACAGGACTCGTTCACCCACCTGAGACCATTTCCTAATGTTTTCACCTCCATCCTCACCACATTCAAATCAAATACTAGGGTGCATTCTCCTGTTTTGGAGCACTCTTATCATTCTATTCAACTCTTTTTCTGAAATCCCTCAACCTTTCCTTCCAATAACTATTTCAATTACCAATTTGAGCCCCTAAACCACCAACCCCTGTTATGTCCAGTGGCTCAAAGTCTGATAAGACACTCTTATCTCACCCTGATGGTTTTAGTGGTGCTAAGGTCATCATTTCTTTTTAAACAATGGTAGTAGCAGGTCCACGTAATGTTTGAAGCAGAGATGAAGATCTTCATGGATCATAAAAAGAAGGCGTCGTTCACTATGTCGTGTATGAAAGGAGCGTGTCGTTAATAACAGCACTTACAAAATGGGTTGATACGGGACGTAGACCCGGTAGACGGACGGCTCAAGGGGCAGGACCCTAACCCTAGCGTGGGGTTGTCCTTTTGGCGAAAGTTTCCATTAATGGTCATCCTAACCCTAGATTCATAGTGGTACCCTCCTGGTCAGCCGTCCGGTACACATTCCATCGGCTCCCCAAGGGGACCGCATGGGTGAGGGGTCCGTATTGCTGACCAACGGCCGTCGACGGCTCCCATTGGGGACCGCGCCTGTGGTGAGCAAGGTCCGATAATACCTGAACATGTCAAATGGCACCCATTGGGGACCGTCGCACAGGGGATCTCACCCTGTAGTGAGCATAGGTATGTATGTCCTTGTTGCACAACACCCTACGGCCGTCGACGGCTCCCATTGGGGACCGCACCTGTGGTGAACCAAAGTTCTATCATACCTGAACATGTCAAACGGCACCCATTGGGGACCGTTGCACAGGGGATCTCCTTGTTGCACAACATCCTACGGCCCCCATTGGGGACCGCACCTGTGGTGAACCAAAGTTCTATCATACCTGAACATGTCAAACGGCACCCATTGGGGACCGTCGCATAGGGGATCTCACCCTATAGTGAGCATAAGTATGTCATTGTTGCATGGCCCTCATTGAGGACCGGATGATGTATCCGGCTAGGTATCAGTTGTCATCTTATGTGTGAGACGGCTCCCTTGGGGACCGGCCCTCTCATGCCTCTTAGTATACTTACATCTGTCCCTTACCAGATGGTGGATAGGGATCCGGACCTGTCCAAGCTCTGATTGAGGACCGGATATAAGTTGGAGCCAGTGGTACGGCTCCCATTGGGGACCGGACATCTCATGAGTCTCGGTATGCTTACACCTGAACTTATAAACTTACTTATAACTTATAAGACATATGGTATTGTCCGACGGCTCCGGCTGAGGGCCGGACCTCTGGGGTCAGTGGTTCAGTGTTGGTTGGTTGATGATATGCCTCATCCTATGATACGGCACCCATTGGGACCGCACGTTGCATTGACCGAGTGTATCAATCATACATGTACTTGTCAGACGGCTCCCATTGGGGACCGGTACAGTGTTAGTATAATTGAACTAGTAATCAGCTGAGGCAATGAGAGTAGATATAATATATGTTTATGGACCGGAGCCTGCCAGTGGTACGGCTCCCATTGGGGACCGGTCACAGTGTTTGGTGTTAGTATAATTGAACTAGTATGATCCAACGGCTCCGGCCGAGGACCGGACCTCTGGGATAGGTGGTTGGGTAGTTGATGATATGCCTCAGCCTATGGTACGGCTCCCGTTGGGGACCGCATATATGTCATCCGTGATGATATTTGCCTGCATGATGTCACGGCTCCCATTGGGGACACGCACTTGCGATTGAGCCGAGTGTACTAAATCATACATGTACATATCGGACGGCACCGTTGGGGACCGCATATATGTCATCCGTGATGATATTTGCCTGCATGATGCCACGGCTCCCATTGGGGACCGGACCTCTGGGATAGGTGGTTGGGTAGTTGATGATATGCCTCAGCCTATGGTACGGCTCCCGTTGGGGACCGCATACATGTCATCCGTGATGATATTTGCCTGGGTGATGTCACGGCTCCCATTGGGGACCGCACTTGCATTGACCGAGTGTACTAAATCATACATGTACATATCGGACGGCACCCGTTGGGGACCGCACATATGTCATCCGTGATGATATTTGCCTGCATGATGCCACGGCTCCCATTGGGGACCGCACTTGCATTGACCGAGTGTACTAAATCATACACGTACTTGTGAGACGTCTCGCATGGTGGACCGCACCTCGCTGGGCCTCAATGTTGCTTTTTGTGAATCAAGTGCGGTCCCCAATGGGAGCCGTCACACCAGCCAGCTGAAGCAAATATCATTAATGATCCTACTTCAAAGGTCCGGTCCTCAATCGGAGCCGTCGACAAGTACTAGTTCAAATCATAAGGAGACTTTTAAGAGATCTGGTCCACCATGCGAGACGTCTCACAAGTACGTGTATGATTTAGTACACTCGGTCAATGCAAGTGCGGTCCCCAATGGGAGCCGTGACATCACCCAGGCAAATATCATCACGGATGACATATGTGCGGTCCCCAATGGGTGCCGTCCGATATGTACATGTATGATTTAGTACACTCGGTCAATGCAAGTGCGGTCCCCAATGGGAGCCGTGACATCACCCGGGCAAATATCATCACGGATGACATATGTGCGGTCCCCAATGGGTGCCGTCCGATATGTACAGGCGTAATGTAATACACTCGGTCAATGCAAGTGCGGTCCCCAATGGGAGCCGTGACATCATGCAGGCAAATATCATCACGGATGACATATATGCGGTCCCCAATGGGTGCCGTCCGATATGTACAGGCATAATGTAATACACTCGGTCAATGCAAGTGCGTGTCCCCAATGGGAGCCGTAACATCACCCAGGCAAAATATCATCACGGATGACATTTATGCGGTCCCAAACGGGAGCTCGTACCATAGGTGAGGCATATCGTCAACTAATCAACGTACTACCCCAGAGGTCCCGGTCCCAGCCGGAGCCGTTGGATCATTACTAGGTTCGATTATACTAACAACACTGTTCACAAACACTGTTACCGGTCCCAATGGAGCCGTACCACTGCAGGGCCGGTCCACTACACATATATTATATCTACTCTCATTGAGTGGTCCGGTCCTCTGTCGGCGCCTTCCTCCGATCATTCCGTGTACTGATTCCCTTCCCAGATGTAAGGTCCGGTCCCCAATGGGGAGCCGTCTGACAAGGCCAATAGAAATCCTTCCGTTACACATGCAAGCCGCGCACTCGAAGTAAATAAGTCATCCGGATACCTCGACCGTACAACATCAATCATGGGCTTTAACCTCCTTTGAGAGACCCGGCTCACACAGAATTCTTATCAACCCAATACATAATGGCCACATGCTATTCCATGTGTACCAACTACAGGAAACTACAGTAATAAAACTAAGTAACTACATGTACAAGTACAAACTACAATCATGATGTTTTGAATTATACATTAAAAAAGTAAGTATCCTGTTTAGCGGCGGCGGCGGCGGCGCTTGGTAACCTGCCCATCATCTCCTCCACCTCCTTCCTCATAGTGCGCAGGCCATCTCTATCATCTGCAAGATGTTGGAGAGGCCTGACACCCGACCGGCCAAGTATGCCTCCTGCCTCGCCGTCCTCGCTCTCGCTCTCTCCTCCTCGACGGCGGCGATCTTCCGCTTGGTGCACGTCCGGAGCTCGACGTAGGCGTTGTTTACGCACCGGGGGCCTGGCACCGCCGTGGTTGTGCCGGTGCGACGGCGGCTGGCTCGCTGGACTTAGTTATGTGTCCTGGCGGCCTGGCCTGGCGCTTGCGTGGCCTTTGAGCAGGCCCGAACGGGACGGGAAGTCGAAGCAAACCGGCTTCGGCCTAGGTTTAGGCTTGGGAGCCGGCGCTGGTGGTGGTGGGGTTGAAGGGGGAGGTGGGGGTGCCGCGATCTTTTTCTTCCCCTTGTCTGATTCTATTAGTTAGTGCTTATTGTATCAGACGGACGAGGTAAACACTTACCTCTGACATGGGAGCACTTCACCTTCCCACGGCGGCACTCGTAGCACGACACGCCCGTGGAGGCGACGTGGCATGTGCGGGCCACTTTCTTGCAGTTGGCACAAGGCACCTCGTGGATGGCCTTCTCGGCGCTTATGCGCGGCGTCCGTTTCTGCAGGCGGAGGGTTAGAATATCAGCCGCTGAGAACACATATCACTTACCTTGGGTCCCACCCGTTCATGAGTCTCCTCCTCCTCCTCCTCCTCCTCCTCCTCCTCCTCCTCCTCCTGCCGGGTCTCCTGCTCCTGATCGGCGCTTTCTTCTCTCTCACCTGTGGCGGGCCCGAGTTCCGTTGAGGTCGCGGTGGGAGTAGCGGTGGTGGGAGCAGTGGTGGTGGTGGCGGGAGCGGGAGCAGTGGTGGTGGTGGTGGCGGGAGCGGGAGCAGTGGCGGTGGTGGAGGTGGTTGAGGTTTCCGACCGTCTCCTTTGAGGTGGAGCTCGGCATCCTTGAAGGCGGTCACCTGGCTTTGGAACGCCGCGCGAAGGAGGTAACCTTTCTGCCAGTCTCGCCTTGCGGAGACTGGCAGATCGATAACAACCTTGTTGTCCCGCGCAAGCGTCAAGCGGTTCGCCAGCTGATCCTAAGTACATAAGTTACATAAGTAGTTCGTTAGTTAAGTAAAAACAGACAAAGGAAAAAAAACAACACGCACCTTAAGATCGGAGAGGTTCTTGCACCACTCCTCCTTCTCCGGAATGTGGTCCTCGTCGTGTTGGGAGGGAGCCGACTGGAGCATGTGGGTGAGACGAGCGTTCAGCTCGGCCGCCTCAGCTCTCAGAGCAATGGTTTCCTCGCTCTCGGCCGGCGGAGGAGGAAGGAGTCTAGAGATCCAAACCGTCGATTTGGTCGGACATGGTAATCTAGACAGTACTATAGAGTTATAGAGTTAGAGTTAACAAAGTTTGAGTTAACAAAATTGAGTTGGAGAGAAAAGACGCAAGTCAAGATCAGGACACAATATATAGGGAACCCCAATTCGCGGTCACCTGACTTTTACAATACATTTACAAGTCGCGTGTCGGTGGACGCCCCACATGTGCGCGTGATCACAATAATTTATTCCATTGATCCACATACGGACCCGCGTCACAGTGAATCCGTCACCTTACAATGCAGATCCACAACTCTGCGGCTGCTTCCGTTGCGGAGCCGACCACACGGTCACGTGCTAGTAATCAATATTGTCCTGCAGGTGGACGGCTCCCGTAGGGGACCGCATACAGTAGACTTGCTCATAACGTATATGGTATTAATGTATATTTTTCATATTGTATCGGGTTTGGGTGGCTCCCGTTGTGGTATGCGGGGAAATGGCCAGAATATGTATAATGTATAATGATAATGTTTGGTCGTTCAATATACAGTATGACACCTAGTTTACTAAGGCCCGGGGTGGTTGGAGAGCCTGAAG